CAGTCCTGACTTACCACTGGTACCTGACTGGAGGCCGGGGGGGGGGGGGGGGGGGGGGGGGGGGGGGGGGGGTACATGGAGCATCGACTCCCCATGCATGACGCAGTCCAACAGTGTGTTATTTGCGAGAAATGGAGTATTCACACACATGCAGGCTGTCCCAGGTCTAGAACAAGGGGGTTTCCCCCTGGGCTGATGGGGTTGCTGGCACATTACATTGGTAACAAGGTCATGGGAGTGGAACACGGGTATGGAGGATGAGATCATGACTTGGCCTCCACTCAAGTTGATCCGATCCGAGCCGTAGGCACTCGTGATGCGCACATGCAATTATGACATTGCGAACGATCACGTGCGTCAATTATGGCCAGCACGCATTGTCATTACCTTGATGGCCCTCACAATGCACCAGACAGGCAGCAATGAGATCATAACAACACCTGTCACATCAAAAGACAAAAGAAAATTGGTCAAGACAGATCCAGATTGTGATTGTGATTGTGATGGATCTTTCGCACGCTTGCTAACGCCACTTATTCAGCCTACCAAAGCTAAAGCTGGGTGGTATCGTAGTGTAAAGGAAAGAGGAAAAACATTTCTGTGCTGGGATTCGCATCTCGTGTCGACGTAGATGGTGACTGGTGGGTGGGGAAAGAGGTCCGGAATCTCTGCCGGCTGCGCGGTCCCGTCGGCAATCATCTCCTCCTTGGTCCAAATCCACGCTCCGTGTGGTGTCGCTTGCATCTCTTCCCAAAGCCATGTGCGCAGGTCTAGAAGAGTTCCGCTCTTGAGAATTGAAACCCAGCCTCGATGGAGCGATGACAAGAAGTGGAGGTTCAGACCCGGCCTGAAGCTCAACGCACGACCGTCCGCGGAACTAATAGCCAGACTGTCTAGGAGGCTGGGGCAGCATCGGTCTTGGTTTCGGCGTCAGTAGGGGCAGGTTCAGCAGCCTTATCTTCCTTGGGAGCCTCGCCAGCCGGGCCGGCTTCGCCGTCACCACCGTCGGACGAAGTCCACAGAGTCAAGTTGTCTCGAAGCAGCTGCATGATCAGCGTACTATCACGGTAGGACTCTTCGGACAGCGAGTCGAGTTCGGCAATGGCATCATCAAAGGCTTGCTTGGCAAGATGACAGGCTCGGTCAGGAGAGTTGAGGATTTCGTAGTAGAAGACGCTGAAATTCAGGGCCAGGCCGAGGCGGATAGGATGCGTTGGGGTGAGCTCAGTCTGTGCAACATCGGTGGCATTCTGCAAGTGTGGGTTAGAGCGGACATGAATTGAGGCAGGCAGAGGCTAACATACCTTGTATGCTTCGTGTGCGGCGGTAGCGGCAACCTTGCGCTTCTCGCCAGAGGCGAATTCGGCGAGATATCGATGATAGTCACCCTTCCTATTGATGGTTAGATTAAGTGGGCAGATGAGGGGTGGGGCTGAATACATTTTGTGGTAGAAGACCTTGGATTCTCCCGACTCGGCCTTGGGGATGAGGGCTTGGTCCAAAACATCGAGCACGTCTTGACAGACTTTCTCGAGTTCGGTCTCGATCTTCTGGCGGTATTCCCGGATGGTGCCGACGTGCTTGTCCGAACCCTTGGACTCTTCCTTTTGCTCGATGGAGGAGATGATGCGCCAGGACGCACGTCGGGTGCCAACGACGTTCTTGTAAGCGACCGAGAGAAGATTTCGCTCATCGACGGACAACTCGCCGCCCAGCTAGAGAGTGTGTCAGCAATGAGTGATGATCAAGGGGGTGTTTTGATGGTGTGACCAACATTTGCAACTTCTTTCATGTAGTTGACCATCTCGTCATAACGCTCGGCCTGCTCGCAGAGCCTCGCGAGGAAAGTTTTGCTGGATTGAAGGTCAGATGAGCACAAGCACAATAAGGAGTTGACATGGAGTTGTCATTGTGATGGAGAGGTACCTTTCGCGCTAGAATTCGGTGCATGTCAGCGTGTCGCTCTATCAGTGATTGGATGTGGTGGGCAGCGAGATGGACGAGCTGAAGGCTCGAGGGGCAGGGAGAGAGGGCAGGACAGTGACTTACATCAGTAGACATGATGGAGAGAGAATGAATTGCAGTGTAAGGAGGGAGATTGGAAGCGCGAGATGAATGGAGAAGGAAGAATTAGAGAATGGAGACTGTGATGGAATTGAGATTGAGCGTGGATGAATGGGATGGAAATTGAAGGAGAAAGTTGGGCTTGGGCGTGGGCGTCTGGTGATGAGATAGTGCAGATGAGTGAGGAGGTGCGCAGAAAGCAAGTAGCAAGTAGCAAGCAAGAAGAAGCGTGGTAGGCTCAGGTCAGGTTCTTGAGGCCAGTGAGACAGTTGAGACCGGTTGAGACCAATTCAGACCAGACCAGTTCAGATCAGTTCAGACCAGTAGAAGTGAGGCCTTGTTTTCCGTCTTTGGTGCCTGCGACGCGCTGTATTTCTCCTCTGCAACTGAAGCGTCCTCGGCCGCATCCCACAGCGTCAATTGTTACTTGGGGGTTAATGGAGTTTGAGGTTTGGGGCTTGGGCTTGGGGGAAACACGGCACAACGAGTGGCAAGGAGCCGCGCAATCATGTCAATAATAATAATTCCAGGCAATCAATCAGGTCGCGTGCTTGAGCGATTACTCTCCCACTCTGCCACTTCCTGGTGTTGTTGCCTGCGAGAGATTCATGACTGATGAGCCACTGGGAGACTGCGGCCTCCGGGGCTCCTTAGCCCTTAATTCCAACTTGTGGCGCTTAACTTTTAGCGTCGTTGCCCTGTTTTGCCTTGTTCAAGTTGCTCTTATTTGAGCCTGAGAGCCACAAATAAGGCTGACAGCAGATGTCTACCTAGGTATTATTATTGAGAGTCTCAGTTCACATCCCACAATGTTGAGACATACTAGGAACATACTGCATACTGCCCACTGCCTGAGGTTACAGATACTTGCTAATAAGTAGGTACCGTAGGTAGGTACCTAGTACATAGTACCTTATGTACATGACCCTCTTCCCACCTGATATTCCATATCCTTCACTCTAGGTACTTTAGGGTCAACAAGAAGAGTTTGTCGTACCTGAGTTATGGAACACGTAACAGGATCAAATCAAGGAAAACATTACCTTCATCCCCTCCATCCTCGACATGCCAAATCGTCATTGGCTACAGTTGCCACTCAAAATCCGTCACGTTTGTTATGATTATTGTTGTTGTTGGTGGTGGTGTTGTTCAACAACAACATTTGTTTCTACTGTGTCTGCCTGGCTTCCGCCACCTCGATGGTTGCTATGGAAAAGGTTCAACTGGTGACAGAGCCTCGCCCTTGACGTAGTACAGTAGCAATTAGGTATGTACTAATCTGCCTACAACTGATGACATGTCATTGCCCACATTGTCATTTTGATCGTACGTAACTCAACTATCGCTCTGCCCAAGCCTCCAAGTCTGACGATGTCTGGCATATAATGTTTCTTCACCAGATTACAATATCATCAGATGTCAATTGATGGCTCGGTCCACAACCGTTTGGACTTGTTTGATATTGAACCACGGATGACGAGCCGAAGCCCGCTGTGCCGCTTTGGGTCCAGAGGTATTTTTATTATTATCAACCAGTACGCACGCATAGTGGCATACAAGATGCATGAAACTGTCGCCTCTTCCAACCCTTCTTGGCCAACCTTTCTCCACGCGTCATTCCTCCCGTGCCTCTTCTCACTCGTGGTACTCCCGCCACTCCCTCTCCAATTTTTGGAGACGCACTAGACGCTTTCCTCGTCGTTCTGTCGCAGGCACTCGTGGCTCTCAACTCCAACACTCAGAAAAAAAGTTCCACCGTGTTCTCATCTCCACATCGGCACCACCAGTCACCTTGACATGGCACCAACAAGTCGCTCCTTGATATAGATTTCCTGTTTGAAGTTGCAGTCATCGTTACAGTGTTTGGCCTCTATCATCCTGTCTATTGCTGCACCTTGTATGGCTCCCAGACTTCTGTGACACAATCCTAGATTCTAGATTCGTCGACTCTCACTTTCCTCCCCGCCCGCTCGGGTAAAGATGGAGCAATCCTACCTGCGATCTGGTGCAGATGTCTTGAAGCACTTTGACGTTTCCGAAACCAAGGGCCTCTCCTCGCCCCAGGTTCTTGAGGCCAGAGCTCGCTATGGAAGCAACTGTGAGTTGCCCCTTCCTGCACCTACCCACCCAACAAAACATCAAACAAAGACCTGCCTTTCTTTGGCTGACAAAACCCTTCAGCTCTCCCAGAAGATCCTCCAACACCCCTCTGGCAACTCGTCCTCGAACAGTTCAAGGATCAATTGGTTTTGATCTTGCTAGGATCGGCAGCAATCTCTTTTGTGCTGGCCGTCTTTGAAGAATCCGACGATTGGACCGCATTCGTTGACCCCGTCGTGGTATGTACAACCCGTGTTGAGAGTCTGCAAATCCAAGCCAACCTTGTTCTAGATCTTAAGCATCCTCATCCTAAATGCCGTTGTCGGAGTCACCCAAGAAAGCAGTGCCGAAAAGGCCATCGCCGCCCTCCAAGAGTACTCGGCCAACGAGGCCAAGGTCACCCGCGATGGTCAAGCCCGCAAAATCAAGGCCGAAGAGTTGGTCCCCGGAGATATTGTTACCATCGCCATCGGCGACCGCATTCCTGCCGATTGCCGCCTCCTGTCTATCCAGAGCAACAATTTTGCTGTCGACCAAGCCATCCTCACTGGTGAGAGTGAAAGTGTGACCAAAGAGACCAAGCCCATCAAGGACGCACAGGCTGTGAAGCAGGATCAAGTCAACATTCTTTTCTCCGGAACCACAGTCGTCACTGGCCATGCCACTGCTATCGTCGTCCTCACCGGTAGCTCCACTGCCATTGGTGACATCCACGAAAGCATCACCTCTCAAATCTCAGAACCAACCCCTCTGAAGGAGAAGCTGAACGACTTTGGCGATACTCTAGCTAAGGTCATCACTGTCATCTGTATTTTGGTCTGGCTCATCAATATCCAGCATTTCAACGATCCCTCCCACGGCGGAAGCTGGGCCAAAGGTGCCATCTACTACCTCAAAATTGCCGTGTCTCTCGGTGTCGCTGCCATCCCTGAAGGTCTCGCCGTCGTCATTACAACCTGTCTGGCGCTTGGCACCCGCAAGATGGCTGCTAAGAACGCCATTGTCCGAAGCCTCCCCTCTGTTGAAACTCTCGGAAGTTGTAGTGTTATCTGCTCTGACAAAACCGGCACTCTCACCACCAACCAGATGAGCGTCGAAAAGGTTGTTTATCTAAATGAGGCTGGCAATGACTTGGAAGAAATCCAAGTCGAAGGGACCACTTTCTCGCCCAACGGAGATCTTGTTCAAAATGGGCAACGCCTAGAAAATGCAGCCGTATCTTCCGCCACTATCCGTCAAATTGCAGAAGTTGCCGCCTTATGCAACGAGTCCCGACTCTCCTACGACTTCAAGAATAACACCTTCACCAACATTGGCGAACCAACCGAAGGTGCACTACGGGTCCTGGCCGAGAAGATTGGGACCGACGACATCGCCACCAACAATAAACGCCAGGGTTTAGTCTCAGGCGAGCTTCTCCATTATGCGAGCGCTTACTGGGAAGAGAAACACCCTCTGCAAGCCTCGTATGAGTTCTCTCGCGATCGTAAAAGCATGTCTGTCCTGGTTGGCACTGGAGCACAGCAGAAACTACTTGTCAAAGGCGCTCCAGAGTCCATCCTCGAGAGATGTTCCCATGTCATTCTGGGTGCTAATGGGAAGAAGGTGCCCATCACCAAGAAACACCTCGGCCTCCTTTCCGAAGAATTAGTTGACTATGGCCGACACGGTCTCCGTGTCTTGGCTCTTGCCAGCGTTGATGATATCAACGGCAACAAGCTTCTCAAGACGGCCAAAACCACCGAGGCGTATACCCAGCTGGAGCAAAACATGACCTTGATTGGATTCGTAGGCATGCTCGACCCTCCTCGTCCCGAAGTCGCCGCCTCGATTCAGAAGTGCCGGTCTGCTGGAATCCGTGTCATTGTCATCACGGGCGACAACCAGAATACGGCCGAGACCATCTGTAAACAGATTGGCGTCTTCGAGCCTGGTGAAGACCTGGCGGGCAAGAGCTATACGGGTCGACAGTTTGACCAACTCACCGAAAGCGAGAAACTCGCAGCAGCCAAATCCGCCAGCCTGTTCTCACGAGTCGAACCCACCCACAAGTCGAAACTAGTGGACCTGCTGCAAAGCGCCGGGGAGGTCGTCGCCATGACTGGTGACGGCGTCAACGACGCGCCCGCACTGAAGAAATCTGACATTGGTGTCGCCATGGGCACGGGCACAGATGTTGCAAAACTGGCAGCCGACATGGTCCTGGCGGACGACAACTTTGCCACGATCGAGATTGCCATTGAAGAAGGCCGCACCATCTACTCCAACACTCAACAGTTCATCCGCTATCTGATCTCATCCAACATTGGAGAAGTCGTATCCATCTTCCTCACCGCCGCACTTGGACTGCCTGAAGCCTTGATCCCGGTTCAGCTTCTGTGGGTCAACCTAGTCACGGACGGCCTTCCAGCCACGGCATTGTCTTTCAACCCACCAGATGGCGACGTGATGCGCCGGCGTCCGCGCAAACGTGACGAGCCCTTGGTGTCGGGCTGGCTTTTTTTCCGGTACATGGTGATTGGCACGTATGTGGGGGCCGCAACTGTGTTTGGCTACGTGTGGTGGTTCATGTATCACACCACGGGGCCTCAGATTACCTTTACTCAACTGCGCCACTTCCACCAGTGCAGCCTGACGAACCCTCTCTACCTGACGACTGACTGCAGCATATTCTCCGCCTCGTCGGTGGCCACACGGACGGCCTCGACCATGAGTCTGTCGATTCTGGTGGTGATTGAAATGTTCAATGCCATGAACGCCTTGTCATCGTCCGAGTCGTTACTCACTATGCCGCTGTGGAAGAACATGAAGCTCATCTACGCCATCCTGCTCTCCATGGCTCTCCACTTTGCCATCCTGTACGTGCCTATCTTGCAGAGCTTGTTCAGTATTGAGCCCTTGACTCAAGCGGAATGGACGGCGGTCGTGGTCATTTCGGCGCCTGTTATTTTCCTAGACGAGATTCTGAAGGTTTTTGAGCGCATGTTCTTCATCAACAAGACTGACGGCGTCGGGATTGGCGCTGAAGTCGAGGAAAAGAGAGTAGGAAATGGCCATGTGGGCAGCGGGACCAAGAACAAGAAGGCCCAGTAAAAGGCGAGTCCTGGCATGATTCGATGCGTTCACGAAAGCCTGTCTGTCGTATTCGATACGATGGCCGTACATTCGGACTCTAGAATACCGACACGTGGTGGTCTTGAGATCTGACCATCATCTAGATTTGTTGCATGGGAGATATCACAATTGCATAGACTGATAGAATCAACATGTGACTCGATGCAAACAATGCTCATGGGCTCAAAGTCGAGCTACGCTGCGCTTGGTCGGCCTATGCGATGCTCAGGCGGGGGGTTGTCTGCCGTCTGCCTCGACGTGGCAGATCCATTACGAGCAGAACAACGGCATGACCCCAAGACTTAGTCTACCAAAATAGAAAATCTTGTCATATAAGGCAGCAACAATGCACGCTGTCCATTCTTCTATAATATCATGTCTTCCTTGTCGTCAGCGGAAATTTTGTCATCTCGAACAAAATAGATGAGCATCACCCTCTCATGTCATGAAAATTCGGTCCACGTTCATACTCGAGCCAAGAGAGACAGTGCCAAGGACCACATCAGTTGCAGGTAGCGGCTAGCGGCCATGATTCATAACTGCACACCCCAGAAGCCCTTGCCTCCACAGACACCCAGCATACCCATGGATGGCGCCCAGCTGATGTTGGCGACTTCAAAAGCCGACTCCCAGACCGCGCTAGGGCCCCTTTCTTGGCTAGTAGAGCCTGGTGCTTGCCCGGTGCTTGCGGTGGCTTGAGAAGCTCCCGCAGGAGCTGAAGCCCCGATGCCCGTGGCCGAGCTGCCCATCAGATCCCAAAGTAGGACGCAGCAATCATCGGCTCCAGAGGCGAGAACGCCACGCTGAGAGCTGCTCCAGTCAATGCAACTGACGGCAGCACCATGACCCTTGAGTTCGAGGAGTGCTTGGCCCGGTTGACGGACGTCGAGGACTCGTATGACAGAAGAGTCTTGACTGAAGGTTGCAAGAAGATGAGCATCGTGAGGGGAGGCTGCTATGCGGAGCAGGGGTGGCGGAAACGGTAGAGAAGAGGGACCACCGCGAGTCGGGGAAGACGAAAGGGCGTCTGAGGCTGCAGAGAGGTCAGTAGGGGAGAGGTCTGAAAGGTTGCTAGACTCACAGTCTTTGGCCTGTTGCTTTTCAGAAGGTTCATATATGATAGTACTATGCTCAAGACTCCTGAGGTCAAACATTCTCACACTACCGTCGGCACCGCATGAGACGAAAACATCGACACTGTTGGCACAAAAGCGAACATCATAGACTTCTTTATCGTGTGCGATAAGCTGTGTTTTTGCGGTCAAGCTAGGGATATCCCAGATGGTACAGGTGGTGTCTATGGAGGAGGTGATGATCAGAGAAGGTTGGACGACATTCCAGTCAAGTGAAGTGATTGGGGCAGTGTGTTCTGGGGATTTTGAATTGGACAAGAGTGCCAGGGGCGAAAGTTTTTGCAGTGGGGGGGATTTGGTGTTGTTGGATCTGTTGATATTGTTTGATTGATACGAGTGTGGATCGTTTGGCAAGGACCACAACCTCAAATGATCTCCGGACGTGGCCAGCAAGTCGGTGGTCTGTTTATTGGAAGACGGGGGCTCCCACAGGATTCGAGTGACAGGATATGCATGGGTAGCTTCTGCGGTTTTGACAAAGTCCAGGCCGCGGTCGGCATGGGGGTTGTCCGGGTCTATCTGGGACTTTTGAGCGTCTAAGATTTGTATCTGTGTTGATGTCAGCCAGGTGCGAGAGTCCATGAAGGTAATTTCCTCTCACATAGTTGTGATTGTCTTCGAGATAACTGCCTATGGCGATTTTGCCGGCGGTATTGTTGTTTGATCGGGGGGGCCACTTGCACCAGTCGACAGCGTATATGGGCCATGGAGCTGCATAGTGACTGTTCTGGGGGTACTGAGAGGTTTCGTTATCTTGAGGGAGAGTGGGATTGAAAGGCAAATCTGAAAAGACCTGATCACCACGAGCGCGAATGTCGGCCAGGCCAAGAGGAGAATAGGAGGATGGGCCAAGTGGGGTATTGGAAATATATCCAGCGGTGGGAGAAGAATATTTGGCTTGCTCTGGTGTGTTTGAGAATGGTTTATATTTTGGTTGGTCCATGACGCCGGGGCTGGACCTAGAGTACGAATGGGAATGACTGAGGGTAGAGGGTCGCGCGGAGTGTGGAGGTTGTTGTAACGAGGTCGAGAGTTGAGGGAGTGTTGGGAGAGCAGGAGCAGTGTTACTAGCAGCTAGAGCAGCTGGCCTGTTTGCAAGACCCGGCTGAAGTGTTCCTGGGACAGGATTACTTGCGACGCTGGAAGGGTGCTGTGGGGTGGATGGTTCGATCTTGATAGATAGTCCTTGGTCTCCGGCGTACGCAGGCGGTGCACCATAATGATGGACGTCGCTCATGGCAGAGGAACGAGAGGGGGTGTTTAAGTGAAGTTCTTCTGGTTGTCGAGCAGTAGTCAAAGAACGTCGCAGGGAGGAGGAAGGGGTCGAGTATTGTGCGGGTGTTTGGTCTTGATATTGGGATGGTGCCAGACGAAATGGAATCACGGTGCCATTGCCGGTGCCATTCGTGCCGGGATTTGAGTTGGGTAATGGTTGATAGGGGCGAGTTTGTGCCTGGTCGGACGAGGTGGTGGGTATGGAAGGATGTTGGCTGGACACGGGAAAATGTGGTGATTGTTGGAGGTGTTGTTGTTGGTCGTTCCAGTGGCCTTCGGATTGGGGGACTGAACTCAGGGTCTGGTTTGGGGGGTAGAAGGCGTTGGAATTATGAGAGTAATAACTGTCCTGAAGGGACTCTGGATCGGAGAGTGTGTGCTGGTGTCGGGGGAGGTGGAAGGGCATAATGATCAGGTAAAGAGACAAATATAGTGTCTGAATTGAGTGGTCCAAGTCAGACTGACTTTGAGAGCGTCAAACTGACAAACGGTCTTGTTGAGGGCCAGTGCATTTGACGGTGATTGCCGGGAGGAGCTTTGGCGTCAAGGTTTGAAATCAGGACGTCGACAGGTACAGGATAATACGGAGTAGGCGTCGGGGCGGGTAGCAGGGTGGGTAGGCAGATTAGGGGGAGGGGAGCGTTGAGGGGAGGGTGATGGTGTGGGTGAGGGTGTGAGTGAGAGAGAGACAGAGAGACGAATTTAGAGGGAGAGAAAGTCTCACGTGGGTGGCAGTTGCACCTTCCTAGAGTCCTTGATCTACCAGCCACAGGTGCTCTTGCCTGCTCTTGCCTGCTCTTACCCTTTTAACAGTTATACATCCTCCCCAGAGGGAAGGAGCCGAGGGACAAGTTGATCGCGCTTTCCATCCACATCCACATCCACATCCACATCAAATATCCATGCCAACGACCAACGTCCTTTGATTTCTCTCTCCCACTCCCTCTCTCCCTTTGATATTCAACCAGGATCTCTTCAACAACTCACCTCGACTTCTACCTTCTCTGCTCGATTTGCCCATACTCGACCCAGAATCTAATAAACAACCCTACCACTCAGCCGTCTCCATATTGTATAAAATGGCCCCAATCTCATCGTCAGATTCGGCCTCCCTTCTGCTTCTACCAGCGCTTTCAATATCCTCTCCCACAAGCTCATTAAGGTCCGCATACAAGACCTCGCTCGAAACTCTTTTTCCTAGGCTGGTAGCCTCAGGCTCCACAGCCACCATTTCCAGGTTGGATATTGCCCTGTGTCTCCACCCATCCTATCCAGCTTCTACTACCCACTCCCGCTCTGCTGTCTTCGCGCCTCTCCAACGTCTCCTCTCGTCTGTATACAGCCTAGTCGTCTCCGTTGCTGCCACCTCTCACATCGATCTCGACCTCCCTGGTGGTCTGGACGTCCGAGTCTTTTTCGTTGACTCGCCTGTCGAAGGAGCCTCAAGCAGTGGAAAACAACACATCTCTGGACCTGTCGTGGATTTACTAACCTTGGTCACCTCCTTACGCCACTACTCCGCACTATATTCAGTCGATGGAGAAGCTGGGGAATCCTTTTTGAAGCTGGTTACCACCACATACAATTCCAAGAATCAACCCATTCCCCCCATTCACCGTCTGCCCGCGGGCCCCTCCCTCAATTACGATCAGAATTCATCTCAGCCTAGCAACTCTTTGGTCCCAGATGGCCCGGTAACTTCTCACGCCTCCGTGGCAGTCGGTGGTACATTTGACCATCTTCATATTGGCCATAAACTTCTCTTGACATGCACCATCCTTGCAGCCGATCCTCAAGCATCTCCTCGCCTCATCACATGTGGCATCACCGGCGATGAGCTATTAGTCAACAAGAAGTACGGATCTATTGTGGAATCGTGGCACGATCGTCAAGTTCGGACCGCCCAATTTGTCGAGTCAATCCTTGCTTTTCATCCCGACGTGTCCTCCCTCCGCAAGACCGAGTATCTCGACAGTCCAGGTCCAAATGGCAAGGTTGTACGTGTCACTTATTCAACGCCCCCAATGGACTCCACTTCGGACGATTCAATCACTATTAATTATACACAACTCTCGGATCCCTACGGCCCCACAATTACCGATCAAGCCATTTCTGCCATTGTCATCTCCGCTGAGACTAGAGCTGGTGGGAAGGCGGTCAATGATAAGCGGCAAGACAAGGGCTGGAAGCCGCTCGAGGTATTCGAGATCGATGTCTTGGATGCAGGCTCGATTGACGATGCACCGTCGGATACTGTGGCGGGGCATAGCCTTGAAAAGGGTTTCGCCGACAAAATTTCGAGTACTGAGATTCGCCGGAGGTTGTTGGAGCTGCAAGAGAAGAGCACATGAGCTGCCACTTTTCCCACAGCACCTTGAATTGGTTAAAAATGATCGAAACTGAATCGGTTGAGAATCTTTTCATTGCTTGGAAGAATCGTGGGTAATGAGGAGGCGTTGGCCTTCCAATCCGAACAATCAATGCGACCTAGCCTCGTACACAGCTTCCAATAGAGTGCACTAAGCACCATCTGGGTGGGCTCAGCCATATCTTCTACAGAGCCTTGAGCTCGGCCAAATGGATTTGTCTTCACCCTCCGCTTTGTGAAAAGTCCCCGCCCCCTGTTGGGACTATCTACCTTGGTGCTGTCAAGTATCTGGCAGCTCCATGAAATATATATCTACATATATCCATCCCCCTTTAAACTTGCCCCATGTTCACGAATGTGACAGGAAGAAATCGGGACTCGGATCGTCGTCGTCATCGTCGTCGTCCCCAGGTCCATGGCTCAGGCTCACATGAGAAGTATCTTTCTGGCTACGGAGTTCGGAAACTTTGCCATCACCACTCACTTTCTCACCCGATCCGTGCCTCGAGCTGGCACTGGTTGTGAGGGGATTTTCGGGGGACACCCTGGCTTCGCCCTGCGACTGGTACATGCTGCGGCCGAGCGGCTTTCCAGCATATCCATCAGCACGCTGTGTCTCGTTCCGTCGGCCATCATTATCATTCCGGTCTGTACTAATCGTACGGCGAGGATTGACGATGATGGAAGCTCCAGTCGACTTCGACGGTGCAAATTCTCGCAATGTGTCTTCGAGGCTTTGGTTGCTCGTCACGCTCGCCGGTCGACTCGGGCTGCGAGTTGGCGTGATTGTTTTGTTCGTAAAAGAAGTCCCACTACCGTTGGTATTGATGGGTGTGGGTTCGTCTGCGGTCACAAGGTCGGCATTTTCATCGTCTTGATGGTCTATATTGCTCTCGCTCAAGCTGTCCTCGATCAAATCGTCCTCGTTTGTGAGGCCTTTGGTCGGGCTCAAGAGCTCTCTGGCTTGTTGGAAAGCTGCCACCTCAGCCCCAATCGCAACAACAAGCAAGTTCCAACCCCTCTTTTCCGCAAGACCAAGGTCCCATTCAAGTGAGTGGATCAAGGTTGTAAGCTTGGTCACCACGACTTCCATCGAAGTCGACAATCCAATGCGTGCAAGATGCGAATCACCTGAATATGACTGAAGCTGGCTGGCACTGAGCTCCTGCGTTTGAGCCCTCAGGTCCCTCTCGAATTCGATGATACGCTTGACTGCGTCTCTCCAGAGTCGAGATCCATCCATCGACGCATCCTTTTCCTTCTCAACCTTGCTTCTCCGCGTTTGTAATTCTTCGATTTCTGCGCCCCATTGATCCATGGCCATCTCCAAGGTTCTCCGATCCGGCTTCAAGGTGTAGAAGGTTTGGTGAAGGCCCCCGGTCGTGGCCAGACCTTGTGAGATGGGTGGATTTCGCAAGAACTCCACCTCTCTTGCTTCGCCGAGTCGGAAGGCTTCCCGGTAGGAACTCAACTTGGATTCTTTGGTGCTAATGTCCTCTTCAATCTTGGAGCTCAAATATCGCTGGCGCACTCGTAACTCCGACAAACGGTTTTCCAGCGTCCTTATTTCGAGCTCCACCTGAGCCAAGTCATCTTTCCAAAGTCGAGAGCTTCCTTGGTGTCGAATGTTGTCGATTTCACCTTGAAGTGTCGTCCTTTGTGCGGCGAGATCTGCAGCAATCTTAACCGCTTGTTCTCGAGCTTGAATTTCTTGGTCGATAGAAGAAGTTTCGTGGGATTTGATGTCTGCAAGTTCGCGCATTGCATTGAAAAGGCCTTTCCGAGCCGCTCGCAACGTCAGTTTCCGGACCCGCGGTTGACGAACAGGAATGACCTTCGGCCCATGAACTGTGTTGCCACCTTTTACAGGGTTGGTATGGGATGGAGTCGGAGTGGGACTACCGAATGATGAGGTGTCATCCTCAAGTCCAATCCCAGCGCTTAGCCCTTCGGATTGAGCGTCGAGGAGGGTTTGAAAAGTACGTTGTAGTTGATTGGATGCGCGGGTGATGTGGAGAAAAGGGTCATTTGAACGTATGGCAGGTTTGTTTGCAGGAGATGAGGTCTGCCTGGGAGAGAGAGAACGGAGAGCTTGAGAAGAGGACGAAGATCTCGAATCACGGAGCGAGATTCGAGGGGGGGAGGAGGGTGATCTAGAAGCATAAAGAGAAGTGTAATCGTCATCGTCATTGTACTGTGGTAGTCTGCTGGTTGGGGAGTGGGGGAATATACGCTCAAATATGGATTTGTTCATGACGGACGCCGTGGTTTCTGGGTCAGCTGTCTTTAAATCTCCTCATTGAAATCAGTGTCTGCAAAGCCTCCAAGGGGTCCAATCTCTCGCTGCAAGACTTGATCGATGAGGTCGATATATGCGCCTGGCGGGCCGAGGAAAGCCAGCAGAATAGCTTGCCCTGCAAGCCTTTGGCCTGGCGGGAGGGTGTTCCACCAGGGGAGATCGAGTAATAATTGCAGTAGTTTCTCTCGAAACCGAACCCAAAGTTCGCCAAGGAACTGATCCAGGGAGCCCCGATGGTAGAAGATCAAGATTGCGAACAGGCAAAGGATCGACCAAGTCTTGCGTCGTTGCACAGTCTCCTAGAAGGGCATTGCAGGCATTGGACGATCCGTCGAGGCTTTTTGGCAATTTGTGAAAGGCCCAGACTGGGGAATCAAGGAGGTGGATAGGTAGAGGTATACAGGAACACAGTTGTAGACAAGTTTGACCGTGGTCAGGACCGATAGACCGGGATCTTAAACAGGGGACAAACAACAGATGATGGAGGAGGGATACAGTTTAGGAGGCGGCAAGGTCATGTTTGGTTGCTGGGACGGTATCAGTGGAGGTGTCTATTAGAAGTGACAGGTAAGGTCAAAGCTGAGCAAGGCTTAAAAGGTAGAAAGAGGAGTAAATGAAGCGTTGTAGGTGTCGAGGCGATTGATGAAGTGAGTCAACGTGAAGTCTGCCTGCAACTCGTGCAACTGAGATTCACGAGATTCGAGAGTCTGACTGACGTGGACGTTGAATCTCCGCACGTGATATGGGGAAATCAGGCTGCCTTTTGGTGAAATTGTCGTCTAGCCATATAAACTAAAATAACCTCTCGCCGCTTTCCTGTCTTTCCTTCAACACACAACGACCAACAGGACGTCCGATTTCTTCCAGACTCAACATCCAGACACTCTCCCAGCTACCAATCTGACGTCAAGGCGTCTCACTGACATTCAAGACCCTGGAGAGCCGGTGCTGCATGTCCCACTTCAAAGCCAAAGTGAACAATTGTGGGTGGGAGGCCCACTGGGCCCCCACAGCCGAATACGACAGATGAAAATTGCCTAATCCAGGCTAGCGTCTGAGAGGGCAAATGCCTCACGTGAGACCTTTGTCAACGACATATGGAACAGAACAATCCTTTGATCAGCATGATCGCTCGCGACATGAGTACAGGGAAAATACATGAGTTACAGCTTGAGATTCAATACTGTTTCCTTCTAACCGCCATCAAAGACCCTGCCTACTTTGTCGGAACACACTCGTGCCTGTTCTCTGGCTCTTGTTCTTGGGCCAGGTTCTCGCGGTGATGACAGCACCGCGAAGCAGAATTGATGGCTGCTGTGATCAAATTCCGCCTAAACAAGTTGTCATCATCTGAACAACCTATCTCCAAGCATACTCGAAAACCTCACAAGAAGTCACGGAATGGATGCGGATCGTGCAAGGAGCGAAGGCTAAAATGCGACGAACAACGTCCTATCTGCGGACGTTGCAAGGCCATTCAGAGTCTCTGTGTCTACGCTCAGTCTGCTGAGGGCCACGATGCAAAGTCGGAAGGCGTTATTTCGCTGAGTCAGTCCAGTCCCTCCACAGAGTCAATCCTCAAAGGATCTCACCTGGCTATGGTTCAACATGAAGTACAACTCGATGGGCTTTTGAGATACTCTGGCGACGAAGACTCGATGAGAAGCAATCTGCTACTACAACGGATGACACCATACTTACGTGTCTTTCATCACTACGTCAATTTCACCTTAAACTCCCTAGCGGGACCCGTTTCACAGAAGTCCATGATTAGAACGCTCTACCTCCCGCTTGCGCTCCAGAATTCATCCTTGATGCACGCGCTTCTCGCCATTTCGGCCCAACACATGGCACACTTGCAACCGAATATGGCAAGTCACCAGATCGCCAGGACGCATCACATGCACCGAGCGACGACTTTGCTCCAGCAACAACTTGCTAGACCTCTGGGCCAGCACAACATGGATTTGATTATTTCCAATTGCCTCTCTTTGAATATGAACCTCATCCAGTATGACCGATTCGATCCATTAGACTCTTTTGTCCTAGCCGAAGACGAGGCCGTTCGGGCTAGGAAGCTGCAATGGGTAGAGATGCAGGCGTCAGCGGCGCAAATATGCAACGTCTTCTCGGACCATCTGCACGAGAGCATGTGGGCACCGGCTTTTGCAGAGTCAGGTCCTGAGGCATACCATCCCAAGACGCTTCGAGAGCTCAAGAAAGAAGGTCACGAAGGCATCCCCCACCCACTAGCCCAATTGTGTGAGATTGGTCCGGATTCGTCATCTCGCAACAACGTCTACCACATGGCGCTGCGACACGTCAGCCTGATCTTCACCACCGGCGCTAGCACTAGCATCGGAACATCGACCATCGACACCTTCAACCTGATCATCGTGTTCATGGCACAACTACAGCCAGCATTCCGTGCTCTTCTGGGCCGCCGAGACGAGCGTGCCTTGCTCATCTTCGTCTACTGGCTGACCGCCCTGTATCACATGGACATCTGGTGGACCACTGGACGCGCTCTCAACGAAGGCCACGCCATATGTATGTTTCTTGAAAACACCACCTCCCCCGCCATTCGAACTCTTCTGCAATACCCTGCCACCCAGCTGGGTTACCGATTCTCTTCTTCTATCACCGAATCCTCTTCTCCGTTCGAGTCCGCTGATGCCCTTTCTCGGGACCAACCAAGCCCTGAAGATGAGCTGGTAGCTCTGAGCACGGAGTCGCTGATTTGATGACGAGACACCTAAATCAACTTAACAATAGAGTCGAATAGTGACCGGATCATTTTTGATATTCCTCTTCGCCTTGATGGCCTCCTCCGCTCACATTGTACGGTCCGAAACAGCTCCGGATGTTCTTGCAAATGCCAAGGTGGCCTATAGAGCGTGTAAGACCAAAATCTATGTAACAACAAGTGTATCATTAATTGAGTTCTATATCTCCAGCTTTTGGCTCGACCTTCTAGTGAAAGGTGCACCAATAGAAAAAGATGAAAATTCGCCCAGACTCATGCACAAAACCTCTTTTCTAAAATGTAGGCACATAGACAATTGAGCTGAGAGTTAAAGAAGTCTATCTATGTCAGACCTTGCCAGACTACTACCGTCTTATTTCCACAATCAACACCAAGATCATGCAATCCATGTCTTGCCATTTGCAAAGTCGCCCAAAGAAATACCACCCATCTCCACCGTCACCATCGTCATCGCCATGTGTTACACCTTCACCTTACTCCTCTTTCTTCCCTTGGGCATCCTTGCGAGCCAATACAACACGAATGCCGCAGCGATATTGAACACAACATACGCCCAAACAATGCCAAAATTGCGCCATCGATCATCATAATCGATATGGATTCCCGACAGGTAGGAATTAGAATCTCTGATCTTGCAGTACCTGCACTCGGAAGTCGCCGCAGGGTCCAGCACATAGCCACCTGCCGTAGAGATGTATTCGGCCAAATACTCACCGCAATTCTGATGGTCATCGGGAAGAAGTATGCTGATGTATTCGTTGGCCGCACATGTGATTTGGACGTTGGCAACACCCGTCGATAACACTGCCGAAACCCAGTACGACAGCGGCGAGACGCGATACAGGAAGATCCAAAACCCAGGCATCTGTTCTGGAGTGGCTAGGACGCCGCAGAAAAAGAACACCAGCACAAACAACAGATTTGCCACGTTGCCCGCTTCATCCGCCGTCTCACTGAAAGATATGCACAAGTGTCCAAATGCGCTAATGAGCATCAGGAGTTGCAGAAATAGGAGCCACGATAGAACGGCGCGTTCAGTCCCGTCGGTTCCAGCATTGTGGTTGAAGCCGACTAGATAGTAGATCAGTACCCACATAAAGACGGACGAAATGGCTGTCCAGGGAATTTCGGATACGATCTGGCTCAGCATAAAGATCTTCCACGAATAAGTGTTGGACGGCCGTTCGCGGATCTCGTATAGCTTGCGCTGAGTGACAAATTGAGGAAGCCGTTGATCGACGAGTTGGCCGAAGATACTGCAAAGTTCAAAAATCGCAAAGAGCTGATTCTGAAGGCCTTGAATTGTCAAAGGAGCATCGAGAAAGACAAGACCAATGAACAAGCTCGAAAAAGTGCAGAGCAAAACCTTGCCGTAGACGTAGGATGGAGTTCTCCAATTCTGCTGGAAGACTCGTTTCGTGACATAGAGAAACTGTTCCCAGAAAGACGCCGCAAACTCGCGGTGCTTCTCTGGCTCTGCGTCCTTCTCCAAGGACTTCGATTGTGAAGCGAGGGAGCGGAGCCTGCTGAGCTCTTGCTGAACCTGTTGATACTCCGGACTACCCCGCCAGATCTGATGCCAGTCGATTGAAGTGGAATTTTGGGGACCAGCGCCAATGGCCTCGAGCATCCATTCAGCTGGGTTTGCACCAGGTGGACAAGGCGGAGCCCCATTGCGTTCAAAGTAGTCGGTCAAGGTGGTGTGATCTTCCCCAATGTCGCCTAGAATCATGTCAGCGTCGTCATTTGCTAGTAGGAAGCCCTCCGGTAGAAGCAGCTACAGCTGTGAGGGTCACAGGGAAAGAGAAAAAGGTGGCGCTTACCAAAATAAACCGTACGACCTTCTTCAGCCAGTAGCAATAGGCGATCGAAGCGTTCAAATAACATGGCAGATGGTTGATGAATCGTGCAAAGAATTGACTGTCCTGCTTTTGATAGCTTGTCTAGCAGGTCTAGGACAGCCCAGCTGGTCTGCGAGTCAAGGCCTGAAGTAGGCTCATCAACGAAAAGGAGGAGTGGAGGCTTTGCAACCAATTCAACCCCAACTGTCAATCTCTTACGCTGCTCGATGTTGAGGCCTTCACCTGGAACCCCAACAATCGCATCAGCGTAATCCTGAATATCTAATAACTGGATGATTTCATCAACATAGGCTAACTTTTGCGCATTTGGAATGTCGGCTGATTGTCGAAGGAGAGCAGAGAACTCCAGAGCCTGATGAGCCGTTAGTAACATGACAACTGGGTCTTACTTGTGCCTTGAAGGAGAAAAGTATACGGTGGGCTGATTATTACCTCTCGAACAGTGGTAGTCTCTAGGTGTAAGTCTTGCTGCTGAGCATACCCAGTCAAGCGTTGGAAACTCTCGTCACGCTTCTTCCCATCGATTAGCATCTCTCCCGTGATGATGCCAACGCCTTTGCGGCGATCGGCCAGGCAGTCGAGAAGAGTTGTTTTGCCAGCGCCAGAGACACCCATCAAAGCCGTCAAAGTGCCAGGTTTGACCCAACCGTCAACGTGATCAAGGATTCGTTTCATCCCACGCTTGATCTTGATATCATAGCACACGTTGTTCCAGTGGAAGATCCCGGCGGAGCCTTGGAAAGTCTCTTTGATACTGGTCATGCGGCCATCTGATTTGCCGACTGGGACTGGGCCACGGGGTGGTGATTCGATGTCCGTTCCTGCCCTGACATGGGATTGTGGGACGAAACCTCGTCGAAAAACTAGAAGCTCCCCTCTGGACCTCTTTGCTTTGATGTACTCACTGGCAATCAAGTAGACCATGTGATTGAAAATGACCATCGCTATGATGATGCCGACGTTACGCCATTTGTGGCTGACATAGTAGCTGTAGGCTGAATTGACGAAGTCGTCACCAAGAACAAATGTCTGTCCAGGTACAGATCCAACTGCGTCACAAGCAACGTATGTCGCTCCGGCGTTGTCGTAGTTGGGGATGTATGAAGAGCATGTATAGTTGCGGTTGTGGAATTCGTTGATCATAAGCGACTCGTATGCATACGCAACAGGGTTGACATAGATAATCCACCTGCACCACCCAAGCATATAGTCGATAGGAACAACAAATCCTGTAAAGATAAGGAGTGCAAGTTGTAAGATTGCGGCGGGTACCATCGCCTGCTGTTCGGTACGGGAAAGTGAAGCGCTGGAGAAAGTCAGTGGAGTGTATGTTCACGGTCGTAGACAGGGATCGCGTACATGGATCTGAAAAGGCCTGACATGGCCAGAACAACAAGAAAGCTCACCATGAAGTAGAAAAAGAAGGGTCCTGGTGCGCGATTGAGATTGGTCATGAAGTAAAAGGTCAGGTTGAAAAAGATGGCATTAAGCAATTTGTTGGGCAAGTCGACAATGACCGATGAGCATGATTCGGCGGAGGGGTGATAGAAGGCATATCGATCATGTTTCTCCACGATAGGTCGTTGGGCATAAAGTGTCAGGATTTCGAGCAATGAAGCGAATGCGTTGAAGAGGATCGCAATGAAAAGAACCACGGCACGACCGAAGAAGCTGTTCGTATCCATCCCCATGTTGAAGTACAAGGATGACATGATGAGAGCCATGACGGTATTTGCGATGAGCATTCCTACCATCACGCGTGGATCTGCTTTGAGACGTCTGAACCCACGCCAGATGCAAAGTTGAACTTGTTGCCAGTAAGTCAGAGTGTATGGCGAGTTCAGTCTTTGAGATTTTGCTTGATGCAGTTGCTTAAGTTTCCTGAAATTGTCCGCGTCTTGGCCATCAACCGGATGCTGAGCATTATAGTTCTCAATATCGACTTTCAACCTTTCGTAGTCGGGGCTTCGTTTCCACGCAGCTGCAAACTCGTCAGGGGTATGTGGAGGATGACAGCCTGAGCGGGTAACGCGCTCAGCTGGAAATGTAATAGATGTCAAAAAATCCGGGGTGGTCTGACGGGCAGGACATTCAAATCCGAGGTTGATGAAATATTCTTTGGCATTAGATACTGGGCCAAAGTAGATCTGTCTTCCTTCATAGATGAGTAAGACTTTGTCGAACAAATCATAAGCTGATTGAGGTGCCTGATACATGGAAACAAAGCTAGTCCGGCCGAGTAACTCAGACTGCAGCTTCAATGCTTTGCAAAACTCGATGGCATTCGAGGAGTCAAGACCACGGGTTGAGCTATGGGATGAGGTGAGCATCTGGCTAGAGTAAAATAAAAAAACACTGCAAACTCACTTATCCCAACATTGAAATGGTGCACCTGCTAGAGTCGCCTCTGCAATTGACACGCGTTTGCGTTCTCCGCCTGAAACACCTGGTGTGTATTCATCGCCGACGTGTGTAGAAAGAGTATGACTGATACCATACATTGCCATGACGACGTCTCGGAGATGATTGCAGAATCTGATAGAAATATAATCAGCATTGAGCGAATGCAGGAGACAGCCTCGAGCTCAATTTGCATACTTCTCCTTGGTGAAACCGTGGGGCAGATTTCTTTGGCAACGGGCATACGACGCAAAGGTCAGTGTCTCGCCTACAGTCAAGAGTGGAAAATGAACGTCAATTTCGGCAGTATAGATGGCGTCACCCCTATGGGAGCTGTGGATTTCTTTGGCTGAAAGACCTTGGTAGTTGAAGGATGAATTATCGCCAACATAAATACCGTTGGTATCTCCCGAGATTGTCTTGAGAAAAGTTGAACAGCCCGATCCTGGAGGGCCCAAGACGACACACATCTCTCCTGGGCGGAGAAGGCCATCAAAGTCATGGAGTATGTCAATGCGCGTCTGGCGGGCGTTGATGTGCAAGAGCTTTCGGGCGATGGATGGCAAGGCAAGCCATACATTTGCTACATCCTTTTGGAAGTCGGTTGGAGTGCCATAGCCGAAGACGTTGAGATTTTGAAAGCAAAGTCCAACCTTGCGAAGGTTCTGGCCACCGTCGAAGGCAGTGGCAGCAAAATTGGTGGCCCAGAGGCGTGCATCGAACTTGTCACTGTTTGGATTCAAAGGAGACTGAGGGTCGTCGACATTGAGGCCTCCATCATTGGCTGACTTCTTTGTATATTCGCGAGTGACATCCTGAACGGAATCGACCCTCTCATTCCTAGACGTATGAGAAAGTGGCTTCAATGGGACATCATCACCAAAGAGGCAGGGAGGACTTTGTTCTGAAGGTTTGTCTGGATCGTCGAAAGCTTGCATTCTGCTCGAAGATCGAGATCCAATGAGGGTGGAGGGACGGAAGGTGGAAGATGGAAGGTGGAAGTAGAGGAGATCATTCAAACACGAGGGAGGATAAGGCTTTAAAAGAAGAAGATGCATAGATATGGGAGGCCAGAAGAAAGGAGGTTGTTATCTTGTTACCTTGTTGCCTATACCTCTGTATAGCAGAATCCACTCTTACTATGGAGTCTTCGTATTCTTCAGAATTTCCTCTTTTGGAATAGTGCATACGTGAGGCGAATATGAAAACGGGTCCAACCTAGAGTATGGTCCCCGCGCCTCAGTCCATGATGAGAGAAATCCATCGAGGAAACTCCGGAGGTTATACCAATACGGCATTACCCCTTTTGATGGATCTTTGGCGTCGCGATGGAGCCAGCCTCGGAGGTGAATTGCATCAAAAGGTACCGACTGGAGGACAATCCATGTTGTTAGTACAGGTAGCTTCCACATTGCGGAACCTGGATAAAAAAGTCGCGTTGTTTTCATACTACTGTTGCCTGAAATCATGGTCGATACAATGAGTAATTTATCGTGGACGAGGCTAAGACAGCTGTAGGATCCTGGAGATCTGAGATGAGAGAGGATGGACATGGAAGCAGTTGGGTGGAGATGAGGCCTTTGAAATGACACACATTTCATGTCAAGTCACGTGTCCAGACATCAATTACTCCGTACACTCTGTATATAACTGCTGAAGAGGAAATCTATTTGCATCAGGAACTTGGAAGGAATGCGGCATCAAAATGTCAATACGCGCTCTGTGGTTGCTCTAAAATGCAGATCTCCCACGAAATTCATCAAATATGGGTCGAGAATCGAGTAGCTTCTCATGAAAGCCGACACGAAGAGTTTGGGTTCTCATTTCACGATTCTTTGATCTGCACCACGACCTTCCCTCTAGCTCGACCAGTATCCAGTCGCTCAAACGCCTCTTTAGCCTGTTCGAACTGGAAGACGCTATCGATAATGACGTCCTTCTCAGGGTCCAACTCGAGGGTTTCTTCAAGCCACTCAATCTTGGGGTCAAGAATGATACATTCGTAGGACTTGGCCAACCCAAGGTAGCCCAGCAGCCAGCGCAAGACCATCCTCGGTCGTGTGGCGTACAATGCACTGCCACCCATGGTTGCCCGCGAAGTTTTGTCGCCGACGATGGTCACAAACTGAGGCGCGAGGCCAATTGCATCTGTGCCGCCCACACAGTCGATGATGGCTCCCGGGGCAAACTTCTTAATGGCATCGACAACAGCCGTTTCTGAAGTGGTATAGTCGACCACCTCGCTGGCTCCTTGAGATTTGACAAAGTCGACATTTTTGCCGCTGCAGCTAGCCAATACGGTCCACCCTCGGGATTTTGCGATTTGCAGGGTGTAGATTCCTGTGGCGGATGAGCCGCCGAGAACCACGAGCTTGTTGTCGGCCGGGTTGCTTGCTTTCAGGAATGGGACGCACTTCTCGATTGATGTGCGGGCAGTGAGATAGACGAGTGGCAGGCTGGCGGCTTGGACCCATGATAGATGAGCAGGCTTCTTTATGATCGATGCACCTTTAGTGTCGATGTGAGCGATCTCGGTCAGGAATCCCGTCCCATTCATGGCCAGGCTAATACCGTAGACTTGATCGCCCGTGCTTAGATCCTTGACATCAGGTCCCGCGGCCAACACTGTGCCGGCAAAGTCTCGCGCAGGGATTTTAACGCCGTTAAGACTGGGCAGAGAGTTGGTGGGCAGGTTCATGAGTTGAATGTCAACAGGGTTGAGGGCAGTGGCATGGACTTGGATGAGCACCGAGGTTGGCGCCGGGGTGTTTGGAACCTCGGTGGTTGAGAATTCCAGGGTTTCTGGATAGCCAGATTTTGTATAGATCCATGATTTCACTTTATTGGTGGCGGTGGTGGTGGTGTCGGCAGACATGGTAGCGAGAGCTGTTGGCTTTGTATTGGTGGGTTGACCTATGGGTGTCGTGTATGCAAGGCTGAAGACACCGACTACGAATATGTCGGGCGTTGAGTTCGTTCAGAGGAGCCAAGTCAACTGCAACTCATGAACACGGCACGAACTGTAGTATTAGAGTCTGTCAATTCCTAGCAGATTATTTGCAGTTCAGTGGTGGCAATCTCAAGGTCGTCGTGTGAGCCATGAGGTCATGTTGAAACCAGGAAAAGCAATTCAAAAGTGGACTAACAAGTATTGAAACGAGATGGATTTGGAGATCAAGTCAACCGAGAGTCAAAAATGATACACGGTGGGGGAAGAATTGATATTTGACCAAACAAACCACATCCTTTGCACTCTAGAAACTTGTGGCGCCATACAACCGAGTCAGATGGCCGAGGTTATTGTGAACTCTACAACAGCAACGTCCATGTCATAGGAAGATGTGAAGAATTGGAGTTGTCAATAACATGCATTTGCGGGGTGTGTCTAGAATGAGTTATGGAGCACTCGGCACACGAGTTTTGTCTATAGTAGAGAGCAGCATGGTATGAATGGCAGTTTTATTATGTCCAGCAGGTCTGGTCTCGATATATATATTCATCCTTTCATGGCAATCGTGGCACAGAGCTCATATGGAACCCCGCCAGACCATACGGGCGAAACTGTTTTCCACCAGCCGGACAGATACATGGGCGTTCACATCAATAAACGCCATGCACCCAAAATGAGTGCAGCTGTACCTGTACAAACGCCCCTATTTGCACGATTAGCAACAAAGTCCAAGATTGAATGGGGGATCAACTCACATTAGCCACTGCAGAGTCGAGAACTTGACTGCCTCGACTCTTTCCCTCAGACTGGCGACTTCTTGTTCGATGCGAGCTTCCGTCTCCTTGATTCGCATTTCCTGTGTGTTGGCCTCTTCACGGATGCGGCCCTTCTCCAGATTCAGATCGAGCCGGACACTAGCTTGGGTCCTTCCAATTTCGTCGCGTAACCTCGAATTCAACTTTGCTAGGTCGCTCGATAATCTATCATGACTGGTGCGGGTCAATTGCGACTCGGTGCTGTCGGCGTTGGCTAGTTCGCTCCTCAATTTGGCAAAATCGACCTTTTGAGTGTAGGTGCTTCTCTCTGCGTCTTCCTTGAGCACCATGGTACGTGTCAGGTTCTGGATTGATTCTTCTATCACATCGTTCAAGACACGCATCATTGCGACAGCTTGTGCTTCGCTGAAACCCTCGCCTTTGAGCCTCTGCACAAATTTCAATGTATCGAAATGGTGATCTTTTCTCTGTATGGCCGTGGTGGAAAAGGCGGCTCGAGCAGGCTTAAATGTGGCGACATAGACGCCATTATGTCGCACGGGAGGTGCGTCATTGGGAAGGGCTGGTGTGTAGATTTTGGGTCTCTTGGGCGAGCGGGTGGAGCGGAGTGAGGGTTTGGTTGAAGAGAGATTTGATGAAGCAACAGTGTGTATTGATCTGGATTTTGAGACTGGCTTGAATGATGGGAGATTTCCTGAGCGTAATGAGGTCGGGGCAGGTGGTGTCTGCCAGGAATATTGAGTAAGGGCGGTGCTGGTCCAGGTGAGTCGTGGTAGAAGGAATCGTGGCAGCTCGGCCACCGGTTTTGAATTGGCCATGGATGGCATTGTGGAGAAGGGAGAAAGGTTGGTAGAGGAGGTTTGGGGGTAGTGGATTATATGACAAGAGGGGTGTGATGTGATGTGATGTGAAGTGATGTGAAGTGATGTCGTATGGTGTGGTGTGAAGTGAAGCGAAGTGAAGTAAATGTGGTTGTCGTTGTGAGCAGAAGGCAGGAAATCAAACAAATGGCAGGCACGACTTGACTTCTCTTTCGCTCTTGCACTTTTCGCCAGGAACTTTGCAGCCTACGATGCGTTTTGTCGTTCTTGCCTCTTCGGCCGCCTTCTGAGCCAATCAACACGATTCATTTCCCCGGTCTTGGCCATCCCTCCGACTTTCTCCTCGTCACCGTCGTATTTTCTTTCTCACTTCTAGAAGATTGTCTGATGATGTGACGGATCTGATGACTTGAGATTCCGGGGAACTCCAGATCAGATGATATGGTCGGGTGGATGAGATCCATGCGACCATTTGACCATTTTGAGCGTGGTATTGCATCATCTACATCTCGGTGAAGAGGAACATTCATGAGGTGTTGAATGGTCACTTTGAGGCATTCAACACTGACAAAACGCCTCAGATACCTATAAGCCTGCAGTATAATTACCCCACTTGGGCATTGTGATTATCTCTACGGAGTACATAGAGATCCTCGTAATGTACTCCGTACGGAGGTGCCAATGAGTATGCCTACTAGCGCTGGCTTCAACAGCCTGATGTAGAAATTGTATCCTATCGTCTGGTGCCACTCAAGGCCCGAGGGGCCCCTCGGCCGTCTCTGAAGCTCTTTGGCCTCTGCCTAGATTAATAGTTAAGAAGTACCCTGTAGTTTAGATACATTTGGTGATCATTCAACGCCTCCAGGCTCTTAGACCCCCTGTGGATCCCAAGGGATTTGCCCTCGCACGGTCTCCGTCGCCCCTGGGCCGCCGCTACGGAGAAGCTTATCGGTTATCATGTTAGAGGAACATCTTGTCCGCTTGTCTACACATACTCCCTATGTCTGCGTAGGTCGGTCCTCATACAATCTTTTAATGCAACATCATCATCTTATCCGATCCATCCTCATCTCAGCTCAAAAGCCGCAACACACGACTTCTTCTTTTTCATTCACACCGTCCATTCACTGGTATCTGTGGCCTCTTACAATTCTCATTTGGTCTGAAGTGTGCACTGGCGTCTAATCTTCCTCTCGAACCCTCGGTTTTGGATTTCCCTCGTCGTTCGAAGCTCTCCTCCAGACCTACCCACCTCCCCCAATATTTGCGACCAACAACCTCTACCACGAGACATCGCACTCTCCCTTTATAACAATCCAAGTCCCATCCTTGCAGTGTACTTGCCAGGGTACTCTCCCTCTCATCATGCCCTCCACCAGCTTTGCAACTTTCCTCATCATCACCCGTAAGTAATTCTCTCCCACTCGACCCTGCCCCTCACCCAGCGACGCTGGTATCTCACCTGTCCTGTTATCCAGGCTGCAGACCGCTAACCTTCTCCTCCTTCTAGCTGTCGCCTTCTTCCTCGGAATCATCTTCTCGCTGTTCCCCTACGATTACCCACTACTATGGAGCACCGCTCCTACCCCACCCTCACACTTTGATGCGATCGAGGCACACTTGAAACTGTTGCACAATGCGCCAAACCTCATTACACGGATCCTGCACATCATGTTGGCCATGGGACTGATTGGTCTCGTCTCCAAACTCTACAAGCCTAGCGAGAGCAACATGCTCTTTGACGGAGGGAGTCTGGTGCTCTACATGGTCGCCGTCATTGTCTACATTGCCAACATCATCAAGGGTCTGCGCATCGTCAGCGACGGACATTATGGTCTCGGCCTAAACCAGTTGAGCCAGGATCAGCTGGACAACGTCGATTCGTCCGGCTATGACGTCGACTCCGGTGATAGTGTGCTTGGTCGAGAGGACAACCTCAAGGTGCTGGCGGCCAGCAACACCATCCTCGCCTTGGTCCTGGTCGGTGTCTTGGTCCTGCAGGTCGGACAGTGGTATGCCGACCGCTCCGATGAGAAGGCAATGAGGGAATTCCAGGCCAAGGAAAAGGCCGAGAGCGCTTCGACTCCATCGAGTGTCAAGAGGCAAGGTAGCGGGAGTGAAGGGAAAAAGAACAAATGACGTCGTTGATGTATATCAACTGAAATCGACCTACCGTTCGAAGCTTGTTATCATATCTCAGACATGACATGCTTGCGTGACCACGATGTTGGTGTCTTGGCCAGCTTCAATGCTTGGGCGGGGTTCGATTGGATCGTTTTCGCCAATCTTGAGGCCACTCGGGCTCTTAGCTGTCCATTTACATTATCTCACGGAGAGATGAGTGTATCAGAAAGGTCAAGGTGTATACTAGCATAGTCTTTGAGGACCTTGAGCTGTGTGCTCGTTGGGCCTGTGCCTGATCTTTTTAACCGTGACATGCCCATTTTATGCACGTACATATGACATGTCTTGACGACAGATGCCCTTTGCTTCATGATTCGAGAATTCAAACACTTTCAACATTCATGAATCAGTGCTGACATGATAGAATGAGGCCTACCAGACGCATCCACATACTACCTAATGAATGTACTGAGTATATGAGTGTACTAAATATATTGTATGTGCAAATCGCTAAACCAAATCGCACTCGATAGATCCTTTAGCCCACCGTATAAATGTCACTATACGACTTTATAATCCGCCATGGAGCTCCATGTTGATATTCGTATATTTTCGAGACCTTGAATTCCGGCAGACTGGCATCTCACATGTGTTTCCAAAAGCTGTTATTGTTTCTGATGATCAACAAGACCTTGCAGACTGCCTGGCCGTCACTCTGGCCGCATTGCCGCGATGCGATCGAGGAGCCAGGTTGAGGAGAGGACGCGGTTCCAAGATCTAGTATGGGATATAGGGGGAGCATCCTAACTAAAATTGGACCGGGCATATGTTCAGATTGATCTGGTTGATCAGTTTAACTCGAGTGAATCCCTACTTCCATGCTAGCTTTAGGCATGGTCGTCACCTGCAGCGGGCGGGACACCATGAAAATTGCCGGCCTTTGTCGTTGGTACATGTTTAGTAAGGAGATGGTACATGAATCACACACGCCGGCGTCGTGCCTACGCATCAATAACCCATACGGAATAGGTACCTCAGGTCTGGCCCTGCATCTTCTGCAAGACATGTATCCTGGATAAGCCGGCAAAAGTGAGAACAGGGGGCCAGATGTCTGATCAAAAGAATATGTCACCACCTTGTAAACCTGCAGATGGTGGTGGTGGTGGTGGTGGTGGTGGTGACAGAGTTAGTAATTTCATGTAAACCAAACCCCCCCTCTTCGTACCCTGTACCACAGAGAACTTGAACAGGTACAAACACACATTCGTTAGTTTGATCAGGAATCAATCTAGCTGACAATAATCAATCGTCTGAGAGACTATCCATTCGGCCCCTCCTCTTGTCAAGAAATCCATCATTCATCATCCATGATTCTGCTTCCTGTAAGCGCCCAGCCCCCTCTCTGCGTCAGAAGTTCCGTAGTCGATGATTGGCTACAGACGCCAGCATCAAGTAGCTCCGTACATGTCGACTTCCTGGCTTAGTTCACCCTGGTCTATCCCAACCAATCAATCAAGTCATCAATCTCTAACCGGTCTCAAGATTCTCTAACAAGATGGGCGCCTGTGTCAAACGGTAAACCGTAAACCTGTGGTGGGTGGAGTTGTGTAACCCCCCCGGTAGACCCGGTTTCTCATCTCAAACAACTGGCTGGACGTGTTCGAGGAAGCGCCGACGAGTTCCATCGTCCATCCCTGCTCGCCATCTGCCAAACCTGCCAGGCTACTACCCTTCTGTCATGGTGTCACTGTTGAACCAATCATTAAAACTCCTACTGACTCCTCTGTACCTTTGACTAACGCACCTCTTGACTTCGTTTGTACGGTAGCGCGGTTCCAGGAATGCGGTACCTCCAGTGGATCTCATCCTCAGTGGAGTCGAGCAGTACTGTAACGACGAGAAGGAGGTTAGACTTGCTTGCGAGGGGGGTTGATGCTAACCCATATGCCGGAGGGCTGCGTGCTACGGCAACCAGGAATGGTCTCACGCCCGGCTCTTGAGGGCTTAAGTCGGGCACTCGGGCGACGTATTTCCCATGTCACATCCATGTCGAAATCTTCGATCCTGGCCTTGATGCGTTGGCAGTCCACGAGGCAGCTGCCTTAGCGGCCTGCGCCATCCCTCCTTAGGACGCCGGATACTGGAACTTCTCAAAGTCTCAAAAGGGGGGTGATGTCAAGAGTCTGGCCGCTTTAATCATTCCTCTTGATTCTGCTCTCCCATCCCACCTCTGATGTCCTGTTGTGGTCTACCTCGCCCAGTGTCTGGTTTGATGGCCTCTGTCAGTAAGGTCGTGAACTAGTCATAGGCGGATATACGCCTCCACAGACGCCGACACCCAACACCTAAGAAATGCTTCGTGTGGTCAAAATGTGTCTGGCACTCCTGTGCCATTCTCTGTGCTGATACTTTCATCTGACTTGTGGCTACATGCATCTGCTCAGTAGCTACTCCCACTCGTATGACACGGTGCTATGTATCCTAGGCTCACACACACACCTTGGTGGCCACTTGTCCCGGAGATGTCTCCGCCATCAGATTTCAGAATCTTGCCCAAACCTCCTTGACGATCCCATGCATCTCTCGTCTCTCAGTAGAGCCGCGCCAAACTGTGACCCCGCTGGGGAAATCAAACATCCAGTCCTCGCAGAAACCCTTCTGGCGGACTGGTCCTTGCTAGTCAACTTCTTTTTGTGCATTAGTCATGAGTTGCACTACACGCATCCCTTGCCCTTTTCATTCATGTCTGCTGGTCGTACCAGTACGCCAAGCGCCGTGCCATGATAACGCAGTATGGTATCATTTACAAAATCAATCGCAACAATGTCGTAACAACCGGACCCACGCCGATTCTGTCGTTCATTAACCCTGCTCCTCGGTCGTCGAGCCAGCTGACTAAATGGTGAGCACTGGGGGAGTGGTCGTCAAGCCCACCACGGGTGGGCTTATTGGCGATGGTGTAGACGTAGAGGCAGATAGGGTGGTCGAATCGACCTTGACGTCAGCCGTCGACTCAACCAATGTCGATGGAAGATTTTCCACCTTGATCTGAAGACCATTGTTGTCTTTGACTGGGGCGGGAGGTGGCATTTCGGGGTTGGGTGACAACTTGCGCTTCTTGCCTTTTGGGGCTGGGTCCAATGGGGGAGATCTTTTGTATGTCACGGTCCTTGTAACGACAGAGCGGACACTGACAGGTTTAATGCATGCACTTTTGGGGGCTTCAAAATATCTGCGGGTGGCGCTGTCGACGTTCCAGTCGGCTGGAGAAAATGGTGAATACATCATGCTTCCTGTGCTCATGGTACTCAAGGCAGTCCGTGGAGAAGGCCCACAGGTCGAGGGCGAGAATGCGGGTGAGTGAGGTATCCGAAGCCTTCTCAAGGCAGTCGGTGTCCTTCGGTTGTAGGGTGTAGGTGGGACTGAACCCAGCTCAGGCTTTGAACCATCGCTTCGTCCAGAGAGTTGACTCGATGATGATGTGGTTGACACAAAGGAATTCCTAGTGCTTGTAGAGTCGTTGGATGCGGTTCTTTGCAATCCACTGGTGGCCGGCGGGGTTGCCAGGACGGGAGTCAATGCGTTGAGGAAGTCGGTGTACGCCGACGGAGGAGTGATGGGCGTACATATCTCCCGTCTCATAACCGAAGAGACGCAGGAGATGGGGGTGTTGACCACCTCAGACGGGAAAGAGGCCGAATTAGGGGTCTGGAGGGGTGGGAGAATTGGTCTGGTTACCGCAGGCATGATTGACATCGACGACGAGATGGTCAATAATGGTGGATCCTGGGTACTTGAGGAGTTGACGACCTGACAACCAAGGTGGATGGAAGGTCACGGATAGAGGGATCTGACGGACCACAGCGTGTTGAAGAGGACTTGTGGCGTGGAGAGAAAAACAGAAGACTGCAGGGCGGGCAGGAATCGAAGCTCAGATCTATTTCTGGGAAGAGCCAGAGATGCAGAGGCGCGAACAGCAAGCGTAGCTCGGCGGGCGGAAAAAGTAACACGGCAATCTGGACCAGGATGAGGCCAGCTCAATCAATCAGTGCTGAAGGTACCAAAGGTGCCAAAGGTGCCAATTGCGGCCGGATCGAAAGAGGCCGCCGTGCAGAGTTCAAGTGGGAGCTCGGAGCGCGTAAGAATGGAGAAGATTGATCGATACAAGGTGGGCTGCTGAACTTTGATGGACAACGGATGACAGAATAGACCAGCCAGTGGTTCCCAGTCGAGGATTGTGAATGGACGAGTGAGGCGCCCAAGTCCAAGGTGGGTTGAAGGACAAGAATGAATGGACAATGAGGGAGCAAGAGGCGACGGACCAGCGCAAGGGAGTAGGTAGAGCGAAGTAGAGGACGAGGGTGAAGAGGACGATGAGATGGAGGAGGGAAGATGTGGTTGGATGTTGATGGGCGTTAAGCGTTAAAACGGCGGGGATGATTGTGGATGCGGTGGATGTCGATGGCTGTCGATGGCTGCGGAGGGTTTTTTTTTTTGGAGGGTTGGCGGTTGGCGGTTGGTAGAAGGTAGCAGGGCAGTTGCCAGTCAGTTTGTTGGCCCCCGTGATGCTCCTTCCAACTACTCCGTACTCAGAACTCAGTAGCCACTGCCACTGCCCACTACTAATAACTCCTGTGCTCCTGCGTCGCTCCTTCCGAGTTTCCCTGTTGCTTGTGCTCTTGCCGCCCGCGGCAAGGTGTGGGGCAATGGGTCCTGAAGATCCACTCAGATAACTCTTGGCAAGAGTCTGATTGGCTGTCGTCTGTCGCCTTTCGACCGCTTGGGTTGTTCAGCTATTCTTGTCCCTGTAGCCTGATTCGACCAACAACTGTGATTCCCTCAGACGAGTGCAGGTCACAGGCTGACTTTGCTTGTTATCAGTCCAATGCACCTTGCCCGCATCTGCCCAAACGACTAGCTGCCACCACCTTGGTAGCTGTTTGTCTTTCCCGTCGCCCCCTTCGGTCTGCGAGGGGACGCCTGGATCAATCTTTGGCGAATAGGATTGCCTGCTTGGAGTGTCCAGTCACTGTCAATGGTCAAAATGGTCAAAATGGTCAAAATGGTCAAACCACTGAACAATCCGCTTGGGATCAATGAATGGCACTGGTGTTGCCTCTGACGTGATGGATCCAAGAATAGATTTGTCCGTGTCAGAGCCGAAGGCACCTAGCTGAATGCACTGCCGGATGCTGAATGTGGTAAGCGAGGGTGGAACAAGGCTGGAAGAGGTCTGGAGAGGAAGGAGAAGAAGGAGTCCATCTCACCGTCTCACGACTCTATACAGCATTTATCATCTTTGTCTATCTGACTTTCAAACCGCTGGCCACCTGGTCGAAGAGACAAAGTCTTTGTTGTCTTCCATCACCCGCTTCCCAGCGCTCTTCTTCGTCCAGACCACAATGATTCGCCGCATCACCGGTGCAAACCAGCCAATTTGACTGGACCTGTACAATTCCTCGACTCTGAACTTCTTGAGCGCGCGGCACCGCAACTTGGAATCATGACCAAGTTTGGTTTCCTCCGTATGGGCGCTTTCTAAAGCTCGATGCCTGACTGGATGGACAACCCTCAACGGGGTCTAGAATGATCATTTCCAAATCACTGACCATATTCTGCACGGGAGCGCCTCGTCAGCCTGAGCCCCAATCGCTCCAGGCAACAAAAAGTCATGTGAATCCAAAACCAGCGTGAGCACAGCGGCCGATCATGTCGTCCAATCCTATCGCTCGAGCCACCATCCATCGACACGACCTTGCTGCCTTGGCTTCAACTGGTCATTCAATCCATTCCCGTGTTAGCTCAAGAACTTGATTTGTATCTCGTGGTCAACAAGATCCAGTCGATCATGGCCGTGACTATGCCCCACAGAGCTCACAACCCAGAACCAACTTGATCGTTCAAATCTCTCGGGGTGCACTCTTGTTCCACCAGTTCGTTGCCTTAGCTCCGGAAGAGCGGCGCCACCGGCGCAGCCAATCGCGGATCGCTTCCGGGGTACGAGAGAACACACTCGCATGAGCCGAAGCGCCAGTGTCCAGCTAAGGAGTCGTGCAATGACGTGCAGATTTTACGATCTGACCCAGTGGATGCACCAACAGTTCTTGCAACCCATTCCTACTGGGCTCTCTACTGTTCTTCCTTCTGTCTGACTTGTGCGCTGTTCAGCCCTGTTCGGCTTGCTACGATTTAGTCATCCACGGTGCTGTTTCCATTGGTGTAGACACCTTTTGGCAATCGTTGCATGTCGAATACGACCGCGACACATGTTCGTTTTTCCGACACCGCACGTGCCGTTCGTAGCGTGGCATCCAATCAACCGTCCCAACAGTCCTCAGTCGTTTGCAGCACACCGATATTCACACCGGTCACGAATGAACTTTGCCAGGATTGCGAATGCACACTTCGTGCTTCCCTTGGAGGGTGGGACTCACTTGCTGATTGGATTAGGTGAAAGACTCGAGTCATCAAGTTACATACAGTGAAGCTCAATCATTGGTAATGTCTTTAAAACCTCACTGCAACCTACCTACTCACGGACATGCCATGTGATGCGAGGCTCCGTGGATGCAAGAGTCTTGGCAGAAGCAGCGAGGTGGACTTGAGAGAATACCTTGATATACCCTTTTCAATACGTCTTTCTAGTTACAAGGGTTACCAGGTCCATACTCCTCGTGTAGGCAACCAAAATACAAATATCGAGAGAGCATTATCACCCGGTTTCACACTTCCGCTCGACACGGTTCACCACCGTCGAATCTTGAGAATCCAACTCCTCAAACAAACCTTCAATAGAATCATGACGGAATCATTGCCATGTTGCAATTAATTATTGTGTGCACGTCTGTCAATTCGTTTCCCTGTAGACACATCCTACCTGTCATAAACCCCCGAATCTTCAGCCTCGTCAGCTTGACGGAGCCTCCACCCGGATCAACCATTATCCGGATCTTGGCAGAAACAACTTCTTCCCATCAAGTGATTTCAGGCAAAGGCCTTCTCTACGCAGGTCACTAAACACATTAAATTATACGAAACGTCGACATGCAGCCTTTAGAACGTCACGAAGCTTTGTTCTCGACCGATTGAGCTCGTCTGAGAAAGCCATCGTTGCGACAAAGCTCTCACCTTGCAGGGCCTGTCGTTCACCGTCTCAGCTCCAAAAATTGTTACGACTCGAATTTCCAGCCATTAGCAAAACATCTTGACGGATTCTTGTGGCCCGCGGGCTCCCGCCATATCACACAATCATGTCGCTCGTCCATCTGTCCAATGTGGCATCCCATCTGAAAAACGCCAGCAAAGCCCGACTAGGCCTCACCTCGATCCCAGACACAAAGTTCCACCTGAAGTTGATGCTTGCGCTGCAAAACTCCGGCTTCATCTCAACTGTCGTCCGCGGTGGGCCGACTCCTCCTCCTCCCCATACTCTCTTGTCACACCCGAGCTCGACCGACCCGTCGCACCCAATCGAACCAGTGACCAGGTACAACATCTCGTCGAGGAGATTATGGGTCGGACTGAAATATTACAACAGCCAGAGAGTCTTGGAAGATGTACACATGATTAGCAAGCCGACGCGGCGCATCACAATGGACGTCGAGGGTATCAAGCAGCTGGTCTTGGGCCGGAACAGTGGATATGTCCAGGGTTTGACGAAGCCCGGTGAATGTCTCTATGTCAACACCGACCGGGGAATTCTTGAGAGTCGAGAGTGCGTCGAAAGGAAGATTGGTGGACAGCTTCTCTGCCGAGTATACTGATCGATGCCTCGCTCGATCCTGTGTTGGTCACACCTGAACAAATATGATCGCAACGGATCAACCTGGACACTCGGGTAAACCTGTCGTTGTGTGGATGCCCTTTCCATCTCAGTTCCAGCACTTCCCTCAACCAAGATCAACGGAAATTGAACGGAGTAGAATTCAGCATATCAACACCACCGCACTTGCCAACCATTCGATGCCACGAAATTTTCGACATCCGTCAGAATTCCATCCAGAATGACTCCTAGAATTAGCCTCCCACCCTCGCAACCGTCCAGAACAAATGTCTGAGTCACCCATTAACGACTTTGGTTGATATGTACAAATGACACAACCACGCGACGTGGAGAGACAGTAATCACCGGGCACCCGTTGTCTACTACCACAAGTCACTCTCCCAATGTAGATTATCTACGTGTATCATACCCATTAAGCCATTCTTCTTTATCTTACATAAGGGGCCCTATGAATAAGAAATCTGTTGTTTCCCATTGCTTCCCTCATAACTGAACCCTTCATAAATCGAATCACAGGGTAACCCAGCAACAGAACACAGTTATAAAGGTCAACTTGATTCACCGCCCAAGATCTATCCCTAGTTCTACTTGATACTCGCGACAACAGTAAAGACCAGGGAGTCCATAACTAGTATGCTGATGATGATAAAATACAAACTCGGGAAAATGTCAAGTAGTACAACCATCTTAGCGGTCAGTTAGAGCAACAGCTTGGGAGAATCCATCCTCTCCTGCCGATTGCTGACTCGTCTCAACGCTTCGAATCCGCCCAGTCAAGATGATGCAGTTCTCATGCCAATCAAGGCCTCGGTACTCAAATCACCTCCACGCCCACTACTTTATACTCTGTGTGGTTGTGTCCATCATAGACCGTCGGGGTCGCTTCACACCGCCATGGTTGGGCATCAAAGAGAAATTCCCAACTGACAAATCCTTTGCGTGTTTCCCGGCGTCTACCACACCTTATGCAGACCCAAACTGGGTTGTTTGTCTATGCTTGGTTTTCTCAGGCCTCTTCACCCTCTCCATCAGTCTCGTACTCAAATTCCGGTGGTACTGGAGCTTCTTCAGCGCCTTCCTCATCTTCATCGACCGCTGTCAAGACTCCAGCGGCAGCGGCAGCACCGGATCCTGCAAGTCCCGCTCCGATAGTCTGGCCTGCTGGAGTTTGTGGCACCCCCTGTGGTCGCAGATTTGCACCACCGAGGCCATCTTCTCGCGGTTCCTGAACGGTCTGTCCGCCGGATGGGGGTTCGACTTTGCTGACGGTCAGAGGTATAACCTCTCGTTCTTGTTGGGGTTCGGTGTCGAGTACAACAATGATACCACCCGTCACTGGTCTCTTCACCGGCTGATAGCGCTGGTCTGGGAAAGTTAGGTATTTGAGCTGGGCCGGTAGCACCCTGGACATGTTCTTGATCTCATATCCGACCTTCTCTTTCTCGACCTTCTTTTTCGGTTCGGCGCTTTCCCCATCTTTCTTTTCGCCGTCCTTTTCTTCCTCGTCCTTGACAGTGGCATCGTCGGTATCCATCTTATCACCCTTGTCGACCTTGGTTGTGACAGGTGTAATGGCATCGACGTCCATGCTGTCTCGTCTTTGTTGCTTCTCCTTGCGGGCAGCCCGTCTCTTTGCTTGAGCAGTTGTACTCAGAATCGCAGTCTTTACCTTTTCAGGGGCTTCGTCGGCTTTAGTCGATTGTTCGGGAGGGTAATCGAACAGACTGGGGCGAGTATTGCTGTGGAAGTTAAACACAGGAGCTTCCAATTTTTGATCCACGCCAATGATGGATGTTGGTGTCAGAGACAAGGAGAAGAAGTGGGATAGTGGGAACCAATACCAGTACTGAGTGAAGACAGCAAGGCCCACAATCCCCGGCAGGTTCAGGTTACCAGTTTGGGTCTGCAGACTAATGGTGCAGTTTCGACCACCGGCATCAATAATGCCCATGGCGAGGGCACAGCCGAACTTGCACATGGCATCTTCGTGACGGTCTCCCACAATCTTGAGCATCTGCTTGCGGATGGTACCAACCTTGGGGTTCAGTGCGTCATTCTGTTGAACAAGAACCATCGCGAGTGCAATGAGAGCACCTTGACGAACAAAGTCGGTGGGGTCCTTCAGCATGGGCTCAAGCAGGTCGATGGCTTCTGCCAAACCAGTACCGGCGCACGAAATTCCGAGAGCCATCGCCGCACCATATCTCACGTGAGGGTTGTATGATTCTGCAAGAAGCTCAACCATCCTTGGAACACTCGTGTGCTTTCTGAACAGAATGAAGCCCAGAGAGAGGACGGCAATGCGGCGGACATCATCACTGACATCACTGACGGCGACGTGAAGGAGCTTCCGCACTGCCTTGTTGCTGCCGGTGCCGACGTAAGCAAGAGCAATGGTCAATATGCCGCCATATCTCAGTGTAGGGTCGGTTTCGTTGAGCAGGCCTTGAATAAGTTCATCAGCACCTTCTTGACGACCGTACATGATCAAGGCCATTCCGATGGCAAGACCACGGACAATTTTTTCGTGCTGGGTATCATGGGCATGTTGGATCATATCAGAGAGAACCTTTGTGTTACCAGAGCCGAGCATAACGAGACCCATGGCAAGGCCAACGGCCTCGCCGTTGATGGCGGAATCGGCCCACAAAACACTTCTCAGATCTTCAAAAACACCCTCGTCTCCCGAGGCCATGCCTGCGACACCGAGACCCAGTGCTCCACCATGTTGTACAACTTCTTCCGTAGCTTCTTTGAACTTGTTACGAATAAATTCAACTGCCTTTCCTTTGTGATTGGCGCATATCAGACCATAGGCGAACAATGAGCCGCCTTGACTGTACACGGAGCCGGTGGAGCCACCAACTCCAGCAGTAGGACGTGGAAGGTAAGGGTTGAGCAGTCTTTGAGCCTGGTTGATGTTGCCTTGATGGATCACACCCAAGGCGGCAGTGGCCGTGAACTTGGACCAATTCACGGCCTTGCCGAGCCATTCGAGGTTATCACGGAAGAAGCTGTCGTTGGCCGTTTTGGCATGCATAAAGCCGGTCGCCAGACTCACGGCGGTGTGGTAAATGGAGAATCTCGCCTCTAGGCTATCCTTTATCTTGTTCAGGATAGATAAGTCGACTTTGTTGGACTTGTGGAGGAATTCGATATTCAGATGTATTGACTTGAGCCCGTCCAGAATGTCTCTTATCGACCTCACAGCTTCCTGTTGTTCGGGTGTTGTAAACTTGGATTTGGAGGCTGGGGGAGGAGCACCTGCAGAGTCTTGAAGCTCCTGTTGTAACTGGTCCTCGGCCTTTTCCTCTTGGTCTTGTTCCATCAGATCGGGCCCACTGTCTGCTGAAGGATCGGCCTCTTGTGTTGGAGGAAGAAGATCGACGATTTCCTCCCGAACCTTGCGGAGGAATTCTTGAGTGCTGTTGTCATAGAGGTCAAAGGAGATCTGATAAGCCACTGCAAGAGAGCGGGCATCACCATTGCGGATGAGTTGCTGCAAGATATTGGAGGCCATGGAATGCTGGTCAAGATAGACGACGCACTTGGCGATGGCGAAGTAATCCGGGGAGGGGATATCGTTGAGGAGCTCAAGGATGAGTTTCAAGATTTCATTTCTTAAACCGCGCTCTTGCACCACACTCATGCAAATATCAAGGACATAGTCCATAAGCTCCTCCCCTCTCTTTGTAGCTTCTCCGGTCTCTTTACGTTCATCTTGAGCAGCTCGTCGGATGACTCGGCGCAAGATGTCAAGATTGCGGGCTTCTAGAGCGATACCGACGACCTGTCGATACCTCTTTTCCTGGAAGCATTTTTCAAAAAGGGTTTCAATGACACGGTTCAGAGGCTTCTGGAGGCCACGCTGCTGAATAATTATGGATGAGTCGTCGAGACTAGGCTCTGCTCCGGCCTGGGTAGGGTCGAAGACGGTGGTGTTTTGCCGGGACAGAAGGGATTTCGAGGGGAGGACGGATTGGGAGAATGGAGTGACGGGGGAAGTCAGGCTGGCAGACATGCTGGCGGCGCCGTCGCCTCCTTGTCCAAAGGCATTGTCTAACTGGGCACTGGCTGCGGTGGTGGCGGCAAGGGTGGGATCTCGACTGGCCGATAAAGCAATGTAGGTATCAACGCATTTAGAGATGATGGTATCCTCAAATTCGCCAGCGTTGTCCAAATCGAAGTACTTGCCGGCGCCCAAGGCAAAAGCCATACTCTCATTGTATTCCTCGAGATGGTAGTAAACTTTGGCCGCGACAATGGCTGCGAGCTCGCGGTCTGGGAAGGAATCATCTTCATAGAGGGCTTCACTGTAATGGAATGGTCAGTATCAACAAGGCTAGAGTGGGAGGCGAGATATGTACATGTCACCAACAGATTTGGCGATTTCCGTCCATAACAGATCGACCTGTGAATCTAATTGCTTGAGGGCAAAGCTTCTGAGCTCTGGATCAGGTTCGGACAAGAACCCAACCAGGCCGGCAGCAGAAACCAAGCCGACCATTATGGGCAAGAAGGATTGTTAGATGCGTGGAGGAAAAGAACGGTGATGACCGGTTGTTGTGGGATCTGTTGACCTTGAACCGGAGGAGGGGAGAGAGGCGCTCGGCCAGAGGAATTGAGTGGTCAAAGTCAAAACCCCAAGAAAAGGATGGCAAGAAATTAAAGCCTGTTGTACAAAGGCGAAAGGTGAAAGAAGATGGAGAGAACAAGGTGGGTGGTGGTGGATGATGATGATGGGTTGGTTGAGGACAACGATGATTCAAGGGTCGCAGTTTGGAAGAAACTGATGGATGTAGTCGCGCAGCCAGTGAGTAGAGGACAGTGCAGCTGATCGGGCAGGCACGCTCAGACACGTCAGGGAGCGTTCTTAGGCAGGTGCAAGGCGCAAGGTGCAGGTTGCAGGTGCAGGCACGCATGGGATTAACGTGTTCGTGTTGGAAAGGGACGGCAGGCGCAACACCGGTCAAAACACCCACCCGTAACAACAATAATCCAGGCCGACGGGGCCTCGTAGGTCGCAGTTGCCAACGTCACACGCTGTGGCCTGAGAGCCTAGTACGGAGTATATCTGTGTTGACGCTGTTGTCTACGGTGGAATTTAAAGTGGTGGCTACAACACACGTGACCATGATTGTCAGGAGTCAGGCTGTGAGGCTGCTTGTTCTCAACAACCCCCTAAGTTCTCAAGCACAACATATATATGGCTTCAACAACGGTAGAGACACTGTATACTGGCAATATGAAACTCATATGCGTCGAACCCTGACTCTTGACCATGGAAACCCTTCAGTGGTAAAAATTGGTCTGTGACTCAATGTGTTCCGGGATAGTTCGTAGATATATGATATGTACATGTATATATATCCAATCTAGCCCAGGTGAACATCAAAAATCTATCTCTCCACCTTCCACCCAGGTCTTAGCCTGCCAGTAAAGCAAGTCATGCTTCTCGCCTGCGACCTTACTACCACCCTCGACGCCCTTTTCACGGTTGTGTCCGGGCATATTCTTCAAGACCTGGACACCCATTGTCTGTTCCTGGCAGTACGCAAGATACCGGTAACCCGAAGGGAACTGTTCCAGTTCAGCTTCATCCAGCACTGGAACCTTGCTAGGATTGACGGCTATCAGTTTATCCTTTTCATACCAATGTCGAACCCAACGAGCTCTCCATTCGCCATCCTGGCCCTCCTCGACTGGGGTGGCTTGGTCGTCGACTTTGACCCAGAAGAAAAGAAAGCGACAGTCACTCTCTGCGTCGACCTCGCAGCCATCCAGGACGAAGCGCTGAGTGATGGTTGCCTTCATCTTGGTCACGGCACGGGTGGCTGACCGGTTGATGTCAGTGGTGATTCCATGACACCTGTGCATGATGAACGCCCCGGCATCCATTCCCGCCTGGGACGCTTTGATGAAATCCTTGTGATATGTCTTGCCCGTCCAAGTTGTGTAGATCGAGGCTGATGGATGGAAGATGGACAACAAATTCTCCCATTCACATGCATCCCTGGTAACATTCGATTTAGTCTTCGCTGGCTTTGACTACAGGCATCAAACATTGCGAGAGGTCACTTGTCCTTCACCCACCTATACATTGGCCATCCTTCTGCCAGTTCCCGCAATTTGTAGCGTTCCAGGGCTAATTTGTCCGAACCATTGTTGCGTAGTGCATCCGTAGGTCTAGACCCCTTAGGAAGACTGTGGAGATCGACCATGGCTCAGGAAGTAATGATATGTTAGGTAAAGCTGTGCTCAAGATATTTCACCAGATCTTCAACTTAATCTAGTCCCTATCCTCGTAGCATCTGCTGCCCTCTTTTCAATTGGAGACGAATGAGATGTGGCACAGACTGAGGTTTCAATAACAGAGAAATTGGCCCCCACACGTGATCCTGATCCGGTGGTGACTTCATCCGAAAATGAGGAGCATCCGTGAATCCAAGATCTTAGTTCGAGTTGTGCCTCGGAAAGTGCATTACTAATGTCTAACGGTAGTTGAGAGTTGACTTGGATGCCGAGGGAGGATGTAGGAGTCTCTTGATCGCCTGTCCACAGATCGACCAGATGACAACGAGGTTTGCTTTCAGTCACACATGTTTGCTGGTCAGCATAGATAGAGATAGATACACGTCACCACCAAAATTTGATTCTCACCGCACAGATAGAGGTACAATCCCATACCTGACTTGTTTGCTAATAGCTATCGAGTGTTCTCAGGATATAAAAGCCGTTGCTCAATCTATCTCCCCTGAACCAGCCAAAATCATCATGGGCGAACGCCTCGACCAATCTATCGTGCATGACGGAGCACGAGTCGTGTACGATGTTTACAGAAGCGGAAGCAACGTCGCCCTAGTTTTCATCCACGGCTGGTCCTGCTCTGGGGCACTGTGGTACCAACAAGTCCCGCTGTTCCACAAATATCCGAGCCTGGTCATCGACCTCCCAGGTCACGGGAGGAGCGATGCCCCAGAGGTTGAGTATAGTCTTGAGAAGATGGGCATGGCTGTGAATGAGGTTATGGCCAAAGAAGGCCTTACCAAGGCTGTTCTCATCGGGCACAGCATGGGTGGGCCGGTATCAACCATGACACTTCGACTGAACCCATCTGGGGTGGTGGGTGTCGTTTACGTCGACTCGTTCTTCCACCTTCCCGAGTCGTACTTGACCGCCTCCCAGCGCAAGGACTTGGCCGTCTCCCACGCCGACGATAAAAAATTCCGCGAGTTCCTCGATCCCTTCAAGACGGACAAGACGTCGTCAGAGAACTGGAAGCGTGTCATCGACACCATGACGGGGACGCCCCTTCACGTACGGACAAACACCACTACCACGCTTGTGCAGCCACACGCCTGGAAGTATGATGAGATATATAATATTCCTGCCCTCCATTTGGTTACACCATATTTTGCCAACATCGATCGTCACTGGGTACATCACCTGCCTCAACTGAAGCAAAGTATCTGGCATGGCAATGGACACTTTTTATTCATGGAAGAGCCAGAGCGATTCAACAAAGCCGTAGAGGAGTTTGTGACCAAGCACAGACTGTTGTAGGCCACTACTATGTGGCTTTGTGGGCTGTTTAATCGAGTAGTTGATGTTGATTGTATCCGTCATAACCACTCGCTCCATGTCAGGATTTGGATGCGGTTGAAATTGCCTCCATAGTGAATTGTGTGAGACAAAAAGGTCTTCATGACCAAAGGTGATTCTGGACCACAGCTTGATACTTGACGGCCTCCATTCCATAGACAGTCTGCCAGCCATACTTGGAGGCAAGCTCGATGAGAGTTGTCTGTGGTTTCGGGTGATAGCACATGTCGAGGAGAAACCCATCCTTCACTCCTTCCAAGCCAGGAAGCTTTTGGAGCATGACCGAAACCAGGTCTCGAGCGTGTAACTCTTCAGTAGATTCTGCGGGAATGTCAGGAACTGTCCCGACAACCAGACCAGGAACCTCAAGGCTCTCGGCCTGGTGTAGGATCGTCACCGCCGTCACTTTCATGGTGCAACCTGCTGCTAGCACTGAAGCCCGCATTTCCTCAGTCTCGGACACAAACCGGTTGATCATGAAGACCTCTGTGACGTCAAAGTATTTCCATAGTGCATAGACGGCTGCTCTAGCTGTTCCTCCAGCTCCTACGACCAAAGCCGGTCGGCCAGCAGACTTGTCATTGATGCCAGGGAAGGTTTTCTGGAAAGCATCGCGGATGCCAATGCAATCGGTATTGGTGCCGATGTATTGTTTCCTGGCAAGGGAAGGACTGTTAGAGAAATAGATGGTGTTGATGGCGCCGATGATGCGGCCTTCCTCGGTAAGTTCGTCAACGAACTTGATACAAGAGATCTTGTGTGGCATGGTGATGGAGCACCCCAGGCAATCGGGGTCTTTGAGTAGCTCAAGGCAGTCTGACGCCTCGGGCGTGTCTAGCAACCGAAACTCATGGGATAAGTTCCGATCCTTCCATATTGCCTCATGCACGGCAGGCGAGACAGTATGGGAAATGTGCTGCCCTAGAAAGAATGCAAACGGGGTTTTGGTAAGACTTTGAGCATGGTCTGGTCGAAGCAGGACATTTTGTTCATGATCTGATGCGACCTTTGCCTCGCCCATTTCCGTTCTCGCTTATTAACACTGTTAGCAACAAGTACATATTCTTGATTCGGCCTCCAGATGGTTGTCACAATGTCTGAAAGCTCGGGTGGAAAGTTGGATGGTAGTGCTTCTTGCAACATTGTATATTTCCGGGATATCGTCCTAGCGTCTGGATATTTCTTGGGCATCTCCACCTGTCATTGAGTGGCTGGCCATTGATCGTCGAGCCGAGCACTTGAGGTGCTCGGATCGATACTCATCTTCTCTGACATAATCCTGAGAATACGATAATGTCCAAAGTAGTTGGGTGTGTTGGGTTTTTGATATGCCAGTAATAATTTCCTCTATTTAGGGTATGCCTTTATAGAAGACCCCGAATAACGCTCTCGGACTTAGACTAATCTGTAGAGGCCAAATTGTAGCAGACTCGGAAATGAATTTCCCCAGAAGATGCGAGTCCTTGATAGGTTCCTTTTCCAGGTCATGACTGCATGGTATGATACTATAGAATTACAAGGACACATGAAGTGGTTAAAAATACACCTCCATTCCTCTTGACCCCTGATCCTGTTCTTGGCTGGACCAAATATCGTGTGTATCCCATGGCTACCCAAATCCCACCTCATTATCGACCTCGATTAGGCATTGTGCTGCGTCGGCACAGCACACGAACATTGTCAATCAAGCCCCGAACAAGTTGCTCATACATGCTGGGACGTTCGGCCTTGAGATTATCCAGCTCGCGCCGAACCATCTCAGTACTGATCTCAACTTCCAATTCGTGCTCTTTCTCTCCAGTGTTGGGAAACGAGACTTGAGTTAGGTCAATCTGATAGGCCATATGCCGATAGCTCATCCGGTCCTTTTTGCGGTCTCGGCTGGTCTCTGACATTTCCGTCAACCATTCGGGGTCCCCTTCCCAGGGACTTTCGATACTGATGGAGATGCGATAGTCAAAATCTGCCTGTGGATTGTACACGTCAAGGTCGGCAATGCGGGATTTGATGATTTGTGCTTTGACCTCATCGTTTTGTTCGTTGATGGTCCTGCGAACCTTAGGTTTGTGGCGCGGATGCAACCAATTGCGGATGGAGGGAGGCAAATTTCGTCGTCCGTCCTCAGTCAGCTCGTAGAATTCGTCATATTCGTGGGGGTGGCTATAGAATATGGGGACTCGATCCGAATTAGCCGCCTCTTTGTGCGACTCTTCAACAATACCGTTTAAGAATGCGTTGACCTGCTTATGTTGGGCCTATAGATCTGTTAGCGTGACTCGTGACTGGTTTGGTCCTATGATGCCAACCATACCATGTTCATTGAGCTGCGAAAACTTGTCTTGCCGCGATACTTTTCGCGGCTAAAGACAGCCTCGGTGTCAACGGGTAGATTCATTCGCGTGCCGGTTTCTTCGTCCCAAATTGCTCCCACTTTGGCTTCAATCTCGAAGGTGGCTCCGTTGGTTGGGGTTGCTGCATTGACCAAAAAGTGGGCTATCCAGTCGCAAACCCGCTTGGTCAGGTCTTCGTAGGGCGTTATGTTGAGGATGGAAGGTTCCCAATGTGGCTGATCTATGCCCACGGCATCATGCGAGAAAGGAGCCGGCGGGGCCGGCGGTGGTTGACCATGTGCCTGTCCTTGACCATTGAGTGCAACGTGATTTGGCATTTCTTGTTTGAGAGGACTCTCTCGCTTAACAATTGGCGCAGCTACATGGCTTTTGATAAATTTCAACTGACGGGTCCTGGCACTTTGGGCCCAGACTGGGATGTCGTCTTGTCTAGGGCGTTTTCGTGGGGGCTGTGGGGTGGAAGGGACGCTGGACAGGTGGCTCGCGTTTCGTTTCAGGCCAGAGTGGGAGACGGCCGGGGAATTGGTCAATTGGGGAAGAGGCGAGTGTGTCGACTGGGGGGTCATGTTGCTCGGTGGGATCGCGGCGGGACTAGCGCGCGAAGATTGATATGTCGAAGGGGCGGTTCTTGGTTCTAAGGAAGCTGATGATGATTTTGGAGTGGTCTCGTTGGCTTGCAGACCGAGGACACGGTCGGGCGTACCAAGGGGACCGGGGCCAGCAGAACCAAGAGGGCTGGGCGGGACGACAGTTTGAGGGATTGCGGAATTGATATCATGGATACGACCGTCGCTTGTCTGACGGTGAGGCGGTGGGCGTGGAATTGTTTTGGGACTGACACTCTCTATGCTTCGTTCTCGATGGTCCCGCACGTCCCCCGAATAGCTTCTTTGTGCGCTTCCGCTTCGAGAATGGGTGAGCTGGGGAGGGGCGGCGGAATTGAAGTCTCTGCTATGGGCGGAGCCGACTGAGCCAGCAGAGGATCGCCGAAAATTCTCGTGGCCCTGTGAGGGAGGTCGAATTGAGTGAGGTGGTGGTCGTGGATATGCGGCAGGTGGTCCTAAAGGAGTCGCTGGAGGGGGAGGATGGAATTGAGCGTTGGGAGAGATGTTGCGAGAGGAGGAATGGGCATGTCCATTCGCGGTCGCTATATCGTCACGGGGAGATTGAGAGTAGGTCGGGTAGGGAGCTGGATGGTGATAGTTAGAGGCGGAATATGGGGTCTGATGTTGATTGGAGCCTGGCGTAGAGGGATAAGGACCGGAGGGAGACGGTGAGGGAACAAAGGAATGAGGATGTTGCTGTTGCGGCGGAATGCTATCTCGACGTGAATGGACGTGTCCATGAGGACCAGGGCTTTGTGCGTAGGTGGATGGAGGTCCTGGGGACGGGGCTATGGCTGAAGGGGGCACAGAGGCAGAATTATGAGCAGGAGGGGACTGGAGAGAAAAATAGGAGCCGTTGGTGCTGGTGCGATAGTCGGAGGATGTGTTTTGGGGAGGGTATGGCGCAGATTGTTCGCGGGTGGAAGGATGCGAGTTTGAGTTGGACAGAGGGCGAGAGATGGGATCGTAGGGATGGTGATCGGCAGGACGGTCGAAGGAGGAGTGAGGTGTGGTGTGAAGACGCGGTGGCTGCGGTGGTGGAGGGTGCTGTGGTTGTTGTCGTTGGGCGGAGGAGTCATTGAGCATGGATTTCAGGTCCATGGCGACCTGGACCCAAGGTGTGGCAGAATGGAAAAAGATGACACAGGTAGCATCTGGCAGTTAGGGTGTTACACGAAGGAATGGATAGAGGATGGGTTGTAGGAGGGACGAGGATGCATGATTGCGGTCAGTCAGGCTGGTAGGGAGATGAAGAAAGAGAGACGTCGCATCGCACAGACCGACTGAGTGAAGAGAGACGAGTTGGACAGATGGACAGAATAGACAGACGAGACAGGCGAGACAGGCGCAGGCGCAGGCACAGGCACAGGGAGGGTTTTTGACCACCAGACTGAATCAGGGTTGGGGCGGCGCGTAGTAGAAAAAGCCAGGGCGTTGAGTCAGGGTGGTTGGTTAGTCAGGATGGGGAAGGGGAGAATATGCGTACGGAGCACACTGTACGTAGGAAACTATCTCGATATGGTTGGTACGAGATTGATCGACCTCCTTAGCCAGCGCGTTTATCTCAATAATTAATTGTTTATTTAATCTTGATTGCAGCTTCTTTCGACATTAATGCAGGTGGCTGCCACTTGAGAAATGATAAGACAAGCAGGTAGGCATTAATTCTTAAATAAGCAGGAGCCAGGGCCTATTAAGTACAAGGCAGGGAGGTAGCACTCTGGATTACTCCTTCCACCTGCTCTCCCATCCTGCACCTGCACTTGCCACGGAGCACCTACAGGCTCATCGTAGCTTCTGCACGACACACACACACACATTCAACGTGGACTGTAGAATCTAATCTTATTCATCTTCTTCATACATCGTTTATTCTCTTCTTATGTTCAACGCCATTCCAAGTGGTATCAGTTCGTCGCTCACAGAAAAACCTCGCTCATTCCAAGTAGTCGCTATTACTCTCTCTTTCGCCATTCTTTGCACAGCCATTCCCCACGCTTATTGTAGTCATCATCATTGCATCGCCAAACCCATCGCCGTCGATGGTTTGGTAGGGAGATGGTAGTGGTGTCGTTTTCGGAGGCGTGGCGGACAGAGTCAGGGGCTTGAATAGAATATTGTTCATGCTTGCATTCCGCCGCACCCTTAATGACGGTGGCGGTATCGAGAGACCTTCCACCGTTGCTGGAGATTCAATGCTCAGACTTCTGCGTCGCAAAAAGGTAGCTTTGGCTGACCTGCCGCGAGGAGTGCGGCCTCGACTTCGTGGCCTTCCGGCTTCACGAGCTGCTCTAGCCTCTGGCCCAAAGTTGATCCTCTCTCGCAATGTATATATTCCTCGCATCAGGGCCATCTCCACTGCCACGCAATTCTTGATTCGACACATCTTGGGCCACGTTGCCCGTTCTCCCGCGACAGTCGCTTTGATCATGTACTCCGAGGTTGGGTTGGCCATCAACTTGAGATACTCGCCGGTTTCGATTTCGGGAAAGATATTGATGTCACCCGTGTATCGTTGTTCCAAGACCGAGCCCCAACGAGACAGAACCCGTGGGATGCCAAGGTCCTTGATCTGTTGCGCTCGGTGAATCAATTCCAGTCTGAGTGTGTCTTTGATGCCGTGGCCGGGATGGCGAGAGTGCCTGGCGTTTCGTGGTTGCACGCCCACAAACTCCTCTTCGCGCTCAAGAAACATGCGCACATGTGGATTTACTTGTGAGACGATGAAGAAGTTGACGTTGAACATCTGAGACAATCTCTTCATGGGGATATCATGGTCCAGCGACCCATCCACAAAGGTCTGCTTAGCATTCTTCATCCACAACTTGGGCTGCTTGGTCACGGGGTCTTTCTGGTAAAGGTCGACAGGAGCAAAGACATGCGGCACTGCGCAAGACGCACAGACGGCCGACCAGACGTAGACATCGGGTGCTGTCACATAATTTAATAGGCGTGGCTCGTCACTGTCCGAACTCGACACGCAAATGTTGACCACCCGACCGGTCTTGTAATGAGCCTCTCGGAAGGTAATGTCGCCCAACCATATCTTCATGACTCTTTCCAGGTTGTCCATGCTGAAGAATCGTCCAGTCTTGGTGAAGATGCGCAAGCGTTGTTTGGCCCAGTCGAATCGTCCCAGTGGCGTGGGGTCAAACACGGCCAAGTCGGAGTGAGGGAAGCGTTCCAAGATGTCATACATGGCTTCGTCAACCGCGGTGCCGACAATGGCGGCCACAATTGCTCCAGCCGATGCGCCTGATATGACGTCCGGGAGGAGATCGGCTTCCCACAAGGTCTTGACGACTCCGATGTGTTTCATGCCGAGAATGGCACCACCGGACAAGGTCAAAGCGGACTGACCGTAGAACTTCATAGTGTCCTCCAGCGATTGGAGATAATAGCGCAATTCCGAGTTGGGGAGGTTGTAACGAATGGTGAGATCGACAAAGGTGTCTATGGCTTCTAAGACGGTGTTGATGTAGTCATCTATCAGAGATTTGGTTCCGAACCATGAATGCTTGTATAAACGTAACGAGTTCATGCCACCCAAGTCTCGACTAATGCTGGTCCGGAGATGATAATGCAACGCTGCGAGATCCGAGGTCGCGATGGCCTTGCGTAGGATTTGGGCATGCGCCTGGATCAAGGCGGGTCTATAATCAGCTTCTATCGACGATATTTCTTGTTTCCATGAATTATGGCCCTGAATCTCGTCGAGCGCCACAGTACATGTTTCGTACTCTGCCAAATTGGTGGCATCTTTCATGCGGCGTAGGTATGCCTGTTCGAGACTCTCTGAAGGGGTGACACCTTTGCAATACCTGGCTATCTCCTCTGCCAAATAGGCGAGTTTCTTGTTTGGTGACAAGTTCTTGATGAGATTGGCCGATGCCCCGGTACAAGACCAGATCAGTTGACGACTCGGGACGGGGAAGGTGAGGAGGGTGGACATGGCGAAACTGTGTCAGTGGCCATGGAATAGAGAGGGTGAGGGATAGATGACCGAAGGCGCACACGAGGGAAGGGAGGAGAGGGAGAGGAAGATGAGGATGCGGGTGGCAAGTCGGGGGGTGCCCAAGAGCGTTATGCCATGGTTTTCAAGTATTGATGACTCGATTCCAACTGAATATGGGTAATAGGATGGAATAGGACGGATTAGATGGAAAGAGGGCGAACAAAGAAATAAGCAGCAAGAGGTGAAGCGTGACCTACGCTAGAAGAATCAAGGTGGCAGATGATACAGAGATGCGTCATTGCGAGGATGGGTGCGGAATGCCATAGAGTCAGGCACAGGAACAAGCGCCACAAGCACAAGGACACAGACTAGACCAGTCGATAGGAATCGTGTGGGTCAGATGTCCAAGTCTTGTGAGTGTGTCTGTACGGAGTAGGTCTTGTGGTGAGGAGGACCGAGAGTCAGAGTCGACGTGGAGAGTTGTTTGAAGAGGGACAGAGGATAGAATTGTCGAATCGATCAATCGCAGGGCCAGGATTGGTGGTAGCCAGTCGTGGACATGTTTAGAATGAACCCTCTTTTACGGAGTAGTGAGGGTTGGAGTGGGACAAAGCCTAAAAATCATGGAGTTCCGGGGGCAATAGGCGGCAACATAGCCCGAAGGGCCCTAAGGTTTACAGCCTATAACCTCTAATATTACGGAGTACATGCCCTACGTCGCGTCGGCTAGAGTGACTTGTGGGCACTGGTGACTGATGGCGGGGCCAAAGGGCCATACGGCCTCCTCGGCTGTGCGCCTTGGGCGAGTGGATGTGTGAACCCATGAACTTCTCTTAAGCGAGTCTCTCTAATTATTGATCAATTATGTCATGTCACTGATAAATTGATCTCATTCTAATGGCCCGGGCTTTACAACTACTGCTTAAGTGTGCAGAAACCAAATGCAGAATACACCCGCCTGGTCTTGCTGACAACAGGTCTTCAGCTGACACTTTTGTTGCTGCCTTGTGGGATTTGGATATTGCCAAAGATACATGTGCTTGTGTGCGCGTGACCTGATGATCTTGAGTTGGCGTAGGCGGGGGTTCTGGGGAGGTATGAAGGGGTGGGGGGAAGAGGCTAAGGGAGGTGATGGGGGCAGGAAGAAGGATGATTGTCACTGGCGGAGATGCCCAAGGACCACATCACATGTCTTTGGTTAGGCCTTTGGGTAGGAATGAGCCATGATGCCCTCGGCCGCCTTTGGGTGCCTTCCTGTTATTGTTTTTATTGTTGGCTTTTGGCTTTTGGCTTTTGGCATGTGCAACCACAGCCTCCCCACCGCTTGTTCATCGAATCCAAATCTGTCACATGCATTTTTCCTCAAGTACTCCACATCCTTTGAGGAACATGGCTCGGATTTGATTTTCCCTTGCATGCTATCCATCTGAATACAGTACAAGGCTGACTCCAAATTGTCAATCGCCAACACCTTCTGTACAAGGGTTGGTATCATCTCCCAGCCTCCTGTACACTGTAGAGTCATACGTTTGACTATAGATAGATGGGCTTCCCCCATAGTATCGAGGAAGCCCAAGCAACGCATTTCACCTCATCTTTGACACAAATTAGGTCATGGACGAAATCTTGTTAGACAAAAACAGATCCCAGTACCAGAAAGTGTGTCTACCAGGTAGGTAGACTTTATAATTCTTCATGCCCTCAAATCGGGCTTGTCTCGACCGGAAATATCCCATTGGGAGATTGTCCCTGCGCAAGCCCATCGTCGCCATTATTACTTCTCTTGTCACCGTCGGCTGACAATGCCGCAATCCAATCAATCATTCCCTGCTGTAGCCGGACAATCCCTTCCGAGTCTATCCAAAAATGTCCGGAATTCGTTCTGATCGAGACAAATTGTGAGCCTGCTCGGGCACGTAGTTGTTCAGTCCATCTCTGCAACTTGCCATCTGACGTAAAGGCATCCTTGCTGCCGAATACACACAGGCACGGCCATCGCACTAGTTGCTCAAACTCACCACCGTCATGCTCCTGATTTGGTCCTGAGTTGCACATGTTCGAGGCCTTCGTGACCAACTTCAATTTGGAAAACATAGTGATGAAGCCAGCAACCGGTGGCAACAGCGGTGATATCAGTACAAACGCAATTCGCGGCACAATGCTGGCATCCCTTGTCATCTCTTTCGCCTCCAATGCCCTCTCGGTCTTGTCCTCGGGCAAGATTTTCGTGGGTGACTGTTGCTGGGAAGAAGATTTGCGGACGCTCATCTTATGCCGAACTCGGTCAAAGCTCTGCTTTACTCTTTCTCCATCAATGCTGCGTCGAGATGACTCGCGACTCACTCGTCGGCCTGCCACATCTGACTCATACCCTCCCATCGTCACCGGATGATGAAGCTGTGGGCGCTGGTGCGGCGTAGCTGGAGGTGATCTCTCTCCGTTCTGGTCCCATCTCTCTCGCCGTCCGCGCGGTGATGACAGAGTCATATCAGTAGTATACATCTCAATATATGCTCGGCCATCACGAGCTAGGTCACACGCACGCCGTTGGATCTCCTTTTCGGCCGAATCTTCCTTGGGAGCTTCAAAGAGCTGGGCCACGACTTCGAGTTTCGGCAGGTGACTCGTAATCATTGAGCCGTATGAATATCCAGCAAGGACAAGCAAAGGCCGGTCTGTAGGAGGTACAGCCGCAGAATCGTGCTTGAGTCGTTGACCGTCTCCTTCTTTGCTGCCCTGCCTCTGCTTCTGCTTCCGATGGCGCCAAATGGCGTCCATGTAGAACAGGGCGAAGCCATACACCGATACATAGTCCGCCAATTCTGGTTTGCCCGACCAGGAAGTCCTTCCTGACGATCCGGCGGCTCCTCTGTGTCACATCCAAACCCACACATTAGAACGAAGCTTCAAAATATGACATGATGTCCACAGCGCCAGACCAGGTTGACCAAGGAGCAGGGCAAGGGTGAATGGAGCTCACCTGAAATTGAACGTGATCAAGATGAAGCCTTGCCGTAGCAAGATATTGCCGGCGAGAGCAACCACAGGGTCATCATAGGAACCTCCTAAGGGAGCGTAAGGATGGGCAACAATGGCAAAGCACCGGCCAAACAGAGACGAATTCTGCTCTGTCCGTCGTGGATAGTACAGCCGGCAGTCGAGCTCGGTGTCATCGTACACACTAGGGATGGTGAAGCAAAGATTTCGTTTCGGCAGGCTCATTGGCACGGTGACAGCGGTCGTGGGGGTCGCAATAGTGATGAGGATGACAACATGGACCTGGGGGAGTGGGAGGAGGGAGGTCTCATAGACACATCGAGGCTGAAATTTGGGTAGCAGTTGAAGGTTGGAGATGCCTGCTACAGGAGCATGGGCACCGTATGTTGGCCTGCTCAAGACTCAGTGAGTACTGCCTTGCATAAGCAGGCCTGGACTCGACGAAGTCCTGAGGGGATGCTCGTTGGGTGATTTTGATGAGGTGAGCGAAGAATGTCGTGGTGCTTTAGTTCGTCAAAGGCACCAACGTTCAATGTCATTCCGTCCCCCACATTCGTGCCAACTTTTGATTGGACCGGAGGATCCTTCACCGACCGCCAAGTGGAGGACGAATATCAGATTCCACTCTGTAGATAACTTGTGTGTAAACCTCCTATCTATTGTTTCGATTCATTCATCATCAAGCTGGCAAGAGCCTGCGAACTTCACGGACCAATAGACTAACACTAGCTTGCCCCAAGAATAACACCCAGAGGATTAAATACTTCTTTGTACACAGGTAACTCCAAACCAATGAGCCAAAACTTCAGATCTACACTGTACTGTTTCAAAACCCCACCATCCAAGTTCAGATGATGCATTAATGCATCAATGCATCAATGCACTTGAACACTTCCTGTTGGTTTCACACCTTGATCTCTGGTTCCACATGAGAGAAACAAAATAAGTGGACCAAGAGGCGTCGGTGCGACCAAAACAGACATGAGGTCTCAGAGCCCATGTTCCTCGGGCCAACATTCCATTTCAAATGGCCATGTCAAAATTCCAAATTGTCAAAATACAGTCCATGGGAGGGTTGTCTCGGGAATCATGTTTGCGAGGCCGAGGGTCGCGCTCTTCTAAACGGATGGTTGGTGCATGGCTTCCCAGTGTCAAGGTATCGAGGTAAGTGGGTCTCGAAGATGACGAGATTATATTTGGTTGACATGAATGATGGTGCTTCTTTCAATCCTGGCCGCAGCCCATTTCGGCAGGGTAGCTGTCATGCGCGTTGAACCTATTGCGTGGTGTTGGTGTACACCAGAACAAACAGTCATGGATGCGTCCGTGCGACAAGTTTTGGCGACATGTGGGGGGGCCTCAAGTAGGATCATGGTTTCGGCGGGCTCCACGAACTTCACGAAGGCGTCGTTGGTGGTCTGAGTTGGGGCCTCGTTCAATGTCGCTATTGGGATTTCTCCGCGGGCGACTCCGACTCCTGTCACGTCCAGCTAGATCTATATCGGAGGCCACGGGCTCCGTGGACGCAACTGCTCGGGCCTTGCCTCTGGAAGATTCTCGTCGAGAGGCGCTGGGTCTGTTGTGTGATGTCTGGCTTGGATCCCTCGACTCACGGTGTCTCTTGCTTCTCGATCTTCGTCGATGTCGCTTGTCGCGAGCAGCAAGAGCGCCGCTACCTACCACTCGTTCGGTATTAGGGCCGTCTATGCCATGGGTGTAATTCATGTGCTTTTGACCCGTCATTAGCAGAGGAGAACCAGGATGACAGATTTGGATATACCTGATGCGGGCCCCACAATTCGCGAGTTGCTGATTGAGCACCCTCGCGTTTCTCGGCGGCAGTTGGGAATCCAGAAGCAGCTGCACGTCTTTCGTCTACCTTTCTCCGATGCCTCTTTTTTAACCAAATCAAAAGCCATGCCAGCAGACCAAGTCCCACAATCAGAATTGCCACCATGAGGATCCATCTCCAATGGCCTTGGATCCTAGATCCTTGTCAGTAATTCGTAAGCCTGGGGGCATTGGGGTCGTCTCATACCATGACTGATTGGATACCGGAGCGGGTGTGCTGGCAGTTGCCCCCTCTGTTGCTAAAGATCCTGGGGATGACGAGGTGCTGGTGACAGTGACAACCACGACACTTTGTGTGGCGGTGGGAGCGGGTGCCGTGGAGACTGGATCAATGCCTTGCCCGACGGAGCTGCAGAAGGATCTATACCAAGTTTGCAACAGGGCGCGATCATTTGCAGCTTGACACTCAGCAGCGCAAATGGCATCTGGAGTTGAATAGAGGGCAGTCAAGAGGTTGCTCTGACAGAAACACATCTCATAGTTGATGTTGGCGGCGGCGGCAACATTGGGCGGGAGACAGAGGGTTTGGGCTTGGAGGAGTACAGTACAACTCACGGCACAGGCGGGAAAAGTAGACGAGGGTGTGGTGGGGACAAAGTTCTGCGCAAAGCCAAGGTTAGATAGAAAGAGGGAGATGATGGCGCAAATGGCCCAAGTCGGTCGGGCACTGTCGGTGGAATACATGTTGCTCTTGCTGTCTTGCTGTCAAGTGTCTTTGATCAACGACATTCGACAAGAAGGATGTTTGTTGAGGTGGCAATTGTATGGAGCGTCAGGACCTCAGCGAATACGTGGGTAGCGAGTGAGTTGGAACGAATGGGTCGTATGCTACGTTAGCGAGCGCATGTTGACGAAGTGATTTGGCGCATCGTCAACGAAGGTGAGCGAGTGGTGACAGTTGGTGAACAGCAAGATGCGTCGACAGGGAGAGAGGTAGAGAGACAGAGGGAGAGGGAGAGGGAGAGCGAGTGCGATGCATCGATGACAAAGTGCGCAGGGACAGAAGAAATGGCAGTCGCAGTTGCAGTAGCCAGCATCCAAGAGGCAGGCACGGGCGGGGAATCTCAAAGACACGGCAGGGACCGATAGGCCCTTGGGCCTTGATCGAGTTAAGCTCAGTGGTTCCTTCCCTACGGAGCAACCAAATCGAAACCGTCAAAGGCAAGCGCGGTGGAGATGGTGCCGCCTGCCGAATCAGATTATCCCTGGGGATGGTGCATCGAGAGGCTGGGGCCGAGGGGTCAAGGGGGTCATCCCCAGTCCAAACCAGAGGATTGCCTTAGTTATCACAACCAGATGAGCTACTTAGGCTTGTCATTGGTGTAAAAAAGTAGGCAACAAGAAAGTTCTGAAAATTATTTGATTTCCATATGTAGTTATCGAATAATGTGAATGGTAACCAGCATGTTAGGACTTGGTCACGTTAATTTGATTAGAGGAATCACGCCCTCTTGACATACGTAGGTACGTTAGGTTGCACGGTTGAACAAGGCATCTTTTACGTATAATTCCATTGAACTCGGCATCTCTTCCGTCATAGATTCGGTAGTTTATTCATTACGGAGCTGTGTGCACATCATGACATCTAAAATCGGTGGTCACATGGGGCTGGGGGAGGGGGGATGGAGGGGTCGACTTCTAGAAGCACTTCGTACTCGTAGTGGTACCTGGAATTCTACACTTAACTAAATCAGGCCATGTTATAGCCAAAAGCCACGAGGCCGACCTTCTACGGAGTATGGACAGTTCTTTTGAGACGTTGGTACTTGCATAATCACCTGCGGCTTGGCACCTCCCAGCCTCAAACACTTCCCTTAAACTCTACTTATAATTCACCTGTTTCTAGGTAAGTATCGTAGGCATGATAGGCTACCCACCTCGATCAAACTGCCTAATGTACCGCCTATTAGCAATTTCATGCCACGCCTGATGCCCCCTCGTCCCCAGATATTCAGCGCCGTATTCTATCCAGTTGCAGTCCCAAGGCCATTCATAATCAATCACAGACTGCTGCACAGCCGTAATTCAAATATTCTCCCGCCCTTCCAGATGGACCAACGTCCACCTCGTGTCACCTTGTTGAGAGATGTGTTCCACAGCCTGGCTGGAACTTGGACTTTGAATCGAAAGCTACAATCTGAGCATACAGCCGAACCATCAGGAACTTGTACTGGCACAGCGACATTCGCGGTTACACAGCCTTCCCCTGTGCTTGATTCAGACGGTAGCTTGAATCTAGCCGATGCTCAATTACTCTACCATGAACAAGGTGAATTTGAAATGTTTCAAAATTCCTCGAGTCGAGGAGGACCAATCCCCAAATTCACATTTTCGAGAAAGTATATCTGGCGTCTACAAGCCACTGACAATACCCACACCATCAGTGTATGGTTCACCAAACCAGGCACCGACACGATTGATTACCTCTTTCATAAGATCGATATTCCCTTTGACCACAACATTGGTCCCACATCAACCGATACCATGACCATGACCATTCACGGTGCTGGAGGTCATCTTTGTGTCGATGATTTCTACAGTAGTTCCTACGAATTCCATCTCAACCAAAACGAGACAGATGTCACCCCTAGTCTAGCCTCCTTCACCACAACTCACGAGGTCCGTGGTCCCAAGAAAGATCAATTAATCGAAACTTCCTTTAAAAGGAAATAATACACCGGTAAAGCCTCTAGCCTTCTAGGGTTTTATCAGTCGCAACAGGGCGCCGGCAAACTGTGCGACCGGTCTTTGAGAGGAACCGCCAAGACTCTCTCCGACGGTTAATGTGATTGATGATTGGTCGCTTCACAACTTCAACCCATTCCTTCATGACTACAAAAGTCACGTATCTCCCTGCCGAACCAGTTTCATGAGTATGAATTCTCTATAGATACCTATAGTGTTCTCCCTGTGCTCCATTCCAATCTGAGCCGGACAGATGGCTTCAATCTCAATCGAGCTCGATCTTCCCGAGCCATTCGCTAGTATTCCTCGCCATGAGTTGACCTTTGGTCCATCCCCCATACATTCCTTGCCTCGCATCTCTCAGGCACTGGGGGATAAGGTCGCCATCTATGCGAAGCGAGAAGACGTCAACTCGGGGATTGCATTCGGCGGGAACAAGACCCGCAAACTCGAGTACCTGGTCCCTGATGCATTGGCTCAGAACTGCGACACCCTCATCTCGATTGGAGGCTTTCAATCCAATCACACGAGGCAGGTTGCGGGAGTGGCCGCCAAACTGGGACTGAAAGCGAAACTGGTTCAGGAGAAGTGGGTTCCACACGAGGATGTAGGCTACGACAAGGTGGGCAACATTCAACTATCAAGGTTGATGAATGCCGATGTCCGTCTCGATGCATCTGGGTTTGGGATCGAACACAAACAGACCCTCGCCCAACTGAATCAACAAGTCATCGACAATGGTGGCAAGCCTTATTACATCCCTGCAGGCGCCTCCGATCACCCTCTTGGAGGCCTGGGATTTGCACGATGGGCCTTTGAAGTGTGCGCCCAGGAGCTTTCAGAAGGTCTGTTCTTCGACACCATCATTGTGTGCGCTGTCACCGGGTCCACCTTTGCCGGAATGATCGCAGGCTTCAAATTGCTCGAGAAACTAGGTCGATCTCCAGCGAGAAAGGTGATTGGCATCGACGCTTCGGCCAAACCCGACGAAACATTCGCCCAAGTGCTTCGCATCACCAAACAGACGGCCTCCAAGATTGGCCTGGACGACACGGACGTGACCGAGAAAGATGTCATTTTGGACACGAGATATCACGGTGGCATCTACGGCATTGCTGATCAAGCGACGCTGGACGCCATCCGCTTTGGCGCTAGCACCGAAGGTTTCATCACCGATCCGGTCTATGAGGGCAAGAGTCTCGCTGGCATGATTGATCTGGTCAAAAAGGGAGAGATCCAAGCCGGCAGCACCGTCCTGTATGCCCACTTGGGTGGACAGCTGGCTTTGAATGCCTACTCCGATATTCAGTGATTGAGCTGTAGTGAGATATCTTGGAGGTATCTAATCATCTATATTAGCGTTCTCGAGCTGTCTAATCCGGCATTGAGTATGAAAGGAAATCCAACAATCTCTCACTCTTATGACAACCACAATCCAATGGTCTCTAGCCCGTCTATGATGTATTGTGTTGAGAATGGTAAAATATGTCCCGCCACGATCTCTAGGTCCCAGTGATCATCTATTTCCTGCGCTGAAGCTTGACCGGCCTCTCAGCTGGGATATCGACGCCGTTGACCAAGGCGTAGACGGTCTTCAACGCGGAAGTCAAACCAGCCATGGCGACGGCACACGAAGCAAATAGGAGGACCCTATGAGAGAAGTGCAAGAGGGCGAACAACGGATAAGGGTAGAAGCCGTTGTGGGAGAAGCACAACTCGATCCAGAGCCAATAGGCGATGGCGATGGCGGAGCTGAGGCCCAGAGATGGGAGGGCTCTAATGGACCAGGGTGGAGAGAGGAGCAAGATGTCGAGCAGCAAGAAAACTGTCGGGGCCAGGTGAAAGGACAGGTCGGCAGGCCAGGGGAGTTCAAGTTCTGGAGGCACGACCAAGGCCGGGTCGATGGCTCGTAAGCCCCAGTATAGCAACGAGATGAGCACTTCTAGCGGCGCCGCCGTCAGAGTCATCACATTCTTGGCTGTGAATAGCGCTCTCGACAACGAAATGTCGGCCAGAATCCCCAGAATAAACGTCGTCGTTGATAGCGTCAGACCAATGATGGTCAGGTATTGAAAATGCCATCCGTATGCTTGATTGATCGGGTTGGGGTGTTCTACTAGCCACTTGTAGCTGTAAATAAATGACCCTAACCCCAGAATGTGAACCGCAGGTGATACACCGCGTGACGGTGACGAGAGTCGTTGTAGTGAATGTTTGGTTGCCATGTCATCCCCGGCGCTGTGTATTTGCTTCTTGGGTAGAGAAGTGGCGATGAAACTGATAAGGGAGGGGTTCGGATAGATTTGATCCTGAATGATTCTTGTGGACTGGGGGACGTTGAAGCTTTTATTGTGTAGCAAAAGGTAGTAGAGTACTTAGTGCTGACGTCGAGAATAATAATGCATATTGAGGTCGATGCATATCTTTTTAGTGCAACGACAAATTGTAAGGTTATGTGGCACGTGTGGTCACGAGAAGGAATCTGTGGCGTACATTATTATTGCATATGCCGCCATGCCCCCGAGAATCCCTTAGCCATGCACTTAAGGGTATACTTATAAGCGCACCTAGGTACCTCGGAGTCTCCTCGCTCCCTGAACTCCCTAGAGCTGACACCGAGAACCTCCGGAACAGCCTCAACCCTCCCCATCGTGTTCTTTTTACTATTTATTCCCTATTATTGACAAGGTTTTCTTTGTCCATCAATTGTGTGACCAATATTTTCAATCAATGTCGACATATAGCCTCGTCGTCATTAATGTCCAAGTACAAACATCTCCCTCGTGGCCTTGTTCATTGCTCATTGATATCTTGCATGATTGTCAACAACAAAACAAACCTCCACCTTAGCCAAAGAATTCACCAGTGACCAGGCTTTCCCAGCTCACACCAGTCCTCCATACCTCTTCCATGATCTTCCGGGCACGACTGACTTGGCACATGCCCAGTCCCTCCGCGCCTCGAATCCTGCTCAAGATCTCGGCGCGGTCCAAAGCGTCCTCGGCTTCCACTCCAGCCGTGAACATGGGGAACAGGAGGCAGGCTTGCGCACTTCCTCCCTCACGGATCATCTGTAAGACCTTGACAATCTCATGCACTGCAGTCTGAACTCGCTTGTCATGTCGCGGGAGGTTGTCCACTCTCCGCAACAGGTGAATCATACCCGCCCAATGGAATGCCGAATTCGTTGCTAGTGATTCTTCTGCCTCTGTCTTGGACATATCGGCATATGCTGATCCTCGCCGCGAGTTCGCTATGGTAGCCTTGGAGAGCTGAGGGCTGTGGTGCAGGCATGATATTTGTTCATGGTTTCGCGCATGTTCCAAGTCTTTGCGCAGTTTGGCCGCTCTTTTGGCCACTTCGGCTGGAGGACGCCAGCTCTCGTTAATTTGCCCGGTTTGATAGTCGATGCGCTCCGCTTCACATTCGCTCGCCAGCAGTGCCACTTGCGCCAAAATAGACACACAACGTGTGGTGAACCCCAGTAAGCAATCAATGGTAAAGTCGTCATCATCAGCCTCGTCTTCATCGGTCAAGGAGAGCTCCTTGGCCGACGTACTCTCTTCGTGAGAGCTCGACCAATAGTTCCCAGCAAATAGCGGCTCTTCATTGCGGCGGCCCGACAACGACCCCAGCACGTCAAGGTAGGCCAGCCACCTGGTCAAAAAGTACATGACCGGGTCTTTGCGTGAAATAGAATTAGGACCCCCACGAGCCCGAATGATACTTCGAGCCATTCCAAGGTGGTTTTGCCAAGGGACTGACACTCCAAATGTCGAAGGCGAGATAATTTCAATCGACGCGAGCATGATGGCTGTCGCTAGATTCGCATTGGAAACCTCCGTATTTGACACATCGTCCAAGGTCTGCCTCAACGACGGGAACACATCGCGTACCCAGATGGCAATTCTGTTGACGGGTTCAGGGTGGCCCAGCAATCGAGCTCGATGGCATGCCGAATATGCCAACAACAGATTCAGCAGATTGGGATTCTCCATGGCCACTAGCATCGTCAGTCACAACTCTCAAGGATTAAGACAGATACTCACTTTTTGGTAGGATGGTCTTGAATGGGTTTTCGGGGCAGTCGTGTGGCACCAGAATCCGGGCAGTATGGTTCAAGAAGTGGTGAAAGTACAGCAAGTTCATCGGGTTCTCCGACAGGGTACGTGGTAAGGGTTCCAATTTGCGCGGGATCTTGATGGCGACTGGAGCAGCATAATACCCCCCTCCCTGGAATGCTGTCTCTCGACTACTCAACCCAAATCCAAACTCAGGAACGCCCAGGTCAGTATCATTCAGCCATGTTTCAAACTCGCTGTGCTCAGACGGAGACATGCCAGAGATGGCCATGGTGTCGTTGTTCCTCGGCACGTCCAGGTCAGCATTTCCACGATCCTGGCCGTAGGTCTCGGTCTCCGAGTAAGAAATCATTCGTTGATGAAGAGAGCCCCGCCTAGGTATGGGCTCGTCCACGTAGCCATTGTATTCTGCTTGGACTGGTGGCTGGACCTCATCCGGTTCAGGATCCTCAGACAAGAGTGAACTCACAGATATCCGACGATCATCGTTGTCCTGGCTGATCTGTGATGTGGCTGATGTGGCCGGCGTCAGTGGATTGCTGAGATTTAGATAAGATGGAAAGAAGGTGGGATTGCTCGTGTTGAACTGGACTCGGGGCGCCTCGTCAGGTTCGTTGGGTCCGTAGGAGCCAGCCCTGGGGTAAGAAGATTTGCCGAAGCTGTCTGTTCTGGGACTCATCTTCAGTCTTTTTGCCCCATTGTACGGGGAGGGAGTCGACTCTTGGTGGGTGTTGGGGTTTGAGGTCGGCATTGGAGGTGGCATCTGCATCGTCCCAGTAAACTGATACATGGTGTTTGCCATTCCAGGGCTTCCAAAGCCCGACTCTGAAGGAGAGGGGTAGGCAGGCAAGGATAATGACTGGCGTAGAGGTGGGATTGGTTGTGGCTCTTGGTTGTTGTTCGTCGTGGTTCTTTCACCCCATTGGGGGGTCCTCAGGACGGGTGGAGGAGGAAGGATGGTCGGATTGAAATGAGGGACATGACTGTTTCCATTGGATTTAAAGTCATTTGCAAGAGGCAATCCCGTATCGGGCGCCAACGGATCGATTCGGTAGCCGAGATGTGTTCGTTGTCCATTCAGAGAGGTGTGAGGACTCAGGCTCTGGTCGTGAGCGCCATTGATGTTGGCAAAACCGTTGGAGTGAATCGGTCCAGGGGGAGAACTCGAGGGACGGGTTTGGGGGAGCAACTGATGGTTAGATTGAGACTGAGGCTGATGTTGTGGTGGAGAAATGTACTGCGCAGGCGAGGAGTCAAAGGACATGATTTGGGATCCTTGTTTTCCGTCATCCTTCTTCTTACTGCGCCCATCCCAATTCAGGCGAATACTATAGTCACAGACTTCGCCTTGCCTTTGGCAATTGACGCAGGACGGCTTCTCTTCTCCGCTGTGGTAGACATTGGGTCAGCGATCAGTATACTCGGTCATGAGTCGAGAGGGAGAGGTACCATTTGACCTTGCGAGATTTGCAGGGCCTGAGGATGTGTCAGTCTCATATGCTTGCTTATTGGTAACAAACAACTGTCAAAACCCACCAGCAACCATTCCTGGACCGCTTCTTCACCTCTTTACCATCTGGCTCGGGCTTTTTGGGTCGGGGCATGGCTGACGATTGGGAGGTCAGGGTTACCGCAGGCTCGAAATACACGTCAAGGGTGTCGGCATTGGTAGAGAGAGTGCGCCGGATCGAGAGTACAGGGACATTGGAAGGATGGTCGACATGGACGGTATGTCACAGATGGCCAGAGAGGACCATGGGCGCAGATAAAGATTGGAAGACACGAAAGGTTAGATGGTTTCTGTTTCGAGTCTGCAGCAGAAGACTACTAGCAGATTGTAAGTAGTAAACTAGTTGGTGGCAGAGAGGCCTTATCCGTGGCGCGAGTACAAATACACAACTCTTAGCACCGGCTGCCCCAACGGCGGGAGGGAGAGGTTTCTCGCTAAGACGGCGTGCTGAATGGCTCGCGGCTTGATGTCTTCGAGGCTGACGGCGGTATCAGTAATGCCACAGCCCTCGGGGCATGGCGGGCACGGCGGGGCACTATGGTTTCTCTCTCTCTCAACCACGAGGGACTCGCGCCTGGGGCCCATTTGTGGAAAGGGACTGGAGCGAAGCAGCATCAACTCTCCACTCGCATTGGCCACAAAGACCCTGCAACGGCTCGTCGGCCGCAGGCTTTGGCAAAGTCAGGACGAATTCGCGACTCGTTATCATTATTTACATGTCAGACTATCAGATAATTAACTTCTTTGGTTGGTGGAAAATGATTCATGACAGAGCAGATTGCTCCTAGCGAGTCAATTGCTACAAGGACCACAAGAGACTACAAGAAGACCGTTTCCTCCCTTGCTCGAGTCATGAGGAGATCGAGTCCAATCCTCAGGTAGGGAGAGGCCCGTAACGGAGTTGCCGGGTGTGCTTCTGACTGGTTGTAAAATATATGGAGCAGATAGGCTTCAATATCCAAAGGTTGTCGCCCCAATTTATTGGCCGAGGGGGCACGGGGGCCGTTTGACGAAACCAAGACCCAATGCCCATACTTTGGCTAAAGGCCCTAGAAGACGGGACACCTTTATAGTATGGCGTCGGAGGGACGCTATAGGCCATTGACAGGCGTGGCGTGAACTGCCATGTAGGCAGTGGGCAGTAGGCAGTAGGTTGTAAGACCCTCGGGCCCCCTCCTCCCGTCTGCCGTGTGGTTTTGACGCTGACCTCAAAAGGCAGCCATTGGGAGAGGCTTGAGAAACGACTGGGCCAGCCTGGGCCAGCCTTCGAGTAATTCTGTCTGACTACCACCTTGATGCCTGCAAGAGAGGACCTTAGGTACCTTATTTTAACTCTACCGCTCGCAAAACAGTAGCCGAAAGCACCTCAGAGATCTGCGAAAGGATCACATCGACATCCATCTTGTCCGGCTACTTATTGGGCATACGGACCACTGTTCCAAATCCAGTGTTGAACTACCTACAAGCTACAAATATTGAGTAGGCGGAGTGGGTCGTGCATGTTTGTGGAAACCGATCGCTGATTACGCACTCTCTGGAGCCCACACTGACTTTGTCATGGGGAGCAATGCAAGGGAGGTAAGTAACAGAGGCCTAGGCACCTCAGTCGAGTCTTGGGGGTGGTTCGGGAAGGTTGAGGGGTGTCAAAAACCCTTCCTGAGTCGCCTGCAAGGAACGCTGCAGCCTATAACGCATGCCCAAAGTACCTAGGTTTTTAGGTAAGCTGGCTTGGCCAGAACACCCTAACGCCAGACCTTGTGAGAAGAAGTTGCTCCTTGTCCTCCTCCTCCCATAGCCTTGGCATTTCTTTCATTCGGAGAAATGAAATCCCCATTCATCACGCGAAAATGAGTTCCGTCTGAGCCTCGCGACATGATCCTCAATTCACACTCCATCACACCATGCCCTTTCGTCCATGAGCAAGCTGTGTTGTTTTCAAAGCGAGCTGCCATAATCACCTCGGCAACTAGGCGACTTTTTCCAGCTCCATCTAATTGATCTCCCAGTCCTTTGAACCGTCAGTCCTCTCGACACCTGCACACCCCACTCAAGCTCCAGCACCTTGACCGCAATGGCAGCCAATATGACAAGGCTAGCCATGCAGCTCTCTTCTCAAAGACATATGACTCCAACGTCGCTCTCGATATCCACAAAGCGTCATGCTTCATCCGCGATTCTCCTTCGATCGAGCCGGCCTCGTCTCTCACCATCTCAACAGCTTGCTCCATTAGCAGCAAACCCTCCCTCCAACTCTACACCCCCATCTTTCTTCACACCTTCACTGTGCAGGACACGTTCTGCCTCGACCGCTTCAGCTCCCACTCCTTCAAGCCAGGTTCTTGACTGGAATGCGTTCTTCCGCCTTCGTACCTCTCGGCGGCGATATGCCCTATCATCTTCCATCGTATCAGCTGTTGCGACGACAGGCACAGCATTTGTCCTTCTCACCGAGATACCCGATGCTGCGAGCACCGTTCAATCCCTAGTTCCTACCGACCCTTTCATTAGCATGGGTTTGGCTACATTTGCGGCCACATTTTTGGGATGGCTCATCGGACCAGCCTTTGGAAATGGCATCTGGAGATTACTTCACCGCAGTCGACTACCAGAATTTACCGTCAAGGAAAAGGCCTTTTTCGAGCGCATCAAGAGACATCGCGTTGATCCTACGGGTGCAAGCACCAACAATCCAGTCCCAGACTTCTACGGTGAAAAAGTGGGCAGTGTCGCTGATTACCGACGATGGCTGAAGGATCAAAGAGCATTTAACCGCAAGAAGGGGGGCAGATACCCGACAAATTAAGTCACCGCTTGCTTAGCCGAATCAAGTAACATTGGTTCCAAAGCATCAAACGGTGACAGAGAGGTCAACGATCGCCTAAAAGCAATAGTTGAGGCAGATCCATGCCTGGGTCAGCAAGTACCATCCATGGTCGCCGCATCACAGCAAATGATTCGACTCATGCTGCAGGTTCGGCGCTTTGAATAGGGCTATGATGTATTGTAATATCAACACTATCATCTTTGTTGTACAACATCCAAACTCCAAATGACAGTATGAAGTGGACATAGGCCCAGCTGTTGATGGCTCGTCACGTCACGTGCATGGTCCGACTGTGAGCTTCTCATCACGTGAGGTCATCTTCCCTAACACGTGATAGTCACTTCGTTGAGGTCGTTAAAGTACAGTACGAGGCCTCTCACAGACCTGGACAAGAGACCTTATCATTGGTGTAGAGGGAAATCTGGTGTCTTTTGAATTTCAAGACACCCGTTGTACTACTTATATGCATCTCTTAATTAGACATCAATTCGAGCGTCTGACATCCGTGAGGTTGGAAGGCTCCATTGTCGAGTTGTTTCACGCTTCCTGGGGCTTCTCGCCACATGATTAAATCCCCTCGTCCAGTAACTCTTCAAGCTCGAGAACACCAATCCCAACAAACATGTGAAAAGGACGTGATGATGCGTAGTGGTGCTGGTGTTTGGGGCCCAAGTTACTCATCGGACATGACTCGGCGATGATGTCGTACCAAGGACAGAAAATGTCTCGAAAGAGTTCCACGATTAGCCCAATCCACAAATCTCTTGTTTGGCCAAGAACTTCGGAAAGGATATCCTCGAACGCTTTGAGTGTCCACATCAAAAAGGTTAAAATGCATCATATCATATGCACGCTTGGAAGTCGGACAAGTCGCCAGGAGTCCAAGCGTGCAAAGGCCAGTTCCAGTATCATATGTCATATTAAGTCGCGGTATATCGTGACAACGTTTTGCCCCTTCTCCACATGGCACACGATGCCGATTGTTCCTATTTGCGATTCGGCAAATCATCTCCTGGCCACTGCAGTCCTCACAATTACTCTGCCGGAGTTGGCACCGCGTGTGACCATCATTGATCACTAGGTTAAAAGAATCAATGCTCAGAACCGGAAATCTTCCGAGGCGAGGATGCACTGGCCAGTGATCGATGATGAAGCTAGGTTTATCTGATTGCGATCTCCGCTTTCTCAACGTTGTCATGGCCCTGAATCCTAGTCCTACGACCAAGGTTGCCACGAGACCTCTCTAGAGCCTCAGACACCAGTGGGGCCAATTTCGAGTAGTCGCTAAGTACTACCATTGGTGCTTGAATTCTTGAATGGATAAAGATTCTGCTGACGTCCAGGCATTGAACTTGACTGGACACGGAGTATTTATACATTATCCCTCGCTCCTGTCACAGAAGGAGAGCTGTCCACCCATGGGAGAGCTGAATCCAACTCTTGAATGGTAAGTGATCCAGGCTTAAATTCATCGACCTCATCCTATCTACCATGTCTGAGATTTCTATTCTGGGCTTCAAGCCCACCTCTTCGTCCTCAACTCTCTTCTCGTCTTCCATTCACTGGGCTGTGCTGGTCGAACCTGATTATACGCATTGCAGGAATCCTCAATCTAAAAATTTAGCACTTCAGACCAGGAATGATACACCGAAATCTAATTCCACAATATTGCACATCCAAGACCATCAACTACGTCAACAGCCATGGCCGATTCCTGTGGAAGATGAGACCGAATCTAAATATGACACAACAATCACCACCCCTCGAAGACCAAGTCCATCACCATCATCAATCTTCGATACTCAAACTTCCTCAACCAGACCTTCTTCAAGTCCAGCCTCATCTTCACTTCTATCGACCGCACCGACTACCACAACCACACTCAATGCCACCTCACAACACCCTCTCCGACTAAGTCTCAAGATCTGCATCAGCAGGCAGGCGCAGCGACCATCAAAACTGATTCCCAAACTACTCAGACTGCTGCAAACCACTCCGACATATGGCTTGGAGGAAGATTGGCTGCGCAGTGCTTTAGCATTCATGCACGTCAACTTGGGCTTGATGGAGGTGGGGTTCGATGTGGATGGTTTCATCGCCTATGCGAGTGAAGCAGTCAAAGAGTATTCACTATATGACACCACAGAAGATTACGAAGACGGCGGCGATGAAGACGACGTCCACGTCCTGGAACTCGACTACCTGTCTTTCGTGCATCGGAATAACCAGGTCAAGGCCTTGCTATCACAACATACCCAATCCCCTCGCCGCAACCACCACAAGAGGGACCTCTACGATGGACATAGGTATGACCGGTCGCCTCCTCCACGATACAGTGCGTCGATATTGCCTTTAGATCATGAGGATGCAACGCCTGGGCCGCCACCCTCTTCACCGCAGAATTCGTCATCACCATCACTGCAATCAAACGAGTCTAGCGGCCCGGCTGGTATTATGAGGAGATGGGTCAAGACAATGAGGAAATTCCAGGTCTCACCATCCCCTTCTCAAGTGAAGTACCGCAGCACAGTTCATCTACAACCCTGGCAGAGGCGGGACGACCCGTATGGTGGCTTGATGTAGACCCATGAGCACTAGCCGCTCATGCACATGAATGACCTGCATTCCCAGATGTGACAGGGTTTCAGGGGCTGGGACAAAATTGGTCAGATAATTGAGGTCCTGCACGTTTGGATCTGATGGGCCGGGTACCAATACTGTAATTTTATTGTAGGACTTTGAATGTTCAATCAATTGACATTTCCCTATCAAAGACTAGCCCGATCTTACCAGAACATGCCTTGAAGATATGCTATCAGAGGTAGATACAAAAGAGAAAGTATGCCTGTCCACCAAATCACCACGCTAGAGTTGTTCATGGTGGTCACAAATAGGTCAAGATTTCAGACTTCTTTCCAAGAGCTGGGGATTACCCGGAGCCACGAGCATTAATTCAATATATACCTCAATCCATCCTCATGTTGCGCCTTAATTGTCAATCAGAATGCCTGTCCGGGCTGGCCTCTCGCCGGAGTCGAGTACGCTCCAGGTATAGGAACAGCTTCATATGTCTGTTCACCCGGAGCGGCAGCCGCGTGCTCATGAACGCGGTCCTCTGCTCGGGGAAGAGGTGAGCCTAGAGGAGGCGACACGGTTTGGGACCGTGGAATGCTGTCGACAGCATTGAACGTCTCAGGCGATGAGGGTTTGGGAGTTGCATGTTGAACGCGGATGGGAGGTGCTTGCAGGCGGAAAGGGGAGGATGGCGACGTCTGCTGGGCGGGCGAGTTTCCTTCCTCAGCCCGGCTGTATGCATCGGCATATGATTTGTATTGAGATGGGAAGCCTGGTGTCCTGGGTGTGTTGACAAAACCAGGCGTGTTTGGTGCGGATTGGGAGCGGAGCTGGGAAAGGTAAAGATCTGAGCGAACCTTGTCCCTGGCGTCCATTGACTTTCGCAGACGGTTCTTGCTCCAGAAGCGATAGAAGACGATGCCGTAGATGGCGATGACGATCAACTCGACGACGATCTCAATGATGCAACAGATCAAAGACCAGTCCTGGAGACGGCATACCAGGGCATAATGGACATCCTCCTCAAAGAGTTGGCGACGCTTGTTGTCTCGACACGACCATCCCCACATGTCCTGACCATTCCCATTGGTCTTGCTTCCTTGGAGTACACCGGCGCCGATGGCCCACATGACGATGCTAAAGATGAACCAGCCCACAGCGAACATGGTGTAGTAAACGGCGACCTTCTCTGCGCGACGATGTCCACTCCGGCAGTATGCAATGATGACGATGATTGCAAATAGGAGTGAGATGCAGGCAATGGTCAGAACGAGGATCTGAGGCCACATTTTTTGATTTGGTGCCCAAGCCGGCATGTTGTTCCTCGCTGGAAGGGCTTTGGTGGCGTGGAAGATGGTCAAGACTGTGGACAGCATGGCTAGGACAATCAATGAACAGGAGAAGTTGACTCCTCTGAGGATGATCTTTGCGAGGCGAACACGTGTTTTGATTTTCTGCGGGTTTGGTCAGTCAACTGGGTAGGTGGTGGTAGAAGATGATTACTCACCAGATCTCTGGCTTGGTCCTTTTCGGTCTGCTCTTCCTGCTTCTCTAGCATGACTTCTTCTCGGAAAGTAGGACTGAGAGGATTCAAGAGACGGGCGCCGGTTCCTGGAGTCTTCAATGCAGACTTGAGGGGTGCGCCGCCAGGGTTGAGGTCTGATCGAACCGTGGCATGTTGCTCCACGGGCTGGTTGTCGCAAATGTATCCAAAGCCAACATCTGAGGGCTTGGGAGCATTCCTCGAAACAGGTCGGTCGGTCATTTTGGGATCAGCAAAAGGAGATTCGTGGTCCCCAGGACCGTCAGAAGGAGAGAAGACAGAAGTTGCTTCGGCGAAGCGTGCCTTCCTCACCGGTTGGTGGGTGGTCGCGCCTGCCGAGGGAATAGATCTGGTGGAAGACGCCGTCGAATTGGTCCTGGAGGGGAACTGGCGAATGCTAGATTTGAGCCCTTGCTTCTCGTCAAAGTCGAGCTGTGAAAAGCGAGCGCTGCGACGGGAGGAACGTTTGGCGTCGGCGGTGATATCGATGGGTGAAACTGGGTCGAAGTGGGATGGTGACATGGCAGTCTGATGTCTGATGCCGGCTAGATGAGTTTACTCGATGCTTCTTTTGCACGAACGGTGGTCCGGACAGCGATCACAACCCTAGTCGATGGTAGTTTTAGTCAGCGTTGCGGCGGGGTCCACGTCCTGATAAGGCGGAGGGTCGGTGTAAGTGGCAAGTGGGTGAAGGCTGACGTGAGACGGAGATGGAGGCGCAGATCCGAAGATACGAGAGGATATATGACAACGGCGTAGGGCAACGTTGAATATCGTCGACGAGGCCAGCTCTGGAAAGTAAAGGAAAGATCAAGAGAATGGCCGTGGTGAGAAGAAACAGACAGTTGGGTTGACCTTGGGGTGGGAAGTGGCTCGAATAATAGAGGGCCAGGTGACTGAGCGAGGGCGCTTCGATGCCAGATGGGAACCAAGCACACGTATGATTATCAAAGGCTGCAAGGCCCAGGGTCAGCTTGAGCGGCTTTCGGCAGAGGCATAAAGTATGTACGGAGTAGATATGTTGGATGGCAAGGGTAAGTCAATACCTGTGTGAGTGGATGGCAATTGGCGCTTCGAGGTTACAGAGACGGTCTCTCAGCAGGGATGGGGCCAATCGGTGGCCTGAAGTGGTATTGACTGGTGAGAACGAAGATCAGGCGGGCGGTGCTGTGTTGTGCGTGGCACTGATGGGCAAAGACTGGTGCAAATCAGTGGGAGGCACGGAGGAGAGACTCTCAGCGAAACCAGCGCGAGCAGCAAGAATGAAGTCGAGCACAAGATGGAGGTGAAGAAGAGAGGATGACGATGGAGGGGGTCAGCAGGGTGTTGGTGTTTCTATGTAAATGAAGACGAGCCACCATATCGTTGTTCACGAGCTTTTTTCCTCTTTCCCATGACCGATGTTTCTGCAGTCGCCATCAGACATGGCAAAGGGTTCTCGGGTGGGCATGACGGGCGCTTGAGCAGATGCCAGTGGATTGCAGCAAGCAGATGGGCTTGTCGACATCAGCGGTTGGATGGAGGTACTGTACTGGAGGGTTCAACAAGGGCCCAGTGTCGACATGACAAGTGGGAAAGTGATGAACGTTGGAGGAGAGAAGATGGTTGGCTACGAAGGAATATGGAAGCGCCCGACTAAACAGCGCCAGCATAAGAATCATGTCGGCCATCACATCCAGACCTTTTGCTAAGCTTGGACTGCTTGTTTCTTCGTCTTGATTGGATCCCCGCCATCAAAGCCTTTATCTCACGAACCAACGAGAAATGAGGCTGCATCTTACAAGAGAACCGTTGTTGGCCTGCATCGACCTAACCGCTTGGTTGCACTTTGCACGAGTGCACACCGATATGTCCGAGTCACTCAATCAAGTGTGCTCACTACTCAGGTGACGGATGAAGCGGTGCTCATTGTGTTGTAATACTAAGGTACCTAGGTAGGCATGCATGATATGGCTTGAGGCGCCCCGGTAGAATCTACTTTGGCCGTAACTTGACCACCGAATATAGAGATTACGATGACATGGTCGCCACAAGGCCACACATTCAACTGAGTGTAAATGAGGCTGTGGACTGACGTTGGCCATGATAATAAAACAAAACAATCAAATAGTAGTATTTACTACGGAGTAGGTACATAGTATTACTGTGTACTTTTGGCCCTTGGATACTTGTAAATCAGCAGCCTTTAGGCGGCCGTTGATCAACTTCAACCGCTCTTGGGAAATCAAGCTAGGTGACACTTTTGCCCCGGGATTCGGAATTTAGCCTTGAGTTGCCCACTAAGAAGTCGCCTCTCCCCCCGATCGCCCAAATTCTGTAGGGAAGGACGCCCTATTTTTGGCATTTCTTCTTCGCCCGTGCTTAATTTAGCATCGCTTACATTGTGCAATTCATGCAGACCCTGCATCGTGTACTTGGACCAGAAGATTTACGGAGCATTCACCAACATGCCTATCACACACTTTTGCATGACTAGGGCTACAGTAAACCAGAGAGAAATGGATCAGGATAATGGCACGTGGGTTACACAGGTGGTGACCTTGTTGGTCTTGTCGCATCTGATTGTGCTTACGAGTACTTCTCGTGTTTCTACGGACCAGACACAGCCCGAGGGCTGGTACCTAACGCATACTCCATAAGTGATCGCAGGCCCTCGGGCTTTGGCACCCCAACTTCAATGTCACGTGCAAACCAGATTCGTACTTCTCTCGTGTTTGATATTCTTCATACTCGATTTTCCCATCTGCACCTCAACTCCTCACGTGCAGGCAACTTTTATCCTCATCGAGTCATTCTCCATGAACATCTCCATATTTCTCGATGATATAATAAAGTGCATCAATCGTTCCCCTAATGCAAATGATAAGAAGGGAGAGTGACACACACCCATCGATCTCAACAAACGCCTGCTGCCAAACACATCCTCTTGTGTAAGGCGAACTCCCCGAGGATAACTGGTCCCGTTGCTATTCCATGTGAACTGAGTGTTACACCAAGAATTGCATGGCCAGGCTTTCAGTCGCACTCTGGTCGGGATTTATTGACATAGATATTGACCCCTTGTACCACCGGACCACAGACCAATCTAAGCCAGAGCGCCGAGTTCCGCTCTGATCCAGTCTGGCCAATCCACCCACAGGAATCGTCACAACGTCTCTGAGTCCTTGTCATTATCATATTATGTTCAATCTAGAGATGTCTGCTATTCATCTCAAATTATCGGCTTCCTTTGTTTCATCCAGCTCAAGACTTGGGCACTTGTCGTGTAGGTCCCCTTCAAGGTAAGAACCATGTTTAGTGCTCGTACTCTCGGTTCTCCCACTGCTAGCCTCCACGCACTTGGTCCGACTGTTGATAGAGCTCGTCGACGACATCTTGAATCTCAAGTCGCTGTATGACCGCCTCACGCTGGCACATGCAGCAATCGTTCTCTGCTTGATTGCGCCTCCACATGCTGCGCAAATTCCAACGTGGTTCTCCACCGCTGCCCAGATCCAGATCAATGCATAGTTTTCTACAGCTGAGTTAGAACATGTACAGTTGAAGACACGAGGCAATTTCTCGCTTACCTGAAAGATTATCCGTTGTGGCCATCCTGTTCACAGCCACCAGTCTGAAGATGCTGGCAATGACAACACTGTTGCCGGGTTAGTCTATATTCAAATGTGTCTCACATTACCCTGTCTTGGACTTACATTCCACCTGCACCAAACAACGCATATATTCCAATGCGATGTCCCCGAAGCATGTCGACATTTCGAAGGAGCCACATGGGCATGAGATACATGACGACATCGTTGACAATCATAATGACGGAGTTTGCATAGAAGAAGGCCATGACATTGATACATTGACCTGGGGTTTCTGTTGGATCCACCCCTTGATTCCAAACGGAACTGAGAGGGATGCACTGCAAAAGCACCACCAAGACCGAGCTGATGCCGAAGCTCGCCGCGACAAACTGCATGAAATGGATAAAGTAGGTTCGCGGTCGAGTGCTTGCCAGGCCGTAGTAGAATGTCAACCAGGCGTGCTTGACAAGCATATTACAGATGAAATAAGGTGGGAAGGCAGCCAGTATGAGCTGGTTCCAGGGTCAGTCCAAAGTATCAGGTGGGATGGAGGAGTATCTCAAGTCACCTTTTGCAACACTGGTCGACTCCTAAACTCTTCTGCTGATATCGGGGCCCCTAGTCCTTCAGCCGCAGCAGCGCAGACCAGAGATGTCATGACGAGCGCGAAGAACTGTCCAGGATTGTATGTCAGCCTCAGGTATATATATATATCTCTCTCTCTCTCTCAGCACCACCAATGAGACGACGTACAGCGCTGGCAACCAGAAACCCTGTATGAAGATTAGCTACCACCCCTTATAGACAGGACGCTTTCGTCTCTTGGAACCATTTGGACTTACATTTGCTTGCATTCAGCCTTCCCGTGGTCTTGTACTGTCTCTCGATCTGGATGGAAACGGAAACGATGGTGGCTAGGGCCAGGACGACGCTGGTAGCCACGAGAGCCGCCGCGGTTGACTGCAACATGATGGCGACGTGTGAGATTCTGCGGGTCTCCGCGTGGGAGTAACCTGAAGAAAGGGTCAATTGACCCTCCGTGATGGGCATGGCCCCTCATTATAAGGCACCTTCGGTCTGTGCAGCCATGCCCTGGGGTATGGGTATGGGTATTGAGCACGGATGTCCATGGCCAACTTCGGATGGCCTGGACTCACCACTTCGGATGGCCTGGACTCACCACTTCGGATGTGCTGGTGCCACCATGGGCGAGGCCAAGGTTGATGTGCACGAGCGACAGGTTCATCAGACAGAGCTCAAGACAGAGTGAAAGGCCTCCGTAGCTACAAGCTGCCCCAATGGCAGGCCACGTCTGAACCCATTTGACGTACGTAGTGCAGCCCAAGTTGACGACATCAACGGAGTATGAGCAGAGAGTGGGTAGAGAGGCTGAACAACAACCGTTGAAGACTTCTAAGACCCAGCTCAAGCTGTCAGTTGAGAACCCATGGCGAGACAAGAGTTGTAGTGGATATTCAACCGCAGCGGACCTGTCAACCGCCATCTGTCAAACCCCGGGGAGCACGGAGCACCGATGATCGTTGCCTAAAAGCCGCCATCGATCGCACTATCGACAGCACGGATCAATTGTGACCAAGAATATTGCTACTCATGCTACCTGATGCACCTTGGACGTCGGCCACCAAGAGTTAACCTGCCGATTCCTATCATCTTTGTGGCAGCCCAAAATGCCACCACGGTTAGATCCAGCCAAGAGATCAGTTCTAGATCGATCATTCAAAATGGACATCGAGATTTGGCTGCTATGAGCCATTCTGCCTCAACGACGGAGTACATTGGGTCTCTCGGATCATGAGGTGCTCCGTCCGAAAAGGCTTTGAGTATCCAAGATCCCACTCTGTGTCACAGTATCGACAAACTGCATTAGTAGCGCATTATCCCCCTTCATAGTCTCTTTCCATGAGATAAGCACCATGGTTCCATCGACCAGACCAACTCTTGACGAGCAAGCAATGCCAGATTTTCGACATCGAGGGAATTTCCATGCTATCCGGGCTGTACAGGGTAGCCAGAAAAGGGTGATCACCTGAGAGAATCGTGACCATGGTCAGCCTGTACCGCCTCATCTGGGCGGTTCCTGATGTCCAAGCTTCGGCTGCTGATTCCTTTCACGGCTGAGCAACCATCGAATTGGCACTCAACACGAGACTCTGCCGTTTCTGTCAGCCCGGGAATCAGGCTCGCCTCAGGCAAGTTCCGGGAACAGATTAATGCCCAAATATATTGGCCATCTTCTGCCGTTCTTGAGAGCACTTTCACATAAGTGAATCCTTCTTGTAGGGATACGACGATAGAAGCCTACAATAAATACCTCTTGAGATATTGTATTATAAGTACTATGTATGTTAGCTACCTACTCCCCGGCTCGGGGCACGATAGCACGATAGCATGAAGCATACTCCTCTAATAAGCTATGCTTGATCCGAGCACTGAATCAATCAGTGTCTATGATCGATCAACCAAGTCTATCCTCAATCTCCACTAGTAATATCCAGCAGATTGAGATGTAATACCATGACCCTCTACCAGCTCCGGCGTCGATGGACAATGCGAGTCCTTCAGCTGGGGAATGATCACATTGAAGCGTCTAGTGACAAATTACGAAAGGAGGGTCTTTGATCGCATACTGCTCTAGACCCACGCTCCTGACCACTTTCTTGGGAGGCACATTGGGCGATGCTGTGCTCGTTGATAGAGGTAGTCGAATTGTCAAGATCCTGGGGGGATTCCTTCGCTCTTTCTTCTTCTTCTCCATCTCAGCCTGTCGCTTGACATTTGCGATTTTTGCCCTCCATCCATTTGTGGTCATCATCCTCTTCTCCAGATTTCGGGAGACTTCCTTGTTCTTTTCGTCACTGTATCTGTCATGTTCGACAACGAGGTCCACGCGATGGATTCCGTCTCCAGCAAACTTGATGAGGGGCTTTGCCCAGTCAGCATCTATATCCAGAGGACATGGCCAGTCAAAGAAGGAGTATTTGAGGCTGAAGTATTGAAGGGCAGGCATGCTTGCTTTGATCTTGGTCAACGTGGCATTCCATTTCGCATCATGCCTCAATTTCCATTGACGGTCGTCGGTATATCGAGGCTCCGCATAGCCAGTATGGGTTACGTGGATATTTGCGATGCTCGATACGCCAGCGGATGGAGAGATGTTGATGAACTTGTGGATGGCGTTCATAGTGTTGAACTTGAATGTGGTCATTTGGTAAATGAGTTGGATGACTTCATGGTGCATCTGGCGACAGACGAAGAGCATGGATCGACCGAGGCTAGGTTGATTGGAGTGCTTCAAAAGACGACTTCTGGGTCGTTTGTGTTTGGCATGAGGTTCCAATATCTGGGCTTTGGCCAGTTGCTTGTTGGGATGATTGGCTGAGAGTTCGACCCTGGCATGTCCAACGACCATACCATATATTTTGTTGCGAATCTCTCCGGGCAGATCGAAGAATTGAACGACTTTGGCTTGTTTTCGTAATTCCTTGCGAGGTCGAGCGTAGCTCGAGACACCCTTTGGGGCGGACGCCATGCCGATAGATGTTTGTTTGGCCGTTATCGATGATATTTAGTTCGGCGCAGTGAGGGTGTGAGTTAGGTTGATACGATGTTTTGTTGACGAAGGGGACAAGAGGAAAGGACGCTATGGTGATGAGGGAGATTGCTCAACTTGAGGCTCACAGCAGCGGCATTACCTCTCGAATGAGATAAGATCTTGGAGCCAGGGATAGTTAGGAAAGCCTCACACTGGGCTTGGAGGATGAGGATGAGGATGATGTCTCAAGGATGCTCGGGTGGAGGTGGAGGTGGAGGTGGAAGTCTTAAATAGAGAGTCTTGTTGAGAGAGAAGTCGAGGTGAGGTGTAAGAGAAAGTGTTGGAAAGGTCTCTATAGAGGTCGATGAATCAGATGAATGAGGTTGAATGAGTTGAAGGAGTTGAATGAGTTGAATAGGCTTGAAAATGGAGCTGAATGGAGTTGCATCAGATTGAACAGTCACGGGTGCTTTGGACTTTTGAAACAGGCATCCACGTGTTACACTTTGTGGAGGAAGTAACAGTCGCTGTGACTCAAGACTTGATGAGGCAGGAGCTGTGACGAGTTTGTGCAGCCCGAAAAGACTTTTTCGTTCAGAACAGTGAGTCGCAGGCTATCATCTCAGATCTCGACGTCTCACCTGGTCTCAATGTTCTTTTCTCGGTCTGAATAAAGCGATTGTTCATGTATGAAAGATCTTGAGTTCACATGACATCGTCTGGAAGTGGTGGTGCCTTCCTCTAGGCTGATGAGGCTGGAGTGATGCCTGGGTCTTCCAGCACGCTAAAGCACTTACGAGGATGAGCCAAAGCGGCACGAACCGAAGCCAAACTCGCTAACTTAGCTTCGGAGTTCCGAGCTCCGTCGATCGCTGAACCAACTGCTGGCATCACAAATGTTACAAGGTCATGCTGGGTGGTACCAAGTCGACAGTGCTAGAGCACTTCCTCGCTGCAGCAACTGAAGCTTTCCGCACTCACCTGGCTAGACATGCCTGGCTAAAGAGCGGTTCATAATCTGTGGCCAAGATCTAAGCGACTCACCTTTTTTCGTTCTTCAGACTTTGATATCGCCAGCTATGACACCTGAGACCCCGATGGCAACGACAAAACCTCAGGGACTGATATGCACATGTTCTGCAGATGGACCATGCAAGGCTGCCGAAGTTGGCCAGTGACTTGCATGACTTGCATCGAGGACTCGTACCTGCCGTATCGACCTACCAAAAAGACGCAATTGTTCGCAGTACCACGGGACCTTGCTATAAACAGACTAGCGTCCTGGAGCTCGGAAAAACCCTCCGGAACCTGGTGATTTTTTCGAGATTTCCCCCACCATTGACTTGACATCTGCATATTTCATTCTGCAAGACAAAGCCCTGATTTTGTCGTTTTTTCAGGCAAGACACTAGCGTCCAGCAGGTTGAATGTAAATATTCCCAAACCGCCAAGAGCTCAACTCATCTGCCTGCAAAGTTGAACAGTTTTTCACTATTTGTTAACCTTGCTTGCCCCACGATATCGATAAGATGACAGCCTCGCAAAAGATTGGTACGTCTTCATCGCCACTCCCCGCCCCCATGGTTCCACTGTAATCATCACATCTAACTTCGACCGGTCAGCTATATTGTCTGTCTACGACAAGACTGGTCTGTTGGACTTGGCAAAGGGCCTCATCAAGAACAATGTCCGGCTTCTAGCTTCAGGTGGTACTGCCAAGCTGATCAGAGAAGCTGGCTTCGACGTCGAGTACACGGGGCTCCCTCCCATAGTACCTGTACCAGACTAACCGTTGATCAACAGAGATGTCTCCGCAATCACAAAAGCACCTGAGATGCTTTCAGGCCGGGTCAAGACCCTCCACCCCGCCGTTCACGCTGGCATTCTTGCACGAAACCTCGAATCCGATGAAAAGGATCTCGCCGACCAGAACATCAACAAGGTCGACTATGTCGTCTGCAATCTCTATCCGTTCAAGGATACTGTTGCCAAAATTAATGTCACCATTCCCGAAGCCGTAGAGGAGATTGATATTGGTGGCGTCACTCTCATTCGAGCTGCTGCAAAGAACCACACTCGTGTCACCATCCTTTCCGATCCAAACGACTATGCAAGCTTCTTGCAGGAGTTGGACAGTGGTGACGTGTCTGACTCAAGCCGCCAGAATTATGCTCTCAAGGCTTTCGAACATACTGCCGATTACGACGCTGCAATCTCGGACTTCTTCCGCAAACAATACGCTGGCAACGGTGCCCAACAACTGTCCCTCCGCTACGGCGCAAATCCTCATCAAAAGCCTGCCTCTGCATTTATGCGGAATGGTCAGCTCCCTTTCAAGGTCCTGGGCGGTTCTCCAGGCTATATCAATCTCCTTGATTGCCTCAACGCTTGGCCCCTTGTCAAAGAACTCAAGCAAGCCCTTGGCCTTCCTGCCGCCGCCAGCTTCAAACATGTTTCCCCAGCAGGTGCTGCAATTGGTGTGCCATTGTCAGAAAAGGAACAGAAGGTCTATATGGTGGATGACATTGACGGAATTGGCCAGTCGGCATTGGCCCAGGCATATGCTCGTGCCCGTGGCGCCGACCGAATGTCGAGCTTCGGGGATGTCATTGCTCTGTCAGACAAAGTCGATGTACCTACCGCCAAGATCATCTCCCGCGAGGTTTCGGACGGTGTCATTGCCCCTGATTATGAGCCCGCCGCTCTTGAAATACTCAAGAAGAAAAAGGGTGGCAAGTATCTCGTGCTCGCAATAGATGAAAATTACGAGCCCGCAAGTCAAGAGACACGCACCGTCTACGGCGTCACATTGACCCAAGGGCGGAATGATGTCAAGATCACCCCGAGCGGAACCTTTTCATCAATAATTCGTCCTAAAGACTCTCCAGCTCTCTCCGAAGCAGCCCTCCGAGATCTGACCGTCGCCACCCTTGCCGTCAAATACACCCAATCCAATTCGGTTGCATACGCTTTCAACGGCCAGATTGTCGGCCTTGGTGCCGGCCAACAATCTCGAATCCACTGCACAAGACTAGCCGGAGATAAGGCTGACAACTGGTGGATGCGATTCCACGAGCGAACACTCGGTATCCAATGGGCTAAAGGAGTCAAGAGACCGGAGAAGAGCAACGCGATTGACATGCTGTGCTCCGGCCAAGTTCCACCTCAGAGCGAATTTGAGGTCAAGGATTATGAACGCAATTTTGCCGAAGGACAGGTCCCTGAGCCGTTTTCCGCACAAGAAAGACGTGACTGGCTCAGCCAGTTGTCTGGAGTGGCAGTTTCAAGCGATGCTTTCGTAAGTTGATGAACCTCTAACCTTTCATTCTATCTGAAGCCACTAAACTGATCAAATTACGCATCTAGTTCCCCTTTGTCGACAACGTCTACCGAGCTGCGCGAAGTGGCGTCAAGTATATTGCAGCGCCGACTGGATCCCAGAACGATGGGGCAGTCTTCGACACGGCAGAAAATCTCGGCATCACATTCATCGAACAGAGCACACGGTTGTTCCACCACTAGTCGACTGTGGGTCAGTGGAATGTGAGATAAAAGGAAAATCATTTATTCGTCATAGATTCAACACTTTGAGCTGATGTCCCCATGAGGGCACGCAAAGCCCTTGAAAAATTTCCATTGTCACACCAATTTACCTACGCTGGCGTGGTCAATCATACCCATCGTTAGCCAACATGGCGATTCCTCGTGATAGCTTCGGCGGGCTTTGCACCTGCTGAGTTGCCCGTTTCTTGGTGTCGCAAATTGGCAACATTGACCCTGACGTTGGTGAATCGTACATCGATCGATCGCTCTTGATCCTCTCATCGGGGTAGACCGCCATTGAAGATTCATTCATTCGTTCATTCACTTTCATCTTTCCCCTCTTCCAGATCACCTAGTTCTCTAGCCCTGTATTCCCAATACTTGCGTCTCACAGGATCCCACTTTGTGGCTAGCGCGGTCAAGCACAGTCTACTTCTCTTGAGATTGCCGTCGCGGCGATAGATCTCTGCCAACCAGTCCAGGGCATGACTGCTCTTGACGTTTTGCTCACTGAGGAGGTCACCGTCCTGACCACCCACCAACCTCTCGCAAAAGACTTGCATTTCTCCTAATTCCATGCCGGCCCTCTTCAGGACGCCACGAAGGTAATTCCAAGGGCTTGCATTCTGTGGCGCCCAGTAGATTCGATCTTTGGCATAGTTGATCTCGCGTTGTATTATCTCTTCGTCAGTGACGGAGAGTAAGCCTCGGCCCTTCTCGAGCACTTGTCGCCGGTTGGCGCCCGACCCAGACGGCTGCTGTTGCTCTTCAATTACTCGGAGCTCCTCGGCCCCAAAGCATACAAAGTACCGATGATTCCAGGCTGAGTTGTTCCGGACATCGTCCGTGAGCATGGTGTCCATGGCCTGCAATTCCATGTCTGTGTTGAGAAGTGGATCAGGGAACCGTCGGCAGAGCCACTGGCGGTAGCTCCAGACGTGGTAGTTCTTGGTGTCGAAGGATAAAATACGGGCAAGGAAGTCGGTCTCATTGGTGGGGAGACTGGGCATCAGGGAGAGGAGGAGTTGGCGATGGTGCCTTGAGAGGGAGCGGCCAAGGTTAGCAATAGAGACTCTCGCCAATGCTGGGGATAGCAGACGTGAGAGACATGGTGCCGGCGGCTTGGTTTGATGAGACAACCGCTATCACCAGGGACCATGCCCTTTCGGGTCCGTAGGGGATGGAGCATTCAACAAATCAAGACAAGAACTCACCAGATCTGATAGTTCTTCAGATTCTTCTCACTGATTCCTTCTAGCCATTGCAATTCCTCGGTCACCCCGTCCTGAACATCCAGACCTTCTCGCTTCCATACCGCCTTTAAGCACTCTGCCCGATACAGCCAGACGGTATAGTGGGCGGGATTCATTGAGATGATGTCCTCAGTGAGATCAAGCACACGACGACTCCCCTCGTTGACTGCCATGACAGCCCGGAGATATGACATGGCTTCTGAATATCGTGGGGAATAGGCAATCGAGGCAAGGGCAGGGCCTGGGTCGGTCTGGCCGGGTTGCAATGGCGGTCCATCGATTAGTGGTATGGGTGTCACATCTTTCCATATTGGTGAAGTGGCATAAAATGGAGCTTTGGTCATCCTGCCCGGTTTCTTGCTTCCAGAAGTCCTAACCGGGAGGGAAGGTTTGGTGGTGGTGGTAGAAGCCATGGTTCTGGTGGCGAGACCTTTGCCAAAAGGCAGATAACTGAAGCTTGTTGGAGATGCAAGATTGTCCTGTGCTCGACAGAGGGTGTGGGCTCTGCCGGTGATTAATAGACGTGTCACACAGCAGATTTATATCAGCCACTCAACCGGGTTGAGTCTAGGAGACAGAAGAAATCAGAAGCAGACTCCTGATTGATGCATGCTGGGAGAAACAAGATAACCAATGCACAATTGAGAGTTATGCGAGCGCTCGACTTTTCTCAAGGTAACCAGGCGTGTTGGCTGATAGTAGTAGGAAGGAATGAGAGAACAATAGCAAGCCATCGTCCGTCCGTCGTCAGGCTCGTGTTGATAATCTCAGCCTCACGTGATGTGGGACATCCCTTGCGAACTTTCCCAAGAATGTCTACTTGACCTACGAGGAGAATATCAGGACACACATGGGTTATAATATCACGATCATTATTACATATTACTCCGTAGTACTCATTATCCTCACTAGAGAGGTCGCCGCAATGTTGAGAGTTCAACTGTGTAGACAATCCACGGCATATACAAGGAGCATGCCGTGCTGTACACAATGACCCCTAGCAGTTCCATGCATGAGCCAAATGCTGCCATACTCCATCGCTATTGATACAAGTATTAATCCATGGTTGGTGCAGATGAGGGAGATTATTGCCAGAATTTCCACTCGGTGCGTCTTTGCAATAGACCAACACCCACCAAGGCTTCAATACCCTCGGCGCCCTCGGCGTTCAAGAATTTCTGTTGGTCAATTTCTTCGCCTCCTTCTTCGTCTGTCCCATTTCGAAGGATGGCCGGGTAGAGCATGCCTACGCCACTCCCTCCCAAAGTAGTCTTGAATTCTTCGAATCCGGCCGCCTCGAACTTTTCTTGTAGCTGGTCTAAATGTTCAGGGTCCGCGTCGTTCTTTAATAGGGTAATGGCGCATCCGCCGCCACCAGCCCCTGTCAGTTTGGTCCATCCAATGCCGGCATAGTCGACGAGCTCTCGGATGTACTCCAGCTTGGGATGAGAGACACCAAGTGAGACCAACAGCCCGTGATTGATGCGGAACAGGTCGCCGAGATGTTCAATGTTCTGGGAGGAGGTGGGGTCGAAGTCACTGGAAGTAATCAAGTTGTATGCGGACATGGTGACTTCATCGATGTTGTGTAGGGTGGCCTCAGTGACGGCAGGGTATTTTTTCAACAGTGCGCCAACTTTGGCTACCTCAGCTGCGGTGGTACGAGGTTGCTTTGTGTTGATCAAGAGAAGAGGAAGCTCGGGAAAGTCCCTCAGTGGGGTCGAAGTCGGAGGTTTCTGGTAATCGGTTCTTTTGAACAGTACAGCTCTTCCTCTAGTTGCCACAGTATTGTCTATACCGCTAGGGTTTCCATGTATGCACAGTTCGCCAACAAATGCCCACTTGTTTATTCTTTCGAGTTGGACATCTACTTCCTCTTCAGGCTGGTCATGATGTGGACCTGAGAGAACGTGGATTTGTTTAAGGAGGGCAGCGCTGATGCAAACGCAAATACTTGCGCTGGAGCCGAGGCCTGCACCAATGGGCAAGGTTGAGCGCAGGGTGTATATTGCGGCCGGGGCAGAGGGGCTGCTCAAGCAGAGGAAAAGGTATAGAAATGAGGAAGCAGCAGCTTGGTGGATCTTTCTTGCGTCAGGAGGAAGGTGAGGAGATACGGTTTCGATATGTGGTTGCATTGCTTTGACCAAATCTGGGTCCAGTGAGGTGACCATGTCATAGTAGCGTGGTTTCCGTGAGGTCTGGCCCAACACGTGCCATGGTAGGTTGTCTATGTTCCAGGTATGATCAAGTGCAATATCTGGAAAGATCAACTGAATGGTCCGCTGGGACTTTGAGAGGGTGGTGACGAGGAAGTATGTTCGTAGGGAGATTGCGGCGGCCATGGCAGCTTTGCCGTGGACGACAGCGTGTTCGCCAAAGACAATGACCTTGCCTGGGGCAGATACCATAAAGGGAGGTGCCATGGGAGACGAGGCCTTTCTGATTTTCACTTTGGAGTTTCGAGGGGAGAGGTCTGAAGACCCGTTGGTCGCATGTCCATTGAGACCATTGGTTCCATTGGTACCGTTGGTGCCGTTGGCACCGTTGACTTTGACTGTTGCTTTGTTCGCCATGTCGATTCGAAGGACCGTCATCGGCCGAGAGTGCAGGCAGCAGGACTGACCTGCGTGGGAGAATGGCGAGTCAAGAGGGATGGAGAAAGAGGGAGAGGAGGTCAAGGGCGGGAACAGGCGTCGTCACCACGGTGGTGTGGTAGACTGGGTTGCCCAAGTCCAACAAAAAGTTGCTTGGGAATGAATATGTGAGTGAGTATGCGACAAACTCGCAGCAAACGCGGTTGGGGAGGATTGGATTCGGCCCCGTGGAAGTGGGTGTGGATGGACTATGCTGTAGGCTCGACGTAAAGTTACAGGCCGCACTGTGTAGGCTGCTGGGGCTTGGGCTTTGAAAAGGGTTCCATGGGGCTATCAGTGGGCTATCAGTGGGCTATCAGTCTCCTATGGGACCGCCCCTTGGTAATGCCCAGCCAGTAGGATTTGGGGTATATGGCCTTGTTTTTTTGCTGGTAAAGGGTGTGCAGGGGCGAGTATGCAGGAACCAAGCTCGCTAGTTTAGTGCCTAAGGAAGTTGGCCTCTGGGTCTGCACCCCTCATCACTCCAGACTCGATTTTGCTGACGATGCTGACGTGCATCTCGCCGTCTTCCGGGTGGCACCATTTGACTCTATTGGCCATCTTTGACTTTCGTGGAATTGAGACTAAAGGACGGAGGATGTGAGTTCTTACCACATGAGCAGTACACCATTATTGGAACTCATGTTGTCTATTCGGTTAATTACCTAGTAACGCAGCGCCATCATGTCGTGCTTCTCGTAAGTCATCATCATCCTTATCATTCCCAACACTCTCCTTCTCCATCCCACTCAGCCTGAGTCTGAGTCACTCAACTCTTCAAATCTCCCCTCATCTCGAGCAACCTCGACAGGATTCTTCACATCCACCACTCCTGTCGCCTTCAATCGCTCAAAAAGAACAAACAATCTCTCTGCCTCCCGTTCCTTTTCCTCTCTCGACATGGCTGGTTGCTCATGCACAGGCTCTCGGTCCACCCGTTGCCCTGTGATAGGGTTGAAAGGGATGGCCGTGTCCGACGATAGCTCCGCTTCTGTAATCTTCGCACTATCCGGCACTGGAATCTTGTGTGACATCAGATAGCCTGCTGCGTAGCCATATCCTATATTCTTGACGTATTCATTGGCATCTTTGTTTGATAGCTCAAACATGAATCCTGAGATAGCTTCGGTGAGATGTAGCAGGCCAGACGACGTGGTGAGGCGCAGGAGTCGCGATGCCAAAGAACTTGAATGCCCCAGAGGCAGGTCACGCTCTTCATCCTGCGGAAGGTACTGCAACTTCAATCCTTGCCGAATCGTTGCATCCGCGTTTTCATTGATTGTCCGCAAGATGGTCAAAAGTGGCACCGCCAATGTGTCTAATTCTGTCGAGCTATATCGCGTAATGGCATCTTGCAGGATAGTCGTGATCGTTTCAACAGCCCGTTGCAACTGCTCAGAGCTCACATCCTTGAAATCGTCCTCTTGTACTTGTATGTTGGCGAGAACATGAATTGTGTGATTAATAGGAGGTTGAAGTGGCGGTTGAGGAAGAACGGTATGGTTCAATATCGACACCAAAGAGGGCATGACGGCCCCGAACTTTTTGACCTGCTCAGACTTGGCGCTGGTGAGGTTGAACAACAACTTGAGAGTCTCAGAGAGAGCCATCTGCTGGCTTTGATAAGTCGAAGGTTTGTTTGCACTAGATTCTTGCGTGGCCAAGGCATGCTGTGAGAGAAGTCCAAAGATGGTTGGAACAAGGTCGCAGTCCAGAATCAGTGCTTCGACATTGATCGCAGAATCCAGCGTCAATAGAAAAAGTATCCGAGACAGCACAAACTCTGCATCAAGGCTTGCCTTTTGCAGAGCTCGTGCAGCTTGCTTATCCAAGGCGAGTCGAAGGGCTATTTTGCGGGTAGAGGGCAGAGTCAGAAGTGCGTTCGCCAGACACCTATTTGCCTCCAACGCAGCAGGTCCTGCAGGTCCATCAAACCCATACGCCTGGAGAACTCTGATTCCGAATTCATCATACAGAGGTGCGACGATATTCGGTGTTCTTCCCAAAATCTTCAGTCGAGTGAGGAGGTCAATCTGCTGCTGCTCGCTAAGGCCATTGTCCTCAAGGCCACTTCTCAAGGAATCTAGGAGAGTCTTGGCATCGGCGGCTTGCGGTGATCGAGTCGTCATGGATTCAAGGGCTCTCACTAGAGCAAGGATACCTATTTCAGCACCATTCAAGAAGTTCTGTCCGAATAGAAAGACCTAGTGACAGTGAAACAAGGTGAAATCCAAATCATCAAAACTACGGAGTGGGCATATATCTTGACTTGATTCAAGGATACGGGGATCTAACTGAAATGAGACTAGCCAGACACCATCCACGAGTCATGCGGGGGGACACCCATTCGCGACCACTAAAAAGTGCCACTCCAACTGCACCGCGTGTTGCAACGCGTAAAGTGGCTGGTGAGCGTCACGCTTGCCGCGTCTCTATCAATCCACCATCCAGTCCATGGCATCCTTTTGTACTTGACTTCCCATCTTTCGCGTGTTGCCTTTTGGAAGACATTCTGTGGCCTTGAAATCGTTTCTGAACATTCCCAGCGACTTCCTGTTTTCTCTCAACGCGAGCATGAGACTGCAGGCAGGCTCTCTGTCCCTTACAGTCCTAATACTGGCCGCTTGAGCCCTGGTCACCTCCGCCCAACACCTCCCATCATGTCTATATTCGATCTTCCACCAAGCCCGCCCTCCACATCTTCTCGAAGAAAGCTACACCATCCTAACCCTACGGTCGATTTTCTCAGTACTCCAGACTCGCCAGCATCATTCCCTGCCAGTTCAAGTACCACTCGAAAACGCGTCGAGTTCTCCCCTTGGACCAATGCCCTCGATCCCCATGGCTCAAGTCAGCCTTCCTCCTCTGCCCCAGTTGTGAAGCCTCTTTTACCCTCCTCAGAGTGTCAAGCTTTAAAGTCCATCCTCAAACCTACCGTTACGGAAGACATCCCCGTGATCAGCAATGCCCAGTTGCAGCAAGTTGATTTGTCTGTGGGCGAGATGATTGAAAGCATCATTCAACAGCTCAGCTGTGACGAACGAACCGTCTCCGTTGACGCATATCAGACCTTGTGGAGAGTAATTAGGCAATATGATGGAATACCGGAAGAGGCCGTGCTCAAAGTCAAAGTTACAGCCATCCTTAGATACATCAAGAGAGACATCCTCCGGCCAATGCTTGAAATCGCCGACACAAACCTCATCACTCAGGCCTTGAAGATCTTGGTAATTCTGGTCTGGAATCCAGACTTCTCTGTCTTTTTGACGGACGAATATCGATCATTCGTCCTCGATCGCTCCATTCTCGTCATATCCGAGCACACAGCACCAAAGAGTGTCATCATGCATTATCTACACCTACTCGCAACTCAAGAGTTCCGCCCTAATCTTATCACTTACAACAATCGGGCCACTCGTTTACTCGAGGCTCTCAAGGTGCTTTCCGATTACTTGAAAGGCAACGGCATTCTCTCGGAACGATTACTACTTTATCGCAAGCTCCTCGATCAGACAAAGGCAACCATGAAGACAAAGGCACATCTCTGGGTTGAAGAGCTTCTGAGCGGCATGACACATCACATGAAGGATGTTCGAACAAAAGCTGTAGAGCTCGGCTTACAAGCTTGCTCAGCATTCCCCACATCGTCGTCCATATCTGGCTCCGTTCGTAATGCCCTCTCCAGCGAGCTGGATAATGGAATGACAATGGGAACGGCTATGTCTCGAAGACTGGAAAAGATGATCGCTACCAAGGATGACATGGTTCAGGTTCCTCAGATCTGGGCTATTGTCGTTCTGCTCAGCAGCAGCGTGGATACTAAGGTCGATGACTGGGCGGAGCTAAAGGACTGGTTGAAGGTCATTCAACGATGCTTCAATTGCAGTGAATTAGCTGTCCGACAACAGTCAAACATTGCCTGGAATCGATTTGTGTCAGTCGTCAGACCCCACGAAGCGTCAGACACTTTGTTGTCCATGTTGGCGAAACCCATCGCTGCCCAGCTGGAGAAGCAAGCCACCGGAAACATGGTCAAGAGTAGCAGGGCTGCGGCAGTGTCAAGCTACTGCAACCTCCTGTATTACGCCTTTCGTCCTGCTGCTACTCACAAGCAGTATACCCGTGTGTGGAACGAGTACATTGTCAAGCTGATGAGGAGCTCTTTTTTTGAGAAAAACATTGCGAATGCAGATATCTCCTGTCGTGTCCTCATGGCCATTCTTTGGAATTCTTCCAAGGGAGCCAAGGTGTGGAATGAGAGTCGCGCTCTCCAGGACTCTCGCCCAATCGCGCCCGAGGAACTTCCCACCATCGACTGCAAATGGGTGAGGATGAGAAGCAGTGCCATTGTGGATATGTTTGGTGTTCTCCTGAAGTATTGTTCATGGGGAGCGTCTGGACAATCTGACAAAGCATACATCGCAGTGGCCTGGACTCACTTCCTCAGAGCCCAGAGAGAAGCCAGCAGCAAAGAGATCAAGCCAACCACGGAGACCAAACACGCCACTCTTACCGTCATTCAGTTCCTGAGTAAGTTGTGGGAGGACGCCGAAATGGACTTTCTGAATGACAAAGCTCAAAGCCTGGCCCAGATTAGACAAATGACACGGAGCACAATCCTCGAGTTGGGGCCACTTCTAGTATTGACTGCTCTAGAGGCGAATCCTTCGGGGTCTCTTGTCTTCGTGTACATGGAATTGTTCAACCATTTAACGTCCGAACTGTACTCATGCGAAGAGTCTAACGACCACCAGACAGCCATAACAGGCCAGCGAGCTTCGTCGCAAATTCTGACGTCTTCTTACGAGAGATGGATCGAGTCGCTTACCATCTTTGTGTCGGATCATATGAAGGGGCAGTATTCTACGGCTTTCTCCAAGCATGTGCTCGAAATTCCAGTGTTGCTCTGTGAAGTCCTGAGGAGAGCTCCAGGGGACTATCTGGCACATATATTGACAAAACTGCAAGATTCGATCATTGTCATTCTTGGCTGGCCGACTGGGATCATTGCACCAGATGACATAAATAGCCTCCCCGTCGACAATCTATCCTGGGAAGTCGTCAACGCCTTGACGAGGATACCCGTGGAAGATCTTCATACCTTCGATGACGTCTTTGAGGCAGTTTTCAACTGTGAGGACCAGAGACGAAATCATGATGCCATCCAGATTTGCAATGCTAAATTTAGGCCTGAAGATGAAGAAGCACTTGGACCCAAGTTGAGATTGGCGTTGACTCAGTTCCAGAGCCTCTCTTCAAATGACGGTCCCGAGCGTGATATACGAGAATCGTCTTGTGAGAGCAATGTTGTTCCCCATGGCGAGCAAGAGGAAGCTAAATTTACCACCGACATGGACTCGTTTGGCGTCCAATCACCAATATTGGGAAGTCAGGGTCAATCAATAATGGACATATCACCTGGGCCCCACGACCATGGCGACGACCTTGAGACAACTTTGGTAACATTTCAGCACAACACTCGGGTCCGGCATGACGACTCTCAGGTACATTTCATACCCATCGTCTCGTCTTCTCCGCTAAATGAAGACCCTGAATCACAATTCCTGACGGCACGTCAGAAAGATGTGCGCGAGAGACAACGTTCCGAACCGGCAGTGGTCTTCCCGGACCTCAGATCAAGCCCGAAAATCCACAATCGCTCGCAGAGTTATAATGACTGTGAGTTTGCAAGGAAGGTGGCCGACTTATCCGAAAGGCCTTCGACGCCGACCTTGCCAACACATCACGAACAGAACGAAGTCGAGATAATGGAGTCGCCGACGCCGAGAGCTCGTCATTTCACAACAGGTATTCTCGATGTTGAAGTACCGTCATCTCCGCCTTCGCTACCTGACAACCAAGATGACGTGATGATTGCTCTCGAAATTATCTCTTCGCCCTCTCATGTGCCGTCAGACGGTGCTCAAGGTGGCATTCAGATTGGAATTCCGCAGTCAGACCCTCCAGAAGCGGCACTCTTGGAGGCTTCGAACGCAGTCGAGGGCAATCAGGAATTTGACACCTCCTTCCGAGCGACCTCTCCAGTACACCTAGAGCAAGACACGGCGAGGAATGATGTGTCTACTAATGATGTGAGCATGTGCGAGGATGCTCCTGGTCAGTTCTTCACTGCTCCCGAGGAAGATAGACCCGAGATCTCTCGATACTCCAACCCAGAGATGATGTCCGGCGCAGCCCCCGAAGATGACAACGACGAAATAGACATGCTCAGTGCATCCCAGCTCTCCCAGGACCTTGACCTCCACTTGTCGAGGAAGGTCACTGCACCCATCGTCTCAGTCTCCACACACGATATTCCTGCTGAGAATGAACATGTCAACCCAGAAGCGCGAGCAGAATCAAGATCGTACAATATACGGAAACGAAAGGCCCAGGATTATGCCGGGCCTGTGAAACGAAGAAGGGGAAGGCGATCATCCCAGCGTAATTCGAATTCTCAAGGTTATAGTTCTTCTGCAATTCAACCAGGAAGCCAGCAAGAGATGCTAGACTGCATTGAAATTTTCACATTGGTTCGTGTCGAGGCTGAGGCCGAACCAACGACTCGAGAACCTGTCCAAGAGCCTCTAAGCATACCCTCCGTGATGCCCAAACGACGACGCGGACGACCAAGAAAGTACCCTCGACCGGCTGAGGTACAAGCATTGGAAGCACCTACGGTGCTTTTGCAAACAACATCAGACAGTCCTCCTTTGATGGTAAAGGTTGAAACCTCAGAACCTTCGATTGCAGATGCATGTGGGGATGCTAGCCCAGGGGAGACTCGTGAAGCACGGAGAGCAGGGTCAAAATCGGATTCTGTATCGACAAAGGACGCCAGCGTTGAAGTTGTGGATAATCAAGAGCGAGATGCGAGCTTGCTGCCTCAAACAACTCCAATGGACGCAGCACCATCTACGAATGACTACGAGAATGTCAACCAGATGGAGCCTGCTACGCTCGAGTTCATGAACACGCTGCAACAGGCTTTGGACCAACTCAAGTCGAGTAACTCTGGGGCCAATATCGACTTGCGAAAAGTTGATGACCTTTGCTTCCAGATCCGGTTCCAAGCTCAGGTACTAAGTCAGCCAGCTGTGGGCCAGTGATGGGCCGAGGGGCTTTGGATGACCCTATCATCGTAACCACTCACAACCCGATAGATTTGAGGCGAGAAACCACATAATCTCAAACTGGTTGATATTGCTTGGGAGCATCAAGACTAGAGGGGAATAGCATTGAAGACTAGGACACAATATATTATTGTACTCGTACGACTTATAAGTTATACTCCGTAGAGGAAGCATCATTTCGGGTCGATCTTATTGGACGAGAAGTGAATTCCAGTAATGTGGATATATAACACGTGATATCCTGTGTTCAAAACGGAGATTCGGACCTCTGCACCAGCAACGCTCCATCGCACCTGCCAACCACGCACTTGTGCGACTCCAAGCTACGGACCGGACGCCGTAAATATCACGTGCTCGTCACCAACTTCCGTATCTTCCCCCAACTTTATCCCCGATCTCCGTTCGCAAATCTCATTTACAAACTCCTCCAACAGACTTGCACTTCTTTTGTTAGCTGTCTCTCGTCACTGTCGCTTTCGCTGTTGGTCCAGCTACGACTGAGAATAACGTCGTCATTCTATCTACGTCTATCTTTCCGGAAAGACAAGCTCATCATGGCCGCCGCGATAAAAGCCCTCAATGCGAAGATTCGCTCCAACCCAGTCTCCGACTATATCTGCTCGACACGTACGTCAAAGTTACAACACATTTCCCCCAGTCTCTTGTCCAATGCTCATTGTGCTGGCTGCTCTTCTCTTATCCTCAGCATCAGCAATCTTTTCTAGTGTTTACTTGAATTCACAAAGTCGGCGCTGTTGTTGACCTGTTGAACCTATACTGACGTGTGACTCACAAATAGATTTCTGGGGCCCGGTCTCGAACTTTGGAATTCCTCTCGCAGCTGTTTTGGATACACAGAAAGACCCCAACATGTACGTCTTCTCCATCGCTACACGCAGAATAGCGTCTCCAGCATACTCCGCATCCCATATCCTCCCTTAGCCTACCTGCGTTTCTTCTTCCACCACTTTCATAACCTCAGCTGACGAGAAATCGCAGCATCTCCGGTCCCTTCACCGGTGCTCTGACCATATACTCTGCAACATTCATGAGATACGCCTTGGCTGTTCAACCCAAGAACTACCTCCTTTTCGCATGCCACTTTGTCAACTTCAACGCACAAGTTGCGCAGGGATATCGGTGGTATGATTACTGGTAGTAAGTGGATACCCTTGGCCCCCAGCGCTATGCTGTTATTATGATTGCGGATGCTGACGGTCTTCTCTAGCCGAGGGGGAGCCGACAGATGGGCTCTGATCCGTGAAGAAAAGGCTAAGCTCGAGGGAGCTGCTGAATCGATAGCAGTTCAAGCCAAGGATAAAGCCTCAGAGGCTGTTGAACAAGCAAAGAAGACCGTTTCTTGAGCTTGAGGCTGTTGATGGATGCGCACGCATGTGCTTAAAAAGCTTCTACTACTTGTACAGTCACGCCAGAGAAGGGTTGGGGCAATGACTCTTCTGGGCCAGACGACACGGTATAATTTTGGAAAACCCGTCGTCTAGAAGGCATATCCCTTCATCCGGGAGGATTACTTTTCTTTGGGTAAGTCGGGTTGATCTCAAGATCTCGAGCCATGGCAGCGTTAGATGAATACAGAATGACGCACCCCGTCTTGAGCCTTGCCTTCAAATTCAACAACCATCCATCCTGTGGTCAAGTCATTGTATTCTTCTCTGCAGACATCATCAGTACCATGTGACAAGTCTAACGACTTGATTGAGGCACGTTGGTGGGTGTTACTCAGACCATCTACAAACCCCACGTTCCAACATGTCAGATGCGTCTTTGTCGTTTGCTTTACCACCCGTCCTATCGATACCTCGGTCATTCGTTTGCACTCAGACCAGGACTCGGATGACATTTGTGCCTTTCAGTGTCATTATGCAGGCGGTATGACTGGGACGTGATATCTATAAAAATTGTGGATGCAGAGCCTCTGCTTCTTTACTTTGTCAATCTCGCTCTCCATTGCCATCCTTTGGAAAGCTTTCGACGGTGAAACCAAAGCGCTAAGCAACCGGAAACTACTTTGATCTGTTCAACACTCAAGCCTATTCTCAACAGCGTGTACGATGAGTTCTGGATCCAGTTCGGGACCCGGTGCGGAACCAAATGAAAGAGAGGAGGAAACATTCTCCTTCATTACCAATGGACGACTACACCAGGATACTGTGGAAGAAATGGAGGTCAGGGCGACCGAAACCTTGATCTGGCTTGTTCAGTATTCCCGATCATACAGAGCCAAGTCAGACATTACCTGCTTAGAAGCCCAAAAAGTCCCCATGTCTCGAGTTCTAACCATACTAACGATCAAATTCTAGTCATCCGCCCGAGACACCCTCAACCAACGTAACGACTGCACATCGCCAGTATGCCGACACCTTTGTAAAGCGACTGTCTGATCGGTACAAGATGAAACCCCATATAACGCGAAACTTTCTGGAAAACGTGGACGCTCGCCGCAGTGGCAACATCTCACGAACAGATACGTTCGTCGCTATAGGACAGCTACTTGCATTCGACAACCAGATGTCTGACCTGGCAGCTAGTTTTGTTCCTGAAGCATACATACCGGAGCCGTTTGCAGAAGGCAAACAAGGGGGTATCAAGGAAATGATGGACGTCATTTCCGAGGCTCATTGGCAAAACCAGGAACTATACCGCGCGTTTCTGGTGGTGCTGGCCAGGGCTAACCGCATCGGCACGCGTATCGAATCGTGGTTGCTGCAAGTGAGTCTTGTGTTTGCGGACCAGCCGCATTTCGTACAGTGGTTCAATGCCTTCATGGCCAATGTCCCCAGCGAGAGAGTCTGCATCGCCGCCGGTCTGAGAGACGACACCGACGGTTTAACCGAAGGTCAGGTCAAGTCGTTGACAGAATACCGGTTTCGTCATGCCATTCGATCACTGTGGGGTGAGGATTCCACGCAGTTTCAGTCTTTACGGCGCATGGAGCAGGGTATCCTCGACGGATCCCTCAGCCAGCCCCAGGCCATGCTCAATGCAAAGACCCTGTTCATGAACCGTCCGGTCTTGTTCGTCGCCTTCAGACATCATTATCTTCCCAAGTTGTTTCATCGAAGAAATGCCTTGAGTGCATCGGCGTCTGCTTCCAGGTCCGCGGCGGGGCCTTCGAGAAGTGGCGGCGGGGGATCGAGTTCCAAGGCGCCTCGTAGATGAGCTTTTCTAACGCTGGCCACGATTGGAACGGGAATCTGCTTCGCCTTAAGTCCATAGATCGGTTTCATTGGGCAATGTGTGCCTTGTGGGACAAATATAGGTAGATCGAATAATTCTTCTGCTTGGGAGATAAAGTGGATAGAAATAATAGATTTTCCCAATAAAAAGCCCGAAAATCATCATGTCAATTTGATATGCTCAGCAACACTGTGCAAGATGTAGATAGACATAGAAACCGTTTGCATTCTTCTTCCTTCCCGGGGAATCATACATTCAATGTCCAAATATCGACTGAGTGGAGATGTTCAAGACATCTTATCAAACCGCAAAAACCAAAAGGTGGTCCATCGAGAGCGAGGAGACCTTGACACCCAAGGGAAGAAGTTCTGAGCTCTCCAGGGCGAACCCTGACTTCTCATCCAGCGCTGATCGCAAGGCATGAGCACCAAGGAAATCCATCCAACCATTTCAATACACGCTCTCCTCACATTCACGTCGGCCTTCACGTTCCCTTGGTGAAACTGTTCCACATGCCACCCAGCACGCCCTGTTGGCCCGCGGACTGCTCTGCAAAACCTGCACGTTTATCATCTTGACTGTTACGCTTTAAGCTTTGGAGGCCACCGAATTTATCGGCAGCAGAAGACTGAAATTTCCCCAAAAGAAGATCGAGTCAGCGCCAGGAACACGTGGTGGAGTAAGGGATACCCAATGAAACATGGAGCAACCTACTCTTCTCCGGCCTGCAGCAGCAGCAGATAAAGGGTTCTGGGGATCGATTTTATTGGTCTCAATTGTCTTGGATTGGTCCTTTGGAGGGCTTCCTGATAGCTGGCTACCAGAGGTGGACTGAGACGATTGGCTATTGGTACGTGGCTTAAAGCCAGATTGCTTGAAGAACATATTGGGAGTTGGAATGGTCTTCAGATGTTGCAAGGGACTGACTGGTAGGGGATTGATTCAGTCGGGGAGTTTAGTAGTTGTGACAGGAATTGGAAAAAGAATCGACGTGTAGAAATGCAACCAAGAAAGGGAGTATAACAGAGCGAAGGTCAGTCTAGTTATATGGGTGATGCCAAAGTGTCGAGACCAACAAACTAGGCTAGGTTATGAGATGAGAGCGGGATCGAATCTGTTAAAACCAGGCGAGATCAATGGGAAACGGACGGCGGAAGTATAATGAATCGATGGCCGCAAATATGGTGACGTAGAAGACAGTGGAGGCGGAATCACAGGCAATGAGCGGGTGTATGAGCTAATGCTGGTGTCTTGCCTGGATATGTCGGAGATCAACTTTGACAGTTATGTGGCTCTTGCTGTCAAGGTTCACAAAAGTGTAAAGGCTCAATCAGAGGAGTGGACTGTAAAGCGTGTAGATGCGTGTGGGAGAGTTTATTGCAAAGATGTCGTTAGATCGAGCACTGAAGACCACGGAAGAACACTGAGGACGTGGGCAGCAGGACAACTTATGTTAAAGGAATACTCGTCAGGGTGGCTTTCGATTAGCAACATGTAACCGACTGGCCATGAGGGCCTCGATTTCTTTGACTTACCCCTCCTCAACTCGTGAGGCATTTCGAAAGGCGTTGTTAACCCAAGACCAGGTTGTGGGTAGACCTCTTTATTGGTTCAGGTATTGATTGAACCAGTCGTATCAATTCCTGGTCCTGGGGCCGGCAGAGATACCCCACATCTTTACTTTATCGATTGAACCATTTTTGGGCATCACAGATGGTTCTGGCCAAAGAAATCTATGCAACATCCAACAGAAGAGTTGGAGGAGTCGGGAATGATGATGCTGGGACGACTTTGTAAAGGGTAAAGGGTGGAAAGTGGGTCGTACCCCGCGCTGCCCTTAACAAAATAATCGCTGGCATTTAAAGGAAGCGGAAAAGCTGCTCTGTCGTGAGACCTATCTTGGAGCAAATCAGGTCTAAGCTAGCCACTTATAGGAGTCCAAAATTTAGCCTTCTAGGCTTCTAGGGGCCATTTCTGACTTACGGCTTACAAAATCCTACCTCCTCTCACAAGAGGAAAAAATTGTCAAAAATTGGCAAAAAATGGGCGCAATCCAGGGTTCGAACCTGGGGCCTCTCGCACTTTACTTAGAGTTAACCCTAAGCGAGAATCATACCACTAGACCAATTGCGCTGGTTGAGAACAGGACATCCAATTGTAGACGTTGTTGACACAAATTGTGACACATAAAACTATATGTCATATTTTGAAATTTGATGCGTGGGGCTGAATCCTGCCGAGACGCAAGACCAATTGCGGTTGGGAAGCAGTTTTCAGATACCTTGGCAGGAGCGGTTAGGCGACGTAGCAAAGGAGCTATTGAGGCCTGAAGAGGTCCTTGCACGATGATCAAACCACCTGCAGTCAGATGTTAATGGGAAGTTGTTGGTTGGATGAAATCATCGACCTTTCATGTGCTGTTGATCGTCTTTCACATGTCAGCTTACGAGGGCATTGTACCCAATAATGGGCATTTTTCTAGGACTGGGAGCATGGCAGGTCACTAGGTCAAATCTACTATCTGGAATATTTATTCTCTCCGGTTATATGGTATTTTCATTCTTTGTGCCTAGAATCCTATCCCAATTTGACAAAAACATACAGCCCTCGCAAGGCTTTAGAGTCATTTGACACATAGGTAACCAAGTCGCCCGTAGCTATCGCCCTCGGCATGATACAATGCCATGTTTTCCATCATTACGTGGCCCTGTTTTGACGCCGTCCCTTGCTCTTGTGAGCACGAGCATTTCAAGCTTTTGCAATTTTGGCAATCAGATCTGATGCAGCGACAGAGTCTCCTTCCTTGACAAAGATCTCACCGACCTTGCCAGAATGAGGTGCGCTGATGACCATTTCCATCTTCATGGCGCTGAGCACAGCCACGGGATCTCCCTTCTTGACCTCGTGTCCTTCCTTTGATCGCACTTCGACAACTACACCGGCAATCGGGGCTCCGACCTGACTGCTGTCACCGGGGTCCGCCTTTGGTCGACTGGTATTCTCAACTGCGGCCTTGTTGTCGTCAATTGTCACCTGTCGAACTTCACCATTGACTTCGTAAAAGACTTCCCGCTGTCCAGTAGCTTCCGACAAGGGACCAACAGCAAGGAGCTTGAGGATCAGGATCTTGCCCTTCTCGAGCTCGACATGGAACTCTTCTCCGATTTCAGGTTTGTTGAGGAAGAATTTGGTGGGTAGCACAGACAGGTCGCCATACTTGTCCACAAATTTGCGGTAATCCTCAAAGACCTTGGGATACATGACGTAGCTGGCAACATCGGACTCGGAAGTGGTGTCGAATTTTTCTTTGAGCTGCTTCCGTACTGCAGCAAAGTCAATAGGATCCAAGTAGAGACCGGGTCTCTTGTCCATCTTTCTGCGTCCTCGGAGCGCTCGGCTGCGGAGTGGCTCGGGGAATCCACCATAAGGCTGACCCATGTAGCCCTCAAGAAATTCGAGCACAGACTCGGGGAAGTCGAGCTCTGCGGCTTTGGCAATCACCGAGTCGTGGTCCAGCTTGTTTGATACCATGAACTGGGCCAGATCGCCGACGACTTTGGAAGTTGGCGTGACTTTGACAATGTCTCCAAGCAAATCGTTGGCTTGCTTGTAAGCCTTCTTGGTCTCGATCCATTGCGAACCGAGGCCGAGCTGGGTAGCTTGGAAGATCAAGTTCGTAAGTTGACCTCCAGGAATGCCGTGTTCGTATACCTCTGTCGCGAGTAATTAGTAACCATATACTTCGAGAAATCTGAGTGCCTACCTGGATCAGGTCCAGTCAATCCTGCTTCGAAGGGTGAATACACCAGCCGAAGTTGAGACCAGTATTGGTCAAGAGCACGAACGTTGTGGCCGTCCAAGCCGAGATCAAACTCTCCTCCCTCCAAAGAAGCCAGAATGGCGCCAATGCTGGGCTGAGAAGTCATGCCAGACATGCTGTCAGTCGCAGCGTCAACTGCATCTGCTCCTGCTTCGGCGCAAGCAACCATTGATGCCACACCAGTTCCGGCCGAATCGTGAGTGTGTACATGGATGGGAAGGTCTGGGTGGGCCTTTCGGATGGCACCGACCAGGATTCGAGCGGCTTTCGGTTTCAGAACACCTGCCATATCCTTAATAGCAACCTAGACCATAAAATTAGAATGAGATACCGCAGCAGTTGAGTTAAGCTTACTGTGTGGGTTCCAATTTTGACGATCTTGTCCACGAGGTCGAGATAGTACTGGAGGGTGTATTTTGTGTTGGGGTCCTGTTGACCATCAGTCAGTGCGGGTTCCAAGAAATGACAGCAGTTGCGGGGTGATGGGAAAGACGGAAATGAGAGCGGGAAGGTGTCGGGGTTGAGGGCATGAATATGGCAAGGTCCAGGACGAGCAAGCCAGAACAAGAATAGACATACCAGCACTAGTAGATAGTTAGCATAGGAACTTCGGGGAATTGAATGAATAGTCCTTACTGTCACCGCTGTAGCAGATTGTTCCTTCGACGACACCACCGGCCTCCTGAACAGCTTTCATTCCCACCTCGAGCTGATCGATGTCGTTGAGTGCGTCGAAGACACGGAAGATATCCATGCCATTCTTCTTGGCTTGCTTGCAGAAATGGTAGATGGCATTGTCGGGCAACGACTTGTAGGCGACACCGTTGGCACCACGCAACAACATCTGGAAGGGAATGTTGGGCACTAGCTTCCTCATCTTCCTCAGTCTGTCCCAAGGATCCTCATACAAGAACCGCATGGCGACATCGAAGGTGGCACCTCCCCAGCATTCGAGAGCATAAGCATTCTCCAGAGCATGGCTGGTTTCCTTAGCAATATTGCAGAGGTCGACAGTTCGGACACGGGTGGCCAGAAGCGACTGGTGAGCATCACGCCAAGTTGTGTCCATGATAAGGCAGCCTTTGTTTGCACGAATGGCTTTGGCAAATCCTGCAGGGCCCTCCTTGTCGAGAATTGCCTTCCAGCCTTTGGTGGAAGGTGCGGAGACGTCCAACTTGTTACCTTGAGGATCAAGGAGAGTCGGGTAGATGATGTCGCCCTTGAATTTGGACTCTCCAATCTGACCCTTGATGCTACTGCCGTTGACGGCGAGGTCACCCAGGTATTGTAGTAGCTTTTGGGCACGGTTTTGACTGCCAACCAGTTTGAAGAGCTCTGGGGTGTCGTCAATGAAGGTGGTCCAGCAAGTACCTTCGATAAAGGTTGGGTGGGTGAGCAGGGAGGCTAAGAACGGAATATTTGTCTTGACACCGCGGATTCTGAATTCCACTAGAGCTCGCAGCATCTTGCGACGGACGATCTCGTATGTGGATCCATGGCAACTGCACTTGACCAACATGGAATCGTAGTGAGGGGTGATGATGGCTCCGGCAAAACCGTTTCCACCGTCGAGACGAACTCCGTTACCACCAGCTGAGCGATAGACCTCAATCTTGCCAGTATCTGGGGAGAAGCCATTGGCAGGGTCCTCGGTGGTGATTCGGCACTGGATCGCAAAACCGCGAGTAGAGATACGGTCTTGAGTCAAACCCAGCTGTTCGAGGGTTGCACCGGCAGCAATTTGGATTTGAGCTGCCACAATATCGATACCGGTGATCTCTTCGGTGATTGTATGCTCGACCTGAATTCTGGGGTTGATCTCGATAAAGTAATATCGGTTCTGTTGATCGACCAAAAACTCGGCGGTACCTGCATTGCGATAGTTGACCGACTTGGCCAATTTGACTGCATCGTTCAGGATGGCATCTCTGGTTTCGGCAGGCAAGTCCTTTGCAGGGGCTAATTCGACGACCTTCTGATGGCGACGTTGGACACTGCAGTCACGCTCGTAAAGATGGACCACGTTGCCCTGGTTGTCACCAAGCAGCTGGACTTCTATGTGCTTGGGCTTATCAAGGAAGCGCTCGACGAAGACGGTACCGTTGCCAAAGGCAGACTTGGCCTCAGAGGTAGCTCGCTCGAAGTTGTCCTTGAGAGACTCTTGATCTCGGACGACTCGCATACCACGTCCACCACCACCGAATGCTGCCTTGATGATGATGGGGAAGCCATACTCGTCGGTGAAAGCCTTGACTTCTTCGAACTTTTCAACAGGACCTTCGGTTCCGGGAACGACGGGGACGTTGGCTTTGATGGCAATACGTCTCGCCGAGACTTTATCTCCCAGAGACTCGATGACTTTCCAGGAAGGTCCGATGAAGATGATACCGGCTTCCTCGACCTTACGGGCAAACTCAGAGTTCTCAGACAGGAAACCATAACCAGGATGAATCATCTGAACACCGTGGGCCAAGGCAATCTTGATGATCTCATCGCCAGCCAGATAGGCACCGACGGGGGTATATTGGCCTCTTTGACCGATCATGTAAGCTTCGTCCGCCTTTTGTCTGTGCATACCCAGTCTGTCTTCGTAGCTGAAGACGGCAACTGTTTGAAGGGAAAGCTCGTGGGCAGTTCTGAAGATTCGAATGGGAATTTCACCTCGGTTGGCAACGAGAATCTTCTTGAGCTGCATGATGCTCGAATTCGCTCTCAGGCGCTGATGGACTGAATGTTCATGATGACCCTGACCGTCCTCATGATCAGGAGTCGCTGTACCAGCTGTGGCTGAGGCCATGGTGAATGAAATGGTTGGGGGGCCCGGCTGCGAGCAAGGGCAGCGTCAGGCAGGTAGCTCCAGGAGCGGGGGATTGGGGGAGGTGATGGGAGAAAGACAAGGAACAGGTTGGTGTTGAAGGAGCCTGGTAAGAGAGAGAGGATATATAACAGCAAGCCTCGGGACAATACAACAAAAAGCAAGAGGATGTGTTGAGCTTCGGCGTTGACACCGGATCACAGGACGAAAACACAAAAAGAGCTACTCCGGGTCGAACCCAAAGCCCAAAAGATATGAGAGCTTCTATGAGGGATCTGGGACCTGGCCGATAAGCAACTAAGGTTCCAGACAGAGGCAGAGGCACGAGAGGGTGGGTCGGGCTGTGGATGGTGGGAGAGGTGTCATGGGTTGGTGAGGATATGCAGTAGTGGTGGTGTTTGGTGGGAGAGCAATAACGAAGCTGGCAAAGTGTGGTCAATGATGTAGCGAGGGGGATTCCAAGGCCGAAAAGAGGGGAGAACTGGGACGAGATTGGCGGGACATTGATGCCTACCGGACACTAAAACAGCCCTGGCAACCCCGGGTCCCCAATAGTAGCTGGATTATTTGCATGCTCGGGCCCAGGGACACCGAGGACAGCCTCGGCCACAGTAAGAAAAATACACACTAATGCCTATAGGTATGCCCATAGCTTCGACGCAGAGGCCCCAGGCACGCCAGGGTCAGAATCATTATGAACGGTAGCCACCACCGATTTGCGGGCTATTCCTGGGGATTCCCGAGGCCCGCAAAGAGGTCCTCATCGAAACTGACACTCCCGTCTCCCGTCTCCACAGATGCAGATGCGTCTCGTTCGTGAGGTGCTTCCCACATACTTTGAGCTCCCTGGTTGGTACCTTATTCTTTATTCCTTTATTCACCCACGGTATGCATTCCAGCTAAATCCAACAACCCAACTAATTCATTCTACCGTTGTCGGTGGACAGGAGATTCTCAAAGACTCGATTGTCCTCCTGACCCAGCGAGGTTTTTTAGCACTCTCCTTTTGACCAGACATGGCCACTGGGTCCCGGATGACCGGTCCAGTAGTTGTGACGTAGAAGTTTTTTGCCTGCAATAAGCGCTTCTCGCCGTCGTGGATGTCGGAGTCATGCAGCATTCTAAAAGGAAATACCGGGGATGCCCAGTCACGCCAGACTTTCCATAGCCTTTGGCCAAACGTAGTCACGCCAGCAGCCTTTTTTGTATCTCCGAAGCGGCAATGCATAACAAAATATCATCTGTTCTACAGCAAATATGGCAATCTTCCATTCCCTATTTCGGGCCATTCTCGTCCAAACTGGAAAGCTTCGGCTCTAGACTAAGTTTCACCGTAAAACTCCGAGATACACCGCAATGCTTCCGCCGTTCGTTCTGTACATTTTTTCCTTCTCACAAGCAAACCCATGGATACGGCAAACATCCAGTCCACGGTAGAATTATGTCTTTTGAACTCCGTTTTGAAGAATTACTGCACATTGTGGGCGGGCGACATGCACGAGAAAGCCACAACTCTTAAGAAACATTCTTCTGTCTCAAGACACCGCTTCCCAGCCATACATTGGCCACCTGCATCTCCGCCCTGATAGGCCTTGCTTTCGCTTATCTTTCACTTCTCATCCTGACCTGTCTTCCATCTCAACCGAGCAGATCGAGAGCAGATCGGGAGCAGATCATTATTTGGAGCTAGTAGAAGTCTGGTCAAGTGTGAAATTTGTCTAAGCCGGGGCAACTTCCCCAGAATCTGCTTCAGCCTCATGTACTAGCACCAATACGAAATACAGCTACAGCTTGCAAGAAACCCCGTCTTCCGTCCTCATCATCTCTGCCGCTTCATTGCTAAATTTTGATCGCCACGTCTTGTCCCGCATTCTCACATTGTTCTACAAGTAATCTTGCCGGCCGCCTCCAACATTGCCAATTTGAAGCATGCCGAGTTCGCTCCGACCCTTCCACGGCCCGACATCGCCCGAATCTCACATTACTCTGTCCTGACTCCTAACTTCCACCGCTATTCAGAATGCGCGGGGGAATCCGGTGGGTTGAGGCGTGATTCCGTTTGTATGTCCATACCCCGTGGGCGGTGGTCCCGAGCTTGCAGGCCCCTGGGTCAGCATCAGTCGGCTGCCAATGATTGGCGTATTGTCATCAGTCGTCTGTTGGCTCGACTCTTTGGCTTTGCGTTGCTCATTGTCTTTTCGCAGTTCCTCAATCGTTGCCGACTGTTGACTGAGATAGCTGATCATGAAGGGCATCGTAAAGTCATTCAAGTTGTGTCGCCACGAAACCTCCATGACGGTATGGAGAGGGATGAGATCATAACACGCGTACAAAATGCCAACGTAGCATTCGCGGCTTCCGATATCAACAAACTGCTCAATCTCATCAGTATCAACCCAACAGCCAAACATAAAACACGACTTACGTATCTCAACAGTTCCTCAACCACTTCCGACTTGCCTGAAATCGCAGCAGTCTCGATGGCATCGCGGAAAAGCTTGTCTTGCTTCGACAGCGTAATCGACTTCTCCCATCGCTTGTTCTTGCGATAGATTTGTGCCGCAATCTGACGGAAGAAGACGAGTTCATGCTTCTCCAGTCGTTGCGCCAATTCGACCGCATCGTAGTTGTCGTAGTTTTCAACAGAGTCCTTGAGAGTCTTGTAATCTTCCTCCTCGATGAGCAGGTCATGAATAGCATTGTTCACCACTCGCTTGTTCTGTCCTTGCACATTCAATAGGAATGGCTTGATGATGGGAATATTGTCCGACTTCTCAAACATGCGCACCACTCGGTTGACATCCACACGAGCCGTGAGAGCCTGCAACAAGTCCGTAAGGAGGAGTGGCTGCTCTTGCAGGTAGTGGTTGAGTGCCCGGTAGTAGATTTCCAGGTTGGCAACTTTAACAATAATGTCCTTGAATGAATGGTGCTCCCATGCATCAGCAGCACGCTCCATCATGGCCAATGCTGCATTGTCCCATTCGTCATAGTGGCAGTACAAAAAGATCAGTTCGGGCCATAGATGGGCCTCTTCTGTCGCGCGTATCATTTTCGGAATGTTGATTCTCGACCAGAAGAGCTTGAGATGCTCCATGACTCGGTCTGGGTGGTATTTGGCCAGTGCGATTCCAAGCTCGGTGAACATACCCATATGAGCGCGTTCAAGACCGAGACCTGCTTCGAGCAAAGAAATCAGTTCCTCAAAGTATCCGTTTTTCTCATACTGCTTGACCAAATCTTGCAGTTCCTCAGCGTGAACAATCAGATTCAGACCACAGATCTGTGCGAGTCGGAACTCCTTCTTCGCAACGCAGGCCTCGTTGACCTGTTTCCAGACCTTTACGCTGTTAGCACGACGTGCGCAATCCACTGCGTTCTGATACTCCTCCAGATGCACCAAGGTGGTAGCCAATTTGGCCCAATTGGAGATGCTTGTGAAGAAGATTTTCGCTGCCTGGTGGTAGCCCTCTTCGTACGCTTTATCTCCCGAGGCTTCAACATCGGCAACATTGGTTGATCGCAAGAAGTCCTCAAGCTCGGGTAGCTGATCGAGCCGGGCGTAGCTGAATGCGAGTGCAGTATCCACAGCGGGTTCACGTTGTGTCTTGCGGGCCATCTTCAAGAATTTGATCAAGTCTTCATCTTTGCCCGCATGAGTAGCAGTTTCGATCACCTCATTGTAGTTGCTGGGGTCTTGAGCCTTAATATACGACTCTATAGCGTCCGTGACCCTAAGACCATCAAGTTGCGCCTTTGCAACCTTGCTCCAGACTTCAGGCAAGTCAACGCCCTCGGCATATTCCTGAGCACGGTCGATGCTGACGATGTGGTCAACCAGAACATTTGCAGCGGAGGAATGGTCATTGACCTTCTTGTAGATCTCAAGAGCTTCCTCATACATGCCCTGCTGAATACACATATTGGCAATTTCCTCGGTATTGAACTCGGACAATCGCTGGATGTAGTCCATCACGCGAGATTTGTCTGCCTTGGCTGCGGTCAGCATCAATAGATTTTGGAGACTGGCATTGTCGCTGAATGGCGAGGGTTCCAGAATGATCTTCTCCAGAAGCTCGATCAACTCGCCTGGGAGATCCGCATCGAGGAATGCTTTGACGGCAATGGAGACCTTGTCAGGCTCGCTGGACTCAGGTACTGCTGTTGAAACGACTTGATCGACAAGGGAGCGTTTGTGAACGTTGTTTGGAGCAAGTACAAAGGCCCAGATCTCGGGATCAGCTCGTTCTAGTAAATACCGAGCCTGGGCGCGGAACATCGAGTTTTCATTCGTAATGTTGATGAGCTCGAGATCGTTTTGGCCCTTGCGGTAGGCGATGTATGCCAGATTCGGATCTCTCTTCTCACAGTATTTGCCCACTGTGAGCGTATCGTAAAGATCATTCTCCTTGAGAAATTGCTCGGCGTTGTTGTTACTGTCTGGTGGGGGAGGTTAGCACATATTCCCAGAATGACAAGAAAAAAAGAAGTTAGCAGCTCGCGCGTGGGTTCAGTATCTGTACCCATGTTCTTCGAAGGCTCAGGCGCAAACATTGGTAGGAGAGGGGAACAGTGCTTGGAAAGAGCAACGCAACTTACCGATGTAAATCTTGGCGAGTGCGTTGTAAACAGCCGGCTGTTGGTTGCCAGCTGACAGTGTAGCCTCCAGGAAAGGCAACAAGATCTTTAAACGGTTCTGCGTCTCGACCTCAGCGACCAGGTCGTCAATGGGCACGGCTGCTGGATCAACAGACTGCAGGAGACCCTTGATGACCGACTCTTCACAGTCGAGAGACAACAAGGCACCGACGACGGCTGGAGTGCGTGAGGGGTTCACTCGTTGCACGTAGACCTCGATTGACTTGTATTGTTGGTTTCGATAGAGATAATTGATGAGATCCTTGACGAAGTTGAACCGATCGCAGACAATGATTAATGGAAGTTGCTCCGACAGGCGGGCTTCAATCAAGAAGTTCTTGACCTTTTCAGGGTTGTAGTGATTATTCTCCCTGCAAATCCGCTCAACCTCTTGAAATTGTTGGAAGGTGACGGCGGCCTCCAAGTATTTGAAGACAACATCGGCATCCTCACTCAAGTTGACGATACTGCCGAGGTAATAGTACAAGCCTTCTGCAGTACGGTGTTTCTCAAAAAGCTGAATGAGGCGACCAGATCCCAGCAGATCGGAAAACTTTGTGGCGAGTTGGACAACTGCCGCCAGGTTTTGACGAATGTTCACCTTGAGCATCTCGTCCATTGCATCGAGGGATTGCTCGACCGAGAGACGGCCGAAGTACTGCTGGAGCCATTCTGGGCTCAACTTTTCTGTTTGCACAATGATGCGTTTGATGGAGGCTGGATCGTCGGTGTTTTCGAGCGCTCGCTGTAGAAGCCCAGCTTGCTCACAAAGACGTGCAACCCTAGACTTGTCATAATGAGAGAACATCTCATTTCCCAAGATGGCATCTGCAACCTGTGGCGCATTGAGTAAATTCATCTCTAGCAGACGGGTCTGAAGGTGGCCTTGATCAGGGCGGTTCTCTTTCAGAGCGTCGAGCAGGAACGCAGTTGCTTGCTGAACCATGTTTTGGGACATGAAGATGTCGACTACTCGGTCGATATCAACCAAGGGGCCACCCTCGTGGTTCGCAAGTTGGGTAGCAAACTCGGCGCCCTTCTCAGGGTTTGCCCTGACAATATGCTGCAAGAGTCCATTGAAGTCCGGTTGGTAGCCAGCTTGTTGTGCATAGGGCAGAATTTCGTCGAAGCGGCCAGTCTCTGCCAGAGCGGCAACCACCTTTGGAGCAGCATTTGACTCGCGGTAGATCTTCAATGCCAACTCCAAATCGTGAAGTCGGACAATATCACCTAGCTCTTCAGATGATTCTAGCTTGCCTTCGCTCATCCACTTGTCAAGAAGGTTCTTGCGGTTTTGGGCGAGGACTGGTTTGATGAGCTCCACACTCTCGTATCTGTTAAGCCGCCCCTTGTCCAAGAGCTTGCCAAAATACTGCAGGATGACAGAAAGTTGACCAGCTTGCTGCGGGACGGCCTTGAAGCGGTTGATAGTCTCCGGGGTCCTGAGAAAACCGCGAGGTGAGTCGGCAGCGATCTGGGCTGCTTCGGCATATTGACCTTGAGAGAACAAGGTCTCAAATTGTTGCTGATACAGATTGTCAGCGCCGGGAAGTCCTCCCTTGGATGCGAGTTTGACGGCTAAGCTCGAATTGGCCGGGTTCTGGAGAAGGTATGGGATGATGTTGTTTTCATCAACGCTGACCGACAAAACCTGCCCTTTTCGGTTGATACCGACGATGCCAGCAGACTCGGAGTCAGGAGCGGTGATGAAGATTGTCTCGCTCGAGATACGATTCATGAAGATGACGCTGGCGGTCTCAAGATCATAAAGATGGATGAAGCCGTACTTGGTGATCATGTAGATGATACCATACTTTTTGGAGATCTGCATGGCGACGGGGAAGTCGTTGACTGCCTCTTCGGGGAAGTAAACGTCAACGGCCTTTTTATTGAATCGTGGGTTGTTGTCGTCATGGTCGATTTCAACAACATGGAGTTTGCCTTGACCACTGGCGTTTCTCACCGCGAAGGTAAATAGTTTGTACGGGGTAGCATTACCCTCAGCATGATAGGTGCCAAAAGCGGCGGCATGACCTTCGATATGCTGAGAGATGCCACGGTTACGCGAATACAATTGCATTGTGCCCGCGACTCGGCCCTCTTTCTGAGAAATACCAACAATGACGGACCATTGATCATCGTCATTGACACGGTAGTTGATGATTTGGCAGCCATTGAGATTTGCGTTTCGCTCAAACAACTTAACTGGGGCCGACTGAGTTGGGTCAAAGATGTCCCAGTGATAGACAGAACTGTCGGTAACGAGACCAAGACTGCGGTCGTTGTACCACTTCCAGAAGACGATATCTTCATTCATGACGGTAGACTTGAGCTTGGATTTGTTGCCGAGATCAAAGATCTGAACGGTTCTGCCCTGAGCCTTGAGAGCAAGGATCTCACGCGAGAAGTGCATGATGGCACTGTCTGCGGTGATTGCCCGCTTGGTGACTTCATTGTTATTCTTGAGGTTGATGATGATGACCTGGGGCTTGTCTTGATCGTCAAGTTTCTGTCGAACGCAAACGAAATGATCTGATTCTAGTGTACAACTGTTGAAGGAGATGGATTGAGGCTGGAGGTGAAAAGTCAGTATGTGACGTGGTGCGTGGTTCGTAGTGCAGAGGTCCGCAGGCAGGCAGATGCCACCTGTACTTGTAGGGGATGGAGGCTATCAGCTTACCGCGATACCAAGGTTCGTCAACTGTATTTAATGTCAGTGATGATAGCCATAGATAGTATAGATTGATGAGACCAACCTGAACCAGCTCAGTGAACTTAATGGGAAGCGCCATGGTTGCGACCGGCCCCCTGCGGCCTCATCCACGTTGAATAAAGGAAGAGGGAAACAGTTCAGGGAGTAAGCTTGAGATCAAAAGGAGCGTGGAGGATGAAATGAGGAATTAGGCAATTAGTATCGCTTCAAGAACGATATCAAGAATCCAAGGGAAAGAAGAGGGACAAATGATGATGGTGACCTCCTAATCGTAGGGTTAGGACAAACACCTCTGAGAATTGGAACTGCCAACGTTGCTGGATGACTTGGGGAAGTTTGGATTGCTGCGGAAGGCCGCGCCAAGAGGGTGGACGACTAAACACATGCGCTGAGCAGGTAGGACCCAGGCACGCTAGGCTAAATCAGGAGAGCGCGTTTGCGTCTGACTCCTAAATAGATTGGTGGAGGTACAGCAAAGTTGTCTCAGTCATTTCCGTCAGACAAAAATTATATCTTCTCCTAATAGCGGCCGTCAATTCTGGTTCTAGCGCGTTTTCTGTGCTAAAGGCCTAGGTGGCACTTCAGAGCTGTGGAAGGGTCCAAATGATTGGACCTCCCTACGAGTCGTAGCTGCAATCAGTGCACAGATAGATGCTTTCGTCATGGCGCTTTCCCAATTCTTGATACTGGCTCGAGAGGAAGGTGCAACCTACTATTTTGCTGGATACCAATACTTGACCTACGGGTGCCCATTTCTCTTTTCAACATCCTTTCCCTCTTGACTTGTAAGTGATGACTCTGCGTCTACTAAAACACATTGCAGCAGCAAGACCACGTCATCCATATATTTCTTCACCGTCACTTCGACTTTCACAATCAAGGTTATCTTCATCCCGTTCCCCGCCCACGATTTCGTCTCCCACACCAGCAGAGCCTGCCAATACCAAAACTCCCCGTGTTGCACAACCAACCGGCCAAGGGACTCGTCTTAGCTTCTGGCCTTTCCTGTTCATCTTTTTCCTCAGCAGTGGCTCTTACGTTCTCATTGTGAAGCGTCGAGTTGGCGAGTCCGCCGCGGTGTCTCCAGAAAATCGCAGAAAAGCCCACACTGAGCGGTAGAGCTAAGCGCTGAGAATGGCTGCACCCGAACCTACATCAGGAACCTCGCCTCTGGTTCAGCCAGACCTGCCTCTCCCCTCTGCCAATACCTCTCCCCGGTACGATCCTCAGAAAGTCACAGTTGTCTACATTTTGGGAGGTCCGGGATCTGGCAAGGGCACCCAGTCAGAATATTTGGTGCGGGACTATGGTTTTGTCCATCTATCGGCGGGGGATCTACTAAGAGCAGAGCAAGACAACGAAAACAGTCAGTACGGGCAGCTGATTAAAGACTACATCAAAGATGGTCTCATCGTTCCAATGGAGATCACCGTGAATCTGCTGTCAAATGCAATTGAGGACAAGCTAGGAAGCGACGGAACAGGCAAGTTCCTTGTCGATGGATTTCCACGAAAGTTGGATCAGGCTCTTTTCTTCGAACAATCCGTCTGTGTCTCGAAATGTACCCTTTTTCTCGACTGCCCCGAAGATGTAATGAGGGAACGGCTGCTAAACAGAGGCAAAACCAGCGGAAGATCCGACGACAACGAGGAGAGCATAATCAAACGTTTCAGGACATTTGTCGAGACAAGTATGCCTGTCGTGGACTTATTCGAGAAGGAAGGCAGAGTGATCACCGTCTCCGCGGTTGGCTCGGTAGGAGAGGTCTACGAAGGAGTCGTTGGCGGTCTTGCGTCAAAGGGGATTGCTCCCACAAACAAATAGTCTTGTATCCATCTTAGTATCAGAATACTCAAATAAAGCTCAAAGGCGCTGACAAGACTATATTCTCAAGACAGGCTCCACAACAATGCTCAGCCATTTTTGCTATTAGGTTTTCAGTCACTGTCCTCGTCATCTCCGCTCTCATCTTCCTGATTTGTCGGACTCAGACCTTCGAAATCTTCCGCTGTATCCTCCTCCTCGTCTGACGGTGGAAGCATTACAAATGCCTTCAAACAAGTAATTCGATTGCCGGTTTCATACAAGCCAATCAATTGTCCCATCTGGAAACTGCCTCCCTCCTTCTTCTTGTTCACCAAATCTATCCCCGGGACGGAGAAGAGGCGGATAGCACCGTCGCTACTGGCGGTCACAACCACCAGATTTGCAGGTCCGGGCGAAGTCGATCCGAAGTCGAGAATCTCGAAATCTTTGATGCGAGTTGTGACGCCACCATCTTTCCCGCCGAGGTGACCAAGTAAAGTCGCATCTGAAATAGTGTCTTCCACGGGGTTCTTGTCGTTCTTTGACGAGATGACCTCATCGCTGGTATAAAACAACACCCTCCCATCTTCCGTGGATACCGCCAACACGGCCAACTCTTCATTGCTGGAGTTGCGCAAGGCGACATAGGCGATCTTGTGGACCTTTGTCAAGGGAGAGGGGAGAATCTTGGCCTTGGGTTTCGAATCGTCCCCGAAAATGACCACGCCGCGTTCAAATGCCACGGCAAACTCAGTGCCCGCAGGATTCCATTCGATCCTTCGCCCCTCACCACTGCTATACTTGCCCTCCCGGACACTCTGAAGCATCTCACGACCGAAATTCAACACACCAGCTTTCTTGCCCGTGACAAGGTTCCACAGCCTCATACACCGCTCGCCTCGACCAACGCTGACCATTAATTTCATACTGGGATGTACAGCAAAGTCATTCACACCGGCTGGGGTGGCGCCCGGCGGCGCCGTATCACCACTGGGCTGGCCGAGGACCTTGGGACGTGGGGCTTTGACGGTTGAGACAACGGTGAGATCTTTCAGGCGGGTAACAGCAATCGTATTATCTTCCGATGCGGAAAGTAGCTTCGACCTGGTCGGGAAATGGAGAGCGGTAATATTGGACGAGTGATGCAGAAGAGTGCCCAATTCTCTGTTTCTGGGATTCTCCGAGATGGCGTTGGTGGACAGTGATGGCAATACAGGGAAACCCCGGTCGTGGGCTACCGGTGAGGTGGAGAGGCTAAAGACATTGATTTTCTCATCAGAGCCTCCTGTGGCTAGGAAAACACCTTGGTTGTCGGATGACCCTGGAGGTGGGAGTGGCGATAGAGCCAGACACCGTATAGAAGAGGCATGTGCATTGAAGAGGAAGGAGTCTGAGAACGTGGTACTTTGGGGGTTTGCTTTGGATTTGACGTCGTCGGGGTGTAAGGACAGTGAAGCGGTAATACCGTGCAGTATTCTTTCGTAAGAACCCGTGATGATCTGGATAACCGGTGGAATTGTCTTGACATCTGTACTGTTGTCTAATTTGGCCACCTTTGTACTTTCACTTTGTGATTTGGAAGTTGGGGCCGTCTCAGGACGATCGTCACGTTTCCTCTTGGCCATGGTCCAAAAATTAGAATGGCGGTTATGGAATGGGTGAAGGAAGCCTAAGAAAGTAGATGGATGTTAATCTTGTATAGACCAACACAACAACGCTTAGGAAAACCATCAAAAGCCGATAACGTGGGAAGACTTCTTTCCAAATGCCGGAAATTTTTGATGATGTCGAACCAGGGTCCAGGAAAAAAGTGATAGGGTCTGGGCTTACCTAATCATAAATTTTCTGCAGGCAGGGAGGATGGCATGGATGGACAGGCAAGACAGGTCAGAGTGCGAGTCAAGTTGGCGACGAAGAGTGTGTGTGGAACTCTGGCCAACACCAAATGAGAATTGACAAGCTTGACTTTGGGTGGATGAAAAAGAGCACGAGTCGGATGGATGGGCGTGATGGGGTGGGTAAAATTGGAGAGAAAATGGGAGCAATCAGACGAGGGCGCCTTGGCCAGGAGCGGTTTGGTGGATTGGAGATTGGAGCAGCTGGAGTGTGTGAGGACGGAGCAGATAACACCCTGTAACGTATTGGGCGCCGACTTGCAGGTTGCTTGCAGTCCTTGCAGTCCTTGCAGAATCAGCCGGGCACCCCCCAAGTGGACTTTAGGTGGCTTGGACTGGCACAACTGGCAACTGGGTGGGTGGCTCTTGATTCCCCTCGTGCCCTCCCCCTCCCCCTGCGTATGCCTTCCCCAAAGCAAAGGCAAAGGAAAGCTTTGAGCCTTTGAACCATGACACGGGCATTTTTCAATAGTTTTTCGGGGGCCCTTGTTTGCAATTCTGCTCCTCTTCAGCGCCCATTCCATCCATCCCAATCACTCCGGTTGCTCCCACCTCCCCGCCTGTAATCCTCCCCAAAGTGCCTATACAACCAAATTCAATCAGGACACCGTTTGGTTAACCCACCAACTTGATCACCCAAAATCAACCACAACGCGCCCAAACAATTCATTATAAACCCATTTTCCATCTCTAACCGTTTCAAACTTGCTGCCATTAAATTTTCAGCAATTGATTCGATGGAATATCGACAAAACTCCTAGGGCTGCACCATACAGATGAAATGCAGAGGGATCTACTTCGTTCCAAGAAGTCTGAAGTTCAGTCAGTCAATCTCCAATCCTCCATCATTCTCTTCTTCATCTGTCCTTTAGTATACTGACAAATTATCGCGAATTTCAGAAGTCGTTTGTTGTCGAGAAAGCGCAAGTTAGCAGAACTCTACTCCGTTACCGCGTACCATCACTCGCTCGAGGATCCCAGCTACAAACAACAACTTCAAGCCTTTCACGATGCTAACGACTTGGAACGGTATGTTTTTGATTTCGCTGTACCCTGAAATATCACCATGCTCCTCCTGTCACCCTTTCTTGTCTTCGTTGCTGCCTACTGACGATGCCTTCAGTGGTCGTTTATTCGACGAGTCAACACTACCATCTCGATCTCCATTAATCATTCAAACTCGCAAAACAAGGCTCTCCCAACGATCCGCACACACTAGTGCCTCCCTCGAAGATCCTCCAGAAAGCACAACATCTCCCAAGACCTCTTTGTCACCATCTTCGCGATCCCCCGTTGCGACCAAGGTTCGACCATCATCAAAACAACCTTCCCGAGGCCCTTCAGTGGAACGTGATAACCAAACGAATGGAGTTGATCCATCTTCGAGTGCTGGCAAGGATAATGGGGATACTCTCGTGCCTGTTAGCGAGGAAAATGTCGACGCTGTCATCTTAGATGATGCTAAAGCTGTCCCCAAACCCATCACACCAGTACCGGATGAGAAACCGGGCTCAGCAACACCAATACCATCCGAAGTGGCTACCGCGAGAACCTCTAAGCATGGCTCGACAACGTCAGGACCAACTGGCGACGATGAAACTGTGGCTCAGATGAATGAACAAGCGCCTCGCAGCCCTCCATCAGTCGCAGCTATTCCTTTATCAATCGACCCGCAGTCGTCACCAGCATCTAGTAATGCACCGGACTCTTTGGAGACTCCTGCGCCGACAGCCGGGTCGCCGGGTACCAGCCCTGGGGTCGTCGATGCTCCATCAACCACTACAGACCATGTGAGCGCGACCAAGGATGTTGAGGAACCAGGATCTCAGTCAATGGCCAACCATGATCGACCCCCACCCGGGGTAGAGGTGGGCAGAACACGTGCAGTCTCTCCGACGGATATTGAGATGACAGATGCGCAAGGAGACATTGGAAAGCAATCTTCCGGCGACCCCAAGACAGGCCACGGCCAAAAGCCTTCGATGCGCATCGACACTCAAACCGATATTCAAACATACTTCAAACCTGATTCAACCAGTGGCGCTGGGGCTGTGGTGGATAGTCCTGCCCAGATGACTACAGCTGGTACTCCGAAACGACTTCCATCAACCACTCCCGCCGCACATGAACCTCCAAAACGGGCTACCCGCATCTCATCTGGAGTGCTCCAGAAGAAATCCGTCTCAGAAATCCTTGGAGAATCCCCACGAGTCACCACTCCACAAGCTGAATCACCTTTATCTTCAGTTCTATCCCCACAGGGACGAACTGGTGATCGGGATCGGCGCGAAAAGGAACGGAGCCGGATGTCCACAGTGGTCTTTGCCAAACCCTCGAAGGCTGCTAGCGATGACACAGCGGTAAAGTTGCGTAGTGATGAGCGAAGTGTCCAGAAATCTACGCCAGGAGAACGAGATTACTTGTACACGCTTTTCGAAAACAAGGCACATTCAATGTCAAGACAGACATCCATGTCCTACCTGATTCAAAATGCCCACAAGACTCTATCAACTGCAGACCACCTCGTCGAGTATGAATTGTCAGCACAATGTCGGATCTTGAAGCGCCTATATCAACTTCAGGAGAAGCAACGCTGGGCTCTCAGACAGTACAAACGCGTTGACGAGGTTCCACGACCAACCTCGCACTGGGATTTTGTTGTTGACCATGTCAAGTGGCTGAGAACGGACTTCAAGGAAGAGCGCAAATGGAAAATGGCAGCCGCCAAAGACATGGCTGAATGCTGTGCAGAATGGGTCGAGAGTGCTCCAGAAGTCAGGAAAACACTCCAGGTACGTACACATGCGCCCAGGCCACTTGTGCAGTTACTGGATTCGCATGACGTTGCCATGGAGGATGCCGAGGGACAAAACGTGTCGTCCCATTCAACTCCCGAACTGATACCTTCCAACGAGGATGACTCGCTCAGCGATGATGTGGCTGATCCCCGAGATGTTCACCTTACGAACGCGCCAGCTGCCATCTTTGCCCTGGGCCCAACCGATTTCAACTTTGCCGTGGATAGGACGCCTGCTTTTGATAAACTTCTTGGGGAATTACCTCTGTACGAACCTGCAACCATTCAGCCGGATCTTTCCAAGTCTACACTAGCGGAACGCCTGGATGCGAAGTGGAAGACAGACATAGTGCCAGTGTCACGATGGGCTACCGAAAAACTTCCCGTCAAGAACCACTCTCCGCCAGTCAAGCGTAGCCGATACGACTATGAACTGGAACCACCAAATGCCAAATCGACTATACTGCCACCAGAGGAGAACAATGTTGCACTCTTCATGCCTGAGAACAAGCACACGCGAGATAGGATTCATCCGGGCCATTCCTTCCGCCCACCATCCGAGCACCCTATGCCAGGGCAAAACTTTTTCGAGACTAGGTCGTCATCGCAATGGACCCTTGCTGAGGATGATGAGCTTCGAAAGCTGGTCAAAGATTACTCTTACAACTGGTCGTTGATTTCAAGTTGCATCACTCCTCGCAGCTCCTACACATCTGGTGCCGACAGAAGGACCCCATGGGAATGTTTCGAAAGATGGATTGGGTTGGAAGGACTGCCAGCAGACATGTCCAAGACACAGTACTTCAAGACATACTCTTCGCGAATCGAGGCTGCTGGGAGACATGTCGCTGCTCAAGTCGAAGAAGCCCAAAGAAGAGCTGGTAACAATGTCCAGATACCTGCTCGAAAGAGAACCACCCAGCCCGTCAGAGTGGAGAGGAAGAGGACTCAACGTCATCTCGCCATGCTTGATGCTATGCGCAAGCTGGCCAAGAAACGTGAGACTGCTTTGCAGAAGCAACAACATCAAGCAGACCTTGCTGCTATGCGGAAGGTCAATGATGCAAATGTTCCCAAGCCGTCCTATAAAACACCCGCAGAGTTCTCTCAGCTTAAGCAAGAGCGCGAACAGAGGATGGCAGAGAGGCAGGAGATGTATAGACAGCAGCTCATTGCCCATCAACGTGCTACCGCACAACAACAGCGTGGCCAAGCCACTCAGCCAAACGGCATACCCAGTGGCCTCCCTGCTGGAGCTCCTGGGATGCGCGGCCCTCCAAATGGAGGAATGCCTAATATGCCAAATGCGAACATGCCAATGCCTAACGGCGTCGCTCGACCCCATCCAGGCGTCATGGCTATGCAAGGTCACATGCAGATGCCTCCAGGCATGGGAGGACCAAAAGCCATGACCCCGCAAATGCAAGCTCAAATGCAAGCGCAGATGCAAGTTCGAGGTCAAGCCAACTCTCCTCAACAGATGCGAATCCTGCAGGAAGCAAGCCGGGTCCAGCAAGAGCAGCTTATGAGGCAAGCTCAACAAGCCCAAAACGGAGCTCATTCTTCGCCCAACGGCCCACATGGCGGTATGATCAACGGCAAGGGTATGAACAATGCTGCCTATATGGCTGCTATGGCAGGCGCAAATGGTGTTGGCCCTTCTCCCGGCCCTATGAACGGAACGCCTGCATCACCTCGACCTCCGTCTTCGGGACAAGCTCTTTCCAGCGGCCACATACCTGTGCTGACCCAAGTTGCCAACAAGATTCGGGAGCACCATCCAAATATGGCCGAAGCAGATATCCAACGCTTAGCCTCGCAGCAGATCGCCACATATCAGCAACAAGCTACAGCCGCGGCAGCTGGACAGACCCAGAAACGACCTGCCCATAATCAAGCTGCGCTCAATGCTGCCATGGGTGCAGTCAATGCCGGGAATCACGCATCGGCAGCAGCAGCCGCCGCCGCAGCCGCCCAATTCCAACAAGGACACCCTGGAATGATGACCAACGAGCAAGTGCAGCAATTCCAGCATAGAATGCGGATGCAACAAGCGCAGCAGAATAATGTTCCCCGCAACATGCAAGGACAAATGCAGGCTGGAATGATGCAGAATATGGCAAATGGCATGAATGGGTCACCTGTGATGAACATGGCGCGACCAGTGAGTCAGCACGCGAATCAAGGGCAAATGAGCCGAAGTGCAACACCTCGAGACCAACGAGCGGGAAGTCAGGGTAATATGAGCGCTAACCAAACTGCCACTCCCATCCCTCAAGGACCTGGCCAACAGGGCAGTCCCCGTCAAGCTCAGTCGACTGTTCCGGCATAGGATTGATTTGGTAGTGAGGCGAAACATGGCCTAGACTTCATGTGTGGGTACACGTGTTATCATTTATCAAAGCGGTAGTATGCTTCGATGGATGGAAAATATACATGGGCAATATGGCCTAAGTATACCGTGGATAGAGATCAAGTATTTTTTTTTGCTGATTGGCAAACGTGTGTCTTCACATCATTCAAGCATAATCCATACCCAGCATGCAATGTCTTTGGCAGACTGACCGTGTTTTGTCAATACTGGCTCTGAAATGGAAGATGAAATTGGTCATTATTGGAACGAGTCCTCATGTAACCTTACGAATGCTCTCAATAACAAGCTAACAAGCCACAATGTCCACCGGCGAACCCCTCATGAAGCCGTGATGATAGAATCTGGGCACTGTTCAATAAATTGAAGCTCGCCTGGTCTCAGCCCGGAGACTCAAAAGGCTTGATACAAAGACAGTGTATTGGCGCCAACTAAAAGTCCATTGATCTATACCACTAGTTTAATCGCCACCGACATCGAGCTCACGGAGGTTCTGCTGTTGCTCCCTGTCGCCTCGATCGCCTCTGTCGCCACCTCTATGACCACCAGTGCGTCCACCACGACCGCCACCTTGACGTCTCTGGCCGCGGTCACCGCCATGATGTGGTCTTCCCTCACCGTCAGCGAAGCCGTTAGCCGCGCCGTCATTACCACCGGGCCCTTCACGGAGAAACCTCTCGCGCTCGGCACGCACGGTCTGCAACACGGTTTCGAGACTGCGTCTCCAGATGGCGAGGCGGCCTTGGATTTCGGTCCACTGTTTCTCGCCAAAGACGCGGTACGTGGCCCGTTGGACAAGGAGTTCTTGCTTCTGCTGCGACAATTTGCCCTCGATCAAGCCTGCGCGGATCGTGTCAATCACCCACATCTCTACCTCGTCGCTATCGACTTGCAATGCCGAAGCGATGCTCGAATATGACACAGACCGGGTCTGAGAGGAGGCAGCGACGCTGGCGAGAGTGAGAAGTCGGATTTTGGTCGTTAGTGTCTCCGAGGCGGATTCGTCAAGGCCGATCGATGGGAGGCTGTTGCTGGACAGGAATTCCTTGTACGCTGCGTAATCATCTGACGAGAAAATCTCAAGCAGTTCAAAGAGATTAGGGTCTGTCTTGCGGGTGGCTTGGACGGCGTCGCTGGCTGTCAATGGTGTGAAGTCGAGGACAGAAGGGTTGGTCAAGGCAACTTTGAGAACTCGCTTGGCCAACTCAACTGAATCGTTCTCAGAGGCGGACTCGGGAGGGATGACTTCAAGCGCAGACAGAAGATATGTATATGAGAGATCTTCATATCCCACCGAGCTGGCCACATCGGCCAGCGTGACATAGAATTCTTGTTTGTCGTCATCATCAAGCTGCCAGGCGGAGAGCCAGTGAGGAACATTGGTGTCCAGCTGTGACTTGAGCGCCTCAAAGGACTGGGTCGAGTTGCTTGACTTGATCACCTTCAAGATGGCAAGGAAGACATGGTAGCGCGATTCGCTGCTTGATGGAAGCACGTTGAAAATTGTGCTGAGGGTCTGAAGTGCGAGGGATGGGCCGTATGTGGGGGAGGATGAGATGGGTTGTTCAGATAGATATTGGCACAATCGAGCAAAGATCTGATCGAGGATTGAAGACTGAGTCGAGAGGCTGATGAGGAGGTTGTAGGCGGCAGTAAATTCTATTGTGATGTTGTTAGCGAACGGAGGGTAAAGGGCATGCCATCAAGTGTGGTTGATATATTAAAGCGGTGGAATCCTTACCTCTTTCGGGCGCTGAGTGGAGGACCGGAGCTTTTGTGACCAACTTCTTCAACACCTCATCTTTTTGTTTCTGATTTTGACTGTCATCGACTGAGTCTGGATTTTGTTCTGATTCTCTCAAAGGGTTCAACAAAGGCTCGATCTCGGCATTGACGCCTGCGCCTTCGGCACTTTTGGCGAGGACATCAAGGTATTGGGCGAGTTCCTCTGCGAGCTCAGAGAAGGTACCCTCGATCAAAAGAGTGTTGGAAGGGCCTGGCATTTTGGCGATGTGGTAGAGAGCGAGAGTGACTGGGTTGAGACGGGCCTTTGTCGTCGCTCAAGTTCACACGGCGGGATGGTCTTGTCTTGGGAGCGTGTGGGAAGCGAAACTTTTGCTACAGTGGCGTGAAATCTTGGCGTTGGAGATTAGATAAGATCCGCCATCATAATTTGTGCGGGCCCTCGGGCCCTCTGGCCCTCATGCTACGAGTACTATGGGCATCTCTACATGCACAATGGAATGCCTGATCATGTCGATAGAGATATATTTTCATGTTGTTCATATCGTATGGACCTCCTCTGCCAAGCATCAAAAGACACTGGTAGGATCAGAGGCAGTAATGCTTGGCAATGGGATGGCGGAATTGTCCTTGGCTGCCATCTCATCTTCGACAAAAACACCGAGCCCTGCAAAACTTCTGTTGAGACACTCATTGACATAGTCCCAGTCGCTGTAGCCTGCTGAGTCCTTGGCGTCGTTGGCCTTGCCCTGTTTCACCCGTGCCAGATAACCATCTTTGACCGAGTAATAGTCCTCTGTGCGAGGCATACCCATGAACGGATCATAAGCAGCCCGTGCTTTGGGTTTGACAATCTTTTTGAGGCCATGGATAAGTCCACTGGGATCGGCTGCGCCGTCATCTTTGCGTTTAAGTTGTCGAGTTGGGAGATCGTGGGAAGCTTCAGTGGCGTCGGTTTTGATGCCATTTGCCAGCGCGTACTCTTTCAACTTTCGGTTTGTTGCTGCTACGTCAGTCTTGAAGACAAGGTTCATTATCAGCTCCTCTTTCAGTTCGAGGTAGTCGTCGAAATCTCTTTTGGTCTCAAATTCCTCTTCGTTGCGTTCGAGACTGTATCAGCATGAGTTAGATGGAGATCGAATTGCAAGACTCGGTTCTCTTACATTTTGTGCACACGCTTCCGGATCTCCACTTCGCGTTCGATCTTGAGATCCTCAAACGTCTGCGTTCGCCAGTCGCGCTTCCATAGATGCACGTGGCAACCTCCGACAGGACATTCTGCTTTGCCACTGGAGAAGTTGCGATCAACACAGCCTTCACATATCCGGTGATAGCACTTGGTGTTTATCTTAAATCGAAGCCCAGGATGTGTTCGAGGGTCACTGCCACACACAGGGCACTTGTCCCTGCCTGGATAGAACAGTGAGTCTACAGCTGATCACACATTCATGGGCATCCTGTGTTGCTTACCGGAGACCTCATCATCATCCATTGCTAAGGGTAATCATTGATCATGAATTCTCCGTAAATATGGCAATTTCAGAGAGAACCTTGTTAAGACCGGTAGCCTCGTAAAAATCTGGCCAAAATGATCCCCATCACCTCATTCACGCATTGCCAAAAGCTGGGATAAAGTATGGAGAAGGAGATGTCTAAGGTGAATGATGTGGCGCCTCTTTGATGAGCGAAGTGACAAAAGGTGGCGTCTGACAGTGTCATTTGAACCTGCTAGTTGGTGGCGGCAGGCGCGGAGTTGCCTAATTTTGCATCACCATCGTTTTCCATCGCCCTTGCCTCGATTTTCACGACTTTTTGGCACCAAATACAGGGATTTAACAACCACCACAGAGGTATCAACCAACCTTGTTAGATATGGTGAATTAATTTCAAGGCTTTCGAGATCATGGATGAAAGCGCACTCGCAAGAGTTGACGCTCAGCGAGTTGAGCTTGAGGCCAACATCGCAAAGCTACGCAAGTCACTGCGTCACTGGCAAACCCTCGAGATTGATTATGAAGGGCTCAAAGAAGAGTTTATGGCACTTGATGACGCTGCCACCATTGACGAATGTATGCAGATAGGATTGGACTTCAAAGCCGAGCTTGTCGACGAGCAAGAGCTTCACACCCTCCTGAGGGACAGTAGCGCTCGTCCAAGGAAGCCTTCACAGCTTGCAGAAGTCCTGTCCAAACGTGTCGATTACGTGGTTCACAATGTCGACTCGCTTAGAAAGCAACTTTCAGATGCCGAAAAAAAGCGAAATGCTCTTTTACTCGTTGGCGATCCCGACCATCGCGATGATGCCGGCCTTCCTCTTGCAGAGATCACCGAGGAACTGGATGACTCAGGAAACATCATCTCTAGCAAAGTGAAAGTTCCTGGCAGTGATACAGACCAACTTGTTGATGTACTCAAGAAAGCTGGAATTCAGGATCTGGAGACCCGGGATGGTGTAGTATCTATTCCCAATCCCCCAAGCACCCAAGGCCAGAAGCCTTCCGAAATCCAAGAAAGCGTGGCAGACTCTTCGACTGTAGCCAATTATGGCCCCAGCCAGCATTCTAAAGTGGGTCTCTCGGAGGTGGGTGACACTGAAGAAGAAGCTGCATTACGGAGCGAGATTATGGATTATCGAAACGGGCTAGATGATGTTGGAGCCATTGTGGCAGAGCTGGACTTGGAGGAAGAAGGCTCCGACATTTCCTTCGACGAAAATGATGTCAATTTTGAGATTGACCCCGAATTTGACGAGGACGATGATGACGATGAAGATGATCTAGGGTCTGAGGATGAATCCGGAAGGAGCACTGACCGTCTTCACCTCTCTAAGTCGTATCAGCGGAAAATGGAAGAGCTTCAGGTGAAGTTAGGCCTCAAGAATGTCGGGCCTGAAGGACTGGAGAATGCCACACTTGTCGTTCCCGCAAAAGACGAAAGACCTCCGGCCGCGGAAGCAGCTCGGAAAGCAGCGCTTGCTAGGCAGGAAGAAGCGTTGAAGAGCAACCCGAAGGCCTCTGAGGACGATGCAAAAACTCTAAGGTCTTCGATAAAAAAGAATGGAAAAGCCAAAAAGAGCGTCGCGTTCTCGTCAGAGTTGGACATTGCTCCTCAGACATTGCCTATTGTCTCGAAGCCCATAAATCAGAGCCAACTGGAAGATAGGCCAAAGGCCAGACCTATCGCTGACACCATTATTGAACGTCCGGAGGCAGCCTCACTGACAGGTGATGGCGATGAAGATCAGGTTCCTGTCGCTCCCTCCACCATTCCGCTAAGGCAGTCACGCTTTAAGTCTGCTCGTCAAGGTCAGTCAGGGGGCTTCAATGTCGTGCCGAATGCGCCCCAGTATCAGTCCCTCATCCCTCATCCACCATCACAGGTCATTTCTCCAATGGTGGTGGAGAGGACGAAGCCCAACGACCCAAAGGCTCCTGATGATGATGACTTTGATGAGGGCATGCACCGGGCTGAGATCAACTCAGAATACCAACGACATCGGATAAGAAGAATACTCGCACAAGATGGCGGTTTTGTTGGGAATGGGGAGGATGATGTTTATGGTGAAGAAATGACACCTCCGATGGAAGATGGACGAAAGATCAGTCGTTTTAAAGCCGCCAGACTGAACAGATGATTGCCAACAACCCGGACCGCAGCCTTCGTCTTCTCCACAGGTGACCAAGATTTATTTCAGTGCAAGATGTACAGTACAACCATGCACTCCTCTTCCAATCGTGATCGCTCGTACTATCCTCTGACTTAGAGATGGCGACTAAAGCCGGCCGTCGTCTCGGTACTCAAACTTTCTCATACGTGATACCTCATTGGAGCAAACAAGGAGTATTATCCTCCTTCAAAGGACAATGCAGCTCAGTCTCATTGCAAGCCTTGACTTATGCTCCTAGATCAATGCTGGACTCTCTGATGTAGCCATCTTGAACCCATGACGGCTGCTATTCGTTTCATCCAGGACACACCACGAATGAATGATGGATTTGACACTTGTACCAAACGGGCATGTACTTGGTGTGAATCGTCCACATTCCGCAGACCCTGATATCTCAGTGTCCTGCAACTGATTGCTAGTTGGCCCACTCTCAAAATACGCAAATCCAAGACACCACGTAGACCTATCTTTACCACCTTAGTGACCACATCAACTTTTCCAACAAGCACATAACGCAAATTTGCACATGCAGGTGGTACGAAGCATGCTGGCCAATGTTTGGCTGGTGGCTCCCTGAATGGTAAGACCACAGGTGATTACATGTATACCACGCGATAAGTGGCATGAAGCACGTCATTGTCCTGAATGGCGAAGCGGGCCTAGAAGGGCAGCTCATGACCAAATTCAGTTCTCGACCGAGAAGATGGCGTTATTAGCGAGTGAAATAAGACTAATAAGATCCTTTAAGGTGCCAGCCTCACGGACGCTATGAGAATCGCATTGTGCGACAGACAATGGGGTCCCAAATACTTCCTTCCGAGCCTCAGAAGCTTCGTGTGGCCATTGTCGGAGCTGGGCCTGCTGGTCTGGGGGCTGCAATCGCCTTATCTGCCCTTTCCAACGTGGAAGTTACCGTTTACGAAAAGGCAAAGGTGCTTCGCGAAATTGGGGCAGGGATTCGAATTGGGTATAATTGCTGGAAAGTACTCGAACTACTGGGCGCGGCTGACCGAGTGACGGGACATCTCAAGACCTCTGTCAAGTTTCGGTAAGTCAAGATCTCCTGCTAGGGCTAAGTGCTGGGCCTGCAGATCTCTTATTCTAGATATTGGACCTGACGACTCTGTCAGGAATGGGTTGAATGGCACCATTATCAATGGCACGGGCGAGTCATCGCTGCCCAGGCGTTATTGGCCACGACGAGTAAAGAGAACTCGTCTACAGTCGGGTCTCGTATCAACGGTTGCCGAAGGCATCATTCAGCTGGACAAAGGAGTCTCATCCATCGAGAACATCGAGAACGGTGGAGTGAAAGTGCTATTTCAAGATGGAACCAATACGACTGCAGATCTTGTGGTAGGTGCTGATGGGATCCGTTCGGTAAGTAGTCAGCCTAGTAGGGTATACTAGTCGAGCTCATCGCTGTTGATCAGGTCGTTAGAGCGAGCATCTTTCCAGACCACACGACAAATTTCACTGGTACGCTGAATATGTGTGACCAATACCGGTTGATAGATGCTGAAGTGGTCTAGGAACTACAATCTGGCGAACTCTGATTCCTATTACTTCCGTCAAGGATATTGGACCAGAAATATACGCGGCAACCTCCTGGTGGGCGGGTCCTGCTGGTCATGTTTACTTTTCTCCCGTCGACGATGTCAATGAGCTCCCCGAAGAACAAAGAAGTTTCGAAATCTCTTGCCGAAATCTTATGGATCCATCCACCGTGACCGAGAAGAGATTCAGCTGGGGAATCCCCGCAACCAACGAGAGAGTTACATCGCATTTTACGGTGGGATAGACCTCTCAAGATACCTCTATCGCGAAACTAATCAGACGTGCAGGAGTACGATCCTCGAGTGAGAGAAGCACTGTCGCGCGTCCCAGAAGGCAATTGGAAGGAGTTTTCTGCTTTTGCAGGACCTAGGCTGAACAAACTTCATGCGTGGGACAAGGTTGTGTTGTTGGGAGATGCTAGTCATCCTTTAAGCGGTGAGCTGGCATGACATATGAGGCCATGGACTATTTGTTGATCGTGTATAGGAGCATTCGGTTCTGGAGCGGCATTTGCCTTGGAGGATGGCTGGATCCTAGCTCGAGCAGTTGAGCACACGAGAAACTCACCAAAAGCATTGAGCAAGGCGATTGAGACATTCGACACTATTAGGTCTCCATATTACGTGAGGATGTCAGCGATTCATTCACCCCAACTTGAAGTTCCTCTGTCTAACTTTGGCAGGTATCAACACCTGGACGATCAGAAGCAGAAAATTACAGAACAGTTAGCTGCGACCACGAATAAGTCGTTCGAAGAAGAATTAAAGATCAAGATAGGGTCATTTGGAGGAGAAACGACCTTACCATGGATATACCAAAACGATATAGAGAAGGTTTGGGACACGTACAAAAGCATTGGGCATCAGAGTAACGGCACCAACTCGTTTTCCTCAGCGCCGTTAGTGGAGGTTGTTGCATAGCTGATATCTATCAGGTACAAACAACAAGTTTTGACACTGGAGTACTCATATAGACTGATAGCCCGTTCCCATAGATTTTGAATGCCACCTGAAACTACAACATCATCTTTGACAAAGTAGAAGAATGACTATGGTAAGCAAAGGCATGCGCTGATGAGGCAGCGAATCGAGGCTCTTCTACTCTGTAAGTACTCAGAAGGAGCTTCGGGTGCCGCCAAGGACCGGATCAGGCAAAGGAGCGGCCCGAAGGCCTCAGCAGTGATTATGAAGGGCAAATGCACCCGGGCGGTAGCTCCCTGGCATGCTTACGGAGGATAGTATTATTGGTAGTCTATTAATTAATAACAAGAATGACATGGAGGTGTGAGTCATGAAGCCCCATAGGCCCAAGAGCCCGAGGGGCCCCCGCCTACCGCTGGTCCGCCCTTCAACAAGACTTCTTGGGGCCTGGGGAATCACCCAGTCCACTCTTCTTAAGCGCCACCTACGGAGTAAGATGACGGAGTCGGATCCTAGAGTTTGAAGAGATTTCTGCATTCTTCAAGGCTGCTGCCTGTCTCTTCTTCCTGACCTTCTGAACTTCACTCCACGAGCATTCGATGCTCCTCTTACGAACCACAGTCGACTAGAAACACATCAGCCAGTGTGCCCGCAGCCATGGCACTACGAGAGCAAGACCATCCTTTGACGGTGCTCGCCAGCGACCTGCCTGAGCCCAAAGCTGCTCAAGCCGTCGAAATTCAAGGCCAGCCTCCGCCCCCGTTGTTGCAGGATGAGGATCCCTCCCAACCCGTACCTCGAAGCAAATTTCGAACGGCCATAATTCTGATAGCCTTGTATCTTGCTCTCTTTGTCGCGGCTCTCGATGCCACCATCGTCGCAACAGCTCTTCCAATTATCACCTCGGATCTAAAGTCAGCTGCCGGTTACATCTGGATCGGTGGTGCATATTTGATTGCCAATGCTGCCGCTGCCCCAATCTGGGTCAAGTTCAGCGACATCTGGGGCCGCAAACCGATACTACTCTGTGCTGTTTTCGTCTTCTTCGTGAGCTCCATTATCTGTGCCGTTGCTGTCAACATGCAGATGCTCATTGTTGGTCGGGCGATCCAGGGAGCTGCAGGAGGTGGCTTGATCTGCATGGTCAATGTAGCCATTTCAGACCTGTTCAGTGTCCGCGAGAGGAGCTTGTGGCTTGGGTACTGCGAAGGTATCTGGGCCGTCAGCGGCGCAGTAGGCCCTCTCCTCGGTGGTGCTTTTGCTCAGAAAGTCTCCTGGCGGTGGTGCTTCTATTGCAACCTGCCCATTGCTGGCACGACGTTCATCCTCCTCGTCTTCTTTCTCAATGTTCATAACCCAAAAACCCCGTTAGTCGATGGATTCAAAGCCATCGATTGGTTCGGCTGCATTTCGATTGTGGGCGTTGTGGTCATGCTACTGCTTGGCCTTGATTTGGGAGGGGCAGTCTATCCTTGGGGATCAGCCAAGGTGATCTGTTTGATTGTGTTTGGTTCTTTGATGATTCTCGTCTTCATCTACAGCGAGAAAAAGATTGCCAAGTACCCAGTGATACCACTGTCTCTCTTCGGGACAAGGAACATTGCAACTCTGGTCGTCACCTTTCTTCACGGCTTGGTAAGTTGTCTTCGTCTTGATGGCTGGTTGCCACAGCTTACGTGTGGCTTAGGTCTTTATCGCTGCTGAATACTACTTGCCTCTGTTTTTTCAGAGCGTGAGAGAAGCATCGCCGCTCAAATCTGGTGTGCTTCTTGTACCATTGATTGTATCAACGGCAGTCACTGGCGTTTTAAATGGTGTTTTCATACATCGTACCGGCCAGTATCGACCTTCTATGTGGTTGGGAACAACACTCTTGGCAGTTGGAACAGGTCTGTTTATCACGCTGAGTCCCAATACCTCGATCGGTGAGATTATTGGCTTCGAGATCATTGCTGGAATAGGTTCAGGATTGTTGTTCGAACCACCTCTGATCGCCATTCAGCAAGGTGTCGCTCAAGATGATGTGGGCACGGCGACCTCGACACAGAGTTTCATCCGCAGCATGGCTTTATCACTTGGTGTCATAGTGGGAGGCATTGTGTTCCAGCAAAGCATGGACCTCCGTGGGCCTGTTTTACAAGAAGCTGGCCTCCCACCGTCTGTTCTCGATGAATTATCGGGGAAGAATGCAGGCGCAAACGTCATGGCCGGGCAAGGCTTACCACCTGATCAACACCTCGCAGTGAAACAGGCCTTTTCTTGGAGTATTCGGAATATGTTCATCATGTTCACAGTATTTGCAGCGCTGAGTATCGTGGTAAGCTTCTTTGTCAAGAAGCATAAGCTTTCCAAAGAACACCGTGAGACAGTGACAGGGCTGCGGAAGGAGAACTACTCCTCTACGCCAGAACCACCAGCTCCATGAAGGAGAGCTAAGCACGATTGCATCTCAATGTGCAACAACTGACACGAGCGCTCCGGATCACTCGGCACCACGCCTGCTCCAAAGGTCTGTTGCGCGATATACATGACGCGGTGATGCTTCAGCACCGGTAACAACAGCACTCGCTCATTTAGACCACTTCTGATTGTTTGATATCATGTGCATGTGCACATCATCACGGTGAGCTTCTCCACCGTCAAAAAACCAGCAAGTATTCAGAATCATGGACACCATAACGTGGACAATACTGTCACGTCAACTGATGCTACTAGTGCATAGCCCTTGCCAATAAAGGAGAGGAATAGCTAACATGAATGTGGCAAGATATGATCCGTGTTTGTTGTAGGCCATCTAGCTAAAGTGCAACACCAGTTGGTAGTGTGTCAAGACCAGGGGGTCATCTCACTTGGCTGTGTGCAAACCATGGAACTCTGAGGCTGAACTACCCAGGAGCTTCACAATTGTATAATCAAGACTGAAGAAAAACCAAAGAGTGCAAATTCTGAGCTTGTTGCTGCAGATGACCAGTCCTTTCGTGCCTTTGATGTAGAGCCAATTTCAAGGAATCTCTAGAGGCCATAGGCCGAATGTCCAGGTGTTGTGAGGAGGCATTGAAGCCTAAGGCGCCCAGAAGTGCGGCTAAAGATCACCTTCGGCTCTAACCGGACACGCCGGGTCTTCGCTTTGGATTAGGGAGCTTAGGGGGTCCACATCGCTCATCTAGCCCGTGGACCCTCTGGCTAGAGGTGTGCGCCACCAGCTCAATTCCAACTGCCTGTCAGGTTTGAGGTCTGAAGTGGTTGAACGCTCCAAGAAATCATCTATAAACTTACGACTCATGTTATCTTCAAAGTTCGTGAGGTCAATACCACTCAGAATCCGACTCTTGTCGTGCCCTTTGCCACAATTGCATAAGCTCTACTTTTTTTTCACACAGACACCAGTCAAATCTAGAACACCGAAAGAAAATGGCAAGCCTGGCAGGGTCAGACCCAAGTGAGTCATAGCTACTATGAAAGACGATGTACTTTCAACTCATCCTCATCTAGATAAACTGAATCAACCGATCGGGCCTCCGGTTCAGACAGCCTCAGCACCCTCCCCTAGCCGAATAACACTAAAAGGCAAAACCGTGACATTACGACCACTGCAACCCGAACATGCTGCCCCTCTCTATAGAGCTATTGGAGGCGAAGACAACTATCAAACCTGGACCTACATACCGGACGGACCATTTGAATCAATTAAAGCCTTTGAGGCATCAATAGCGACCAAAGCCAAATCTCCAGATCCACTCTTCTTCACTGCTTTCGACAATACACACGATCGCCCAATCGGTCACGTTGCCCTCATGCGAATCGACACCAAGTTTCGATCCATCGAGGTTGGCAACATCATCTATTCGCCGTCCGTACAGCGCTCAACCATCACAACGGAGACCATCTATCTTCTTGCAAAGTATGTCTTTGATGATCTCGGCTACCGCAGATTCGAATGGAAGTGTGACAACCTCAACGGCCCATCCAAGCGAGCAGCTGTTCGCTTTGGATTTTCTTTTGAAGGCATATTTCGGCAACACATGATCTATAAGAACAGGAATCGTGATACTGCTTGGTTTTCCATCATCGACTCTGAATGGCCTGTCGTGCAGAACGCGTTCGAAGCATGGCTACATGATTCAAATTTCTACGCTAGTGGAGCTCAGAAACAAAGGCTGGAGGACCTGAGGAAGTCACTGCCTAACTCGAAAGGACCAGTAGCTCTACAGCTGTAGTTGGGTTGTATTACCTCAAGGTTAGAAGGCCGGAGCGATGATAAGATCATTTCATGTCCTGTAGAACAACAATGACGCCGATTGTGTACAGAATTGAGCATGTACGTTACTGTTGCTATACAAAGTGAATGGAGAATGGCGATTATAACCCGCGACGCAATGTCGTGTTATGATCCAAGATTCTGATCAAAGAACCAAGAAATGACATTCTCAACAATGCCTAGAGATCCTGTAGGCGAAGTGCCAGAAGAGGGGTAGCCTAGGTCATACACACCATTACGACCGAATACATGGGAATGCAGACTCTATAGACCGTCCTGATATTAATGTAGACCTCAGGTATCCTGGCTTCAATTACGCTACATGAGAATCTGGTCTACATGGGACGCGTGTTTGTTTGATGTTGGTTTGCGTCCACGGCGCTTAGTGTCAGCTCAATGCCCGGATCAAGCTGGAAACGGAGAGGTGGCATTGCAAACCATGCCGACATCATTAGTTCATCCTTGGATCAGGTCAACAACTAGTCTAGAAGGTAAAGCAGTAGAATTCCATTCAAAAGAAAGCTATTCAACCTCTTGAATGAACCAGTAGGAAAGCAAAAGGTGGCGAGGCAATCGGCAGTAAGAGTCAGCCTCTGATCCAGAGGCAGGGCTGGCACTAATCCCTTTTGGGAAGGAGTGCGCACAACTGGATCTGGCACTTCGCCTTCGCTGTCCACAACCACCGCTTCCAAACACCTCACAACACTTCCTTCACCGTGTCCAGAGCATCCAAAGGCTCGAGACTATCTCTTGTCACGATAACAGGCAGTTGCTGTCACCCTGGTGGAGGGCATCCTCGTCCCGACGGTGATGTCCCCTACAGCTCGCCACCCTCTCCCTGGAACACCTTCTACGCGGTCTCACGCTGGTCGTAGCCGCCAGAAGGTTTCCATCGCCAACAGCACAGCTGCAAGCTCTGCAACGACATCTCCAGCCCCATCAACTGAAGGTAGTCATCTCTCTGTTGACATCTCGACTTCCGTTAGTGATCTGGATGATTACGCCGAGCATCTACTTCCAGCGTCCCTTACATCAGCAGGAATGAAGCTTCCCTCTGTCAACCACAAACCTCCACATACCAGGACTATCGACCACCGCCGATCATCCGGCCGAGTTCGAAAGCCGAGTGTCAAAGCTCGAGCTCAGTCTGAAGATGTCGACATCGACGGCTCTGCATCCCAGATTCTGGAAAGCGAGACCATTGTCATCGGAGGTACCCCAAGCAGTCGCCAAGATACGATGACTGGCAATGCAAACCAACCACTTGTCACAGACCCCGCTCCTGCTAGCCATCATCCGCTCAAGTCTGATCATGGACATGTTGTTGCAAGATCAGACGTACCTAGGCGAAATTCCCAAGTGGTTGACGCCGCAATGGATAATGGAACCCCCCAGTCGACATTGATGCCATCTCCCACTCGCAGATCTTCGGCCAGAGAACGAAAGCCGACTCTGAAGGTGCTCGAGATAGAGTCTCCGACACCAAAGAAACGCTCGCCACCAGAGGCCGAAGATCCGCGCCCTACCAAAACTCTGAAAATTACCATCACAGAGCCAAAGATGCCATCAAAACTACGCTTTTCGTTGTCTTCTAGCGCTGCTGAGACAGACCGTCGTGAGGAAGAGGAACCCATGTCGGTCACGGAGCCCAGACAAGACTCTGTGCACAAGCCGTCAAAGATCGTCCGTCTATCCGTTCCTAGGTTGGGCCAATGGCTCCAAGATCGACAAAACGCCAAAAATCCCCCAAGACTTAGACTACGACTTTCTTCGCAACGACAGACTCGTACGAGCGAATCTTCAAGTGAGAAAAAGGCAAACGCCCCTCCGAAAGCCAGAAAGTCCAAAGTAGCAAAGACGAAGCCTATCGAGCTAGCTGGCCCAGCATCTTGTTCCTTGGCTTGTCTGTCGGATTCGGCACGTCTTCTGGCCATGGCAGAAATTGCACTCATGATGCCAGACTCGGACAATGAAGACGAACAGGTTGTCCCCGGTAGTGCTCAAGACTGGAAGAGTTATACTGCCGCTCTCTGTCAATGTGCCAATCCAGTTTCCGTGAGCAGTAGCCGAACCAACTCTGTTGAGCTCTTGCTTGCGTTGGAGCCAAACAAAGTGGCGGCCACAGTACCTCAAGAGCGCGACACGCCCGTGGAAATGACCAAAGACATTTTCCAGATGCCTGTCAACACGATTCTCAATGCTGACGAGTCCAGGCGAGTCCATCAATTGCTCTCCAGTGTAACCACCGAGCACGCAAGTAATCCGGGCGAGAGAGCAGCTTCAGATCCTACGGCACCTAGCCCATCCGCCGGGTTTTCTCCTGTCACTCGACGCAATGGAAAAGGGAGAGCTACGGAGGATGTTAGTGAGGTCAACGGATCAATTGAAGCATCTGGAAGTGGCATCTCTATGCCAATGTATGCCGGAAATAATATACCCCTTCTAGTAACGCCCAAGAAGACTTATGAAGATCGACTCCGAGAAGATCATGTGGCATTGTCAGAGATACGCAACAAAGCAACATCATTGGGTATTCACTGGACCTTTAACATGACCTTCGATCATATCCATGAGTTGGTGATGCAAGTTGAAGATAAGCAGGAATCGCTTTCCACCCTAGGTCAAACAGTCGCACCAGAGAAAGGCCGAGAGGCATCACCGGACGTGCCGAAGTACGACGCCGCCGCTGCGAAGCGCTGGGCAGACATCAATTTTCCCCCATGGACCGACTGGAGTGCACACCGGGCTACCGAGCAACCCACTGCGTCATCAAAAATCAACGAAATGGTAGCGCGGCCAACAGCAAGTCCAAGGACTTCGTCTGTTGCAAACAAGAGTCTGGAGAACGGGGAAGGGGAACGCCGACCTCGTTCTTCGAGTAAAGCGAAGAGCTCGCATTTCCGAGTGGATCCGAGAGGACTGTTGGGGGAGTCTCCCGGCCCTGGTACCATCATCAACATCACGCAGAAGAAAGCTGGTGCGAGACAGCATACCAGGAAATCACGACGGTCTTGACCATCAGACTGTCCTGTCCAGGAACTAGCAAAGTCAATCAGAGAGCAAGCGGCATAGCATTGGGTTCGGACGAGAGCGGCTTTTTTACCCTTGTATGTATCAACAGTGGTTTGGGGTGAGGCATGAAGGGTTTATTTTCCATTGTTGTATTTTCCGGCGAACACAGCCTTGAAATGATGCCTAGATGATGAGGATATCTAGGCGGTCGCTACTCGGGTAATAATTGAAGTTCGGGGGCATGGTTAGGCATGATGCGAGGGCATACCACTTGGGTCGATGAACCGACATCACAACAACTACGCTGAGGGAAGTTATTCATATTTCTGGTGTCGACTGCTCAATTTCTCAAACGATACCAGTTCTAGTGTTGCTTTTCAAGGAAAGTGCCTTTAACAGGTTTGGGCCAGATGACCTGTGGTTGGTGATCGATTGTTGGGAAATGCTTCGTCAATTGGGTGGCTAGCCAAGGCCTAATTTTAGCAACTAAGTAGAAATGAAGAAATCGATGTAATAACTTGAATGATCCATAAGGCTCTCAATACCGGTCTTCAAGTACCTAATACTTAAATAGCCAAGCATAACACCAGGTGTAGTTGTTCTCACTGTGAACTTGAAAGGACGCTCGGGCATTCTGTAGTCAGTGGCCTACTCATGCTGTCTCTGGTGCTCTGACGTCGCCCCCAGGGCCCCGTACGAGTAGAGATTAGAAGTCATTTATTGTCATCTTCCAGACAAAGTTAGTCCTCCCGTACCAAGATCCCTAGTCTCCGTCTTGAAAGCTTTTAGCGGCCGAACAAAACTTTGCTCCAAGTACTGTCACACACGCACGCGTGTTTAAATGAGGACGCGTTCCCCTATTGTATCAGGCGACTGTGTTTCATGATAATCGATAGTCGCTACCGCAGAGTTTGCAGCCGACGGCGACATCAGACTCATCATCCAAGCATCCTAGCATCTTAGCCCGTTTGATGCTATTGAACTATTTATTCGAGTGCATGTAAAAATATACAGCAATGTCGGCGGAAGTGGCACCCAAGAAACGAGGCAGGCCCAAGAAGGTCGCGCCTGCCGTTCCACAACAGGGCAAGAACAAGAATTCCCTTGTTGAGGAAGCGACACCCGTTGCTCCTTCCTCCTCAAAGTCGAAATCTCGCACTGTTACCGCCAAGGCTGCGATTGGGGGAAAGAAGGCTTCATCTTCGTCGTCAACTTCAGCTTCAGCTTCGAAAACTCCCACTGGTGTTGGTGATGATGCACCAACGGTCGACTCAGTTGCTGAGGTCAAACCAAGTGTAGCACCCAAGAAGAAGACCAGCAAAGCCACTGCACAGCCTGTGGATGCTGATGCCAGTGAAAAGCTGGCTAATGTGGAAGTCCCATTGCAGGAAAATTTGTCTCGCGATCAGACGCCCACCCACCCAGTCTCTGAGATCCTAAAACGGGCAGATGCATTTGTCAGGGATTCAAAGGTGTTGAATCAAGACTTTTCTGATTTGGTGCAGAGTCGAGAAAATGAACATGCTCGACTGCAAAAGCAAGCCGATCTCCAGAACGAGATCTCGCAGCAAGAAAACCATACCGACGGCATCTTTCCTTCATCCGCATCCTCAACTCCAGCACAAGTCCCAGGATCAGTCCTGCCACAATCAACATCACCGCCCGAGCCAAAGCTAAACTCGCCATCATACCCTGCCCATACACAGCCTAGCAATCCCATGTCTTTTTACCAACCACCGATCGACTTAACATACCGCCCAAAGTATGCCCTGCCATACAGCACAACAACAGCATTAAAAGCCCGCACTGCCTCTCAATCTCAACGCCCAAACCTCCGTGCAGCGCCACCCCCACCCCAGTCCCAGCCTGCCAACTCTGGCGAAAGATTGCCTCCCAAACCCTCGGAGATGAGTGCGTCGCAATTAGAGCGCGATTCGAGGTACCGTTCCCAGGCTCGTAGCCTCAAGTCAAAATACCTAACAGTCGTGCTCGCATTGCCCATCATGATTGCGAGTTCTTGGTTTCTGCTGAAGAAGGTTCACGAAGAAAGAGAGTATCGGGCTGGACGGCTCCCGGGCAGCGGAAATGACGTGTCGACAGGAGTGGTCCAACTGAGAGAGGGGACCCAAGTCAAACAATTAGAGCAGGATCTGGCCAGGACGGTTGGTCCACTTGACGAGAAGACTAAAGCGCTGGAAGGGAGAGCTGCAGTGGTAAAGGACGAGGCTATTGGGGCTTCAGAGAGACAACAGAGCCCAGCTCCAGTGTCCGTGTCGGCACTTTCACCGGCACCAGTACAGAGCGAGAAGAAAAGACTCCTCGAAGAGTGATGGCAAGTTTGATTGTCAGAGAATCTCAAGTGCATATAGTGCATGCACGTATGTATGTTGGACATGACTTATGCATGGACATGGTCAAAAGACATGAAAAAAAAACATCCCAACTCATCTAATCACGATGGCAATTGCAAATATGTGGAAACAAAGGCCAGATCAAATTCCAGCCTTGGGTTAGATCTGGATTATCTATGATGCTCAAATCGCTTGCACGCGTGGATATATGAATCTATTGAATTCAGCCCAATGTGGGCCCATCCTTTGCTCGTCTTTTGTTTTTTGCTCGTCATTCAATCGTCCTGATGCCTACCATGTTTGGGTGGCGGTACATACAACAGGATATGGAAGCCCGAAATCTAAGTCGCTCTCCCCAGACTAGGGGATTCACAACTTACTCTCCCAAGTGACACCACCTTGCCAGGCATCGCCGGCCTCGAGCTTGGTCCACGAGTTGACGGTGCCTGGTTCGATGCACAGATATCGCAACCAGCCATCTTTCGGTTCAAAGTCGCCCATGCCCTTAATCTTGTCCACCCAGCCGTTCCACACCGTCACATCTGGTAGTGCGTCGCGGTTCACCACAAAACTCTCCTGACCATCCTCTTTGACCACCACCGGTAATGCAGACTTGTCCTTGCCCGTAGGCGGTGTGTACACTCGGTCGGTTTCGCCAGTGAATCCCAGATTGGACGATTCTTCGGTAAAGGTCTGAGCAGATCGCATTTTGTCGACGTACGATGCCGATTCAAGGCCAGAGACGGTAGTCTTGTGGATGTCCTGTCATAATGACGTTGTGTCAGTGATTGACGCATTGTCAGACTCTGAGGAGGCGGGGATGCCGAGGGTGGAATTGTTCGTAGATTGCTTATTCCTCTTACCTTGACCGCTAGATAGGTGTGGAAGAGAGCATGGAACTCGAATGGCTGATCACCCTTGTTCTGCACGTGCAACTGTGTTTCCAACTTGCCCTTGCTCAAGGTGACGCTGTAGACAAGGCCAAAGGCATAGGGCCATTTAGCCTTGACCTCGTCGGCGAGGAAATCACTGCTCAGACCAAAGTCCAACTTGACACTGTCGTCTGCCTTGCGGCCCAGGCTTTCACTGCTGCTCTTTCCCAAAAACTCCCAGAAGCTATTCCGGGCGAAACCATGCTGGGGCAATTTGCCAGTGGCGTGGGTTGCGGGTGGAGGGCCAAACACTGGGAAGACCAGTGGGATGCCACCGCGGATGGGTTTGGAGCCGTCAAGAGCCGCAGCAGATGACAAAAAGAGTTGTTCCTTGCCGTTGGAGGTCTTCCACGATGTCACTGTTGCTCCATACAGGTGAACGGTGACTGAGTCTCCGCTGGGCAGGCGGGCATTCAGGACATTGTCGGTGAGATCGACTATGGGTTGGGCGAGGGAGGGGGAGGAGGGGATGGGTGCGGGCTTGTTCTTGCGGTCTACCGACATGGCTGCGAGTTTGGCTGATGAGAAAGGTAGACAAGAGACAATGTGAGGAACAGATCAAGATTGAGCAGAGGGAAGAATGTCAACGCATTTAGAGGGTGGAGGGGTACAGTATGTAAGTACAAAGGCGTTTGTCATTGCATTGCGATGGTTTCATGTCAGTGCCAGATGCTGTTAGCGTTATTAGGCAGGGCTTTAGCATTTAATCTAACGGCATCTAGTTTGGTCTAGCATTACAATCGCTCCACTAGGCTCAAAAGAGAGATCTGTCCGCAAATTCAATGAATTGCATCACTAAAGCGCTTTTGATTTGGATGTTATCATATATTTTCCAAGGGCCATACTATCAATATCAGTCCTTGGCCATGAGTTACAAACTGATCTTCTTCAATCACACGATTTCTTAGCCAACATGGGATCGTCAGCTTCCAAAGTTGCAGGCAAGGCTGCCGGAGCTGGTGGTCGAAGACAATACCCATCCACCTCGTCCATCCTTCACAACACAACCCCCACACCCAATGCCGCTGCTTCGCGTACAAATGCAACACCTCAGACGACTAGTGCTCCCGCTCCCTCTCAAGTACATCCCAACCCAGCATTCGCTCCTCCCGCAGAAGACAAAGATTCACAGATAGAACTCGATGGACGAGACCCTCAATTCGGGTCCGCCCTGCGCAAGATCGGAGTTGCCAAACCCGTGTCAGAAACACGACCGCATGAAGATGCATTTCCCACCTCAAGTCAGCCCATGAACTCTGGCCAGAACATCTTCCCAACGGGTACCACAAACCCTGCCATGCAGCTGGTGCAATCCCGAGAGAGATTCAATAAACTGTGGGAAACAGAAGAAGAAAATCGGGGAAGAGGTACATTCGCAGGCCGGACCTTGCTGAGTGCCAACGATATCAAAGAGGCTTTGACTCTGCGGGATGAAGGTGGCAGATCTACCCAGCAGATTGAAAAGGATATGAGGCTAAGCCCGGGCATCCTGGACAAGTTGGTCGCCAAAGGTATCATTGGCAATGCTTGAAGAAACTTCTCGACTCAAGCGTGAGTGCCGCTATTAGTCTCGGCATGTTGTACATTAATTTAATGAATACTACAATGGGCAACGCTTGAGAGCAAGTCTAGTCGTCCGTGACAACATAATCTGATGTGAAAGAAATGCCAGGAACACTAGTATCATTTCTTGCAATAACAAAAGAGAGACAGAATGCTAAGCATCTCATAGAGGCACCCAGGCCGAGAGCCTGATAAGCTGCCTGGACTAAGAGCCTTCAGTGATGGCATGTGGTCATGCCGAGAAAGGAGATTCTTCATGTAAACCACAGTGCATATCCTTTGTTCACTTGCATTGCTCTGATGCTGCAGTGGCCGAATTCGGGCCTTGCTGCGATCTCGGTCTTATTCATGCAAGTATGAGATATCTACTTCGGTTGCGAAATCCATCTCAGTATCCGACATTCACTCGCTTTTATCAATTGGAGCCATAAGAATATCATATCTCAGCTCCAACTTGGCTTGAGGGTCACCCTTGCGAGGCACAAATTCCACTACAAGAGAGTCCTTGACGGCAAATACCGAGTCATCATCAAGGTAGTTGCTGTCCTTGTCAAAGATCTGCGTCGTGATAGGCCTGTAGCCTTCAATCAACACCTGGCGTACGGTCAGCCTCTGTTTTATCGAGTTCAATTTATCAGGGTTTACCTACAATCAGATGGATATGTGCTGGTCGGTAAGGATGTCTATCAAGCAGCTGTAGCAATTTCCCAGCAGGACCATCATAGGGAATCGGATAAGGCGTCGGACGGAGGCAGTAGAAGGCATATTCTCCATTCTTGTCGGTGACAAATTTGCCTCTTAGGTTGCAGTCAACCTGGTCTTTGTCTTGCTGTTCGTATAGCCCTGGAACAAAGATTAGGACCGAGGGATCACCAAGACTCGACTAAATGCTCTTACCGTTCGTAGATGCTTCCCAGACATCAATAGTGGCGTTTGCCAAAGGCATTTTCGTTACTGAATCTAACACTTGGCCATACATATAGACGGGGACACCGTCTGAGGGTGTATTGAACGAGATAGACTCTCCTTTCTCTCGAACTGGATGATCGTGTCGAAAAAAAGGTCCGAGAATCGCACTTTGCGTGGCAAGGTTGGCAGCTTCGGATGCCTTCTTGTACGTGATCTCGTCTACAAGTCTGTTGACGTTAGAACAGGTACCAGAGGGATTTCGCTCTCGATGTTTCACTTACGATTCTAGGCCCACGACATCACACACTAGTTGGCCTTCATTCCGTTTTTCATTGCTCATTTGACCGGCCCAGTTTAAAAGTTGCACTCCTTCAGTCCATTCATCGACCGTCAGCTCAACTTCCCGCGCAAAGTCATGCAAGTGGGTGATAAGGCTCGTCATGACTTCCCGCATTCTGGGCGATGTCTTCGGACCCATGGCATTGATGACATTTTGCGTAAAGTTTGGATCGAACCGGGAGGCGCTCATCTTGCTGTGGAAAGGGGGGGCTATACAAGTAAACACCGAGACGGGAGAATGTCACACGAATGCAGCAGGATAAACTTGGTCGAAAAGATGAGTTCGAGACCCCGAGGTCGATGCATCATCATAATCATATAAAAATGGCAGTTCCATCAAATCATTGCGTCGCATATGTCACACCATCATGAGTATCTCACATTTCGACATGCATACTTCCTTCTTACACCCCACATCTACTGTGCATCGGATCCTGCTCGTGAGAACCCACCTGTCGAGGCTTTGAAGGGGTCTCAACCAATCGCAACGTGGCCCGGGGTAACCAACCCGGAGGGCTTGTGGGATAACTTTCGGAGCCCTGCCGACGGGCCAATAGGTGAGAGTCCGATTGTGCCATTCGTCCTGACGATCGACATTGTCAGTCCATGCTCGGTGCTTGAAAACTTCTTCGGTCAACAGACCTGGAACTGCTAGACAAACCTATCAGGAGACACGATCCGGTACAGCTTGTCCCCGTTAATACCGCCATGTTGCGCGAACTCCCCCGCCCAGATCCGAAAAAATCTGGATGCTGGATGTTGAAAAGGCGGGGTGGACTGCTACGCGACCTACGGAGTATGTAATAAGCCAACTCGTCCTCATACTTGTGCACTACAACTTGCGCCTTACCCGAGCACTGCAAGATTGCCATTCACCCAGACAACTGAGCCTCCAGAGTCAGCTCGATACTAGCTTAATCGCACCATGGCACCACAGGCGGCCGACGACCACGTCGATGTGCTCATCGTTGGGGCTGGCCCAGCTGGGCTGATGATGGCCAACTGGATGTCGAGATGCGGCGTTCGAACCCGGATCGTGGAGAAACGAGGTACCAAGGTATGGACAATGACTACTCGAGCTCGAGTGTAATCCCAACACGTTGTGCCTCATACTCAGAGAGTGTAGATCTTCAATGGGCAAGCGGACGGCCTGCAATGCCGCACTCTCGAAATATTCGACTCGTTCGGGTTCAGCCACCGCGCATGGATCGAAGCGAACCACATGCTTGAAATTTGTCTGTGGAATCCTGATTCAAATGGCCTAATCCAGCGCTCGGATCGCATCCCAGACACGATTCCCAATATCTCGCGCTTTCAACAGGTGGTTCTGCATCAAGGCCGCATCGAGAGATTCTTTCTCGACAGTATCAAAGAATGGAGTATCAAAACGGAATGCAACGGCCAGGGCTCGGATGGAGAGATCAAAGTCGAACGTGGGGTCATGCCTATTGATTTCCATGTGGACGAGTCGCTCGTAGATGACGCCTCAGCGTATCCTATCACAGTCACATTGAAGACTCTGACAGAAGAAGAGGCGACCCCGAAGCAGTCGGCAACCAGTGCAAACGGGCAGGGAATACAAGATGGCCTGTTTCGGAGCAACCTTGCCCCCGATGACACGGAGGAGATGATGAGAGGAAATCAGCTCGACCAAAATGCCAATCGGCAAGAAGTTGTCAAGGCAAAATACATGCTGGGTGCTGATGGTGCACACAGCTGGGTGCGGAATCAGCTTGGATTCAAACTCGAAGGTGATAGCACCGACTACATCTGGGGTGTCCTCGACATTGTACCCATTACCGACTTTCCAGACATCAGAATGAGATGTGCGATCCATTCTGCCAGTAACGGAAGTGTCATGGTCATACCTCGAGAGAACAAGCTGGTCAGACTGTACATCCAGTTGACGACGACCAACGGCGACGGAAACGGCAAGAGGTTTGACAGGAGCCAGATCAATCCACAAGTCATCTTGCAGAGTGCGCAAAGGATCATGGCTCCTTATAAGATTGACTACCGGTATTGTGACTGGGTGAGTCTTGCACTGTTCTTGTGTCCATACCTCCTCGGCATCATGCTTATCTGAAATTTCGTTTCACTAGTGGACCGCCTATCAGATCGGACAGCGAGTTGGCAATGAGTTCAGTTTGCATGGAAGAGTATTCCTCGCCGGGGATGCAGTGCACACTCACAGCCCCAAAGCTGGTAAGTCACATCATGGTCCTTGAAGTTTTATACTGTTATTAATCTGCTGTCAACCCAAGGCCAAGGTATGAACGTCAGCATGCAAGACTCGTTCAATCTCGGGTGGAAGGTTGCCACAGTGGTCAAGGGGCTGGCCAATCCATCGATACTCAAGACCTACCAGAGCGAACGACGACGTATCGCTCAAGATCTCATTGCCTTTGACCGTCGCTTCTCGTCTTTGTTTTCGGGTCGACCGGCAAAGGATGTCATGGACGAAGAGGGCATCAGCATGGAGGTGTTCAAGGACGCCTTCGTCAAGGGGAACATGTTTGCCAGCGGTATTGCGGTGGACTATGGTGCCAGTGTCATTATTGCCAAAGAAGGCGATAGCAAGAAGCAGGGCGACGGCACCGAAGTCCTCGGCGACCAGCAACACAGGATCTACAGCCGACAGGAACTTGCTACTGAGATCCGTGTGGGCATGCGAATGCCCAGCTTCAAAGTTCTCAGCCAAGCCGATGCCCGACCATGGCACTTCCAGGAACTGCTTCGGAGCAATGGTACCTGGAGAGTGGTCATCTTTGCAGGCGACATTAGAGACACCGCCCAGAAAAAACGAATCGATGCTTTGGGTACGCGGTTGGGCGCCGATGGTTCATTCTTGAAGCGATTCACTCCGCCTGGAAAACGCTACGACTCTGTCATCGAAGTCCTTACCGTCCATGCTACACCGAGGCACGAAGCCACCATTTTCGACTTCCCCGAGGTTTTCAGGCCGTGGGACAAAGAAGACGGCTGGGATTACTGGAAGATCCATGTCGACGATGAAAGCTACCATGAGGGTCACGGCGAGGCCTACAAAAACTATGGGGTTGACAAGGCCACGGGCTGTGCAGTCATTTTGAGACCAGACCAATATGTTAGTTGGGTCGGTGACATGGATGACTACGAGAGTATGGATCGATTCTTCGACGGGTTCATGATCGACCAGTACAAGGGGAAAACACAGGTAGCTCTGAGCAATGGGCACTGACTGGCGCCGTCAATCATTTGTTTAGCATGACATCTTATTAGTAGGCAACATTTACAGACCATGTACTCCGTAGTCGACCTCGGTTCTAAAACCCAGTTCGTATCCGATGATGGCTTCACAGCTCCCCCGAAAGATTCCCCACCATTCCCCGCAAAGTCCGAAACCTTGCAGAACTTGGCGGCGGGGTCTCGCCCAGGATAGAGGGCAGATTCCAACGCAACTGAATCTGACTGTGGTAATCGTCTTCCAGCGCATTGGTGGGTCGAAGACTTGCACAACTCCGGGTCGAGGACATTGTGACCCCCCTTGGCGCATCACGAGGCGGCCATCTTCAGACCCAGGGGAGACCTGACAGCAACATCCTTCAGCGTCCTTCATTACCTTCGCAAATATGGGACAGGATTGTGAGAAACCACATAGTTGTTCTATCTGCCTCCGCAAGTTCACACGGAAAGAACACCTAAACCGCCACCAGAGCCGACACAGCTTCAATCAGCGAGTATCTTGCCCCGTTTGCGGTCGGTCATTTACTAGACAGTATGTATTTGGTTTTCGTTGATGTTCAAGCTGGTCACTAACACTTTGTCTCAGAGACTCACTCGGTCGGCATATCGCCAACCACGCCATCAGTGAGTCACAGTCGTCGCTGAAAGCACCACGGGCGTGCGACGCTTGCTATAAGTCCAAGATTCGATGTGAAGGAGGAGTTCCATGCCGAAGATGTTGCTCATCTAAGCACGCATGCGTCTTCACCCGCCTCCACGGAGTCCAAGGCGGAACAGTTGCTGCAACACGATGTCAGCTCGAGGATGTAGAGCCCGTGGTCCCTCCTACACACGTCAGATGGGCTCCTACGAACAGGCTTGCCCCAAAGCAGGATCCGCCAAAGCCTGACACTCAGTCGCAGGGGTTTGAGCCTGTGCACGGCCAAACATCGAATAAGAGTGGTGACTTAGATGAGGACCATGTGCTTTTCTCGTTGATGGATGTCATGGAAACCTCCAATACTCTCGCCAACCACAAAGGGCTTACATCAGAGAACCAGTTGAATTTCCCGGCATCCGAAACTAGGCATCCATTCTGGCCCCAGTCACAAATCATATCAGATCTAAGTGGCTTTGACCCGCCGAATCTGGCGGGCGACGACTTCGATGACCAAGCCAGGAAGTGGCTTCAGGAGTTCTGTAAGACTCATACCGCTAGCAAGGGACAAGGGACTTTTAGACTCGGAAAGCCTACATCTTCGTAAGGCCAAAGATCATGTACATCTAGATTCGTTTCAATAATTGAAGATCAATTAGCTCCGCCGCTCCGTTCTTGGCTTAACAAGGCACGAGGAGATTGAAGATGCGCTACTGCAACCTTGCCTGTCCGAGCCATAGAGCTGTTTTGCTGAATTAAGCCTTCAGATGCCATGAAAACGATGGCAACTCACTAAGCTAGTCAATTCGAAACAATACCCCATCGGAGGCTCGGAGGCCAGTGGAGAGTCGGAAGTGGTCCGGGGAAATGCATGTATAGGTCCAGTCTAGGACATTAACCCCAGGGCGGCTATATATCGATGCAAGCTTTGTATAATCCGGGGGTCCTTAAATCAAAATACAAAGTCCTCTGAGTTTGAGCTTGCTAGCAATCTGTCCAGCATTCTCAGTCAAGATGGTGGGCGTCTCACAGCTCCTCGATGTAATCCTGGCCTATCGAAGCCTCCTGGCAGTTCTTCCCATTGTATGGGCAATCGTTCATCTCCTGAGAAACAAATACCAGCCGGCAATCTCATCGATTCCCGGGCCTCCTTTGGCAGGTTTCACAAATCTCTGGCGGTTCTGGGACGCTCTGACTCGGACGCCGCATGACACCCACATCGCGCTCCACCGTCAGTACAATTCACCTCTTGTAAGGGTTGGACCACGTTCAGTGTCATTTTCCGACCCTGAATGGATCCGCAACGTCTATGGCTTGACTTCAGGGTTGACAAAGACCCGATTCTACGATATGTTTGTCCTTCCATATCGCGGAGAATATACTCGAAGCCTGTTTACGACGTTGGACGAACAGTATCACCAAACTTACAAACGTCCCATCGCCAATGCGTACAGCATGTCCACGCTTGTGGAATTTGAGCCCCTGGTAGATTCAACCACCAGGCTCCTGCTTCAACGGCTTGACGAATTCGTCTCTGCCGGATCTATTGTAGACCTCGGGGTCTGGCTCCAGATGTACGCCTTTGATGTGATGTAGGGACCTCACCTGATAAATCACCCACTCGAAGAGAACATCTGTACTAACACAGAAACCCCAGTGGCGAAGTGGTCTTTAGCCGAAAGCTCGGATTTCTCGAACGGAGAGAGGACGTCCAAGGCATCATGGCCGATATTCGGTTCAAGATCGCATATGCTTCAATCGTAGGTCCTCATCCTGGTGTACTGTTCATTCCTCCATTGTTGCTGATGCGGATTGCTTTTTTAGGTAGGTCAGATACCTTGGCTTGATAAATTCATCGCCAAAAATCCTCTGTTGGTCGCATTGACGGGGACACATCCAATCGTTAAATTTACAGTCGACAACATGACTGAAAGATTGAAGGCCTCAGAAGAAGAAGTCGCCAAGAAGCGGGATTTCCTGGCACGATCTCTCGAGGCCCAGCAGAAGAATCCGGGTCTGGTACAGGATAGGATCGTCCGTATGTGGAATATTGACAACGTCTTTGCCGGGAGCGACACCACTGCCATATCTCTCCGTGCGGTAGGTCGCCACATCATGTCGGGACTGGGTTTCTCATGAATCTGAACTGATCCGTACAGATCTTTTACTACCTGATGCGGACCCCCCACGCGATGGCACGGCTCCAGAAGGAAATCGACGAGCTCGAAGAGAAGGGAGAGTTTGGAGAATTTGTGTCTTGGAAAACTGCATCCAAACAAATGCCATATCTCGACGCCGTGACCAAAGAAGCCTTCCGCATGCACCCGGCCGTTGGTCAACTGCTCGAGCGACATGTTCCCAAGGGTGGCATGACTCTAGGAAACACCTTTCTCCCCGAGGGAACAATCATCGGCATGAATCCATGGGTTGCAGCGTAAGGCATTCACCCCCCCCTTCATTTCTTCCCGGACTGGTTGACTGACGATGATTGACTATCAAGCCGCAATCGCCAAGTATACGGCGTCGATGCTGACCACTTCCGACCGGAACGCTGGCTTGAGGCGACTCCAGAGCAAGTGCAACTCATGGATCGCACTTCATTGACGGTCAGTCCTCTATCTTCTGGTCCTAAAACGACTAATCCCTGGCTCACAATGGTGTAGTTTGGTTTTGGATCGAGAACTTGCGTCGGCAAGAATATTTCTCTGCTCGAGGTGAACAAGTTGGTCCCTCAGCTGCTGAGACGATATACGGTACGTGTCTTTCGCGTTTGGTTGGACCGAGTATTCATATTGTGAACCAGTTCTCATTCGCCGAACCGGAACAAGATTGGAGGATTCACGGCGGCTGGTTCACTGAACAGGACCATTTCCGTGTCCGTCTTGGGCTTCGCAAGTCGGAGGGAGGAGATCCAGCCGCGGAGAATGGCCATGTTGGAGCTGCCATGGAGGTTTGAAGGTTCCACTGTCCGAGGTACCTTGCCGGGCCTGTTCGCTTACCCCGTTGAAGCTCCGACCCTCGAGCCAATGAGCGCTCGCTTGTTTCAAGCTGATCTGTCTTGACAGTTTAGAGAGTCGCTTTCCTGCAACTTAAGTGGTAGTTGCGATGCGCATATTCTCCATCAGCCATTTCTCCCTTGTGCCGTTGTCGTTGTAGTAGTAGCAATAGTACGTACACGAATTCCCCAGGTTCAGCGTCACATGATTGAGGGGTTCCCCGTGAAAATCATAGTTTGTGGGGGCAACCTCTCGCTTGATCAAGGCACCATCGTAGATGTCTACAATTTTAGAGTCCTTTGTAATTCGAATGCCGACATAGGACTTGATTTTAGAGCGACAACCACCAAACACCACACACCATCCTTCTGCTCCTTAGGATCGCTGCCTACGATCGCGCGTCCTGAAGCTTGAACTTTCAGATCTCATTTATGTCTGTGGCGAGGAAAGCTGCCGACAAGGTGGCCTCCTCTGCTCGCAAACGATGCATGGACAATGGGTTCTGGATGACATGTCAAGTTTAACATATGTCGAAACTTCGCGACCCTGTTCACCACAGTTCGAGTACATATCAGAAGAGCAGACACCCTGGCTGGCAGTCTCATGGCCGCAGAGCCAACATGAGCAGTCCCAACAGTCGATGAATTATTCATCAGCTGGGTTACAGAGCTCTCTGGAAAGTGGATGGATGCCATCTCGAACCTGCCAACAATTACTTGCACCAAATATTACAAGCAATATTGATGAAGAGGACATCACTACTGGTTTGGCAGAAGTGAAATCGACTCATCGACAAACAGACATGCCTGAAAGCCAAATGCAGTATCCTGAGCGATATGCAATGATGGATTCCGACTGTGCCGAACAGTGGTTTCAGGAAATCCCCGACCTTGACGACTATTCTGACTGGAACGAATTTGGATACAGCCATCCCTTCGAACAGACGACAATGGCAGAAAGCGCGAGATCTATTTGCCCTCCCGAAAGTTTTTATCATGCCAAAACCTTGTCGCGCTGCTCGAACCCCTATCCTCTTGTCGACCAGCCTCTACTGAGGACAAATTGTACCATGGGGTATAACATGAGACTACCTCTAGCACGTCTAGACAAATACCTCGTGGCCCTACGACAAATCATCAGACGATGTTGTGAAGCAACCACAATCACGTAAGTCACAGGAAGTTGTATCGCATTGTCTCGAGGGGATATTGAGTCTTGAATAGGAACGACATACGGAGAACTCTCACTGCAGAGGGGGCTCTTTGGGTGGTCAAGGAAGCCTGGCCCATGGCTGAAGAGTTCTGGACCATGACGGTACGTATATAGACAGAGCAAATTGTGTGAACATGCTGTTTCCGCCGACACGTCTTGAAGTTTAAGCTGACGATTCTGCCGGATATTGTCTGTTTAGACATGTATGCAGGGCTTTTTCTGCGCTGAGCTGTGGAGGAATTTTCCCTGCAAGGCCTCTTATGCAAATCTTCCGCCTGCTTATCGTCCCACTCAATTACAACTGATGGTTCCACATTCCCCAATCATCGACTGGCTGCCGTGGCCGGATCTACGAGATTTAGTCATTCAGCATCAAGACGAGATCGACATAGATGCTCTTTGTAGGTATGCCATTCTAAACATGGTTGCCCATCGAAAGAAGCCTGCTCAGCAGCATCTCATATCGCCATCCAACCAAGGTCGGCGATGGACTGGCAGCGACGAGGCGGATCACGTACATGTACGCGGAGAACTGACGGCTACGGCCAACAAGCAAGGGCACACGTCATTTCGTATATGGGACTTGGCCCTCCTCGAATCTTCTAAGCCAGGTCATTTGACGTCGTCGACCGGCGTTAGTGTACTCCAGGCCAAACCACAACCGAGATCTCCAAGGATGAAGGCCCTCCAGCGAGCCTATGATCTCGAGTACAACGACTTTTCCACCATGAAGATCGAACATCGCTTCTTTGAGAGATATCCATTCTTGTACGATAGGAGTTTGATGTCTGACTTCAAAGTGCAAGCCTTGTCAGGTGTTCCTTACGAGGATGTGGGAATGCCGGTCGACATGACTTGCAAGGCAGTTTTCAGACTCAAGGATAAGGTGCAAGAGATCACGGCGACTTGGATCGAAATATGAGAAGGGTGGTTTCAGTTTCGAAGACTTTCACAATAAAGCCACACATTCTTCGTCAACAGAACTCACCTCATCGTCCTCGAGATGTACCACAGATTCGCTATTGAACAGGCCAGGATCTCTCCTCGAACTAAGGACGACCATTTCCGTCCCCTCGCCGACGTCTGCTATATAAGAGACCTGAGCCGTACATGGCGTTGGAGAAGTGTCCCCAGACGACTATTGCTGTGGTTTCTCGGTAAGTACACTTTTTTAGCCAATAGTGCTGAGTCGTATTTTGGGATGGATGGATGCTTTTGAGGCTGTCTAGTCGGAATTAGCTGCAGGCTACACAAAGACTCTCTCTCGTGTCTGTATCCCAGTGTTGGAACCAGTGGTATCTTTTATGATAGTCAGAGGCCCTGGCGGGGTTAGAGATTGGTGTTTCTGAGAAGCTCGATAGCATTTGTGGGGTGAGGTGAGTCGAGGGGGACTGAGCTGTATCAAAAGCGGAGTGGCGTTTCAATTGGGACGAGGCTGCAGGGACGTGAGGGCAACGGTTTCATAGCCACTCCTATGCCAAGGTACCACAGATGTCAAACAAAGAACCTATCCAAATAAAAAGATTTGCACTTCCTTCGATCCCATTTTACGATTTAAACGCCTTCTCGGAGTCGCAGCACATGATTCTAGGCTCCAAAATGGACATCCCTACATCAACAGAAGGTCATGAGAGCCAGTTCCAACTCAGTGCCATGGGTGACAGATACACAGTCACCGTTGAGTCGATTGGTGAGATGAATTGGGCCTCAAACGCATCCGGCCTCCAGACACCTCTTTTGAACTCATAACATAGTGGAAGCCATTGGTTTGATCCCGAGAAAGGGTGACAGGCATAGGCTCGCGTTCCCCATCTCAAAGACATCTTTGTCACCCTTATCTTCATTCCACACCATGCAACAAAAGGCCTTGACTATGCATCCTTTGATGCTGGTCTCATTGTTCCGAGTTCTTCTCTCCCGTTTTATGATCGAGAATCTCTCATCAACATTTCCACCGAGCCGAATACCATACACAAGGCATGATCCAAGTGGAAACCCTGCCGAAACGAGTTGTCTAAAAAATTCAACTAAGCATGTCTAAAACTATACTTCCCCTAACCTTTGGGATCGAAATCGAGTTTCTATTTGCAACTCAAAAACCAAAAACATACGAAATAACGTGCGGCTCCGAAGAGTTCAACCTCGACAACTACGAAGGCGATCCAGACGATACCTGGGATGAGGAGGATGAAGATATCGATCCCGATGATCGTGAGTATCAGCAAATACGCCAGTCAGCCATGATACTTCGGAACAAAGACGTGGCACTGGCAATCTACAACGACAAACCTCAGCAAAATACCGTCTTACGCCGGTGGAATCTGACCACCGACACTTGCATCCGTCTACCATCCACTGACGAAGAAGCAGTGAAATGGACAAATGGCATCGCTAGTGCGGTGGACGACTGGGAGTTTATTGGTCTGGAGTTGATCTCCCCAGTCTTGAAGACCCCAGACACAACTTCTGCAGCATTCGACGGTGTCTCATTTCGAGAACTCGACAGAGTACTGGCAGCCATGCAGGCATCACCGTCTGCACCATATATATATACTGCGAACGCAAAGGTGTCAAGCTTACACGTTCACATCGGCGTGGAACTTTCAGAGTTGGGCACCCCCAACGACATACCCTTGAATGTGCTCCAGCACCTAACTTGGATGATCCTGGCGTATGAAGACGCCATCACACTTTTGCACCATCCTGAGCGTCATGGCTACTACGGGACTAAGAGCCGAGAACGAACCATGTCGAACAGACGAATCTTTGCGCCGGAATGGCAGGTCAAGAACGAACCTCTGCCGAATTTCAATCATACTTGCGGCCAGACGCCGGTTTTTGATGCAGAGCTAGCCTTCACTCGCGTCTTTGGAGAGGTCAAGAGCCACAGGGACCTTACCTGTCTGGTGAGCAACCAGATCTCCCGTCACAACGGCTGGTGGCGAGAGACAATGGTCAACTTTGGCAATCTGGTCTCGCAGTCAGTGGGCACGCGACGTGTCCCTACCAAGACCGTTGAGTTCCGTCAACACCACGGTACTTTGGACGTCCAAGAGATCAAGGAATGGGTATATTTCGTCACGAGCCTGGTGCGAGCCGCGGAGAAGAAAGCCAACGAGGTAAGCCCACTAGGGTCCAGCGAGGCTCAGGAATCCCTAACTCTGACAGTTGCGCGTGAAAAGGCCAAATATCCCATGATCTGGGTCAAGGAGATGAGGACTTTGCGGGAGTTGTTTGACTTGATGGACCTGCCGCTGGAGAGACGTAAGTACTGGTTTTTGCGTGCTCAGATGATGCGAAGTGACAAGTTTGCTGACTACTTCAAGGGCGGAACCTGTACTCCTGGTGCATGCACGGGGTCGGTGATTCGTAACTCTGAGGGGTGGGAAGAAGGTGAGTTGATCGAGATTCCCTGGGGTCGAGAATTGGAGGTCGACGCGCGTCCTGCGAGCGAGCTCCCTCCAACAGACGGTGATGGCGATGTTGTGATGTACTGATGATGCAAGTGGTGGATATTAAGTAAAGGTAAGCCGCATAGATGGTTAAAGATTGGCAAGATACAACAATACACATGTTCATAATCCAATCATGATAGAATAGGTTGTGCAAAGTGATAGCTAAATGCAATATCAAATATGTGACATGCACCAGTGCATTGCTGGACGTTTGCGTGACATTCTTTGAAAATTGAATGATTTATGTTGTCAACGGAACAAGTCTACGCAGGAAACCACAATGTGTACACCACTAACAAGTCCTAAGATTTTATCTGAGTTGTCTTTCATTAACTGCGGAAGACCATTCGCCAACTTGAGGATCATAGTATACCTATGTACTATAAAAATGCCTGCTACAAAGCTACAACTTGTTTGCCCTCCCTGCCTCTTTCAACAAATCCTCGATTGCAATTTCACTAGTACACAAGATCAAGGTGTCGTTCAAAGCTGGAACGCGGAACTTGAGATTAACATCCTGATAATCAGAACTAGCGAGCATGTCGGCAAAATGGCTGATAGAAGGGTAATGAGCCAGGGCAAATTCATTCCAGGAGCCGGCGCCGCCAGTCTCCGACTCAGGTCTTTGGGCCGTGATATTTCCAACAAGTTTAGCTACCCCTCCGCGCTTAATACCGATGGATTGGGAAAATGCCGCCCCATACTTCAAGTATGATGGTTTCATACCCTCATTGAACGAGAGGAGATTGAGCATCGAGACGCCTGAACTGCCTGGTCGGGTCTGGGAGAAGGACTGGATCCATGCTTGTAGCGACGGCGAGAGTTCGAGGTGTTGAGATGACGTCGCGTTGAGGTGTGGATTGGCTAGGTTTTGCGAGATTGCTGGGACAGACTTCGGGTCTGGGTGTAGAAGTCGAGAGTTGGTGGTGGCAAAGTCGTTGGTGATTCGTGATGGAACACCTGCTGTTGCCGTCCAGTGAGTGTGGATTTGGCTCTCGAGTGATGTTGGGAATGGGTCGGTTCCCAGTGCAATGATGAGGAGATCCCAGGGTTTGGGAGGCTGAAGAAGGATCTTGGCGTCAATTTTCTCGGGTTCAATGATCCAGCGGATGACTTTGGAGATGACCAGTGGTTGTAGAGATGTGGATTTGAGAGAGTCGAGGAATTTGAGAATGCTGGTAGAAGACACCAGTGAAACGAGGTGGATTGTGGCAAGAGGCATATTCAGAGAGGAATCAGTTGCTAATTTCTAGTTCCTTTGTTGAAATGCGAGGTATGAACAAGATCCGATGGCAGTGTGACGTCTGGAACTCGAATCTGGTCAAGTGTCTTTGGAGATGGGATAGATACCTTGGTAAAGATGGGTTTGAAATGGTGAGATAATTGGTTGAAGAGGTACAACCCAGTCGTTAGCAACTTTTAGATCTCAAGTATGGGATGCCTTATATGATCTGGAAACATGAGAATTGTTCAAACAGCTTCACAAACATAGGTATTTGATGCAACGTTCGGCAAGATTACTCTTCTGTCGCCTTTGCCGTTATGCGCAATGAGTAAACACGAACCTCGGTTCATCGAAGTGGAGACCTCTCATGTCTTGGTAGCCTTACTTGTCTCCACTCAGACAAGGCTGAGGTTTTTAGACTCCAAGTTCTTCATCTAATCTAATCTTGCGTCGCAACTTCCATTTTTTCCTTGCGCCGACCGGTCACCTCTTCTCTTCTCGCAAGCCGCACCGTCTATACCAACAGCTGAGACCTCTTTAGGAATCTCGATAGCATAGAAAACATTGACTGCACACATACCAATTCATACCGTCCGTCCTTCTATCCTAGCCCGCACACGGGCATCTCATCATGGCGACTTCACAAACTGCTACTCCCCCCTCCGTGACGCATACCACCGCACGACTCACTCACCTGGAGGCCCATGCCTTTCTTTCCGAATTTCTTACTCAAGCCGACGTCCGCCCCGGGTATCGACCGGATTCTACTTTGACAGAGCATGGCCCGCAGGCTGTATCTAGCGGCTCGAACCCGAACTTAACATTACATCACTTGAAGAGAATCCTCCTGGGCATGGAGGGGAAGAAGGTTGGAGGAGGTCTGGATCTTGTGGGAGCGGAGAATGGAGAAGAGACTGGCGCAGAAAACAAAACCAATGGAAACAGAAACACAGACGCAGATCAGGCGGCAACTCCTCGACGGGCCAAGCGGAAAATTTACGAGGGGGCAGATGGAGACAGTACCGCCGAAGCCGCTGCCGGGAACAGCGCGGAATGGCAGGAAAAAGACGATTTTGAACTGGCACAGGATGATGATGGAATCGATCTCATGAACGAGGATCGTCATCCTGGTGCAGATTTGGACCAGCCACACGACGACGCCCAAGAGGAGGATCTGGTTAATATCGAGATTGAAGAGACAGGCGAAAAAGTTGACCCGAGGAAACAGATCGATAAGGACGAGAGGAAACGATTGAAGAAGCTCAAGCACAAAGAGGACAAAGCAGAGAGGTCCAAAAAGAGAAAAACAACTTAAGCAAGATCGACAGACTATTGCTCTCTAGCATTCTCCAGCTGGTGGTCCTATGCCTAGGACAAAGCCAGGCTCTCCTTTGCAGGACTAGCACTCTACGCCAGTCTCCTACGTATGCTGATCTACATGAGATTCCCTGGCACGGTCTCTGACCAGTATAGGAACGGCCTCCAACATCCCGCCACTTCCAACCCATTCGAGACTCATGATGACCCTACCAGGCCACAATCAATTTTGTCATGGCCCAAAGTCTTGGATACACATGGACCCCAGAAGCGGCCATCGACAGACCTTCCCCCACTTACAGCTCTCTATCAGCTGCCTTGACGACTTTTGCATCCACAGTCTTTTCGTCCAGCTCGACCAACTTTCCATCTGGTACTGGCTTGGAAGTCTTCCAGCCCAAAGCAGCCAATCTCTCAGCTAGAATTGGGTGGCTGTAATGATAGCTTGCATACATCCAATCAGCATCCATGGTGCTGAGGTTCTGGACCTGAAGCTTGATCAAGCTCTGAGCCAGTTCCTTCTTGAAGCCGAGATCGGTCGCAAATGCGTCAGCCTCGAATTCGAACTTTCGAGACAGGATGTTCATCAACAGCTTTACCACAGCATCCATGGGGGCAAGCGCATCGGAGAAAAGGATGAAGCCAATGATGATCGGGCGCTGTTGGTGGAAGCCGAAGGAAGAGTACAAGGAGCGATTGTCGATGAAGATACTGAACAGGGCGAATATGTAGAACATATGGAACTACATCAATGTTAGTCACCAGGCAGGACAGATGGGATACCTGTCGCAGATACTGACCTGGGCAATGGCAAAAAGCTTGGTAGTGTGAGAGAGGCTCCAGTGGCCAAGTTCATGGCCAAGGACAGCAACCACTTCCTGAGGTTCACTCTTCTCAATCAAAGTGTCGTAGATGACAATGTGTTTTTTCCATGGCAGACCGAAAAAGTAGGCATTGCTGTGTGCGCTTCTCTTGCTTCCATCAATGACGTACAAAGACTTGAGAGGGAATTTTAGTTTGTCGGCGAGAGCCTCAACTCCGGTCTTGAGTTCTCCGGGTTCGAGTGGGGACAACTTGTTGAACAGTGGCAAAATGAAGATTGGATAAATGGTGATGGCTGATAGTTGGACGACGATTCCAAAGAGCCAGAGGTAGTAGAAGAACCGTGTGCCTGTAACCTGGATGATCTTTAAGAAAGCACTCAACAAAGGAGTACCGAGGACAACGGTCAAGGCCTGACCCTTGACGAGATCAGTCAACCACAATTTGACGGTCTGCTTGTTGAAACCAAACTTCTCTTCCAGAACGAAGGTGCCGTAGTACGAAGGAGGGAGGGAAAGGACTTGCGAGATGAGGTTGAAGGTCAAGAAGAATATGACAGAGTGTGTGATCTCGCCAGAGAACCGAGCAGGCAGGTAGCGTGTCAGCCAGAGACCAGTGAGGGACCAGATTTTGGGCAGGACGTCGTGTTGAATGAAGAGGACGTTTTGGATCTGCGAGTACAAGCCTGAGATGAAACCGAATTTTGCTTTTGCGCGGCCATAGGCCTAGAGATGATGTCAGCTGTTATGCAGGCTGGATACAACTTGAATGAAGTCTCATACCTGGCTCTTGTCAAAGACATCTTGGGAGATCTCGTCTTCGAGGGTCTTGGGAGGCTTCGTCCGCTGGAGGATCTTGTACTGGCGTAGGGACAGGAGGCCTTCAAGAACGAATTGGCCGACTGAGAAGCCGAGAATGAGTTTCTTCCATGGAAAACCGGGGCGATCAAGGAATTCAGCGAGTCGCTACGCAAAGTCTGGTTAGTCGTGGCATACGAGAGGGTTTGATGAGGGGGATGAGTAGTGGATTGACGTACTCTTGGGAAGTTGCCCAGGGCATGCAAGAGAGAAGCCATTTTCAGGCTTGACACTCGAGCGGTATGATGGTTTGGTGCTTGATAAGGGGTGAGTAAACTCGAGGTTCAAACCATTTGAGACCTGAAGAGCATTGGCAAGCCGCCCGTGTCGTGTTGGATGTCGCCTTGTCGTATGGCGTAGTGATGACGACCGAATTAGGCAAGTTCGGCGAATTCTGAGACGAGAAACTCAGAAAGTCACAAAGAATGGGTCGGTGGAGGAAGGTGCGATGGACGCTCTGACCAGACTTGATTTCACTTCACTGAACAAGTCACAACCTCTACGTCCTCAATATTGATTCTTCCTTCTACCGCCATCATGTGTCGGATCTGTGGAAGAGTCATCAAATGCATCTTTGACTCAATGCCGTCTCGAATCCGCGCAACAGCGCCCCGGAGGTAAGCTCTTCCAGTCACAACGACAGCATGACAGGTTTTGCTCACTGATGCGTCAGGGCCTTTACGACGGTTCGAAGAATCAGATCACCGTTGTCGATATCACAAAAAGCTGCATCCTCATCACCCATACTGTCCCTCGCCCGAGGCTTTTCCGGCCTGTCCATGAGATCATGCGCAACAACAACAACTAGGTCACTCAACACACATGTCCTCCGCTCGTCACTTCAGTCACATACAACTCTCAACCTCACACCGACACTCGCCCGACCTTCGATGGCACGCCCGTTTTCAACTACATCGGCATTATCCGGCTACCGGCGAAGAATGGATACATACAATCCCTCCCGTCGTGTGCAGAAGCGAAGGTCTGGTTATCTTGCACGTTTAAAGACACCGGGTGGCCGTGCAATTCTGAAGAGGAGGAGGCTGAAAGGACGTATGTATCTGAGCTGGTGAACAGAGAGTTGAGGAAGTCGAGGGACGACTGGAGTAGGGGTGTCTAGTCTAACTGAGAAGCGAGAGACGGCCGCAGATCGTCTTTCGATTGTATATTCAATCTTACAACATATGTGCTTCATTTACGAGGCTTTCAATAAAAGAAATCATCATAAATATACTCGAATTTTGTGTGACGTATCAAGGTATCTACAGTTCTGGGCTTTTATTCTCCATGAAGCCTGAAATCTATGCCGATGCAGAAACCGAATTCTGTTGATCCTTCAGAGACTGATGTCTCATCTCGTCGAAACTTCGGGCCTCAAACTTTGGCTCTTCGACAATCTTGCTCGCCTCAGTTTGCATGGGTGACAAACCCCAGCGGTCAAACATGGCTTTGTCCTCGTCCCATCCATTGCAATCGGTGGTTAGCATCTTCTCGCCAGTGAAGATGGCATTAGCACCAGCCATAAAGCACAACATCTGCTCACTCTCGGGCATTGTGACACGACCGGCAGCGATTCGGATGATGGTCTTTGGCATGACCAATCTGGCGGTGGCAATCACTCTGACCATATCCTCCAACTTGACAGGCTCCTGACCAAACATGGGCGTTCCCTTGATGGGGACCAGTTTGTTGACGGGGAAGGACTCGGGGTGGCCGGGCAATGTGGCCAAAGTATAAATCAGGCCGACGTGATCTGTTTGAGGTGTTTCGCCCAGTCCCAAGATGCCACCGCTGCAGACGTGGATGCCAGCTTCTCGGACATTCTCCAGGGTTTGTAGACGCTCGTCATATGTTCTAGTGGTGATGATGTTGGGGTAATGCTCTCGTGAAGTGTCAAGATTATGGTTGTAGGCTGTAAGTCCGGCTTCCTTGAGTTCTTTGGCTTGTTCCTTATCCACCATTCCCAGGGTGACACATGCCTCCATACCCAAGCCACGGACACCTTTGACCATTTCGACAATGTTCTTGAGCCCCCGTTTCCGACCTCTCATGTCTCTCCATGCGGCTCCCATGCAAAAACGGTTGGATCCATTGGCCTTTGCAATCTTGGCTGCTTCAATAACGGAATCCACGGTGGATAGCTTGGTGGCCTCAAGGTTGGTCTTGTAACGCGAGGATTGAGCGCAGTAAGAACAGTCTTCCGTACACCCACCAGTCTTGATGTTCATCAGGGTGCACAATTGGACAGCAGAAGGCTTGTGGAAGCGGCGGTGGACGGTGCCCTGTGGAATGGAGTCAGTAATAAGATTCTACCTTGACCTCATATCGTTATCTTGCATAACCGGGCTCGGGGGCTTACTGCAGCAAAGGCCAATTCCATAAGTGGCCGCTGATGTATCTCAGAGATCTCCTCCTTGGTCCAGTCATTTCGAGGACCGGTGGCGTTCAGTGCACGATCAAAGACAGATTGTGGTTGTGGCGGGGGAGGCGTCTGGCTTAGACTTGCTGCGGTTGTTCGAGGTACATCGTGGACAATACTGTAGTACCGAAGTGAGGGAGCTTGCCGGGCAGCCTTCCGGGCGACACTCCGGCCGAGTGTAGCAAACTCCATGGAAATGGAAGAGAAATGCTACACAGCTGGACTGGATTGTCGTGCAGGGTACCAAGGGTTAATGAGGGCAGAGAAAGTGTCGAGGGTGTTGGGATGATGGGAGAAGCAAGTAGACGAGGAGGAGTATTTTGGTGGGGCAATGTTTTTGCAGGAGTCGCATGCTATAGTAATGCAAGGAAGGTAGGTACCCAGGTATGCATTAACAAGTTGGCAGTCAGCACTCAGAACCCCAACTGTTGGTAGCGATGAGATCGCCTAGCTAGCCCTATAGTAGGTGAGAAGGTACCTGGTTTGGAGTCGTGGGTGTCTCAGGAAAGTTCGGGGCTGGGGTTGGATTGTTCGAGGGGGAGGGGAGGCCTCCTGTCCTGTACCTCCCGCCTATCGATCTCCGAAAGCATACCGGCACGGGTGATGGGCATGAGCGGCCCGGGCTGCCCGAGGGCCAAATGCGAAGGAGGCATAGGTGAGATCGAGGACGTCCTTCTTCCCTCGGCCCTTCAGCCCCAGGACTCCTTCTCCGTAGGCTGACCGAAGATTGCCATCACTTGTTGTGTGATTGGGTCCGCTTATTGGCGGTTGTCTGCAGGAACCACACCACGGCCTTCTCTCGTTGTGGGCCGTTTTCCTCATCACGCCAGCGAGATCGCCGCAACATCGCCGGGTGCCCTCAAGCCACGATTCAATTCACGGGTTGACGGATTAATTACTCAAGAGATCTCGTAGGAATGACGTGGAATGGGAGGTAAGACTCTGAGACTCTTTGCCAGGACCTCCGAGATCGCTAAACACATACCATGGCCACCGATTTCGATTGCCTCTATTATTACTGAAAACCTGTCCTTAGATCTTCGAAATGACTATCTATGTACTACTTAGCATACTATCCGCCCCGAACAATTACTTGAATGGACACTATGAACACCATATCACTTTGCTCTCCTCGCTCCGCCGGAGCTTAGCTTTTCTTCCAATAGAGCACAATATACCCCAGAATCCGATACACAGCAATAATTCCAAGCATGATCCCAACCCATTCACCTTCTCTTCCCAGTGAGATCCCAAATGCGCTAAGAACAGCAGGTCCAGCAATTTGGCCTTGCGCATTCAGCTCGCTCGCGTAGCTGCATTGAAACCCGTCGCCTACCCGATCGCAATTATAAGTCCGATCCTTGAATTCATTGACCATCATGCCTTGAAAGACATATGACTGATAGTCAATATAATGAAAGACGTATTTCCAGAAGGGGTTCAGGATGTTCATGGGAACCAAGAAGCCATCAACGCACATCCACAGCCCGTTGGCGAATGCTGTGACCGCCAGTGAGATGACAAAAACAGGGAACAGCGCCGACACAAGAACGACCAACGACTCGGCCGCCAGAAGATCCAGAAATAGCCACATGGTGTACATCATAAAAGCATCTCCAGTCGTCCGGAAATTGCTCAGGAAATAAGCGACCACCGAGAAGAGGACGGCGATGATGAACAGGAACGGGAGGCCGATGATGAAATTCGATACCATAAAGGCCAACGGTCCAACCAGCCCGTTTGCTCGTTCCTTGGTAAACGTAGCCCGATCCTCGAGGAATGCTGGAACATATGCCACTGCCATGAAGGACATGAATGCTGACCCAAAGAAGATGGCGTTGATGAAAGACTGGATGTACCTCTGGCTCGACCCCATTCGGAGAAACACCGTTCCCATTAGAATAGCGAGGCCAAGATACATGACGATACGGATATGGTACGCCACAATGTCGCGGCAAGCTTTAATCCAGGACCGTTGTAGGAGCACCAGTGGTATCATCCACGCACTTGGCTTGCCGAGTGCCATCTTTTCCAGGTCTGGAACTTCTTTCTCGTTTGTTGCCAGAGACTGCGTTTTTTGGATGTCCTCTGCCAGCTTCGAACTTTGCTCGCCCGAGCTCCAGGATTGTATAATATGGTTTGTCCTTTTGAAAATTTCATCATCTTCTTTCGCGAGGTCGGTGTTGATCATGTCAAGATAAAACTCGGCCGGGTTGGTCTCAGTGGGCATAGGGTATCCGATGTCGTTGAAATAAGAGTGTGCCTTTTGCAATGGCCCAAAGTAACAAGTCTTACCGCGGGACAGCAGGCAGAGCTTGTCAAACAGCTTGAATGTCGATGTTGACGGCTGATGAATCGACGCGATCACAACCAGCTAATGATGGAATCAGCAGCATTCACCGACAACGACGAAGGACGCACCTGGTTTTGTTTGGCAATTGACTTGATATAACTCATCACTTCGAAGCTTAGTGACGAATCCAACCCGCTGGTCGGCTCATCAAGAAACAATATCCTTGGGTCAGTCACAAGCCGACTTGCGACGCCTAACCGCTTTTTCTGGCCTCCGCTGAGCCCCTTCTTGATGGGTGTTCCAACGATGGTGTCGCGTTGACCCTGAAGACCAAAGCTCGCAATCAAGTCGTCAATTCGCTGTTTTCGTTCTTTGGAAGAGATGTGGCTGTCAAGCTCGCGTTAGCACGGCATGAGACATACTTGATGAAGAAGGCATACCTGGGCAATGCGAGACCTGCTGCAAATTTCATGGTCTCTCTGACTGTCAAGCTACCGATCAGAGCATCTTCTTGCTCAACATAGCTGGACAACTGGCGAATCTTCTTCCAGTCCAACTTTTGTCCATTGGCCAAGACATCTCCCGTTGTCGTTGCGCCCGCAGCGGCCTCTCGAAACGCCAGTGCATTCAGGAGAGTGGTCTTGCCTGAGCCGCTCGGGCCCATGATGGCCAGGAGTTCCCCAGCATTGACAATACCCTGGGAGTTGGTAAGAATGGAAATCGGTTTTTTAGTGCTTCGATCCTTGACAGTGACATTCAGGTCGGTCCAACAAACGTTATGAACGATATCATTAATCAGGTGCGAGGTTGGGACTCGGTTCAGCTCTAATGCTGCGCCGTCGCGAATTGCTGCCTCTGTCATGTTGCAAATCCTGCTAGATTCTGCGTTTTTGTACTTGTGTTTGATTGAGTAAGGAACATGATGTCTGTTGCATGAGGGGGCACGAGGGGCCTAATTATACCAGACAATCAAGAGCTAGCGACGTTCTCCTGGTAGTACAAAGCATTTCCTCGCCATGGATCCTGTGTCAGTAATTTTGCCAGTTCGGCGATGGGCATTCAGGAGAAGCCAATCAGGATCCCCGCGCAAGCGGCATCGTCCAATGACATCGTTATTTTCCGGTCGGCGAGGTCGGGTCGTTCAAGCTCCCCGGCAGGCCTCATTCGGAAATAATGTTGCGTTGGAATACCAGCTGACCACAGATCTGGCAACACAGCTGAGCGGATTTGTGTCTCATTGAGGAACTATTGGATGGTATGATATGCATGTCGTAGCCTGTTCATTGTTGTTGTGGAGCGACTTGCATGGTCGGCCTGCCTAGGACGGAAGCGCCAGACTACTTAGCGAAGACGGTGTGTTCGAGATCTTCAATTCTCCATCCACATGAATCAGCATCCACGTTGATCAAGTGCATGCGGCCAGAAAACTTAGAATCGTTTGTAAGCACGCCAGGGTCAAAAATCAAACCACGGTCACGTTCTGAACATTTGTTACAAATGGGAGACATTCAGAGCATTGCTAGAAGCCCAGAACCTGCCCACGCACCTTGGTGGTCCCTGCGCTCTGCCCACGCGTGAGACGTATACTCGTATTATGGGACTGGGGCCAAAAGACATTGGAATGACTGGTAATGTCAGCCCCTCAGCCCCTAGGAATTTGGGCCATGCCCTCGTGAGAATTCCACCTGGGTGCCTGAGGCTTTAGGGCACAAATCTTAGCAGTAAAAGTCCATGCTCAGACTCGCAATGGTAGAGACCACGGCTGACTCATGTGAATACAATAAAATATGAGCATCAAATTGAACATACAAGTACTGACAAGTATATAACGTCATGGTAGCTATGTCCTTTCCTCAAAAGTAACCGTTATTCTATAACTGTTGATAAAGCCACGGGTAAATGTTTACACTACTTAGAGTTAGCACCAAAGGTCTCTTATTAGGCCGGCCACCCTTATGAGTAAAGATGTTTAAACAATAATAACGCCTCTTTCTTTTCATAAAGCGCCCAAAGGGCCTATAGTCCACGTAACCCTGTGGCTAAGGTCCTAGTCTTTTATGAATTGCATACTATCATCATGTCCGTTGTCACCATTCCAGCTCGAACTGGCGGCTACATTGCCCTCAAATCAGGTCAGAAGCTCAAACTGATAAACCCTCAAGGCAATCAAGTGATTGATTTTTGGGCCTTTGTCTTTCTTGACAGCGATGCGACTGATGTTCCCCCAAGCTTTGTTCGCTCAGAAGCAGACCCCACCCCAATGAAATCAACAGTCTCGCCATTCCCCTTCACAGCAGGTATCCAATACTTCTCCGCCTCCCGGACTCGTTCAATTCTCTCCAAGTTGATCCCATCTGCACGGGACCAAGACGTCCTGTACACCAATAAATCCCTTCCGCTATTTACTTTGGTGGAAGACACGACATCAGGGATCCACGATACATTGTTTGGTTGCTGTGATCGATTTCGATACCATAATCTTGGTATCGATAACTATGAGCACGCCAGCTGTGCCGAGAACATGCACCTTGCTCTACAAAAGGCTGCTGCGGCAGGAGTATTCACACCTGGTTCGATTTCCACCGAATGGACCCCAGATCCATTGAATATATTTATGAACGTACCAGTGACCTCTGGACTTGAACGCCAATCTGGTGGTGGTCAGATTACATGTCGAGCTCCGGAGAGCAAGGCTGGGGAATATATCGTTCTGCGTGCCGAGCGGGATTGTGTGGCTGTCATGAGTGCTTGTCCGAATGATGTTATCCAAGCAGTAAATGACGGTGTCTGCACTGCCATCGAGTATCAAGTAATGGATTAATATATATCTGTGGACTGAGCAAAGTGACTTTTATTGATCCTATCTCCCTCCTGCGAGCGTCTTCGGGATCTACATATGTAGTGGTTCGCTGAGCACCCCTGAAGACACGTGGGCTATTGTGGAGGTAAGGTTGCATCAATTCACATGAGTCACACCTCACAGCATTAAGCGATTGACAAGTCAAAACCCAAGGATAGGGTTTACAGGTAGTCTCAAGCTTTTTAACCCATTGATTGTCTTTCACAACTTCTTGTCCCCCGAATGCAATTCTGAAGTTTTCAGATACCGCCAGCGCAACCCTCAGCCAGAACCAGATCAAAATGCACATTCGCCCAGCTCAACCCACTGATTTCTCTGCCATGTCACACGTCGCCTTTGACGCCATGCTGGACGACGAGCTCAGTGCTTTTATTGCCCCTTATCGTCGCCAACATCCCGAATGCCTGCGTTTAACCTTCCTTCGCCGTGCCAAGATCCGCTACTATTCAGGCAAACATCTTCTTGTCGCCGTCCTGGATTCGAGTGACGCCGGATGGGATGGTACTGACACAGTTGTTGGATATCTTTCAGCCATCGACCCTGCAGCAAGGGGCGAACGGGGCTCAAGGTGGTCTGATAGTATGTCATCCATCTGTGCTACCTGGAAGGAGGACGATACTCTTAATCTTTCTGCATCCATTGTTCAGTGACCAGACATTATGTTTCTCTATGATAAGAATTTGGGTTGAATACTAATGAATTAACGCAGAGCTGGAGTTAGCCTTACTAAATCTGCAAAGCAAGGCGGTGGAATATACATTCGCGGACCGATCAGTATCACGACGCAATCTCCGCCAGTTCCAGTCAACCATCATGGATGTGTCCGACCTTCAATGTTTCGCCGACGTTCCGCGCCATTGGGAGATCGATTTTCTCGCCGTTGATCCCAAAGCACAAGGGCGCGGGTTGGGCAGACTGCTGATTAGCGCGGTTCAGAAACTTGCGACTGAAGATGGTCTACCCGTCATCCTCATTGCCAGCGTCAAGGGTCGCCCCGTATACCGGAAATGCGGCTTTGTCGAACTCGGGGAGGTGAATCTCGGCGCAGATGTACGGGGCCAGGCCATGGTTTGGAAGCCATAGGCCTTTGGCATGTCAAATTAGAATGCTTAGCAAGACAAATAGCCTCGTTTTGTTACTTTCTCCGTGAATTATATGGTCCTTAAAACCTGCCTGCCTGCCATAATTAACACCTTGACTTTTATGTTCGCCGAGTAGGTAGTAGTTATGGACTTATAAGACGACCAATCCCCACCGTTCTCACTATGCCTAGATCTCTATAGTGAGATCTCGTATATACAAGCAAACATTCGTGACAGCAAACTGCTTCAATAGAACATACGAATTCACTCTCACTTCTCATCTCTCTCGGACCGCCGTTGGCTTTTCATCTGTCCGGATGTATTCTCCGTGGACTGCCTAGGCGATTGATTAAGAACCCCTTCGCCGCTCCCGACTGCAGGAGCCCATTGAGATCTTTCGTCGTCTGGTCTCCAGGGCTGTCCGCCCTGCGACACGTGCCATCTCGGATCTATGGAGACTGATCCACCCAGCCGCAAAGTCTGGTGCTGACTGGAAAACCTAACCCCCGAAGAGCCTCCGGTTGGATGGGATCCGGGAGGAGTGTACGGTACAGAAGAACTGGACTGCATGTCGTGCCGCGACATAGGGTCACGTGGCAGGTTTGTGGTTCCATAAGATGGACGATCATGACGGGAAGGCGGGAAAAATGAAGCAGGCAACCCACGTGAGGTTTGTGCATGAGGACGCGACTGCATCTGCCCACTCGGGCCACCAATCTGTTGACGATTTCGCCGTTCTTGATCCCTCAAGGTATCCATGGCGTGCATCTGCGCTGTTTTGGGCAATAACCTATCAAGATAAGGTGGCCTGCTGGCTTGATGACTGCGGTCATCTTCCCTAGAAGACTCGTGATCGCGAGACGACATATTGTGATTCGATATTCCGAGGATTGCTAGACTCTCGGCCTTGTATATGTTATATATCAGTGAGGAAAATCCAAAAAAAAGACCCTTCCATGAAGATAGCAATCTGCTGATGTACATAGACATGGAAGACTAGCCGTTTGCACAAGATGCGGTGACAACGAGAAAACCGTTTGCTTCAGTCACCAATCACAGTCGAAGAGATGGTGTCATATCTGTTGAACAGAATGAGAAGGTTGACCAGTCAAGGCGTACACTCTCATTATGATGATTAGCCAATGACTAAGTTGAGGGTTCAAGTCATTCGTGCCCCAAATCGTTATGAATCGAATCATCTGAATTCACGTCTCGATTCATGAGACAATGTTCTCTTCAACTTTGGATGAGTTCAAGGGTCGTGCTGATCGTCATGGCCTTCACTTTGTTGTTGATTGACCGTCTGCCGACGAACGTGGAGATCGGGTGGCCGGACGGGCAATTTAGCAAAGCAAACCCAAAGACCAAGGACGGTCACCAGCTCCCCAAACACAACTATCGGAAAGACGCGCATACCAAGGTGTTGCGAGAGTGCTCCTAAAGCAAACGGTAAGAGGGCACTGCCGACCTGACCGATCAGAGCAACGAAGGACACAGCGCCAACATGCAACCTACTTGGCAAGTGGCTGAGAAGGAGCACAACTCCATTCGGGAAAAGTGGACCACAGAAAAAGCCTAGTAATGCTGCAGTTGCAATCAATAACACCGGTGTCGTGGATATTGTGAATAGAGCGTGACTTATGATGAAGAGAACAAGGTATGTGGCTGTGGCGGATCGAATGCCAACAGAATCTGTCACCGGTCCGAGCATGAGTCTCCCAGCAGCCATTCCGATCCAGAAGCCAGAGGAACAGAGCCCAGAGTTGTAAAGGCTCCCATGATGATATCGCGATACAAAGGTTACAATCCAGCCTGAGATCGTGGCTGCATTTTAGTTAAGTAGATGTTCATGGATGATTGTGAAGGTAGAAACGTACTCTCAGTTCCCACATCCGCCAGGAAATAAGCAGCGCACATCCAGACCGAGGGCTGCTTTACGATGACTGCTAGTTGGCTGATATTGGTCTTTCCCTCTTCAGATTTCTCTGCCATGTACTTAGCGGCATCCTCAGATCGAAATGCTGAAAATAAGATAATGATCTCGAGGACAACTGCTATGGACTGTCCATGCACTCCATGTCAGACGTTTCATATGTTATGATGGGTGAAAGACCCTACCAAGAAGAAGTACCAATCATACCATGGCCGATGAATCTTTGAAAGCATAGTGGATGCTAGAAATGGTCCTAAACTTGCACCGAAGGAATATGATCCATGAAGAACTCCAGAGGTGGTGTTAGCATTCTTCATTCCCGCTGCCCACGCACACCATGATCCATCGAGAAGGCCTGTTCCAACTGCACCAATGGCGGAGGAGATTAAGACAAGAATAAAAGGGGGTTGGGCGCAGATGAGGCACACAGAGCTCAATTGGCAGAACGGACCCAATATTGCAATACCCCTCTGGCCAAACCGCATATGGACGTTGTGATTTGCAAACGCTGCCAACAGATAACCTAATGGCATAATCAAGAAGAGAAAAGAGACATGAATGTCGTTGAGACCGTAGAAGCGTTGGAGCTGAGGAATCATGACCCCAACGCTCGAATTGATAAGCCCCATGACCAAAAATGAATAGGATGCCCCCACGATTCGAGATGTTTCCTTGGGTAGAGGCCTGCTGGATTCCTCTCGATCTTGGCCATGGCTCGAGGTGGCAGTCTCCGAATCATGGTTTCTCCCATTGTTGATTACTTCGTAAGCAGTATCAGCAGGTGTTTGGCGGGTGTCATTCCGACTAAGGAGGGGCTCATTTTCATCCCTTGAAAGCATATACATCTTCCGTAGCTTTGGGGCTCAGGTTAGGTAATGCATGGAGGTAAAAGGTGAAGCTCGAATAGAATTTAGATCATGAAATCACATACAAATGGCGGCGGGGATGTAACACATGTCACGTGACATTTACATTGCCAAGTTTCTCCCCAGAAGCCATCATTCTCTTCATCGTGTCTCTATTATGCACTTGAGAGATAGATAGCCCGGCCAATTCGTCAATCTAATTGAGTTTAGTCCTAAGCACGGTAGAGAACCATTGCTCCTGGAATCATCGAAGTATCAGTACAAAGTGCAGTCCTCCTCTTAGTTCTGTGTGAACTGCTTTCATCAACGATGGCTGGCATTTCTTCTTTGTCGACATGCCAACTACAAAGCGTCTGGGTTCTCCACTACTCGTCCGCCCTGGTGGATTCTGGGAACAAGTTACCTCTCGTGTCCTCAGACTTTCTCATCCTTTATCGCAAATGGCCGAAAACGTCGAATAAGAACTCTCGCAGCACGTTGATCAGGCAGCACATTATTCAGGCGGGTCCAGCTAGAGGTCCTCACGTCGACTAACTCTATATATATGACTCCACCCCTTTCCCAGTTGTCCTTTCTTTCTGTAATTCCAGTGATGCACTGGTCTATTCTTTGCCGAAGATCAAAACAGACACATTTCTGGTCCCCTGCTGCTCGACGTTGGATTGATTGGCTCGAGAGCTGTTAGCATATATGTCTGCCTCAATTCATTCAGGTCCAACTTCAGCGAAAAGTGCCTCTTCGGGGGATAGTCTCAAGCGTGAGAGTGACAACTCAAGCTCTACCCAATCTGGCAGCCGGAAAAGACAGAAGTCCGGTTCCCAAGACGAGGGGCATGGACCAACGGCCCTGGCCACAACATTTGGCGTCGAAATAGAACTCGTGTTTGCCTTTCACAAGGACGCCTTGCAATCTGTTCTAAACAAGTATGATATCGACGCCGACATTGTTGAGAAATTCACTCGAGAAGAGCACCGCACTCTACTCAGGTGTGGGCAACATTCACCTAGTGCCTTCAAGTGTCGCTCACGGTATCCCACGTGGGCATTACATGTTGGCGAGAAAGATCATATCATCGCCACAGATCCCGAAACCCTCACAAAAGAAGCCGTGTGTGCTAAGAGCGCACCGGGGAGTGCGAAAACTCACCTTCGGAGATATGTACTAGAGCCACTGTTGATCGCCAAAGGTTGCCTTAACAATGCAGACGTGAATTGTAACGTTATTGGGTGGATGGAACGTGATCCTACCGACCTGCGAGATCTTGAACTAGCGAAAATCCCCTTCCCTCGCCATTCTTCCGGTGTGATGATTCGCCAGGGTGATATGGATTATTCTCAGTGGACTTTGACGAATGATTTTACTCTCATGGGTGCTTTGCCGTCGCAATTGAAAACAGAACTGTCAAAGAAGTTTCCCTCTATTCCCAAGAAAGCCATCGAAGATTGGGATAGCTATGGGCTAGAGTTGATTACGCCCTGCTTCCAACTCAAGGATAAACAACTTGCTTTTGCCGAAATCCGGAAAACACTCAAGGCCCTCGAAACCCCATGCACCACTGCGTTCGGTTCGGTCTGGGCCAAGTTGCACGTACATATTGGTTTCGACGTCCAGAAGCCTGAAGAGCTGCCGATCCTGACTTTGCAACATCTTGCATATATTCTCCTTCAGCATGAATACTACATTTCGGACTGCTTTCCCAGAAGTTGCTCAGGGGAGGATCCTCATTTGTATCCGGACTATGTTCCACCGCGGTCGAAAGCCCCACATCTAACAAGGCGTCACCTTCCACGAGGAAGGACTGTCCGCGACGAGGATGAGCTTGAGGTGCTGAAGGTTGAACGAGAATATACTGGCCTGGCTATCCACTCTAACGCCATGTGTTTCGCCGAGGAGACAAACTTCGAGCTAGACCACGAAGCCACCTTGGATAGGATATTTGTCGAGCGCGGCAACATCTATGAATTGATCCATTGTTTGCAGCGAGGTTCTGATATCATGGTCGACAGTCCATTTCGAGGGTACTTGTACAATTGGGCAAACCTCTGGGCATTTGCTAGGGACAAGACGTTGTTGAAGCCTAAGAAGCCAACTATCGAATTCCGTCAGCATGATGCTACCGTGGACTATATCGAGATGAAGCACTGGGTCACCTTTCTAGAAGCCATCGTGAGAAAAGCGGAAGAAAAAGCGCGACAATCAACTCGCTATGGAACTGATGAGCCGTTGGATCCTACTGAATCGTACGCCAAGATCCAAGGAGCAAAATATCCAGAACTCAACGCGGACTGGCCTATTAGGAGCATGGAACGGTTTTGTGTCGACTTTCTAGGATTACCAGTCAAGGAGGGCAGGTATTGGCAGAAACGACAGGTCAGGTACAAGAATGATAGACCTTCGTTCCGGATACCACAGAAATAGATGATGGTCTTCCAGGCGCCACAGGTCTGGAGGTGATTTGGTATTGTCGCTCGGTCTCGGCCGAACCCAAGCCTTCAAGTGGATGCCGCGTTATCCGGCCTAAGTAGTAGTTGCATCATTCTGAATTTTACGTCGAATTTTAGACAATTATCATACTGTATGTCTAGAGCTTCACGCTTGTTGAAACCAGTCATTGATTAGTGATGACAAGGACCTTTTTGGACACTAATAACGCTTCTACCCTGTTAAGCATCCTTCGGAAGCAGGATACCATACAGTGTCAAGCCCGCGAGATATCCTCGCGGGACTTCAAGCATTAAGCTTTACGAATGAGCACCTGGTCACCATTAGGCTCGAACAGTCGAAACCAGCAAAATGTGACGGCCCATGATGATAATCGAAAACCACCAGGAGCTAGCCCAACCACAAAGGACAGAGCAACTCATGGGCAGAGCGACGAAGCACTCGACACGACTTCAGATCTGGAGGATGGCACGCGAGCAAAAAGGCCGTGTTCCATGGACTCGGCACAACGCCGGTCTTCGAGTTTCGTTGATGAGGGAGATACGCTAGCCCGCCGAAATTCACATGAAATCTTGGTTGAGAATAAGCAAGAGGCGCCAGTAACATGGTCATCTCTTCCCAAAAAGGGGCAACTGATGGTCCTGACCATTGCTCGGCTCTCCGAACCGCTCACAAATGTTTCGTTGGCGGCATATATGTACTATCAGCTACGATTCTTTGACCCAGATGCTTCAGACAAGGTCATCTCTGGTCAGGGCGGTATGCTCACAGCATCATTCGCGGCCGCTCAGTTCCTCACTGCAATCTGGTGGGGCCGCGCGGCAGATACATCGTGGATTGGACGAAAGCGAGTGTTGTTGATCGGTCTATGTGGTACCGCCGTAAGCTGTATCGGCATTGGGTTTTCGACATCTTTCGCACAGGCTCTGTTCTTCCGTGCCTGCGCTGGCTGCCTAAATGGCAATGTCGGGGTGATGAGGACTATGATCAGTGAGATTATTAAGGAGAAGAAGTATGCCAACACGTTCCAGTTCAAGCGGGAAAATCGCTAATGTTTCAGGTATCAATCTCGTGCCTTTCTGCTACTGCCTATGTGCTTTAACATTGGTGCGTTCCTCGCAGATTCTGTAGAACGACACGCTGACCGGTAGACAGGGGTGGTCATTGGGCCTATATTGGGAGGTTTCCTGGCGGATCCAATAAACTCGTTTCCTACTGTGTTTGGTCCTGGATCGAGCATCGGAGGAAAGGAAGGCGTGAGGTGGATGACAGCGTTTCCATACGCTCTCCCCAGTGTCGTCAACGCTATTTTCATCTCCACATCGGCCATCTTCGTCGTGTTTGGTCTTGATGAGACGCATGCAGCAATGCAACATAAGCCAGATATGGGTCGCAGACTGGGCAAGTGGATATGGCAGCGACTTTTCAATCGAAAGAAGAACGCATCGTACGACTATATCCCAATCGTTGACCAAACCGAGCTACGAGACTCATCGAGTTTTGCCGTATTGGATGAAACCTCGCACGCACAGGACGAGACGTCAACGACGCCAAACTCAAATCAGGAAATCCGAGAGCCCAAGTTTTCTGTCCCTTTGAGAGAAATATTCACGCGGAATGTGGTCTTGACGCTCGTTCAGCACCATCTTCTCGCCATGCATGTTAGTGCCTTTAACGCTCTCATCTTTCTCTTCCTCCCAGCTGCGCGCTCCGACAATAAGGATGCGCATCTCCCTTTTCTCTTCACTGGCGGCCTCGGGCTTTCTAGCGAAAAGGTCGGACTCGCGACAGCCATCATTGGAGTTATCGGTTTCCCTCTTCAGATCCTGATATATCCACGAATGAATGCCAGGCTGGGAACATTGCCCAGCTATCGAATCTTTCTCCCGTTCTCCATGCTGGCATACCTCTTAATACCCTTTCTGGCGCTTCTCCCGAATCGAGGATATGTGACCTGGCCAGCCTTGACCGTCGTCTTGGCACTTCAGGTTGTCTCCAGAACGTTTGCGCTGCCAGGGACGACATTGCTCGTCAATAACTGCACTCCTCATCCCAACGTCCTAGGAACCATTCATGGATTTGCTCAGAGCGTCTCTTCCGGGGCGAGGACGATTGGTCCAACTGTAGGGGGTTGGGTACTCGGTTTAGGGCTTTTGGGTAATTGTGTGGGTGCGGTTTGGTGGGCTTTGGCAGTCGTTGCTGTGATGAATTGGTGCTTGTTATGGGTCATTCACGAGGGAGATGCTGGACATAGCGCTGTGGCTCGTCCATGATAAGGCAGTTTTTCTGGATACGGTGGACAAGTTGGCAGCAGAAGCCAATGGGCGATGGGAGCCGAATTCTCTAGAAGTAATATCATAGAGCAACAGACATTCTGGACCCGATAAGCATAATTTAAACTCACAATCATCGAGCTTGTATCTAGAGCCAACCAGAGTGCCCGGAGAACTGGCTCGGCCGTATTTGGCGAGGTGCCTAACGATCGCAGCGTGTGCCACGATTCAGCTCCGAGCAGGCAAGATTGGCCATGGCCGAAGGGGAAGGATCTCAATTCAGGCCGACCTAGTAGGACTCCGACAATCCGCTGGAAGAACGGGAAGTATAAACTTCTCGGTCTATGCTTTGGCCAGTTGAAATCCTTATCGGTCCTTCCTTTCTCGAGCATCCATTCTCCCAGGAGTCAATTCCAATCGATGGGGCCCCCAGGCTGATAGAGGGAGAAACAGCAAAGGCGGTAATTGAGGCCCAATTGGGTAGTTGGGACTTTTCTGCACAACATGGTGATCTACGAATACCGAATACCGAGACCGCGGTAAGTTCAACGACTACGGAGTATGGAATTGATGTACAATCTTATCAATCCCCCAACAGCTTTGCCATATGGATGTTCGGGGATGCACCCGGAAACCATATCTACAGGCGTAAATGTCGACCTTTTTCTTGGTGCTTCTGATTAAACAACTGCTTCTCACTACATAGAATAGAGGCATGATGTCATGACTGACGGTGCTAGAATAAATTTGCGGTTAAATCACCAAGCTATCGTGCAATTGCTGTCATAGATCTCGCATGTGTAAGTCATTTGTCAATTGATGATTCTATCTACTTGCGCAACCGTCGCAAGAACTGCAGGACAGTCGTGGCATTTGCTGACTTGACGTTCGCGTAATTTACGGCTGCCGGTTTCTGATAATGCGCGGATCCTAGGGCACATTCACCGATTCGGCAAACACTATGATGAGGGGGTTGAAGGAACTAGGGAAGTATTATGGGTGGTTCCATGCTTCTAGGTTCAAACGGGTGGAACGGTCACATCGAACACTGAGAACTTCGGTGTTTGGTTGTCAATTTGTGCCCGAGTATGGAAACTGTAACTGTACAAGTACCCGATTGAGGGCAAATAATGATCCAGGCATTCTTATATGGTGACGAAGGAATGATGTACTTACGTTGACTTACCTCTGATATGGGAACTTCTCGTTCTAGAATGAGGAATGTTCTGGCGAATGCCCCTCGGCCCCTTCCTACCCACACATAGGTTCAATTTCAATATGTGGTACGCCTAAACCTCGATCAAGCTCGCGCAAGCCACCTACTGCGCTGCAGGTTTATTACAAACCCTCGCTAATGCGCCTTTCCGCCTGGCTTGGTCTCGTATTGGCCAGGTTCCCCCCTCAACAAACTTCAGCCGGTGCCGTGTCTCGTTCATCTTGGGTGGCACGGTGCACAAGCATCTCTTTGACTCTCAAATATGTGTGGAGTCGTAGCGAATGGAAATGGCTGTGGATCGGAAACAAATACGCTACAATGCCCCTATGCAATGTACGACGGGCCAACTCATATTGATCGGATGTGAGAATAGAGGCCTGGGGCTGGCCTCGCCTCTCAGGCATATCTAGTTCTCTCAACCCAACGTTCCAACGCCTGCTCGAAGTAATTTGGCTTTCCTTTATCCTGGCTGCTCTGCGCTGGGCTGGCCCCTCAACGTTGTCCAATGATTTGAGACGGTCAATCTGCTGCTGTCATCGGTCTCAACTCATTGTCATTCCCGCTGTGTTGCCTCGAGGTGAAGAGATATATATGATCCCTCTATAAGAATGTGGGACTGTCCGATTCAGCCTCTCTAAAAGATCACAGAATCAGCATTGTCACCACTTACGGACTCTGGAGGAGAGACCCAACTAGCGACCAGTCATAATTGAAAATCTACAGAGCCTCATAACTGAAACTCGACCTTGTGTTTCCTCAGTAGGAGCCCGACCGGACGGCATATAGAGCGAGGGTCAATCAGGAGCTGTGGAGGTTGAGACTGGAATGGGAGGAATGAGGAGGCATCGGGAAAGTGGCGGGTCGAGGAGTCGCTCGAGTATGGATGCGGTTATCTCTTCTATCTCTGCCACGAGCCTCGACTCACGCCAATACACGCAAACACCACCTCAACAGCATGCAACACCACATATTTTCACATTACCCATGTCACTGCCAGTGCCCACAGAAGCAATACCAATTTCTTTCCATGAAATATACAACTACGGGCCAGATCATGCCTGGCAATCGGAGAATTTCTACGATCCGGGCCTTACTATTGACCTGAATGTGACAGATGTTCGTTTGAAATCTGCCCCCTTGTAAGATAAAGGTGTTGACATGTACAGACGTTTCGATCAGAAGACGACTTTTTGCCTCACACACTTGATCCGAGCGTTGTCCCGGGTCCAATGGATTCACCACTGGATATTGGATCCGAAGTTCTGATTGGCACCGAAGCTGGGAGCCCAAACATTTTACGCGAAGACTCGCGAGAATCTGTCTGTTCGAGTCACCCTAGTACAAACAATCACAACCGCACCTTTTGTGAAGTATGCGAGCGGGACAAAAAGGAGGTGTGTATCCAGTCGACGCCGATGGCTATTTCACGGACCTCCACTGACCACGGTCTTGGTCTGACCTAAAGCAGAGAAGGAAGGAACAAAATCGCAAAGCACAACGCAATCATCGACTACGGAGTGAGGCAAAGGTGGAACAATTAAGAGCAAGGCTACATGCACAGACCGAGGAGATAGCGGCATTAAGAGAGATGAACAGGCTGCTACAGCTCGACCTTGACGAGTGTCGAAAGTCAACTGAGGAAAGGGCCGCTTGAGAAGTGTGGCTCCTTGGAGTCGTTGGGAATGCTCTGACAACTATCCGCTGGAAGGCAGTCGAAATTCAAGGCGACGTCAAGCTTGGACCATGGTGACAGCGATACCGTTCATCTCAGTCTCCCGCTTACTAGGGGTCTGCGGGGACGTCAAGGAATCAATTGGCTGGTGACACACCAGAAGAGATATTCACATGTTAAGGCGTTGGAAGTTCTCGATTCGGAAACAGGGTTGAATGGGCCAGGGCCAGGGTCGGCGCAAATAGTCGGTCATGGGTACACCCAATTGAGTTCATTTCGAAGAACCTTCCATGTATCGAAAACCAATTATAAGCTGATGACTTTGGCAACGGGTAGCACGTGTCGAATCGACCGAGATGCGGAAAGTCTCAGTTTGAGCTGGAGAAGTTCACTGGCACCTGTCTGACCTAGGCTGTCTCCGCAGCAGAACTGGACATGAGAATCGTTTATATAAAAAACAATTGACCTTGGAGTTGATCATGTATGGATACTCAAACCCCTGCAACGAATTGCATGACTCCATAATTGATGACAGGCCCCACTGCTTGATTTCAACCAAGAATGAGAACGCTCACGGCTCTATGATCTATACCTTGGCCTTGCAAAATATATCAGAATGCCATTTGAGCCTACAATTTCCTAGACAGAGAGTAGGTATATATGGCGTTATAGCATTGCTACGGCGTGGTAGGCACGAGAGAACAAATGCCAGAGAACATATATGATATTGATCAATGCATCCAACTCGAGACCAGATAATTTCTCATAGTCTATTGCTCTCCAAGGCTAGCATTTAGGCTACACCTTACGATTGAGAGTTGCATGAACAGTCTCCTCGAAGAGAAGTCGTGGCAGGTCAATTGAGCAGTATCCAGACTTTTTCTAAAGGTCTTCTTCCCTGACTTGTTAGTAGGCTAAGAGTGGATGTCACTGCTGCCTGCCGTGCCTGCCGTGCCTGCCTAATCATGTTGACACGTGCGGGGAAGGTGGGGGTGAGTAACACGGTCGCGTTCGGGGCAGGCACGAGTGGCCACGCAAAGAAGGCGCAACTTCCAAAAGTGCATCATCAAAACTTTCTGCCATTTCTCGCCGCCTTTTCTACATCGCCTTTTTGCCTCGATCATTTTCATTGATTCTACTGGTTCAACCTCGACTCTTTCCACTCATGTATCCTTCGATCTCGAACGTATCGCCTTATGCCATCTGATGATCTGCATGCTGTCAGCCTCACGCGGCCATGGACACTGGGCTCGAGCCCACGGCGAAACGCCGTAAACTGAGTGACATCCCGCCCGATGCCTTATCAGCCACCAGCGCAGCCTGCTCATCTTCACCCACCCTCCTTACAGACCTACCGGAACCTTTCCAGTCGCAGTACATCGTACTGGCCCGAGCCGAGTGCCCAATACTCGTCGGCTTCGACGCTTTCGAATCGTCCTATGATTATCCTGCGAAAGCAGCGCTCGATCTTGCGATCGAAGATCTCGATCTCGCATCGCCGTACCGGGTTACAGTCAAAAAGTCTCCTCGCGCGAAACTCTCTCATATTCTTGAGATAGCGGCTCCATCAGCTAAAGACCTCCAAGTGCTTGAAGACAGTAAACATCTATCTTCTGTTGCGAGACACAATGGGGGCACGGCTTTACCACTCGCCTGTTTCGCGGCGACTGTCAGCTCACGCGACAACCAGCACTTTCTCCAGATCCTGATTCTTTGGCAAAATACCGCACAGCTGAGAGATAAGATCGATTCAGAACTGTTTGATGTGATGGATCACTACTGTCCTGGCTCGTCTGGCCGTTCTTTGCAACCCGAACCCTGGGATCCTCGACAATTTTACGACAATGTCCACGTTCCAGATAAATCAGAAGCAGCTTCAGCCCAGATAAATATTCCTTTCCTTGTCTCTGACTTGTATCCCTTCCAGCGAAGGGCTGTGCGTTGGCTTCTGCACAGAGAGGGGGTGGAGTTGCTTCCAAACGGAGATATAAGCCTGATACCAACCTCGGAAGACGCCCTCCCTACCGGTTTCGAATCCACAAAACTCGATGGTGGCAGAGATTGCGTCGTCAACAAAGCTGTTGGCATGATCTCCACAGAATATGAAGTCGTACGCAACTTTTATCGCAGTGTGCGTGGCGGTATCCTCGCGGAAGAAATGGGCCTCGGTAAAACTTTGGAGATCATTTCGCTGACCTGCCTTCATCGGCGACGTGATGATGTCGCACCTCCTCCAGGTCTCAGATCATCCCGTTCCACGCTGATCATCACTCCCGTGACGATTCTTGAACAATGGAAGCAAGAAATTAACAAGCACGCTCCAGGACTGAGGGTCTACCACTATCGCGGCGTCAGTTCTTTTAAGAAAAGCCCTGAACAGGTCATGACGCAACTTCTCGAAGCTGATGTCGTAGTTACGACGTACAACGTTGTCGCACGCGAAATTCACTACGTCCAGGCAAAGCCAGACCGGCTGCTACGGGGTGCCCAACGTCCGGAACCTCCGAAAAGTCCCCTTACCCAGATCTTCTGGTGGCGAGTCTGTCTGGATGAAGCACAGATGGTAGAAAGTGGCGTCTCTTCCGCTGCGCAGGTTGCAATGCGTATTCCGCGCCATAACGCTTGGGCTGTTACGGGTACACCACTTCGAAAGTCTCACAAAGACCTTTTCGGCTTGTTTCTCTTCTTGCGTTTTGAGCCATGGAGCCAATCCGCAACTCTGTGGCAATATTTGGTTGACCACCATCGACCCATGCTCCGGGATGCGCTGAAACAAATTTCTCTACGACATACGAAAGATTTTGTTCGGGAAGACTTACGCCTTCCCCCTCAAAGTCGACACATCATCACGATCCCGTTTACCCCTATTGAAGACCAGCATTATACAGAGCTTTTCCGAGAGTTATGTGAGGATTGTGGCTTGGACAGCGCAGGCGCGCCTCTTACAAACGACTGGGATCCTGACTCGCCAAAGGTCATAGAGAAACTGCGTTCGTGGTTGTCGCGACTTCGACAGACATGCCTTCACCCGGAAATTGGGCACCAAGGCTGGAAGGCATTGCGCCGGCCAGGTGGGGTTCTGCGGACCGTTGAAGAGGTTCTTGATGTCATGATTGATCAAGTTGAAGGCCAGGTCCGTACCACTCAACGGACGTGGCTCATTGCAGCCATCAGAAGGGGCCAAATGAAAGAAAATGCAAAAGAGACTCAGCAAGCCCTGCAAATCTGGCAAAGTTCCTACAACGAATCTTGCATTATTGTAGACGAGTGTCGCCGCGAGTTGGAGAAGGAAGCACGCTCGGGAAAGGAAGCAGTTCAAGACGAGAAACCCGACGGCCAGGAGGAGGATGAAGACGAAAACAAGCACCTGACAACTTTGAAGCTTCGATTGAGAGCGGCCCTAGAGATCAAGCACGTTTGTACCTTCTTCATTGCCAACGCCTTTTTTCAACTCAAATCATTACAAACCCCTGACACCGAGGAATACTTCGAGTTAGAGAGGCAAGAAACACAGACCTACGAGGAAGCAAAGTCCATTCGGGGTGAACTCCTTGCAGAAGTCCTTAAGTCTGCCAACAAATTGATCACTGCGGTCACAACTAGAGCTGCCGAAGATCGTACCCAAATTCCTGAGCTTTTGCCGGTGAAAGAATTGACGGGCATTGAATCCCGAAGGATCATCGACAGGATCCATGCTTTTGCCGAAGAAATGAATAAACAAGCCGCTCACTTTCGTGATGTTCAAAAAGTCATGATGAATTTTTTGGGACAGGCCCTGCTTGACCAGGATGAAGGAATTGAGCTACAAGGCGATGAGTATGAGACGTCCACAAGACAGCAAGACGAAATGTATGCTTACATGGAGGCTCTGCGAGCACTCCTTGCTGACCGCAATGAAGCCATCACTGGTCAAGAGAACTATCTCATCCGGCAAGAAATGAAACAGTTTGTCCGGCTAGCCAAAGAAGGCGGCGGCCCTGCCCCCGCGCTGATGATCAAGCTGCTGGCCGAGCGAGAGCTCAACCGCGTGGATTGGAAAAAGCTCGGCAGCATGCGCGGCCTAATTGGTGAAATCAGGAGTCTCGTAACATCTCTCGAATGGCAGGCAGGATTGGGAGACAGCCGTGCGGATCATGAACTGAGTGTCATCAATCCCATTCTAGTGACAGTCTCTGAGCAGACCAATGTTCAGGCCAGGTCTTTATCGAACCTCGAGCAACTGGTCAACCAGATACGGGACGCGATGAACGGCCGTCTGGAATTCTATCGCGCCCTACAGAAAATCTCCGACACAGTCGCGCCCTTTGAAGAAGACAACGTTGGCAAACCTTTGAATGAAGTACGATACCAAGAGTTCATTCGTGACGAGACTATATCGAAGGACAAGGTCGACACTCTGACTACCAGGCTGCGATACTTGATGCATTTGAAGACAGAATCTCAATCGGCTACACCAAGAATTTGCACCATCTGTCAGTGCGACTTCGAAGTCGGGACTCTCACCGTATGTGGACATCAGTTCTGTAAGGACTGCATCTTGATGTGGTGGGGACAGCACCACAACTGTCCTGTGTGCAAAAGAACACTAGGTCTGAAAAACTTCTACGACATCACTTACAAGCCAGCCGAGGTCGCTGTCCAAGCCGAAACATCTCTGCAGAAGAGCTCTCTCACGGGAGTTCCAAGTGAGCGCTCGCTGAACCAAACAATCTATTCTGATGTCAGTGTGTCTATGATGAATCAAATCAAAGTCATAGATCTACCGGGAGTAAGCTACGGCAGCAAGGTGGATTTTCTATGCCGCCATCTGATCTGGCTGCGTCAAAACGACCCGGGCTCAAAATCTGTCATCTTCTCGCAGTATCGAGAGTTTCTAGGTGTCCTTGTCCGTGCTTTCACAGCATGCGGGATCCAGTTTGGTCGTATCGACGACAAGGATGGGGTGGAAAGATTCAAGGCTCAACCCACGGTGGAATGTTTCCTCCTGCACGCAAAAGCTCATTCGGCTGGTCTGAATCTCGTCGTCGCCAATCATGTTTTCTTATGTGAACCTCTGATCAACACGGCCATTGAATTACAGGCAATTGCTCGTGTACATCGTATCGGTCAACAAAGAGCCACAACGGTGTGGATGTATCTTATCGCCGACACGGTAGAGGAGTCAATCTACAAAATCTCGGTCAGCCGTCGTCTCAGTCATCTGACTAGCCGTCCTAGGCGTATCGAGCTCAACGGACAGGAAGGAGAGTCGGTGCAAGAGACGGCTTTGGACATGGCGAATTCGATCGAGCTTCAGGAAGCAGATCTATCAAGATTGTTTGAGAAGCACGGGAAAGTTGGGGGGGAGATGGTGGAAGCGAGCGATCTCTGGCCTTGTCTGTTCAGCCGCGTCAAGAAGACAGAAACCGTCATGGCTGGCGTGGCTGGTGAGGAAGCAGGGACCGAAGTTGGACGTTTTCTTCGAGGGGAGGCTGCGATGAACCGAAGACAGTAAGACACGAGGACATTTTGGACTTTATGACTCTGGGTTCTGGCGCTATACCATGCAGAACCTTGTAGATATGCTAGATACCCTATTTCGTTTTAGATTGGTTAGAACAGAGTAGAAAGCATGCGCACTTTAGTATTGGCAACGTGGAAGAATGCCATATACTAAGTATGTATACATGTGTTGTCATATGTGGAGAGAAGATTGCAGTCGATACGTGATTTACTTGGCCGTATATATTATACGGTGGGGTGTTTGACATGCCACGTCAAACTCAGTTTCAATGCACTTGGGAGGCCAGAAGGCTTCCTCCGCTTGACGCGGCTGCGACTGCGACTGATTGAAACGTGTCTGTCATTCTCTCTCCAAAGTCATCTTCATCACCTCGACAATCTGATTCTCTCGCCTCTCAACTACCTTTTGCACACCTTGATACTCCCTACATTCAATCTAGCCGCACCGCACTCTATCGATTTCTCCCACACACAACATGAACCACTACCCTGAGGCCTGGGGCAGAGTGAGACTCCAAATCGGAAACTGAATCATGGGCATAGCTAATCTTGAACAGCCCAGAGACGATGTTTACGGTCCCTATGACCACTCCCATCTCCAGTCATCGATGCCTCAAACACATACACAGTCGCCGGCCGTCACTGGAACCTCAGTCATTGGAGTCAAGTTCAAGGATGGAGTAGTTCTTGCAACAGATAACCTAGGTATGCGCTGAATTACCTTCTAGAAGCCAACGGCCAGCTAACAATTTCACAGCTTCGTATGGGTCTCTGGCAAGATTCACAGATGTCAAGCGCATTCGGTCATTCCCACCTAATACAGTCATCGGCTTTGGAGGAGATGTATCAGACATGCAATACTTTGACCGACTACTCATGTCACTCGATATCCGCGAGAATTACCTTTCATCTACCGAACACAGCCTCAATGCAAAGAACCTGCACACATATCTGGCCAAGGTTCTCTACAAGAGACGGACGGATTTCAACCCACTCTGGAATCACTTGCTAGTGGCAGGTTTGGATGAGGAAGACCAACCTTTCCTCGCCAGTGCTGACCTCCTTGGCACCACATTCACCAGTCCATCACTCGCAACTGGCTTCGGAGCACATTTGGCGCAGCCGCTCTTGAGAAAGCTATTCCCCGAGGACGAAGCCAGTGTCAAGGACGTCACACGAGAACAGGCGATAGATACTGTCAAAGCAGTGATGAAGGTCTTATTTTACAGAGATGCGCGCAGCAGTGACCAGTACAGCATTGCCGTTGTGACCAAGGAAGGTGTTGAGTTGAAAGAGAATGAAAAGCTGGAGGGCCAAAGTTGGGCATTTGCCGACCAGATTCGTGGCTATGGCACACAGGTGAATTAGAATTGATTGTCGACTCAGCTGCTCTCAAGACAAGACCCGAGGTTCTTCGTCCATTGAATATTGTGCCTGGCGTATGGAAAGAGGCAAGGTCCCATCGACCGAAAACAACAAAACAATCAGCAAGATGTTTGAGGCCAGGATGGTGGCCCTATTACGTCGAAATGTTGAAGCGGCAACTGATTAGTGGAAATACTAGTCGAAGCCATGGCCGTGCCTAGATTTTCTGCCTGGGAGTCATAATGCGAGTCAGGCATTAGTGTGTTCTGATTATATTCCGGGGCGGATCTGATTTGACCAGAGTCTGGTAAAGGATCGAACCAATGAGTCAGAGATCCAGGCAATGCAACTTGTACCACACTCCAAACAGTAGATGCACCTATTGTAGTATGAACAGCGCCGTTGTGCTTAATACATGGTGTCCTATGGATGAGTCTGGAAGCCAAAATGACGTCGCAGATCTTCACCAAATGGAATTCCCAAAGAGGAAATGGAAATCAAATGGTGTCGGACAAAAAAGTGCAGGCGCCACCCTCCATACAATGACAGAAAGACTCAAGTACTTAGACGTCCTTCACTTCTTTTCTCCTCGACCACCACCCTCAAGTTGGTTCCACGGGCTGGGACGTCAGTCTTACTCTTCTGATACTCTCTTTCATTTCTCGTGAGACAAGTTTCCAGGACTTCCCAGCGTTGAGTAATATTCCACTCGGTTCCCCTCACTGACAGTCTACTCTCTTTCTCTCTCGCCACCTTCCTCCCTGCTCTGTTCGTCCACCATGGAAAATCCAGTGGCTCCGACGACCTCGGAAAGCAACCGTGGAGCGAATAGACGCAGAAGAAGGGGCGGTCAACGACAAACCCGCCCACAAGCACAGACACAGCCTCTCGATCAGACACAACAGCCGTCCAACCCAAATCCTCAACCTCATCCCCACATCGTCGGCGCAAGACCGTTTGGCGGCCAGCTCACAAGACTACACGGTGATGCACCAGCATTTATCCCAGCATCTCTACCTCCTCCCTCCACATTGGCCGCCCCAGCACCACCCGGAAAATCCAATCGAAACCACCAGAGAAAGACCCCCGCAGCCTCTCGACCACACCCGCCCGACAAGCCTCAACCGAGACGGGGGTCAATAGCACGCTCGACGGCGCCTGACATTGTCACTAGAATCCACGAAGACATCTCGCATAACGTCTATGAATGTGCCATCTGCACCAATGAAGTCAGTCGCAACTCCAAAATCTGGTCATGCAAGACATGTTGGACTGTGTTCCATATTGGTTGTATCAAGAAATGGTCCAAGAATGAAGGGTCGGCGGTTCACCGTCCACCGGGCCAAGATGATGATGAAGCTCAAGTAGGCAAACAATGGAGGTGTCCCGGCTGCAATCTACCAAAAGATATCACGCCTACATCCTACACCTGTTGGTGCGAGAAAGAGATAGACCCAAAGACCATCCCCGGTCTCCCTCCTCACTCGTGCGGCCAGACTTGTGGCAGAGAGCGAAAGTTCCCAAAACCATGTCCCCATCCTTGCGACCTTCTCTGCCATGCTGGTCCTTGCCCGCCCTGCTCTGCCATGGGGCCAAAGCAAAGTTGTTTCTGTGGCAAGGAGGAAACTACCCTACGATGTCTAGAAACAAACTACGACTCAGGCTGGAGCTGCGGCGCTGTTTGCGGTGATCTAATGCCCTGCGGCCAGCACACGTGCCAACGACCTTGCCACGAGGGCCTTTGTGGGGCATGCCCTGTAGAGGTCAACGCTCGCTGCTACTGTGGCAGAGTCGAAAAGATGCTCCAGTGTCACGATCAGGAGGAAGAGAAGGAGAGCTCAACATGGACAGGAACTTTTGATTGCGGCGGGATTTGTGCCAGGGCTTTGGATTGTGGGGTTCACACTTGCCAAAAGTCATGTCATCCACACGAAATGGCCACTCCCCATTGTCCTCGATCTGTGGATATGGTGACACACTGTCCCTGTGGGAAAACCGCTCTCGTCTCACTCAAGACTACCCCACGGCAGAACTGTACCGACCCGATACCCTGTTGCAAGGAAGTCTGTGGACGACAACTAAAGTGCGGTCACCAGTGCTTGGACAAGTGCCACCCAGGAGATTGCAACCCGTGCTCTCTGGAAATTGCGACCACTTGTCGCTGTGGCCGCAACCAGTTCAATGTGATTTGTCACGACAGAATCACCGAACCCCCTCAGTGCAATCGATCATGTAAAGCCACTTTGAATTGTGGCAGACATGACTGCGGCGAAAAATGCTGCACGGGGGACCGTAAGGCCGCGGAGAGACAGGCAACTAAGCGGAAGCTGAAGACTCTGGATGTGTTAACTCGAGCTCTCGATGAAGACATCGAAGCCGAACACATCTGTACTCGGGTTTGTGGTCGGAAACTCAAGTGTGGCAACCATACATGCCCTGATCTGTGTCACCGCGGACCATGCGGCAGTTGTAAGGAGGCTATATTCGATGACATCTCGTGCACCTGTGGTCGAACCGTCCTTCAGGCGCCGCTTCCATGCGGGACACAGCCACCACCGTGCAACTTCCCATGCAACCGAAGCAAAGATTGCGCACACCCTCAGGTGGCTCACAATTGTCACTCAGATGATGAGGAATGCCCCAAATGTCCTTTTCTGACCGAGAAACAATGCCTGTGCAGCAAGAAAACACTCAAAAACCAGCCGTGTTGGCGAGCCGACGTTCTTTGTGGACTGATCTGCGGCAGGACCTTGAAATGTGGATCTCACCAGTGCCGGAAAACGTGTCACAGACCTGGAGAGTGTGAAGATGCTCAGCAACACTGTCAACAGGAGTGCGGCAAGGCCAAAAAATCGTGTGGACATCCCTGCGAGCAGACATGTCATGCGCCGTCTGCTTGCAAAGAAGAAAAGGCGTGCCCATTCAAGGTTATGATCACATGTGACTGCCAGCGGAAAAAAGAAGAGGTCCGATGCAACGCCCGCGCTGGGATGGCCGAAGCATCGGGTCGTCAAAACTCACTGAAATGCGACGATGAGTGTGCACGACTGGAACGCAACCGTAACTTGGCACGGGCTTTGCATGTCTCAGATGACCACACAGATGATCATGTTCCATATTCGACGACCACACTCACCATGTACCTGGAAGATGTTGCATGGGCGCACAAGCAGGAAGCAATCCTGCGAGTCTTTGCTGCCGATGACCAAGAGAAGAGATACCGATTCCCACCAATGAGGAATCATCAGCGAGCGTTTATCCACAGCCTTGCCGAGGATTTTGGGTTTGATGGGGAAAGTCTCGATCCAGAACCGCACCGACACGTACTCTTGTTCAAGACACCCAAGTTTGTCTCGGCTCCGATGAAGACGCTTGCACAAGCTGCGCGGATCAAACGACCACAACTTAACGTCTCGGCGCCTGTCCAGGCTACGAAACCGCCAAAACCGGCGGATGAGGCGAGGTACGATTACAACGGACTGCTTCTGGAACAGCCAAAGTTCGGGCTGACAGAAGATGAGGTTCACCGGGTGATTCAAAAGACAAGCCCAACCATGGACTTTGATACTATATTCTTGCCAAACGATCAGGGGGTGGCACTGCTCCTGTTGAATCGATGGGAATCACCTACACAACTGACAGGTCTCTTGAGCGAGATGCGGCCGACAGTTGCTGAGGCCATCAGCAAAGATAGTCTTGCTTCATCGGTGACGCTGGCGATGTTTGATTTGTCTGGCTTGGAGCCGAAGATAGTGCATCAGGCTGGCAAATCAGGCGCCAATGTGGCCCACGGGTGGTCTCAAGTGGCAGCAAAGAGAGCTGCTCCAATGCAAGCTCCGCAGATCAAGCCTGTGGGTCAGCGACCAATCTACACAGTATTGGGCAGTCGACTTGCAGAAGCGAAAAAGAAGAAACAGGAGAATGAGGAATTGCTCAGGAGGAAGATGGCTCAAGAAGAGGTTGTTGATGATTGGGAAAAGGAGGCTGAGCTGGATGAGGGTGGCGGCGACGGTGGAGAAGCAGAAGCGAGGACAGATGGTGGCTTCGGCGACGATACAGTGGGAAATAGTGTGCAGAAGGTGTGATACACATGATCACAGAGATAGACTAAGTACTCGTTGACAGATGGCTGTGGATGGTTGTGGATGAATGAATGAGCTCGGTGGCTGTGGCAGTGCAATGATTTCGTGGGGGAACAAGAAGCAGGTGTGGTGGCGTGCGATGCGTGGCAGGTGCGAATCCCCAAGGGCGGAGGGGCGCTCCTGCCCCGGTGCGCCCTAATGCCCCTCCATGACGTACAGTTGCTGCCCCTCAACGGCTTCTCCCAATGACGTTGTTACAGGCGTGACAGTAGCTGGGGTGCTTGCATTGACGTGCTTGCAACTACATCCTTGATCAGCTGGCGGTGGGTAGGGCAACATAGTCTATCTTGTATCAAGGTTCATGCTACTGATGTCCTGTAGTCAAACTGAGGCCGAGCGGCTGCAATGTGGAATGATCTAGGCTCATGGGACTGTAATCCGTCGTTGCTGCTGTGAACTAAACCTCTGTCGGCCCTGGTTCCTTCCACCTGTCCCTGAATGTTCAAGTGACACAGTCGTGCCTTCCTTCCAACGAGGATTCTACATATCTCGATCAACTTCTCTGCTTCTTTTGCCCTTCATTCTCTTGTCTTTTCTTCTTCCCTTGTTCCTGACCGTCTGTCCAACCACTCAAGCATCCACTGTTCCCCTTTCTAAACCCTTTTAACTACACTCATCTCATTCCCAAGTTCCCACAGTCCTCCCCTGATCAAACTATGGATCAACTCAAGGGTGCCTACGATAGCTTCACTGGAGGAAATCGCCAACAAGATGGTCAAGCACCTGCCGAAGGTCAACAGGGAAGCTCGAGTGGCGGTGGTGGCCTTCTAGGAGGCTTAGGCGACAAGATCAACTCAGCCGCCGGTGGTGGTCGCGAGAGTGAGAAAAACGAAGACTACTTGGACAAGGGTAAGTCATGGTGATCTCCTCTTGTTGGGTCTGTGACTGACTAGGTGTTGGTGTCGTCTAGGTGTCGATTTTGTCCAAGAGAAATTCCTCGGTCAAGGACCTCAAGACAATGAGAGTGCAGTGGAGCAAGCCAAAGATGAACAAATCAGTGATTTCATTCGAACACAATGTAAGGATGGCCCAATCCGGTGATTCACCTGCGGCTGATCATGATATTCTTTGATTCCAGACAAGTCAACCACTGGCAAGGACTTCTTCATCAAGGACAAGGACACAAAGTTGGGCTAGATCTGGTCAGTAACATTTGTCAAACAGGCAGATGTCGTGGATCGAGTCCTGAATTGAGGGCTCTAACAATATCAAGCATTTGCTAGATTGAACCAAGTATGATTCGAAAGTACGCTCTGCCACCTAGAGAATGAGATTTCGTCATTTTGCATGTGTTCCTGACGAGTATTGAGCTCAACTCATTCGCGGTCTTGCTAGATCTCCAAGATATCTTGCGGACTACTGACCGTTCAAATATGTGAAGCTCTTGGTGTGTCTTGGATTCTCCCCTCGAGCCGTTGGTACAGCCATGGACCTCGGCATATATGGAATGTAGGCTTCGGTGACTTCTCCACACTTCGGGGTCACTGCTGTCGCACTTATACAACAACTACTATCGTATCATCGCATAAATCTCTCCTCCAAACATAGCACGATTAAACTAAGTCGAGAATGCAACATAGTCCTTGTTGATCCTTTGAATCTACTACTACCTCTACTCGAATACTCAAGCAATTGTCTCCATTTCCACACACCCATCATGGCCAAGAAAATCACTTTATTCGTAGACATTGTGAGTCCATTTGGCTATCTGGCATACTACATGTTGAGAGTAAGTCCCCCTCCTGTTGAAGCTACCCAACTCTAGGCAATCAAACTAACCAACCTCCACAGACATCTCCAATCTTCCAAAACGTAGAAATCACATACGTGCCGATCCTGCTCGGGGGACTGATGAAACTATGCGACAACCGACCACCCCTCATGATCCGCAACAAAGGTACATGGATCAACACTGAGCGACTCCGCTGGGCACAACAATTCAACATTCCCATGGCGACCACCGTCCCCGAAGGATTCCCTAAACCAACTCTCCACCTCCAACGATTCCTCACGGCCCTCAACCTGACCAGGCCAGATTTACTCCCCACGGCGCTCGACGCATGCTACAAAGCCCTCTGGACCGACCCCACCGAAAGTAACTTGCCGGACGTCAAGGTGTTTGCTCCCATCGTAGCCAAAGTCATCGGTGAGGATGTCGTCAAGGACTGTGTGGCTAAAATGGCCACGTCGGATGTGAAGAATGAGTTGATGGCTCAGACCGAGCGAGCTGTCAATCTCGGCGCGTTTGGGATCCCTTGGTTTCAATGTACGAATGAATCGGGGGTGGAGGAGGGATTCTGGGGGTTTGATCATCTTGGTCAGGTCGTGCGCTTTTTGGGGTTGGATGGTTCGTTGGATCAGAGAGGGGAGGTGAGGGCGGTTTTGTGATGGGATTATGGATCAGGAGAGAAGAGGAGAGGTGATGAACAAAGTTACTCACTTATCAGTACTATGTGGAATCATATACCTTGTCCTGTGTAGGGTAAAGGGTGTATATAACAGGTTTGGGAGGAGTGACTATCTACCTTACCTAGGTAGGTATCTAGATGCGTAATGACATGGGATTATCTGTACAGAATGTAATCCTCTAATCTGTCCGACTTATATCTACTGTGCCTGCTTGATGCAAGAGGAATCTCAGTCTAAATATAGATATATGTAAATAACAACAGGTCAAATCAATACATGAAGAGACCATTCATCCTAGTGTTGAATCTCCCAGTCGTGACTTAGTTTCTTCATTTGCTGCGCTGTATCGTCAGACACAACACCTCGTGGAAACTCGTGGATCTGTTCGAGTGTACCTCGATTGGATTCTCCTGTACTGATCTCCTATCCTTGTATGTCGTCAAGTGTAAAATCATGTCGCATCGCCCACCTAGTGAAATCCGGTGGCGAAGGGAATTCAATGTAAGGAAAGCCCTCCAAGCTGCGTCGTGGTCAAATGGCCTGGTATGGTGAACCTGATCAGCAAGACATGTCCGGGACTGTCCGGTGGTAGCCTTGGTCGGAGCTGTCAACAGTGAGACAGAAAGCCATCCAATATCTTGGGAATCATCAGCGTTCCTCTCAGCCTATCTTGGTCACATCAAGCAGTCCTTGTTCTCGCTTGCCGTCTTCACCTTCCAGGACGATGAAATCACCCTTATTCAGCCGTCGAATCCATTTGCTCGATTCACCTCTTGCCAGGATAAAAGTCAGTCGAGCACTGGCTTGGTCCATGGCCGAGAATGCCGTGCTTTGAAGAGGGGTATATGTCCATCTTCCAAACGCCCAGTTCAGCACATATAGACTCTGACCTTCGGAATCGACAGCAATACTCGGTTTGGTTGCTCCCGTGGAGTCTGGTGGTGGTTTTGAAGATAGGACAATACCCTTGATGCGGTAGACCTCATCCTTGGGGGCGCTGAGGAGGAGATCCTCGAAAGAATCCAAAACGACACCTTGTGGAGGCCGCGAGGTGTCGGCATTGTTGAGAACCACCGAGAGAACTTCGACTTCATCCTGGTGGTGATCATCATGGTGGTCATGTCCGTCATGTCCGTCATGTCCATGTGACTTGTCCAGGGCGCCGTGGCCATGTTCCGCATTGATTTCAATGGCCCCTCTCAACCCTTGCTCCCGTACCAATGCACCGTCAATGCCCATGACGAGTTCCACGTCCACCCAACCTCTTTGACTCTTGACCCAGGCGATCTGGACGTCCAGGTCTCCAACCCGGTCTAGCGCATCTTCAAACATCCGCTCATCTACCAATTCCCATTTATTGAAAACAATCAGGTCGGTATACTTGGCCTGCATCTTGGCCGTGTAGCTGGTATCGTCGTAGCCCTTCCAGTTTTCCACATCGATGACACTGATGACGCCGTCCAGAATGAAAGTGCCAGGATTCTCACGAGCCACCCGGTTGACCTCCATGGCCAGGGTGGCGGGAAATGCGGACCCAGAAGTTTCAATGATGATCCTGCTGGGACTGACGGTATCTCGAAGTTGGAAGAGGGCATCGCTTAGCTGACCCACCAGGTTACAGCAGATGCAACCATTGAGAAGTTCTCGCACGCCGGAAATGGAAGCCGAGCTGGCGAGTTGAGAGTCGACGGCAAGATCGCCAAATTCATTTTTGAGAAGGGCAAGCTGTTGCTCGAGTCTTAGACTAATGCACGTAAAGAGGAATGAATGGGTGAGAGGGGAAAACGACTGACCTTGTAAGACGTGGGAAGTTGTGGGATGAGATTCAATATCAAGGTTGTCTTGCCACTGCCCAAGAACCCAGTTACGATTGTCACTGGGATGGGAGGCATTTTGCGATAGGGGGTGGTGAAGTAAGGAAGAACTGAGCTCAAGAATTTTATATGCAAGGTATCTAAGATACTGTAGGTATATCCGGTGGGGGCGGGGAGCGGATGGATGCTCGAATCTTGTGCAGGGTGCCTCAACAAAGTATATTTGGGAAGCAAAGCAAGGAAGGTCAGTTGATGTGCGACGAGAAGAGTACCTTGAACCGAAGAACCTGTTCAAGACCTCCAAATCTTATATTCTGGGTTCGAGTCCAATGTCCATTCGGAACAAGATGTGAGGTTTGCCAGGTTGGGAATCTTGGAAGCCAAGCTGCGTTCCACGGATTTATATTTCACTGGACACGGAGGAGTATTAAGAGCATCTCCTCTACTTTCGCGTAATTCAAGCACAAGAGAATATGGTATGCAAAAGAGAAAGACTCGAAGATTGATATCATCTGATAGAATTGAATCAACCCTTCTGACGAAGAGAAGGGGACCACCTCACACCAAAACTATTCTTCTAAAGTGTCTATTTGAATGAGTGTGCGATAACATTAAGGAACTTTTCTCTCCTCCTAGGCCACCTCTCTTGTGGCCTTGTCAAAAGGGGCTCGATGGGAATCTTGCACCCTCTCCTCCAATCAGCCTGGGCCTCAATAGCCTAGTAGAGCCGAGGCACCTGGTTCACTGGAGATGTAAATGACCTCGTGGTCATCACGGAAACCGTTGAATCTAGTCGCGGAGCAGCGGGTGTACGCTCCCATATTCTCAAAGAACAACCAGTCACCAGCGTCAAGCACACCTGGCAAGAAGTGACGTTCAGCAATGACGTCAATTCCGTCGCATGTTGGACCCCAGATGGAATACTCGGTGAGTTTGGTGTTGTGTGATTTCTTGGAAAAGACCTGAGGGACCGGGTGTTGATGATCAAAGATGATGTTGGAGAAGTTGCCATAGACACCATCGTTCAAGTACAGCATGTACCCCTTCTCTCCGGTCCGATCCACCGTCACTTCACGGCGAGCAATAATGTTGGTTGCCAGAGTGAAGGCGTTAGAGGCATAGTAGCGGCCTGGTTCGCCGATGACTCGAATGTGAGGAGGAAAATGCTCTTCGAGGGCTTCATTCAGGTTGCTGGCAAACATCTCGAACGTCTCGTCGACGAATCCTCCGCCGACGTCCAACAACTTCAGGTCGAATCCAAAGTGCGAGGCTCGATCAAAAACATGACGAGCATCCTTGACAGCGTTTGCAAATGAGTTCGGATCGCTCGCGCCAGAGCCAATGTGGAAGCTCACGCCGACGATGTTCAAGTCGAGATCACGAGCTAGACGGAGGAGAGTCTCTGCATCTTGCATGCTGGCGCCATACTTGACACTCAAGCGGCATAGACTGGCAGAGTCCTCGGTGGAGATTCGAAGAACCAGGTCGGCGTCGGGGAAGGAGTCTTTGATCTTGTAAAGTTCGTCGGTATTGTCAAAGGTCATTTGAGTGACGCCGACTTTGCGGGCGTGGCGCAAGTAGGACTTTGTCTTGCAGGGTTGGGCATAGATAATGCGATTGGGTGAGACGCCAAGATCGAGGACCATGTCGATTTCGGCCCTGGACGCACAATCGAATCCTGTGCCCAATTGGGCCAGGAGACGCAGCACCTCCTTATCCGGATTGCACTTGACGGCTGTGGAAGTGTTAGTCAATGTCTTGAGTCGAACCGAGATTGACCCGGTAGCTTACCATAAAAGGGTTTGACCCTGCTCAAGTTGAGTTTCCAGCGAAGGTGCTGGCGGTAAACTTCGCCAAGATCGGCGACATAGAACGCATCCTCCTCTCCGGGCTCACAGGTATCCGGATCGATGCGAGCAATCTGCTCCTTCATCACCTTCTGAATCAACGCCTTTGAGGCAAAGCCAGTCACATCGGATTCAACGTCATGGTTGTGGTTGATGAGATCAAGTTTCCTATCACTCAAAGTGATAATTTCATTGTAGTCAACATGGATAGCAGAAGGTGCCATAACCATGCAAAATTGTTTGGTTGATTAATGGATCAAGTAGTTGGTTGGCGATGGACCTTTGAAACGTGTTAGGGAGGCTTTCGTGATTCTGCTCCGATTGGACGTTGGCTTTGCCTCAGCGACTCCCCCTCCTGAAGAGGAAGAACCTCGCGTAGAGACCTATGCGGCAGCTGATGTTGTTGAGATTGTTGGATTGGGGTGTCAAACTGAAATAACAACAGCGGTGTCAACGGTTGAGGCAACTTCAGTGGGAGGTGGACGAGTGTTAAGAATGTGTCGATGTTTGGAAGCAGATGCAGTTTGAAAGCGAAGGCAAAACGATGTTTGAGCCGTGTTCACGCGTTGAGCCTTTGAAGGACCAAAGGCAGTCTGAAAAGGTGACAGATATCGGCTCCGGGTTCCAATCCAGAAGCCGCAGAGATGTTTGAGCAGCGTAGGTGTCTGTAGGAGCTGTTATGGTGATGTTGAGATAAAGTAGTGGTAGAAAAGGCGGGTTGTGTGTTGTCGATGAGAAATTTCAATGTGGACGACACTCTGGTGGGGGGCGAAGCCAGGGCAGGCACGGCAGGCCAGGGCAATGGGTGGCAGAAGGCAAGAGCCAAGGGCAAATCCGGGGCCCACCAAGGAGTACGGAGTACTCGTAGAATCGGACGGAACGGCGTTTGTGGATGTGAGTAATAATAGGAGAGATAGTGCGTGTGAGTGGATGTGGAAGTGGATGAATGGGAGGAATTGTCTCTGTGTGGTGGACAGGCAGAACGGGGCAAACCGCAGCCACTGGGACCTGAAAAAATTCTGGTGGTGGTGAAAGCGTGAATCAGCGCTAAACCCACCAGGTCACGTCACCGCCTGCCTCGAATCTGCTTGTTCGCACATTCCATTTCGATCCCCGATTTCGATCTTTGCCATGTGAAAGTGCCAAGACTCACGTGACACAGCTTCCAGAGTCTTGGTCCGGTCAGTTTTTCCGAGCGATCAACCGCCCCATCAGGTCAGATCATCCTGGTCCTCAAGCAACTCTATAGCTGTAAAATTCAATGGTCGGTGCTTCCGTATCGTGGTCGGTCAGGGTATGTGGCAGTGAAATCTGGACACTGTCTACCACCTGAAATTGCGTCTCATTCATCCGATCGAAGAACACACTGTCGGCGTCATGGCGTCGTTTGAATCCGACCAACACGAGTACTTTGGGAGCACGAGTGGCCAATTGTCTCAATGTCTCTACCAGATGAACGCTGCTGTCGGGGTTGTAGATGCAGTCTGATACCAAAACAAGGTCGAACTGTCCACTCAAGCTATCATCAAGTCTGGCTGCCCAGTCTAGCTTCTGGGTTTGAAGGCTAGATCCTGCCAGTGGCGATGCACATCGGATGTTCTTGTCCATGATCTCTTGAGCGTCCTCAAGGTCTGTGAGGATAACATCACTCTTGACCAAATGAGCAAAAGTAATCCCAACAATGCCACACCCTGCCCCGAGTTCCAATACCTTCAACCGCTTTGCCCTGCTCAATTGGATCAGACGGGCCAGGGCTCCATCATCTGGGCCAGACGCTTTGAGGTTTTGATCAAAGTATATCAGAAACCCCAGACTCGCATCCCTGTCTCAAAGTCAGCCTCCTGCATCTTGTCGAATGATATGTTCACCGTGCCAGATATGTCTTGCGATGCTGTCTCCAGTTTCCTCCCAGATCCTTACACGGCTTTTGTTGGAGAGCACAATCTGCCGTTCAACCACTGGCTCACTCTGCAGGTCAATCGACAGTGGAAATGCATCACTCCATACATCGAGAATCTTGGACACCACTCCAGACTTGGTTGAGGGTCCGGTCACATGCACAATGACGGTTTTCTTGGCTTCCTTATTGGAACACGCAATGGTAAACTTGCAGGCACGAGAGCCGTCCCGCCATTGCACCTTACTAGTTTTTAGAACTCGGTGCGGATGATGAGCCTCGACCAACTCCACAGTGAGTTCTGCATCTTGAGCAAGGAGTGAATCCCCTAGATCTGTGGTGACGGCAATCACTGCGTTGATGTCCGTCGACTTCTTCGTTACATGAATCTGTGGCGTACGCAGAAAGCGTATATAATGGACCATATCTGGAATTTGCGAGTCAGAGAACAAGTCTGAAAATCCAAGTCCAAAAGAATCGGTCAAGTTGCTTCTGCAGATGTGGTGTCGTTGTTGGACAATTCGATGTTTATTGGCACTGGCCTCCACGCCAAGCTCTCCGGTGGAGGCTTTTGGCCCAAACGCAATAGTTCAAAATAGCACGAATACGGAATACGGAGTAGTATCATGATACTCGTCTGCACGTGCACAAATCTCAGCCTCTTGTGTCTCTCCAACGGGATTACCTTATGCCGCTTCCGGCCCGTGACGTCTCTCTCTTCGTCTGATCACTCACTGGTCAGACCCGCCCCCAGGATTCTACACTTTGTCACTCCCGACAGCATCTTCCCGTCGCTGCTCACGACAATATGCAAGCACGTTAAGCATGGCCCAGAATCCCGAGAGCAACAGCAGAGGGTCTCGATCACATCACCCAAGGTGCGCCTTGGCTCTGACTTGATTCATGACACGAACACGCTCCAACGCTTCCCAACATGAACAACCCCGAGTTTCGCCAAACCCTCCACAACTTCTCCCATAACCTCGAGACCGCCAATCAGACCGCGCAAGAGAACATATATACCTTCACCCAATTGTATATCGATCCTTGCTTAGCTGGCTTGAAATCATGCCTGTACGACTGCACTGCGCCATGCTTCCCCAATCGAGAAAACAACTTGCGCCGCAGGAGAGGAAGATCTGGTGGACGAGCCGAGTTCAACTTCAACTTTTATGATGCTTGGGACGATGATGAAGATGAAACCGATGACGCAAGACTGGCGTGGGGAAACGACGAGCTGGACAGCTTACTGGCTGGGCGAGGCGCTCAACCTTCTCGACAGCGCGCGATGAGCTACGGGTCGCGAGGTCGACGAAAACCTACAGGGATACAGCCAGATCCTGACCAAGATCCAACCATCATACCAGGGTCTTCATATTTGGGATTCCTAGAGCGATTACCGTGGCAGATTGGTAGTCGAAAACTGCGGTACAAGCCCTCTGCGGCTGACCTGCAAGAACACCCAGGCGCTCACCGAGTCAGGACTGAGGAGAGCGCTCCATTACTTGAGGAGAATGAAGAGGTGGATGGAAAATGGAAGAAGACTCATGGGCGACAACGAAGTGACACGGCAACGTCGAGATCCACAACAGGTTCGCGAAGTTCTCGTGGAGATCTCATTATGAGCGACGAGGAAGATGACGCAGTGCCTTTGGATGACGAATTTGCTGTCTCTCTCAGCCGGCGCATCACAAACCAGGGAATGAACGATGACCAAGGCAGTGGCAAGTCAAAGGCGGCGGGGGGGAAGCGACCTGGTGCATCGAGGAGAAATACTCGCACGCCTTCATCCAAATCTATCAAAAGCCCAAATTCGAAAACGGCCAAAGGCCAGGAATCACCATCACAACGGAGCCTAGTATTGGTGTCACCTGCACCCGTCGAGGATGGCAATCCTCCGTCCACTCTTCTCGATCTCAAACAACAGGAGGAGCAGGCGGAGCAAGCCGAAGAGGCTGCGATTATACAAAAGCGACAGGCTGCCCGTCGACTGGCTCTTGAAAGGGGGCTGGAATCGACTGAACAGAGAACAGAAGTGGAAGACAATGATCAAACCACGGGCATTAATTCCATCAGTACGCCAACACAGGATCCATTTCCAGATATCGATACGTCCCTAGATTCCGTTCTTGGCGAACCCGAAGCAGACCCTTCAGATCGTCCGAGTATAGGCGAAAGAGAAGAAGGAGAAGAAGCTCCATGAAGAAGTAATCTATCCAATCGCATGCCTGGCGCACGACGACAATGATGACGGGGGGCTGACTGATTTGGTGGATATATCATCATATCATCCGTATTAATGATTCACGACTGTTGGGAGGCTGCTGTCCTGGTCTGGTCTCGCCGAAATTGTACAGTACGGCAGAAGCTGCATAGTGCCTCGATGCTAATATAGCCCAATTATATCTAGATTGTATATCGTCATTTCTATGTCCTTTCAAGTCCAGTCTTTATCTCGACCATGTCACGTGTTGATGGTGCCATCATCCCAACCTCCAATCTTTAATAACTGGGGGCCAGAAAGGGTCCAAGGGTCCACTACTGCTGGCTGCCATCACCCACCAAGTCCCCACCAAGTTCGTTCTAGGGGCCTAGGGGGGGCTGAGGGACCGCCACCACGCCTGGAGCGGCAAATCATCCAGGCCGTCCAGGCCGTTGAAACCCAAAGGTTACTCGTGCAGATATGCGCATGATAACCGTTATCTATCTTGTGCTGGGTTGGCAGTCTGTTATAGGCTTGCACTCGGCTTGCACTCATCCCATGTATCAACTCATCCTTGATTCTCAAAGTCCCAAATTACTCTCCTTCGGCGCACCACACCTTCGACACTCTCATCCCCATCATCGATCATTTTCAATAACGACCTGTTCATTGTCGTGATCTACTCGCAATTGACCATGACACACCCCGCCGATCCCTGACCTCGCCAGAAAGCAAGAACCCCTCCCATCCACCCTCCCGCACCTTTTTCGATTCTCGAACCTCCAATCTGCGCCTGCGACTTAAAACCCTCTTCCACAAGTATCGTGGCCTTTCCTTTGACACTCCTGTGCGATTCTCCTCGCCTCGAGCCATGGAGCCCGACAAAAAGACTTGGAGCCCCGAGTCATCCTCCGGTCCGTCCGCATATGAAGGAGATATGGGCGTTGTCAAGAGGTCATTCGTTCGCCGCATGACCGAAAGCTTCCAGCGCGATCCCAATGCCAGTGTTTTACAAAGTGCCAGCTTCAGTGCCTCCGAGCACAAAGGCTTGTTCGATGCAGAGGCCGCCGCGCAAAACACAGCGTCGAGTCCTTTGTTGAGGCGGCTCAAGGGCAGACACTTGCAGATGATTGCAATTGGTGGTAGCATAGGTACGTGGCTATTACAACTATTAGCATTCGACATCCACATTCTCATATTTCGGCAATTTAGGTACCGGGCTTTTCGTTGGCAGTGGCAAGGCTCTGGCAGATGGTTCGTTATCTCTCCATATCATCTCTCCCCCTCCAGTCGTTACTGACATGCCCAAGGTGGTCCTGCGTCACTCTTAATCGCTTTCAGTCTTACCGGCGTCATGATGTACTGCACAATCCAGGCTTTAGGCGAGCTAGCAGTTCTGTTCCCTGTTGCCGGCTCGTTTGCTGCATATTCGACTAGATTTCTGGACCCAGCATGGGGATTCGCTATGGGTTGGAATTATGCCATGCAATGGCTCGTCGTCCTCCCGTTGGAAATCGTCGCCGCTTCAATCACTGTGGACTATTGGGTTCAAGATATCAAGCTCAATGCTGCATGGGTCACCATCTTCCTCTTGCTCATCGTCGTCATCAATTTTTGCGGCGTCAAGGGCTATGGTGAAGCCGAGTTTGTCTTCTCCGTCATCAAAGTCACTGCTGTCATAGGTTTCATGTAAGCCTACGTCCCTCTCCACTTCAGGGGTTGATTTTAACAATCCCCAGCCTCTTAGGAATCCTGATCAATATTATGGGCGGTGTTGATGAATTCGGCCGTCCTAATGGAAGCTACATGGGCTTCAGACTGTGGCATTCACCGGGCGCGTTCAACAACGGCTTTAAAGGGCTATGCAGTGTCTTTGTGACTGCCGCCTTCGCATTCGCAGGCACCGAACTTGTGGGTCTAGCTGCCGCCGAAACGGAGAACCCTAGGAAAGCCTTGCCCAGTGCCATCAAGCAGGTCTTCTGGCGTATCACCTTATTTTACGTGGTGAGCTTGCTACTCGTGGGAACTCTTGTCGCATTTGACGATCCAAGATTGTTGAACGGCGACAGTTCCGCCGACGCAAAGTATGTCGTTCTTCCACCTCGATTAACAGCCCGTTGCTAATCGTTTGGGTCTACAGAGCATCGCCATTCGTCATCGCCATCCAGAGTGCCGGCTTGGAAGTACTGCCTAGCGTCATGAATGTCGTTATCATGATATCAGTCTTGAGCGTGGGCAACTCGGCTATCTACGGTAGCTCACGCACGTTGGCGGCACTGGCAGAACAAAACCAAGCACCACGCTTCTTTGCATACATTGATCGCAAGGGGCGACCATTGTATGCCATCATATTTGCTTCCTCCCTCGGCGTACTGGGTTACCTCGCCGCCTCACACAAGCAAACTGACGCCTTTGACTGGATGCTGGCACTCTCTGGACTTAGTTCCATCTTTACCTGGTCCTCTATCTGCCTGGCACATATTCGCTTCCGACATGCCTGGGCTACCCAGGGCCACACGCTAGATGAATTGGCCTTCCGCTCCCCTGTCGGAGTTGTCGGTTCCTGGGTCGGTTTCTCTTTCAACTGTTTGGTCCTGATTTCCCAGTTCTGGACCGGCTTCTCGCCTGTGGGCTGGCACACCATGACCGCCCGCGAACTTGTCATCAACTTCTTTCAGGCCTACCTCGCCGCCCCAGTCGTCTTTCTGATGTACATTGGTTACAAGTTGTGGAAACGTACCTACGTGATCAAAACTCGTGACATGGACTTGTTTACAGGAAAGAGAGAGTTTAACGTCCGTCTCCTTGTCGCGGAAGAGAAGGCCGATCGGCTTAATTGGCCCACTTGGAAGAAGTGCTACAAGTTTATTTGTTGATATGATTTTATGTTGGCTGTGCCTAGCGTCGATGTTTAACGGCTCTGTGGTTGGCCTTGTGAAGCAATTTTTGAGCCATTGTTTAAGAGAAGATATCCACGATGTTTGTTTAGCCTTTAGCCGGTGAAATATCCCAGTTCTGGCCTTCTGCGGGAGGAGGTTGTTCGTGCAGGTTCTTCCTTGATGAGACATACATTTTCTCCCAGAATGGAGAACCTTGCCAGATAAGAATGGGCGATGAGAATACCCTTGATACAATAGTTTCCATGTGTATCATCATATAATAATGATTTCGACAAATCTTGCAACTTGGTTATGCCTCTAGGCCACTTATCTTGTGACTGGTACGTAGGTACTAGTCATCCATGCATCGGGCGACATGTAAAGGAGGACAATGAAATACATAGACTTCACATGTTGACAGAGCAATGGATGGTCTTCGAAGTATCTCCACATATGTACTGTATCTAGGGATCCCATGGACTTTGCTTGGCCAAGATTGCATTAATGGCATCCCTTCGATGTCTGCTTTCTGCAAACAGAGCTTGAATTAGACTGACGACTTCTCGCTGACTAAACTCCAGACTCAACTCTCCCTCGGTCCAAAGATAGCGGATATCAACTAGTGAACTTTCAAGGACCTGGATCAGATACTGAAACCGGATCCACGACGGGACGTACACAGCCGTGCTAGAGACAGGCTGACCAGTCAGAGAATCGTCGCGTGGGAACAAGTCGTCCAGCCCTGCGACCTGTTGACAATACTCGGTCAATTTGCGCGACTCAGGCTCCGAAATGTCGTCCAACTCCTCAATCGCATAGATGATCTTTCCTGTCACTGTCGTCAGGATCGTGCCAATACTCTGCAGGAGCACCGACGGCGACAACACGGGTTGCCATTCTATATGCAGAGCACGTACACGATCCACCACGGCTGACACGGCGTTTTCAATCTCCTGCGAATAGGGAAATTGCGTGCACGATGAAAACCCTTGAGCGCCCTCCAGGAGATCCCATACAATTAGCCTCTGGGTTTCCATTTCTTTCGAGTATGCCGCCCGCGCGAATCTCTCCATCGCCTTGATATCGCCTTCTAGGTTCGACATCCCGGGCACGTCTAGTTGTCGCAGTCGATCCACAATGTACAGAGAGTCGTTGTATCGATGAATATCGGTCAGAGATGGAGATGCGCCGTAGTAGCTGGGAGCTGTCGCTCGAAACATGGCCATTGCCAGTGTCGGTAGTGCTAGTAGGCCTCGAGACAAAATCGATGTGTCGAGAGATGCATGGGTGGTTGTTTTCAGTGTCTCTGCATCGGAAACGTCTTTTCCGACTGTCTCGAGAATATAGTCGGGGACCTCGCTGATGCTGTACCATTCAGTAAGAGTTTGCTGCTGCGGCTCGGCTGCTTCTTTTTCATGGTTGTTGGTGGTGTTGGTCTGTTTTGCTCCTTGTTTCTTGGTAGGAACGGTCTTGTTTTCAGTCTCCTCATCACCCCAGCCCCAGGCATCATCTTCTTCTTCTCCTTCTTCTCCATCATCTCCGTGCTTGTCTCTTTGGTTCTCTGTAGATGTGTCCGCAGGCTTGACCTCGGCAGTTTCGTCGTCATCATCATCGTCGAAACCCCAGCCACTAGCCTCTTCGTCTTCTGCGTCTTGAGCCTTGGCTTTTATGGACGACTCCGACTCTTCAGTTGCATCTTCATCCCAGTTGGCATTCCAATCTTCAGGTATTGACTCTTCCTGAGCATGTTCCTCAAGTTGAGTATCGATGATCCGAGTCTCAACTCGCTCGACCTGCCTCAGAACACCCTTGGAAGAAGCAAGTCCCTTCCGAACCGCGTCCAGAGTCGCAGCTTTCCGCTTGGCCAGCCAGATTCTGTTGATTTGATTCGTCCAGGCCTGCAACTCTGTTCGGCCATGCCACGATAACGTTTCGAGCTGATCTAGAAGCCGGTTCATCTGCTGGCGTATCTGATCAAGTCGATCCAGCTTGTCGAGATCAATGGGCAACTCGGGAGTGAGCCAATCATTGACAAGGAGAGCCATCAAATCTGGATATATCGCCTGCACTGCAGCATCTTGGATCGTTTTTGACATTGAGGTGTGAAGGAACTGTGTGAAACTAGAGACATAATCGAACACTTTATCAAAAGATGATTCTTCGTGGCTGAGTTCCACAGTCAACTTGTGCTCATCGAGCTGATAAGCCGAATATTTGAGTCGTGATGACTTCCGAAGTGGTGACAGGAAAAAAGTTCGCAGCTTGTCTGTTAACGACTCAACCACATCTTGAGGTTCTCCGAGTTGATCCAAGGCTCTCAGGATACTGTCAGAGTTGTTGGAAGTTGCTGTGGTTTCCGTTGGCGATACTTGTATCCGTGTGGTATATTGCTCCTTTTGAACATTTATTTGAGCGTGCAATTTGGCCTCGAGCTGTACTCGCGTTTTCAGACGAAGCTCATCCTTCAAGTCTCGGGTGATTATTGCTGAACGAGATCGAGATGATAAAGGAGCATGGCGACCAAGCCGGTGCAACTTGTCTGCAGCACCGAAGGGATTGCCGTTGAGCAAGTCCGCTTCCACCTCTTTCAGAGCCTGCGAGGCTAATGCAATGTTGGAAAACTCATGTTTCAAAGTCTCCGAGAATTCAATCTCCGAATTCAAGAGGTCCACCTTTGCCTTATGGTCGGCGGCTTGTGATCTTAGATTCTGAAGGTGAACGTGCTCCTCGACAATCTTTCGCGACTCTAGTTTGCACTTTGCAATATCTTCCTGGACCTTTCTGGCTTTGACAATCCATTGATTGACATCTTTGGTCTCGCCGCGTGTTGCAATGCCGATCTCGTGGCTAAGCTCGTCGCGTGTCTGCGAAATTTGGCTGAGCAAGGAGGAAATGAGGTTTGAGGACAGATCAGATGTTAGCAACTCCTCGGATTGTGGATATGAGCCTTCAACGATGGCATCCTTGAGAGCTTGTGCGACAGAGACGTCGTCTGACATGTTTTCACATCCACTGCATCAGGTACGTTTATGAAGACTCATGGCGAAGTATTGGGATCCTCTATTGATGTCTGAGTTGCAGGCCAGATGACATCAAGCAACGCAGGTGATGGCTACAGCGGACTATTAGTCAATTTTGCGCAATTTAGCGTTTTCTGTCTTTATGTTCTGCTGGGAATTTTCTTCTCCGCATCTCGGTTTTTGCTGCATTGACGACTCGCATGAAATGCTCTGTTATGACGGTTTCCTCTTTCTTGCGTAGACGACTAGTCTGAAGGACGCTCACTAAACCCGAGTCTCATTGCTATTCGTCATGGCGCTTCCGACGACAGACCTTCAGAATGCTCAAATTCGAGTGCGCTTGAGCACGAGAGACCCCGAGCTAGCCCTTTCCGACACTGCGCCTATCCTTGTACCTACATCCTTCCGCCGATATACACTGTCTACTCTCATCAATGGCTTGCTGCAAAAGGAAAAGAATGTTCCTCTCGAATTTATTGTCAATGGCACCTACCTTCGCACTACTCTGAAGGAGTACCTGACCAACAATGGTGTTTCGACCGAATCAACGCTCTCAGTGGAATATGTAAGAGCCCGGATACCACCGCAATACGTGGCTTCATTCGAGCACGAGGATTGGGTCAGCGATGTAGATGTTCTGTCAGACACTTCGCGAATCCTCTCTGCCAGCTACGATGGGCGTTTAAGGGTGTGGAATACATCATCGCAAGTACTGGCCACTTCGCCTGGGCAGGCACAGGGCGGTCACAGCTCTTTCATCAAATCGGCAAAATTTATCTCATCTTCTCAAATTGTGTCTGGGGGATTTGACCGGACAGTCCGTGTGTGGAAATACTCTGAAAACCCAGACGGCTTCTCTGCCAACATTTCTCCGTCTCTTGAACTCTACGGCCACAAAGGATCGGTGGACTCAGTCGTTTCTCACGAACCATCAAACCGGATTTTAAGTGCCTCATCTGACCATTCGGTCGGATTGTGGTCTACTCGGAAGTCAAATGCACCAACTGCCCCCGAGGCTCTAATCCCCAGAACCCGAACCAAGGACGGGAAGAGGAGGAAATTAAATTCCGAAGTGTCTGTTGCGCAAAGAGGGCCTCTAGCATTGATGCAAGGACACACGGGGCAGGTCTCCGGGGTGGTCTTTGATAACAAAGATCCCACGGTAGGCTACTCGAGTTCTTGGGACCAGACAGTAAGGACGTGGGATTTGGTAACCAACACATTGGTCGACACGAGAACGACATCCAGTGCGCTGTTTTGCATTGAACACATGCCGGGACTCCATCTTCTTGCGACAGGATCTGTCAGCCGCGCCATCAAGCTTGTGGACCCTAGAGCATCCGCGACAACGGTCGCCGCCATGACCTTGAAGGGACACAAAAATTCAGTGGTCAGCCTGGCACGTGATCCCGGCAACGACTACACGATCGTGAGTGGCAGCCATGACGGGACCTGCCGTGTGTGGGACGTGCGGAGCACACAACAAGAAAAGGAAGGGCTTGTTGCCCAAAGTCTTTACACTCTTCCAAGGGCAAGCCTAAACGGAGCCACTAGTCCTGCCACAGGCGACGGTGTCAAGGTGTTTGGTGTTTGCTGGGACAGAGCCTTGGGAATTCTCAGTGGAGGGGAGGACAAAATGGTACAAATCAATGGTACCAATGACGGCGTAGGCCAGAACTAATGCTACCAATGACATGCCACAAATCGGCACCTCTGTTGTTAATTAGAAGTTTCATTGTTGTTGCATGCAATCATAGTTCGTAACGTCTGTGGTGAGCCAAAAGGCCTGACGCCCAACACTATGGCCTGGGGGCCCTCGGGCTGCCAGGTAACGCGTGTGGGTGGTCCCGCGTTACGTCGAAAAGGTTGTTCGTGTTTGACTTTCGCAAGGACCTCGTGAGCACGGCTCTCATAAATACCTACTGTCTGGCATCAACAAGATCTGATGACAAAACAAGGGCGATTGACGTATCTATAAAATCTATTTTAGGTATTGATTAATCGTTATAGAGTCTTATTTGACTGATGGACTCGACTCAACAAACACTGCCTGCAAATACGATGGTATTGTGGTCATGTTTTGTTGTTCCTGTTGCCCTTGAAGAAAGGCTTGATTATGACAAGTATCAACAGCACTATCGCCGGAGGGGCGCGGGCTTGTGAAGCCATTCAAGAACCATCAACCAACCACAAAAGACGCCAGATATTTATTTTCGGGTCCACCCGTTGTCCAACCTGGACGAGTCCACCCTTGCGGCTACAACAAAGACCCAAAGGAATTGAAAGTCGGATGAAGGAAGATTAGCAAGCATGGTATGACTGGTCATACTTGGGCTTGGACTGAATCATGATTTTCAGGACATCTAAGTCCAAGATCCATCTGGTTTGCCCCGATGATGCTGTTCAGCATGGAAGCGAATCTGCAGACTGCACCTATGTACAAGCTTAAAGTCTCGTCGAACTTGCTGCGAGGCACCACCGCACCAGCATGACAAGAATAAAATAATAGTGGACTGGCGGGCTGTGTTGGGTAGGGACGACAGGCCTTGGTCATGTCAATTCTTCAAGGGTCCGTCCGCGGCTTTAATTTTTCTTCAGTCACGCTTCAAAGGAGTTCGCCTTCACTGGAGGGGATCATGATCGAAGACAGGGGTATGCCCAGCTTGTGGGTTCCGAAGGTGACACCAAAAAACCCTAAAGTGAGACGACATTCAACTGTGGTTCACATGCATTACAGTAGTGGACTGTGGCCCGTGGCCTACTTGCCTCCGACATATCTACAAATGACTGACGACATGACACCTTCAGTGATAGATGGTTGTACCCTAGGACCTCCAAATAATGTCCGTGGTCTGAAAAAGCATTGTTGGGGCTCGAAGGAGAATGAGAACAGGGGTTTGAGATCTCTAGGCTTTGATCAGCGTTGTGGAGATGATTGGACTGCTAACTAGGTAGGTTGACATTGAAGGAGGTGAGGAGTAGTAGTAGTAGGCCTGGCGTGCCACTGTGCCTGGCGCTCCTGGCTTTGACAACTATTGATGCTCGAGGAACGCCCGCAGATTTGCACCTTGCTTGGAAAAGGGCTGAACCCTGCCAGTCACGTTGGTTGGATGGTGCCACCAGGAACCTGCCCACGGGGAGGGGCCTGGCAAGTTGCCACCCACAACTTTTAAGCAGGCTATGGGCATTGGGCAGTGGGAACTCAGGCTGGTCCGGTGTGCCAGCAGACCTGGGCCCTTCGGGGCCTCGGGGAGATGGCACCAACCAGCCTAACAACAGCCTCCAGCTTGGTTGCGTAAAACTGTCGTGACTGTCTGTCCCTGACCTGGAGGTTGTGGGACCAAATGTACCTAAACTCGGTTGGTCTAAAGGGTGGCTCAAGGGGCGGCTAAGACTCTAAGAGCCCGAGGGGCCATGGGTCCACCACAGACCCATCGCCATCGTCTGCCCATCCATCCACCTCAACCCTGACCACCACAGACCACTGAACCCATTCTCTCAACACCAGAGCGACATCAACATTATTGACGTCGACACCAACACCATCAGCACCACCACTTCTCAACTTATCCCTCGCCTGTATTGATTGTCACCTTCATTTGCATTTTCGGCACCCATCACGCAGCAAATTCTGTCACTAGCGTCCTTCTTTTACCTGCAACCGTCTGCTCTTCAGTATCATCCCATTTTTCCCTGCGCCAATTCAAGCACCCTCCCACACCCGTTAAACACGTCTTTTCAGAGCGCTATCACTGCCTGCTGGCTCATTCACGACATCCTAGACGACATTGTCCCCCCAGGTCCCTTCGCTGTTACGATCCTGAAGTCTTGATTTACGCGAAAACAACGACCATTCTGTGCCCCGACACCATCCGCAACCCGTCCGCCTCTTTGACTGCGTCCTGACAGACAAGAGTCCTGCACGACGACAGGAGAGGTCTTGTTGTGCAGATTGAACGTACGATTATTCTTTGGGTCAGTTGAACTAGGCAGGTCGCTGATAGCGTCTCTTTTGCAGCTTTCTGCTCTTCGACTATTTCAACGCTCATGTTGGCCACAACAGCCTGACCCTGCCTCGCCGTTCTGTCCCCAACCTTGTTAGGCGGGTCATATCCATACGCATTCTTCTTTTAAAAGATCCCTCCGAGTCAGAGTTATCTCTATGCCCATGAAATTGCCAAAGGGCTTTCAAAGACGTAAATCTTCGGGCAATGCCTTGGAAGAGGTCCTCAATCCGCCTGCCGGAGGCGATGGCTCTTTCCGCGTCTTAGACAGACCTACCAGGGATGGCAAGTCGTTTGATGGTGGGATCACTCTAAAACTGGGACGAGATGAGCCACCACGGCCCCCTCCCAAGGACTCCTACCAGCGTCATGAGGATGATGTCTTCTCTAGTGTCCGCCCCGATGCAGGCAACCGGTATGTGACCATGAGCTTCGGGTACTACCCGCGTGATTTCTGGGTACTGACCAACTTCAAAGAGGCAGCGGTGCCACCGAACGATCTCATTCAACGGCACCCAATGGCAGTGCCGCGTCTTCCGCTCGCCTGAGCTCCTCCTCCACCAATCCCTCGTCCATCGATACCAATGCTCAGACAGTGGGACACAAAAATTTGAATGATATCCCTGCCCCTCCTCCGGCCTCAGCGAAGCCCAGCTTCTTGCGTGACTCCACACGTTCCTTCTCTTTCGGAGTTGGCAAGAAGTCTTCGCCTGCATCCTCGCCGGGGGGTCTCCCTCCCACTGGTAGCATCCAAAGAGATCGAAATGTTACTTCAAGCACAACAAGCACCGCGAGCACCGCTACTCCCCCACGGCTCTTCGATTCCGACCTTGCGCTCGAGAATTCTGAGCTAGATGGCTTCGGCAACATGTTCGACCATATTGGGACTAGTTCTCAGCCCCAAGCACCGCGTCCAGTGGCATCTCCAGTATTACCACCCAGCGTACCAAATCTCACGCGTAGCTGACATTCATTTAGGAACTTCTGTCTTCTCCTCCAGCTTATCCACCGAGTAGCTACCCCAGTGCTGCCGCCTCACGATTACACAGGGGCTCTGTACCGCAATCGATCCGCACAGACCGAAACCAGGTGGTGGAGTCGTCACCATACTCATGGGCGTCGCACGATTCCCATGAAGGCCTGATACGCTCTCCTAGTCCCTCCAAAACCATCACTCAACTCAGCCCGCCCAAGGCCAGAGATTCGTATTTCACGACTTCGAATCACAGCCCATTGCCGCCACAACGGCGCCCAATCCCAGAAAAGCAAAAAAGTATGGACGCGTCCGTCCCCTCACTGCAGAGAGCCCCGGCTGCCACGGAAGAGACGACTCTCCTGTCTACAAGTCCATCCTTGCCGCAACATGGACGCGAATCTCCCCGCTCCCTTCGTCGGGACTCATTCGATCCTTCGATCATGGCCGACGCCGAGCTAGCCACCATGTACCAAGAGACGAAGACGATCACACCAAAACCTGTATCGACGAACAAGGTCATGACCCCGGCCCAGTGGGAAAAATACAAGCAGCAGAAAGAGATGGACCGCAGACTAGGAGCGTTGTCAGATGACAGTGGATCCGAACCCGGTGACAACTATGAAGACGATGACGAAGTGGAACAAAAGAAGAAAAACTCGAATCAGAGGCAGAAGCAGCAGGCCAATCTAGCAGTATATCGACAACAGATGAGAAAAGTGACCGGGGAGACAACACTGCAGTCGCGTCCGGAGAGTTCATTCGGCATCGCAACTTATGGCAATGGAAGTTTGGGCGATCTCAACAACCGATTCTCAAACCTGACGACAGATTCAAGGCGATCGGGAGGCAAGAGCAGCGGCGAGGACGACGGTGACGACGATGAGGACATCCCGCTAGGGATACTGGCAGCCCATGGCTTCCCAAATAAGAACAAGCCACCAACCAGACTAGCCACCTCTCCATCAAACCCCAGTCTGAGACCTGTCAGTCAACTACAGTCATCTCCATCACCGGGAACGCCTTCGATGATAGAGCCGGCCTCGAAAGGCGGCAGACTGCCTCCCTTTGCACGACAACTTCCGCAGGATCCCTATTTTGGCGCAGGGCTGGTAAACCCATCTAATCGAGAATCTATGGCCGCACAATCCTTGAGCCCCAGTGCACTTGGCTCAGGGCCCTCGACCGCACATCCAATTCACCCTGCCGGCCTTGTTGGAGTCATTGCGGGCGAAGAACGGGCACGTGCTGCACGAAGAGGCAGCCCGAACCCGGCTGGCAATTACGATCCCCCCGGTATGGTCCGTTCTACGACGACTGGCGCGATTCCCGGCATGGGATACCCCGTGATGGGAGCGATGCCGATGATGAGCCCAGCAGAACAAGCCCAGGCCCAGATGTCGCTCCAGATGCAACAAATGATGGAAATGCAGGCACAGTGGATGCAGCAGATGCAGTCAATGATGGGAGTTCCAGGAGGCCCGGGGTCTCAGATGGGTGCTCCCAGTATGGGAGCCCCTAGTGTCTACGGCATGTCCGTTCAGCGCCCTCAGTCAATGCATGGCGGGGGACCGTCCTTCCCAGGCAATCCTCGCACGATGAGCACGCTCAACCCCGGAATGGCCCCATGGAGTTCGACACCATCTTTTATTCCGTCAATCAATGTCAACGGCAATTATGCATCCTCTATTGCACCGTCGGAACGCAGCAACGTGGGACTTGCACCTCGATACCGACCTGTGTCTGTGGTCGCAGACGTAGAGACTCATTCGTCTCGGCGGGCATCAACATTCACCAGCAATAGTTATCAGCCCTGGAATTCCAAGAACAGTGGACCTCAGATGGCCCGGCATGGGGCAAAACCATCAGTGAATATGGTGGGCAGGAGATCGCCGTTGGCTCGCCAAGATGATGAGGACGATGAGCAAGGCTGGGCTGAGATGAAGAAGAGGAAAGAAAAGAAACAGAAGAGTTGGGCATTACGGAAGGGGACCAATGGCTTCGAAGATCTATATAGTCATGCGACATAATGGCAATACTTGCAGAAGCCTGGAGATGTGCCAGCGATTTGGTTGGAAGGTATAGTGTGATAATTTGGGCATAGATGGCCGGGCATCAAAAGCGTGTTGATTGTTCTGTGGACCAACCAATGGTGGGACTGGAGCTTGGATAGACTTTACAGGTCTCTGGCCAGCGATTCTGTGTCGCCAACGACGTAATTTTAAGGAGAATTGTTATCCATCACTCATGATATTCGAATGGATCAATCCGACAAAAGAGATGAATACACAAATTTCTGCCCAAGCATCTGTTGTTCTCTATATAAAATGGACGATGGGAGGAGATGCGATAAGGCACTAACTGGTAATGCAAGGTAGGCACCCGGCAGTGAGGGTCGTTCTTGCCGTGTACTCGTGCGGTGTGTAACAGTGGCAGGTACAACATACAGAAAGGACCGCGCCTTCCCTCGTGAATTATCACAGGCAAGGCTGCAGTCCAATGCCAAGACCTGAAACCTGGCAAACTTGAGCTTCGGTCATCGATCTTGGAGAGTCTAGATTTGAGACTGCTGACCAAGGTTGAGGCATCCTCGCAGAACAAGCAAACAACGCGACAGGAGGATCTCTCTCTGTGGCAAGGTTGACTTAGGATTGTGATCCTGATCCACATACATTGTTTCCACGTTGGGTCTTGCCGCCTCTTCCTCACCGGGCTTGTGCCACCACGACTGTCGCCTATTGTCCCTCCACTCAGACTCGGCGGGCTACTCGACGCACTCTCTGTTCAAAAATCTGTGGTTGGTCAGGAAGACGACCTAGAATTCGCTAAACCACAATCACCTAGAGGCTCTCTCAGTGTATCCCTAACCAGCAGCCGCACGTGAATGAGATCGAGTCTCTTATATTCAGCCCTGATCGGTCTACTAATCAGCATTGCACTTCCTCTAATATCTATCCACCGCTTCTCAGAATTCTCCTTCATACCTGAGGCTGATCGTCCAGCCCAGCTAAACTTTCCTTTTTACAACATCCTAGATATCATCTTGACCCGCCTCCGTTCTTCGCCAGCCTTGAAAATGGCAACGTCTGGGCCAGATGCGCCTCGTTTCACCAAGATCCAGAAAATCGAGCCAGACTATTGTCCTGGCTCCATCACTCAATATGAATCACAACGAACCGGCATGAGGGTCGTGGTGGTCGATCAGCAAGGTCCCAAACTCCATGGCTACTTTGTCCTTGCTACCGAGATTCACGACGACTCGGGCGCTCCTCACACTCTTGAACACCTGTGCTTTATGGGTTCAAAGAGCTACAAGTACAAGGGCTTTCTCGACAAACTGGCGACGAGAGCCTATTCCAACACCAATGCCTGGACAGCCACGGACCACACGGCCTACACCCTCGACACCGCTGGCTGGGCTGGCTTTGCCCAGATCCTCCCAGTTTACCTCGAGCACGTCATTCTTCCAACCCTCACCGACGCGGGCTGCACGACCGAAGTCCATCATATCGACGGCAGTGGCAATGACGCTGGTGTCGTCTATTCCGAGATGCAGGGCGTTCAGAATACTGCGTCCGAATTGATTGAGTTGGCATCTAAGCGTATCCTGTATCCTGAAGGCGTGGGCTTCCGATATGAGACAGGCGGAATGATGGAACAACTCCGAGTCCTGACCGCCGATCGCATACGAGAGTTCCACCGCGACATGTATCAGCCCAAGAACCTGTGTCTGTTGTTGTTTGGGGAGGTTGATCACGACGAATTGCTGCAACTCCTAGACACCTTTGAGACGTCCATATTGCCCGATATCCCAAGTCCCGATAAGCCATTCAAACGGCCGTGGATGGAGTCGAACCTCGCGCCAGCCTTGTCTGAATCGACTCTTCAAAAGGTCGACTTTCCCGAGGAAGATGAATCTTTCGGTGAGATCGACATACGGTTTCTAGGTCCGGATACTGCGAGCGTTGTTGAGATTGGCGCGCTCAGCGTTGCGCTTTTGTATCTGGCAGGCTCTTCCGCTGCGGTGCTAGACAACACTCTAGTAGAGAAGGAACAGCTCGCCAGTGGTGTCTACTACACACTCGACAGCCGTCCCAGAACCGAAATCGCGTTCACTCTCTCTAGTGTCGAAACAGGACGCCTGGCAGAGGTCGAGAAACGTTTCTTCGAAGTGCTTCACGGAGCTACCGACAAGCCTTTGGACATGAAGTTCATGAAGGATTGCATTGCTCAACAGCTTCGAACTTTAAAGTTCAATGCTGAAGCATCCCCGACCTTCTTCGCAGATTATATCATCGCGGACTACCTGTTTGGAAAGCGTGACGGATCTACGCTCGAAACCCTGCGATCGTTGGACACATACGCAAAGATTCTGCAAGCTTGGACTGAAGAAGAGTGGAAGGCCTTCCTCAAGAAGTACTTCACCGGGGCACACCATGTTTCAATCCTCGGCGTACCGTCGGCCCAGCTTTCCGAAAAACTCAAGACAGACGAGGCGAGGAGGATTGAGGCACAGAAGGAGGCATTAGGACCAGAGGGTCTCAAGCAGAAGCAAGAGCAATTGGACGCCGCCAAAGCTGAGAACGATCGAGAGATCCCGCATGAGTTGTTGGGGAAATTCAAAGTCCCACCGACCGAGTCGATCCATTTTGTGTCTACGGCTGCTGCTCGGTCTGGCCTGGCTCTGCAGGTCGGGAAACCACAGAACAAGTATCAGGAGATCATCGAGCAAGATGCTCAAGCCCTTCCTTTGTTCTTGAACTTTCAGCACATACCATCGAATTTTGCTAGAGTCGACGTCATCATCTCCACAGAGATTCTACCCAACGAACTACGTCCTCTTCTCGCCATCTACATGGAATCATTCTTTTCCTTGCCAATCAAACGAGGCTCAGATGTTATCAATTTTGAAGACGTTGTCCTCGAGCTTGAAAGAGACACCGTTGGCTACGCTATGGATTCGGCCGTCAATCGTGGCAATATTGAAGGCCTCCGTGTAAGCTTTCAAGTCGAACTTGACAAATACAAGGTTGCCCTTCGCTGGATTCAAGAGTTGATGTTTCAATCCATCTTCGATGTGGACCGATTAAAGGCAATCAATACCCGCCTGCTGGCCGACGTGCCCGATTCGAAACGCAGTGGTGATGGTATGTTGATCGGCGTTCACATGATGACTCATCTATCGCCCAAGTCCATCGGGCGCGCTCGAAGCACATTGGTCAAGGCTCTATATCTGAAGCGGATCAGATCATTGCTCAAGACCGATCCTGATGTAGTGGTGAAACAACTCGAGCGGTTGAGAAGTTTGTTGTGCAAATTCGAGAACTTCCGCGTGGTGGTCGTGAGCGACTTGGAAAAGTTACACGAGCCGGCAAGCTCATGGCGACCGTTTGTGCAGAAATTGGAGGTGACAAAAGAGCTGAACCCGATTGGTACACGTAAGGAACGGCTCAGTGAAGCAGGAAAGAACCTTGGGAAACTAGCGTATGTGGTTCCGATGCCCACGATCGATTCTTCATACGCATATGCCTTGGCGAAAGGGCCTATCTCATATTACGATCCGAGAACACCGGCCATGATGGTGGCCATGGCGTATCTCAACGCCGTTGAAGGACCGTTATGGGTCGCCGTCCGAGGAACTGGGCTTGCGTATGGCACCAGTGTTGGCTATGATATCGAGTCTGGCTTCATCTACCTGGAGGTCTACCGGTCCCCAGACGCATACAAGGCGTTCGAAGCGAGCCGCAATGTCATTAGCGGACATATTTCTGGAGAAATCGAGTTTGATCCACTCATGCTCGAAGGCGCCATTAGCAGTATCGTGGTAGCGTTTGCCAATGAGCAACGGACTCTGGCATCTGCCGCGGTGGCGAATTTCATCAAGGCAGTGATGAAGGGCTTGCCAGAAGACCACAATGAGCAACTGCTGAAGAAGGTTCGCGCCATTGGAGTGGATGAGATCAAGGACATCCTTAAGACTTTAGTCTTTGACGTTTTGACACCTGGTAAAGCTGATATCGTCATTACTTGCGCCCCAGGCCTAACAGAGGTAAGCGAGTCATATCGGACTTCAACTCACATGTCTTGTGCTAATCAGTGTATCACAGGGTATATCTGATGGTCTCAAGGGAGCAGGCTTTTTGCCTGAGACCCACGATCTGAATTATTTCCAAGACGATTACGGGTTGAAGACCAACGAAGGCGAAGATGATGACGACGGCGATGATGATGACAGCGAAGATGACGGAGACGATGACGACAAGGACGATGGCACGTCAGATGACCTTGGAGGAAGCGAGGGCTACGAGATAATAGAAGGTGGAGGAGAGGAATTCGACGATGAGAATTGAGGCCGGGATCCTCGCATCATGTCTTCATGTCTTCTTGCAGCCAGGTGTAGGTCTGTATGAACGGACCTTCTTCGCCATGGATGAGTCTATGAACAACGATGGATTAAAATTTGCGCATTAGACTGCGTGAATGAAATAGATGAGATGCTATGACTCGTTGCAGATAGCACAGCGCATTGCATTGTGTATTTTCTAGGAAGAAGACAAACTACTGGATATACCTGCGTGTGATACTCGGCATACCTGGTGTGATATACGCAGAAAATGGAGTCGAGATTCTTCTCCCGTTCCTGCCGCTGCTTTAATCAGACAAGGCTGCGCCTTCCCTTCGAATGAGTCATGGCTTGGCAAGCGTCAGCCTAAGAAACTGCATTTCCACAAAATTGCAAAAGTCCCCGCAGCCCACCAAAGCACAATCAATCTTCAACCCTCGCTCCTGTACCGGTACAGTAGATTCAAAGTCACCCGCTCGCATCTCGAGAACCCATCACTTCCTCATCTCCTCCATCTGAGTCTTCCGTGACTCGATTCCAAACTTCCTCCCGCTGCCGTCCGCCTCGACCTCACCCTTTCCACCTCTTCGCCTCTCAACCTTCGACACAGCTATCCTCATTCCTTGCCATCACCGCAATCATGGCTACCAACGGAGATCTGCAATCTGATGATGAGTTTTCTCAACCCGGAACACCCCCCGGAGAAGAGAATGACACTTTCGCGGATGATGGTGAAGAGACCAACCAGCCATTGAAGTCCGCCCTTAAGAAGAACACCACAGCAGCGATTCCAGAACCTCAGGTCTCTAGACCAGTTCTGCCCGAGCAACCCGACCCAAAAGATCTTGATATCTCAAAATTGACTCCTTTGTCTCCTGAAATCATCTCCCGTCAAGCCACCATCAACATTGGCACCATTGGTCATGTCGCTCACGGAAAGTCAACCGTCGTCAAGGCCATCTCAGGTGTGCAGACGGTTCGTTTCAAGAACGAACTCGAGCGAAACATCACCATCAAGCTTGGTTATGCCAATGCCAAAATTTACAAGTGCGACAATGAAGCATGTCCCAGACCAACCTGCTACAGGTCATTCAAGTCTGAGAAGGAAGTAGACCCTCCTTGCGAGAGAGACGGCTGCACTGGCACATATCGTCTGCTGCGACATGTCTCTTTTGTCGACTGCCCGGGCCACGATATTCTTATGAGTACCATGCTTTCAGGCGCCGCAGTCATGGACGCTGCGCTTCTCTTGATTGCCGGAAACGAATCCTGCCCTCAACCTCAGACCTCAGAACATTTGGCCGCCATCGAAATCATGAAACTGAATCATATCATCATCCTGCAGAATAAGGTGGATCTTATGCGCGAAGAAGGTGCACAACAACACTACGAGTCAATTCTCAAGTTCATCAAGGGAACGGTTGCAGACGGGTCTCCCATCATCCCCATCTCCGCGCAGTTGAAATACAACATTGATGCCATCAACGAATACCTGGTCACCAAAATTCCCGTTCCCATCAGAAACTTCCGGGACGCCCCACACATGATCGTTATTCGTTCCTTTGATGTCAACAAACCAGGTGCAGAGATCGAAGACCTAAAAGGTGGTGTCGCTGGTGGTTCCATTTTAACGGGTGTTCTCAAGTTGGGCGATGAGATTGAAATCCGTCCGGGCATCATCACAAAGGATGCCCAAGGCCAGACAATTTGCCGACCCATCATGTCTCGTGTTGTTTCCCTCTTTGCCGAGCACAACGATCTCAAGTTTGCCGTTCCTGGAGGTCTTATTGGTGTGGGTACACGCGTCGATCCAACACTCTGCCGTGCCGATCGACTTGTCGGCCACGTCCTTGGTCTGAAAGGCCAACTTCCAGAGATCTACATGGAGCTGGAAGTGAACTACTTCCTCCTTCGACGCCTTCTCGGTGTCAAAACCGCCGATGGCAAACAAGCAAAGGTCGCCAAATTGGCCAAGAACGAAGTCCTTATGGTTAACATTGGGTCGACTGCTACGGGTGCCAAGGTCATGGGCGTGAAGGCCGATGCTGCTAAGCTGACATTGACCAATCCCGCGTGTACAGCAATCGGGGAGAAGATTGCCTTGAGCAGAAGAATCGAAAAGCATTGGCGTTTGATCGGCTGGGCGAATATCGTCGCTGGCAACACTATTGAACCCGAGAGCTCGTAAGAGATGTTTATGAGATAGGGGGTTAGATGGCAACTACGCTGTGTTATCAGTTGGTTGTTGAAATGGGAGCGTGTTTACGCAAAGAACACGGAAGGGAGCCAGAATATGATGAAGACATGAAATTGGTCGACGACCGCAGACAGCAGATAACGGATCATCAAGCATGGTAGCCGACAAGGAGGGACCTCTGGGCCACCCCAAAATTCAGACTAGAACCATGCACTGTGGCCTGCGATGGGAACCAGCAACAGCCCAACGAATAGCGAATTCTCTGCATGAGGTATAAGAACAGCCATGGTCCCAAAGGAACGGCAAATTGCATCATGCTCAAATCTCTACGTTTCTCCACCAAGGGTTCACTCTCTCTCACTCAGTCTGGTAGATATCATGACTATTACCTACCTACCTTGTCTCACTAGCCTAACGACCATGTCCCATCTCATCCGATCGGACATACCAGGACGGACTGGTGCCATGTTCTCGAGTCCCTGAAATGCCTGTTCTTCTCTCATGCGACTACACATATCCTATCCTGGCTGACTGGAACAAGGCGCATGTGTGGACATGTGCGGATTCGATATACTGAGTAGATAAGGTATGGAAGCTCATTCGAACATCAGAGGGGTTGTGGTGGGGGGTGGGGGGGGGGAGGGTATGGCATGTTCGAGCATCACGAGATAGATTGATAAATAGATGATAACCAACCCAGACTGTGTGAACAATACTTGGGATTTCCCTGTGTTGCCATGTGCTCCGCGAAGATGCTACAGTGATTCGTCCAGTTGAGTCAGACACCAAACTGGCCTTTTTGATGGTATTTTGTGATCTTCAAGACTGGAGCGTTGATGATCTCGATGAGCCTGACCATTCCATACTCGTTCAGAGCCCAACCAACATTTCTTCAAGTCCCAAGCCGACTTTGTTCTGCGTAGTCTGATCTCATACACATTCAACTCAAGCAATAATTGCTGATGATCTACTCCAATCTCTGCCAACAGCAAGGCTTTTTCGGCTTCCTCAAATGCAAAGCAAACCCTCCTTGAATTGCTTTGATCGTCGTGTTCCTATCCGCATCCAAACCCCCAACACGCACTAAGCTCCAACACTGTTGTCACACATTAGACTGGCTTTTTCTTGATTGTTGTCCACGACCTGTTCGGACCACCTGGGTTTCGATACACAATCCGAGGGCTGATTGTTGTCTTGCCACTCCAGCCAGTCCATCCTCTTTGGCTTTCCTAAAGCTTGTCGTTCTTACTATGCTCGTCATCTTCACTACTGTCATCAGATAACTCGATGCTAGCATCACGGATGCTTGGATCTGGTCGGCGATTCCGGAGACCCTCACCAGTGGATGAAGGCGAGACTGCGGCCAACGAGGCTGATCTGGCCCTGTTAAGTGCCGATTTGGCAAGCTTTGCTGCTGCTGTTTGTTTGCGCTCATATGCATCCTCGTCACTGTCTGCAGAGGATGAGGATGAGGAGGGCGAGGACGTAGCTTTCGCGACGGGCGGCTTCACTTTGCTAGAACTCGTTGTCCCCTGCAAGAGCTTGTCCGTAGAGAGTTTCGTGGAGACTTTGTTGTCGGAACTACTCTCATCCTCGCTGCTATCATCATCACTGGTGTCGTCATCGTCCGAAACAACCAGTATTGACTTCTTCTGGTTTGGACGAGAAGAATTTCGAGAGCTGTTTGCTGATGAAGTGGCGTTCTCGTGAGCGGTCTTGAGGGCAGCATGGAGATTTTTGAGACTTCTTGCTTGCTGAATCGTCGGAGGAGCTGCAGTGGGATTGGGCTTTTGCGTGCTAGCCTGTGATTTCGATGTGTCGGCCAATTTGCCTGAGCTTGGCTTCGGAGTTTGACGGTCTTTACTTGCTGATACATTTCGTGGAGCCGATTTAGCAGGAGTCTTGGTAGTGATATCGCGTGTTGACTTCTCCAGACCGTCCTTTGGCGACGAAGAAAGTGTTGAGTTCTGCGACGGCTCCTTGGTTTTGCTATTCTCAGTGTCTTGAGTTGTTGATCTCTTGCTACCAGCGTCCTTTGCGCCAAGCTCCACAGTAATGTTCTTACTGCTCTTTGAATTGGGGACGGTTGTTTTTGAAGACGTACTGGCTGAAGACTGGCTCTTGGGCGTTGGTGCAACTGGCTTCGTCTTTGTCGGTTTACCGAAGCTTTCACGCTTCTTGGCAGCATCAACGTGTTTCTGCTCGAGTTGCTTTCTTCTTTTATCTGCTTCGTACTCTTCTTTTGTCATGCCTTCTCGGCTCTTCATGATCTTAATTTCTTCTTCGGTCAAGCCTATTGGAACCGAAGGACTCTTTCTAGCTTCAGTCCTGTCGTCGACCGCAAGTCTATTTGATTTGGGGTTAGAAGAAGAGACCTCGCCCTGAAATTTAGTCGCTGGCCCCGAGCTGCGGGCTGAGGGTGTTTTTGGTGGCTTTGAAGTTGCGACGGCCTCCTTTGCTAGGTTGACAGTGACAGAAGGAGGGCCAGGTCTGGCATCGCCTTTCGAATTTGGTCCACGCTTCGACGTCGTTCCTTTGGAATTTATGCCTTCCTTATTTACAGAGGAATTTGTCGACATGGCAGTCTCAGACCCAGACTTCTTACCAGTACTTTGCTTTTTGAGGGACTTTTGGGCTGACTGTTGCAAAGACTGCGATAGTTGTTCATCAAGGCTCTCGGTACTGCGAGTGTGTTGCTGAGAGGAGACGTTCTTGCGAGAGGCTTGAGGATCGACATCTGCTATGGTCACGGATTTGGTCTTGCTGCTTGGTGAAGAAATGATGGAGTTGCCGTCCCTCGAACTTCCATCACCTGAGCGTGATGGCCTCGATCTCCTCCTGGACGTCTTTGTTTCAGTCTTCCGTGGTTCACTATTTTGTGGATCACTATTTGCTGTAGTTTGGCCGTTGAGCGCCGGATCATGGGCGTTGGCAAGTTTGTGTTTGGGCACAGTCGGTACTGTCACTTGGTTGTTGGCAGTCATGGTTGAGTGGGTGTCGATTTGAGATACAGGTTTGCTGTCTGTGCGAAATTGAACTTGTTTAGGATCTGTTTCAGGAGCTACGCTCTCTGCATCCTCATAAATGTCATCAGAAGAGTGGTCGGTGGCGGCGGCAGCAGCAGCAGCGGCGGCTTTGTCTGTCAAAGACGGGGGTTGAGCACGGAAGTCATGCTCGGTCAGGGCAACATCGTTAAAGACCGATTCATTGTCGAGAGCATCGATGGCTTCATTGATGGTGAAAGCTTGATCATGGTCTCTTTCCAGTGACGGCGACCTGAGATTTTCGATACGGGAGAAGCGATCTCGCGACTTGTCTCGGTGCAAAGTTGCCGTCTTGGATCTGGGCGACATTTGCGAGTCATCGATGTCTGATTCGGGAAGGTCGTAAATGCTGTTCTGAACAGTCCGCTTGAACTTGCCCGCTGAGTTGGAGAGGCTGTGCAAGGTCCCTCGAACTCCAGTGGTGAAAGACGTCGATGGCTGGGGGTGGGAAGCCGAAGAGGGCTTCAACAGCTCTGCGACCGGGGTAACCGGAAGATTAGGCTTAGGATGTGAGGGTTGGGTTTCAACATGGGTCGAGGAAATGCCATTAGGCTGTTGATGATGGGTTGCTCTGGCTTTTGTGCCGTTGCTTTTTTTGAGCGATGAGAATCCTGGTGGCTCTTCAGCCAGGGCTTCAAGCTCATCAACCGTCGCGGCAGGAATGTCTCGCCAGGTGCTCCAGGCCTCTGCAGACTCGGCTTTGATGGTGTTTTGAGGGTGCTGAGGAGGCGATTGAGTGGCAGCAACGACATCAAGATGCTCTGTGGGGTACTCTCGCTCGATTGAGGACATCAAACTGTCTTCTCTGACAGGTTCGAGTATGTCTGCATGTCTCTGTCTCTTGCTCCCATTAAGGGCCCACTCAGGGTAGTCGGAGGGTTGGCGTTTGCCCAAGGTGGAACTGACGACAGTAAACTTTGGAACCGGAGGGCGTGAGGATGCTTGAAGTTGCAGGCGAAACTCAGGATTGTCCAAGACCCCGCCAATGGCAACTGAACCTTCACGGAGCGTCCTTCCTTGTTCAAGAACGACCTTGATTGTAACACGTTGATCATGGCCATCTCTTTGGGCTCTGCCTTCGTCGAGCAGGAGATCGGAGACATAGAGTTGAGGGTCGAGGTCGCAGTCGTCTTCGTCATCTTTGAGATATTTTATGGTGGCCAGATCACTGTCGAGAGTAAGCACAGAACATACGCTCGGTAGGAACAGCTAGATCGACTTACTGCTGGTAGCAACTCTTGTATGCTCTCTGGATCTCAAGTGCCAAAGTGCCGATCTGCCATGTGTAGGGATCCCGGACGATAACCAGGAGGCGCTTCTCACTACGAAGTGACTTGGCTGGAGTGGCGGAGGAGAGAGAATCGAGGTATTCGTCTTCAGGGATGACCCTTGCGGCGACTCGCAATTTGACCATCGCGCCAGAAAGAGCAAGACTTCAAGTCAGCAGGGCAGGTGCGATGATCTACTACGGCGCCAAGGAAGGAACAGGCGCGTACTAGACAAGGACGCTGTAACAGGAAGGCGCAACCCAGTCGCAAGGGTTATTTGGAAAGAGTTATATCATCACAACAAGTCAGCGAGAATGAATGACTTAGATCAACTCATGAGTAGACAACACAGCTGGGTGAGGGTGTGATGTTTGAGGTACTTGGGGAAAAAAGTTTAGTGAGGGGATCTGCGCGAACTGCGCGTTCATAGTCCTGTCACAGTCCCGTCACCAAGTTCCAGAGTTAGTCAGCGTGCGGAGATGGTGGCAGATGTGAATGGGATGCGATGCTATACAATAAGATCATCTCTACCCTCCTCTACCCTTAGAATTCTGCAGGGACAGCGACTTGTATTTATGCACATCTTCTCAGTACTAGCTAATGGTAATGTTGACAATCTTGATGTCCTCCTCAGGCTTCTCCTTGCGCACTTTGGCATTCTCAATCTGATGTATGACGTCTAGTCCCTGGTATGCTCGTCCAAAGATGGTGTGCTTGTTGTCTAACCACGGCGTCTTCTCGGTCGTGATGAAGAACTGTGACCCGTTCGTGCCTGGGCCCGCATTCGCCATGCTCACCGTATACGGCTTGTCGTGCTTGAGGTCGGAGAACTCGTCTTCGAACTCTTTCCCCCAGATACTCTCGCCTCCCGTTCCATCTCCAAGAGGATCCCCGCCTTGGATCATGAACTTTCGGATCACACGGTGGAAGATGGTGCTGTTGTAGTACCCGTTGCGCGCATGCGTCACAAAGTTCTCTACAGCCTTGGGCGCCTTTTCCGGAAACAGGCGGATATGGATGTCGCCATAATTGGTGTGCAGAATGGCTGAACTTCCTTGTTGCGCCTTCTTCTCCTCTTTCTTCTTGCCTGCAATCACTCTCGGCTTCTCGTTCTGCACATCTCGGGTCGACTTGCTGATTTCTTGATCGTTGGTGAACATGTAGAATCGCACTTTGCCGTATCCAGTGGCAAACAACATGGGATCCCGTTCTTCCGCCTCGTCCAGGAGCGGATTCGCCGAGGCAGCCATGGAAACAGTGACAACCTCCTTCTTCGAGGGTGCTCCTTGATACAAGGCCACATTCAGTGCTCGAAAGGGCTCGTCTTTTCCGTATGCTCTCATCACGCGATTGGTCAACGTGTTGATCACCTTGATACCCAATAAGGAACCAAAGGCGATAAAGTGACCCGACTCGTCGAACACAACGTTGATCTTGGGACGGAGAGCCGCACTGTCCAAGTCTCGCTCCACTGCCAGTCTTCGACCCAGCTCAACCTCTTCCAACTTCTGCAGCGCCGTTCCCGCTTGTTGCATGGTGGTGATGGTGTCGATGGACTCGTCGTACGACCTGTACAGCTTACCCGAGGCAAAATCAAACACCCTGACCTTTCGGTCAGGAAAGGAGATTGTGGCGAATTGGTGGCCCGACGGAGAGATTGTAATCGATGTAGGGGCTGACTTTGCCTTTTTGAAATCAAACAAGTTGGTGGACGACTTGATTTGGAAGACATTGTCGGGCTTCTCGTAGTTCTCATGAGGTCGCCAATATTCCACCATCCCGCCAGCGTCAGCAGATACCACACAGTCAAAGACAGAGTTGTAGGCCATCGCCACCACCGAAGCGCGATGGAGTGATGCCAAAGTATGGATTGGCTTCTGTGAGTCTCCCCGCCCATCGTAAAGCTCGAAAACCTTTCCAACTCCGACGGCCAGCACTGGAGACGCTCCTCGCCGGTGTACCCAGCAGATACAAGACGCCGCCTGCTCGAGGTCGAGGATTGTCAACAGGTCAAAGGTAACCACGTCAAAGATCTTAATTGTCTTGTCATCATCGTCGCCTGCAGTCGCGAACAAAGTCCCATCAACACTGACACTAGAACTGACAATGCGTCCTTCATGAGCCCGATATTCCTTGGCAAACTCGATGCCGTGGGCCACTTTCTTCCAGAATTTGACCACTCCATCACTCGAAGTGGTCATGACAAAGTCGACAGGCGAAGGAGCCACAGTCACCGTCGACACCTGCTCCTTGTGCATCAAGGACTTGGAGTAGCGGATCCCCTTGGGCAGGGCATCCACATACAACGATTCGTACGGCAGCTTGCGCTTTTTCTTTGGGGGTACAGAAGATGGCAACGCCGGGCCAAAGTCATCATCCGAGGACTCACTGTCATCCCCGGCCCCGGCGCTCAATGACCGGGACCGTTTTCGACTCGGTGCATCAGACATGTCGCTTCTCTACAGGACGAAAGACCTTCTCCTTGGGCTTACATTCCTATGGGGAGGCGAAGAACATTGTATTGAGAATATTTTATTGACAACGTTGCCCACCAACCAGAGGGCGAATTTTGAAGAACGGCGCTAGTTCGAAAATGGCAAGGCGTCATCAAACATCTCCTCGTCCTTTTGAACGTTGATTCTCACCGCATTGCTCATAAATAGCTTATGCTACAACATCTTTACGAATTATTCGTCTATCTCATACTCCTGGTACTTGGAGCAATCTCTCCTGTTCCAGCAATCTCCCATACAGGGCAGCTAGACTACATATGCTGATTCACTCCACGTTTGCAAGCCTCAGGCCGTTCTTGCGTGTGCCTCCCATTCAACCATCAGACTCATCGTCTCAGGGGCTGACCGGCCACCTAAGCCTTACAACAATAATCATCGTCGTAAGTCAGATCTGCCTCGTGGAAAAAAAAGTCGTGCCGAAACGCGTGGTGCGCTTTGATTGCGTACTTGACCGAAGTGAATTCCACAGCCACGTAGTGTCCCCATGATGGTGCACATTCAACCACCCACTGGCTGAGGTTGAGAAGTTCCAACCGGGATCGGACAAGCTCATAGTGGCTCTGGTCGACGCCACCAACGAGGAGGATCCTTGACGCCTGTTCTTCGCCGAAAATCTCATCGTCCATATCACTGGGTCTTGGGTATGTCGGCTCCTGTACCAACCAGGCGTGTACGGCTGTGCCATTGATCTCGAGCCCTTTGACACCTTGGTGTGAAATCATCCCCATGGCTCCAGACTCATGAATGAAGACAAGTCGGGCAGTCATGAAGTTGGTCGCATTCCCAATTGGCCCTACGAGCTCAATGGATTCGAGGTAGCCGCCTTTCACAATATTGAGAACTTCCTTGACACTCGTTCCCACTGGAATGTCGTAAACCATGACGGTGCGATAGCAGTCTGTGCTTGTGACAGCATCTTCCGGAAGATACCGCACTGGGTGATTGTAAAACTGCGAGCCGCGATTCATCGGTGGACCTCCCCTCGCTCTGGCGCTACTGACTTCTTCCACGTCATCGAAAATCGGGTTTTGTTTACTAACTTTCCACTTGGGGTGGCCAGGAAATTGGCTTGGCATCTTATACTCGATGACCTGGCTGCTCTTCTCGCTGCTTGATCCATCTCTCTGTTGTCCTCCATTTGTCATGTTTGGGAAGGTGGTTTGCATCTGTGGAGCCACTTGTCTTTCCTGTTTGGATGTGCTGTCAGAGTTTGGGGTAGAGTCTGGAGACAGCTCCATAAGCTTGTCTGGACGGACCAAAGGGTTTCCCGGGGTTTTGACAATGTTTTTGATGTTTTCGATGTTTTCCACAGAAAAGTGCTTTCGGAGGGTTTGCTGCCAGTCCTTACTGAGGGTCTTTTGCACCTCAGGACTTTGCAGAGCTTCGAAGTTGTACAGCTGTACGTCGTTTGTCGAACCTTCTTTCTGATGATCATTTCGAGGACGAAGCGGGAGCTGCTGCTTTGCAGGATAGCCACGTTTCTCATATTCAACTTTTTGCCTCTCGAGTGCATCGTACAAGATCGAGGTCCTCTCCTGCTTGGCAAGTTGTCGGTGATTGCGGTAGAACTCTCTCAGATCGGTGTCGTCATCATTGGAAGACGAGGATCTAGCGTTTCTTTCGAGCTTCGCGTCTCGATTGACAGATTCCTCTTCTTTGTTCGTGATGATGCCCTTCAGCATCTTGATGGTCCAGTCACGGCTCTTCATGTCATTTTGCAGCTTCTCAATGTCAGATTCAAGCTGGATGACCTTCTTGCTGAGCTGGAGAGAGGCAGTCTTGGTGGCTTGATGTGCTTCCTGTTCATTGGCGAGAGCGGTGCAGAGCGATTTGGTGAGCGTGGAGCCGTCATCCGAATCTCTTGATGATTCGATGCCCTTGTCGTTCATGCGAGACATGGTGGAGAAGTTGTTTGAATCCATGACAGGCGAGCGAGATAGAGCAACCAATGAGTTTGCCTACAGATCTGATATGTCAGAAAGGGGGCACAAGAAGTGTTTGTGAAGCGAAAAGAGCGCCGAGTGATTGAGGTGCATTGACAGGGGGTATAGTGATGCAGGGAGGATGGAAGTGTGAGCAGGAGATGGGCTTACCTTGTGATGCAGATCTCTTCCTAAGTCAATCAAGGTTGGCGGCAGGTAATTGTGTTGACCAGCTTCGAAGTGGTTGGCAAAGTTCTGGCCTAATGCATAGCGATCTTTTCTGATGGGACTGACAGAGGCGTGTTCTACAGCAGAACGAAAAGCAGCTGGGCCCAAGCGAAGTCTCGACTCTGCCAAATCCGGTTTGATATGATTATTGAAGAAGCTTGGATCGGTTGATGGAGAGGCAGGGGTGGATTGGTTGAGAGAGGATTGTGGGCGATGACAAGAAGGGTGGGGGCTTGATGAAATACAAGTTGCAAAGGAATGGGCTAGAGATCTCGCAGCCGCATTCTGGATCGACTGTGCACTGTCAACTGGGGTGAATTTGAAACTGCCAAGTTGAGATTGATTAAGATCTTGTCGCTCCATGGGAGGGTACTTGAACAGTCGATTTGGATCCGCGGGTGGGACCCTAGAGGAGGGAGAGGGAGTCATGCTGCTTGGTCACAGTAATGGAACAGAGAGCCGCGGAGCAAGTGAAGATTCTGATAACAAAGGTATGTGACAGTAGAATACAGTGATGCACATGGACTGGCTAGGTTGTCGAAGTGAGTCTGACCCAAGCCATGCTTGCGTCTTCTGATGTGAAGCTGCGTTTGAGCGACGATGACTTCAGGGCGCTGCTGCGTCTGGATAGACCATATCTACAAGGCAAGAGCAACCCTCAACGGTCTGCGATACTGCGACGCTGCGTACCTACCGTGTACGTCCTTGCCGTCCTTGCCGCATCGTGACTGCCAGTTCAGATGAATAACGACATCTTCATTCTTCAGCTCTGGTCCATCTCTCAATGAAGTAGTGGTGGTGTATATGTTGGCCCCATTTTTCGTGGATGACTGAGCGATCGCTAGCTTGCTCATTTCTTGTTTGCCTGTCCAAATCTAGTTAATGTCCAATATCTTCCCTCTCAAGCAAGTCGGTTTGCTGCCTTCATATCTGCTTTGGACCGCGAATCCAATAGCAACGCTTTGTCAGTTACTGCCCGACCTTTTATTTGCTGACATATCGGCTTTGAGCGGCTGACGATATCGGAAAAAGACTGTCCGTTAAGAGATTTCTTTCGGAGAAAGTCCTCCACCTCGCATATTCGTTTAGACGGGGATGGGCAACAGGAGTGACGACAGCGGAAGCTTTGTGGCGGTAAATGGACAATGCTTAGCGGAGGGAGCTAAGAAGGCTTGATGAGGGGATCGACATGGTGGTCAGATATGGCTGGTTCTCCTGTGGTCAGCAATATGCATTCTGTCGCCCTTGTGACTCTCGCTATCCCTTCTCCAACTCTCATTGAACCGGACTATACCTCTATCAGGTAAGGACAACTTGATTATACATGGGTTGCTTTCATGCTACTCCAGGTTGCCAGTCCGATGAGGAGTACCCTAGACCACAGGAACGCCCTCTCAAGGGAAGACTTCCTCGATATGCCCTCAAGGTTGGTAATCTTCTCCTACCTGTTTTCTCTTCCGGCATCTGTCGGTTTTCAAACCTGTACTGCTACTCCCCTTCGCAGCTGTGACCCAAATCGTCATTCACTGCTATTGTATTTGATAGCCATGGCCGACAAGCCACGTCGATCTTCTTCTGAAGATGTACCTAGCCCTGCAGACAGTGAGAAATATGCTACTGAAGCACAGCCAGTCGATATTCTCGGGATAACAGACCCTGATGAGCACTTGTCCGAGGCTGAGCGACAGGCAATTGTGCGTCAACCTGGCAACTCTACAGTTGCGGCCATCTGACATTCAAGACAGGACCGAAAGCTTCTATGGAAACTGGATTTCACTCTAATTCCATGGCTAACGTTTCTGTATCTCATATCATTCGTGAGTCTTTTGTTTGCAGCAAGCCAGTATTCCTCTCACCTGCGACCATGCTGATGACGTCCGTCCCCAATAGCTGGACCGTACCAACATTGGAAATGCCAAAATCGACGGCCTTCAAGAGGATCTGAACATGACCAACAACGAATACAATGATACTTTGACCATTTTCTTCATTTCTTACTCTCTATTTGAGCCCCTAACTCAGATTCTCCTCAAACGATTCAGGCCTTCTATCTTCCTCCCGGTAATCATGATCTTATGGGGAATCGTCATGACCACCATGGGCTTGGTCCATAACTTCTCGGGACTCATGGCAGCACGGTGGTTCCTAGGCTTGGCTGAAGCTGGACTATTTCCAGGTAGGCAGAAGTATCCGCTTTATTGCTTGTGCGACTCTCACGCCCTTGTAGGGGTTAATTATTACCTGAGTTGCTGGTATAGGAGAAGCGAATTCGGCATTCGCGCAGCAATTTTCTTCAGTGCAGCTGCACTAGCTGGCTCCTTTGGTGGTCTACTGGCGGCCGCCATTGTCAATATGCGTGGTGTAGGTGGTAAGCCAGGATGGGCGTGGATCTTCATTCTCGAGGGGCTTGCCACCGTTATAGTGGGAATAATCTCCTTTTGGATGGTCAGTCAAATCAATCATGCATTGCAGGCTTTCTGGGCCATGATTGACCTTTTCAGATCCATGACTTTCCCGACGAGGCCAAATTCTTGTCGGAAGACGACCGCCGTCGTGTCATTCGCCGTCTCAAGGCCGACCAGCAATCTAGCGCAGAGCATGAAGAGTTTAAACTGGCCTACCTTTGGGCGAGCTTGAAAGATTGGAAAACATACACCGGAATGATAATATACATGGGCTGTGACGGGGTAAGTGACGAATCATCTCCATGGGATCTACCAGCAGCTAGATACGTCGTCTGACATCTTCTAGTCTCTATACGCCTTTTCGCTTTTCCTACCAACCATTGTTCAACAGATGGGCTACAAAAATGTGCATGCTCAACTACTGAGCGTACCGCCGTACGCCGTGGCAGCAGTCATGACAATATTTATTGGTTTCCTTGCGGACAGGACAAGGAAGAGAGGTCTGGTTTGCCTAAAGTTATGGTTTCTGACACGGGTTGCTAACTGGAGACCAGGGTACTGCAATATTGGCATGTCGCTGTTTGGCATCACAGGGTTCGCCATGCTGCTGGGATCTGGGACACCACATGTCCAATATGCAGGGACATTCCTCGGCGCCATGGGGATCTATCCATGCATCTCCAACACCATCTCTTGGACCGCGAACAACGTGGAAGGAGTCTACAAGCGAGGCATTTCGCTAGGCTTCGTCATAGGATGGGGTAACCTCAACGGTGAGCTACATAACAAAGGCACAGTGCGACAATGAAGGACTGACAGTTATATTCAAGGTATCGTGGCTTCCAACATCTACCGTGCCGAGGACAAACCTCGCTTTAGGCCCGGCCATGCAGTAGTCCTGGCGTATTTAACCGTCTTCTTGTTTGGTGGGAGTATTCTCCAGCATGTTCTTCTGCGAGGCGAGAACGCGAAACGACGGGCAGGTAAGAGGGATGTTTGGGTTGAGGGCAAGACGGCCGAAGAAATTGACCGGTTGGGTGACAAGAGGCCCGATTTCTTGTACACTCTATAAGCAAAAGGGGCCAGTTGGACATGCTCATGTGCTTTCTGGACTATTCGCTTGAAGCGACAAGGCTTTACAAGGAGGTTATCACGGACCGAGCTGTCCCATCTTCTCTTTTCGTTCTTTCGTTATTCCATGTCGACACAAGATCAGTCCTGCCATTCTTTCATTACGCCGCTTCTAGCCTATCGATCTGTCTGACATAGGGATTGCAAGCAACATATAGAGCCTTGCATAGTTGAACTCCAATTACCTCTACCATGGCAATATATCGAAGCATGAAACCTCTCCTCCTTGCCATCAAAAACAGCCGTCTCGAAAATGGAACTGTTGAACACAGGTCATAAAGATACACAAATTGCTCTGCGTATGCATTCTATTGAGTTTTCTTTCCCGCCAAAGCACCAGTCTCCTTGTCAAAGGCAGCATATGTAACTTGGAGGGAGGAGATGGCCGAGATGGCCACGTACAGAATGGAGAGGAGGAAAAAGCCGGCAAGAAGACCCATGAAGATGCCTGGAGCGGGGTTAGTCAAAGTTTCCGTGATAGAGGCTCAGATCTGTGCCAAAGTGGGAGGGTGTGTACCTGGAGTGAAGAATTGATATCTGTCAAACAACGGTCCATCAATCAGGGTCTGGTTCTCGGCTTTGCTAGCGTCGGAGACCAGGTCGCCTAGGTCCCGCTTCAAGTCCAAGTGGATTGCCTCCTGTAAGGTCGAGTCCATTTCGTACGAGGTGCTCTCCAGATGTGACGCTGCCTGGGTCGACTTCTTGCATGATGGGGTTGTGGTGTAAAGAACTGTGTAGCTTTCGGTGGGAAGCACGTCAAAGATAGAAGCAAAGAATGCATCGTTTTTGACTAGACTATCGCTGCTCTTCTTTGAAGATCCACCACTGAGCTTGACTCTGATGAGGGTTGGGTCAGGTCCGATGTTTGTGGGAATCTCTCCTTTGGATGCATCAATCTGGATTGTCTTGACCCCGCAGGTTGACTGGAGGAGCTCGATCCATGTTTCGACATGGATTTTGCCTATGACATCTGGGATGGTGATGCTGCTCCTGACACCTCCATTGGGGTTATGGGCCAGCCTTTGGGCTAAGAATGGAATGTTCTTGGTGGACTGGTAATCTCGACCACTGACGCCATGTTGCTCGATCAGGATGTAATAGTCTGAAGGGCACCTGGAGAGGGAGAGACCAATGTCGGATGTGACTGACGACGCGGACTGGAGTGCTGAGGATGATGTGAGGAGTCTGTAAATGCGCCAGTCGTGTTAGCTACACATGGTGATTGGGATCTCGCATGTGGAAGTCAGGGAGACATACTCGGAGGTGGAGAACATGAAGAAGGGCTGGGAGTCAACATAGCCATAGGCGCTTCTGGCGGCGAGCACCAATGTGCTCAATGCTGAAAACCGCATGGCTAATGCTTCAAAGAGTGAAATGTGAGGGTGGTCAACAGGGTGGTCAACAGTGAGGGTTGTGGAGCTTGACGATGAAAGCAGCAAGCAGTTGTCGCAGTTGCCTCCAGAGTCCACACAGTCCACGGTATCTGCTATCGCTCCTGCCGATTTGATTGATTGCTTCTCCGCAGCCTGGGTGGCGCCTGCCGAGTTTCCGTGATGGATGATCACGTGACTAGGGGCCGCATCTTCATCCCAAACCACTAACCCGATGGCGACAGCGATGGCGACATTCTCTTCCCACCACTTCTTTTCACTTTACCAAGGCTGATTGATCAGCGTCCCTCCTCTTCTCTCACTAACTTTGACGCCTCTACATTCCAAGTGTCATGGACACTGTGGAACTCTTTGACTTTCGGAAGATTCTTGACGCCCATGTCTTGAGTTGAAGTGGTGATCGCCCTGGATTTGGATCCAAGAGATACCTCATCATTGGCTGGCCCGCCTACGGCTCCAGTTGGCTCTCTACCAAAAGATGACGACAACTGATTCTCAAGAGGATGCCCATGGGCTCTCACTCACTGCCTCTCACCACAGACAACATCACCACCAGCACGATGATGAGTCCCGTCTTCTGCGTCGAACGGGCTCCCAGGATTTCAGTGCTGCAGAGAGCATAGCCGTCCGAGAAGTTATCCCAGATGACTCAAGCTCCGACTCTGAATATGATCTACCCGATGTCATCGCTCCCAAATGGCCCCGGTCTACGAAATACCTTCTCCTCCTCTGTGCACTGTTCACCAGTCTGGCCTTTGGTGTCACTCAAGTCCCACTTCTCTATGTCTTCAGGCTAATGACCTGCGACGCCTATTATCAAGACCATCCGTCCCAGCGAGATGACTCCATTGTACATCCACCGAGTTCTCTGACGTCTTATTTTGTGCACCTGTCAGCGCCCGTGATTCCAGGCCCCTCTTCATCAGATAGATGCTCAATCCACGCCATTGAAGCGTCGACCGCGCTTTCCATATCTATACTAGGCGCCACCACAACCGTGTTCGGTCTTTTTAATCTCTTCTGGACAGGATATCTGATCAAGCGCATTGGTGTCAAGGCAACCTTGTTCATTCAAGTTTCTTTTCCTGCTGTCCGCTTATTCATCCAGAATGTTGGTGTCGAGGTCTGGGGTCATGCCGGAATCAACATTGTCCAGTCCTCGCAGATTGTGAGCATTATCGGCGGTCCCAGTGGCTATCTTCTCGTACTCAACACCTTCATGACCGACATCGTTGAACACGAAGGCCGAACTGCCGCCCTTGGGAGAGTTACAGGGGCCGCCATGGCTGGGTCCGCTTTTGGCTTCCTCGCTGGTGGCCTCGTAGCTGAGGCATACGGTGTCAAAATACCGTTTCGTCTTGCCTTTCTCCTCTTCGCTGGCGCCGGCTTCTATGTCCTCACCTTTTTGCCTTACATTCCTCCTGCTGAAAATAAACATCTACCCCAGCAATCAAGCAACGAGGAGAAAAAGACAAGGCTTCTCACTCGCTACTTCGGCCCGCTCACCGTATTTATGCCCAAGAAATTCATCGGGAGAGATGGGCTTGTCCGAACCGAGTATGGTGCATTCTTGCTCGCTTGTGGTGTCTTCCTCGGCATTCTCGCTACAGGTGGGTTTTCCCCGGTCACCTCTTCCAAAATTCGCTAATTGGAGGCCGTAGGCTATCTTGTCACTTTACTGCAGTTGTACGCCACGGATGTTTTTGATTTTGGCACCAAGCAAAACGGCTGGCTGATCTTCATGTTCTCCATGCTCAGGGGTCTCTTCCTGACCTTTGTCTTTCCCCAGTTGATCGCCTTGGGTCGGCGCCTTACACCCACTCAGAATGTTAATGCTTCAAAGCCTTCTGAACAACAGCCTTTGCTTCCTACGCCTCCATCAGATCCACAGGCTAAGTCAGAGCAGACATTTACATTCGACCTGACATACACAAAGGCATCCTTGCTTGCCGATGGCTTACTTACCCTTCTGTGCTCGTTTGTGCATCGAGGGTGGCAGATGTATCTGGTAGCTGCAATTCTCCCATTTGCTTCCGGTACTGGTTCCGCCTCCAAAGGCACCATTCTTCAAATGCTCGGAGGTTCTGCCACCAGCTCCGAAAGGACGGACGCCCTTGCTGGCATCAGTCTCGTTGAGAACATGGCCCGATTATCCACAAGTAAGTCAGCATTAAGCTTATACTCTATCTGAGCTCAAAAGAATCCTCTTCCTTGTGATACTGTACTAATGTCGTCTTCGACATTAGCTTCTGTGTTTGGAGCTGTGTTTGCGGGCTTCACCAGCATCGGAAAGCCCCACTTGGTCTTCACTTGCAACGCCGTGAGTCGCTCTCCCTTTAGTTTGCGCACGCCCACTGACTTTTGATTTAATCATTCAGGCTGTTGCATTTGTGGGATTCGCCATTCTACTCTTCGCTCGCTTTCCTCTAGAAGGTAGCCGGCCAGTCGCTAATGATGACGGAACTGAAAACGAATAATGAAAAGCAAAGATAAGGCCAGGATATTGTTACTTGATAGAACATTAGACACTTTGAACCAGCGAATGATTTTCAACAAACAAACCACATTACGGAGTCTGTCGAATGGAGCCAAAGTGTAGACCGAGGCGAAGTGGATTACATCGAAACTGGCCATTCATCGTGACGCACTGTTGGATCATACCAACCTAAGTGGCCAGAACAGAGTCTCATGTGAACAGATGGAGATCTAGACAACCATGCCAGGGCCCTTGGCTCTTTGGGCCAAGTGAGTGGGAGATGTCCGGGTAGCTGTCAGTGGGCAATATCCGTACCGGGTGCGAAGAACCTGGAGAAGCCTCTCCGGTGGGTAGATTGATGAACCAACTGGCACCGCTGTACTGGCTTTCGCTAAATCCATTGACGAAGAACGGGTGAGATTGGATCTGATTTGAGCAATCCTCAGGTTGAACGTGAAATGAGTCAGTGATGACAATTCAAAAGCGTTAATAACCACTGTGTCCTCCTTCGCATACCGCCATTTTAACGTCGATACAGTAGAGGAAAGACGATATCCTCTTTCAAGTTCTGTCTTGATATACTCTGTACATCCTCGGCTCCCCACTCCTTGTCTCTCCGCATGGGTCGGTTCGCTGGAATGAACCCATCAAGAAACCGGGGTCAAGATGTGGGGTTGGACCGCCTCGCCCACACATCATCCATCAAACCTCGTGTAAACTCGTGTAAACTTCAAGCCAGCTACTTCGGCATTTGCTTAGAACCTGGGCCATGGAAGCTATGTAGCAGGACCAAACGTTCACGTCAATTGTGTTGTCAACGGTGGTCATCTTCCCCTTTGCGCTAGGAAGCACTACTCTCTGTTCCCACGGCAGTTGTTTCTTACCTCAATTGCCGTTTCTCCTTGTAACAGTTCCAGGCAGAGTTTGATGGGGTTTTCCCGCTACCCACGTTTAGCTCCTAGCCTTGGGTCGCTTGTGATGAGGAGGTGAGTTTCTTGACAAGGCCGCTCTAGCCTCTGAGAGTGTTGCTGGCTGTGGGGTTGCTGCAGGCGAGCAGGGTTGTGAGAAAATACATATCTAACGCCTGGTCCCTGCCAGAAGTCTCGCAATCAAATATCAACTCGATCGTCGCCTGAATTTGTGTTCCTCTACCTTGTTCACGTGAACCGTTGTGCCTAATCTGGAATATTGACTTCCTCCACCATGGGCCTCGGAGTACTTGAAGGTTTGCTATACTTTCATCCACTGGCTCTATTATGACGCTGACCATGACAATCAGATTCAAAACTTGACCATGTCCCTGGGACAGTCTTGCTCAACGATGAGGCTGCGCACACTGAAGAAGTCACTCGAGGGTTGAAACACGGGACAGGGCGCGATGCACATATTGTCCTCTCTCCCCAACCCAGTGAAGATCCCAATGATCCATTGAACTGGTCACAATGGAAAAAAGAGGCAATTACTGCAATCCTATGTCTTGGTGCCATGTTGAATGCGGGAACCAATGTAAGTACCCTGTAGCATTCAGTGAGACCACATACATCAGACAGTTGACTTAGTCAGGGCCCGCTTCTCAATGCGTCGTATTATTCAATGGCGCAACAGATCAACACAGACATCAATACCGTTGTCATGGCATCAGGATACAACCTTCTTGCTGCAGGGTGCATTGGCCCTTTCGGTATGCTTGACTTTCTTCCGTTGTAGTTGGCCTTGTGAACTCACACTCAAGCTTAAACAGTCTCGGCCTTTAGTCGAAAGTACGGCAAGCGACCTGTGTTCCTGGTGTCAACCCTGTTCGCCATCATCGGGACAGCGGTTGGTCAGGCCAAAATCGATTACAAGTATCTCCTGGCGGCACGAATCATCCAAGGCTTTTCTACATCGGCGTTCGAGTCTCTCATCGTTTCCACCGTAGGAGATATCTACTTTGTTCACCAACGAGGCCTACGCATTGCCATTATCAACTTTATCCTCAATTCTGCCTCGAGCTTAGCCTCAATCATTTGTGGTCAAGTCTTTCAGAGTCTAGGGTGGCTGTGGCTATTCCACATGTTCCAGATCTTCTTGGTCGTCCAATTCATACTCATGTTCTTGTTCTGTCCCGAGACAACATACATCCGCGACCGACGCTACGACACGGATTTGACGATCGGCTCGGAAGATAATTTGGATAAATTAGTGGTAATTGAACGAGAGCACAAGACGCCATCAACAGATGTCGAAGGTCGTCCCGCTATCCCTAAGAAGAAGACCTTCGTTCAAGAACTTGCGGTTTGGACTGGAGTATACTCGCAGGACAATATCGTCAAGTTCTTATTTGGGCCTTTCCTCACCCTGTTGAATCCTGCAGCCTGCTATGCTGTCATCGCATCTGGCTTGTTGAACAGCTGGTATGTTGGTTCGGCAATCATTCTCGCAGGCATTTTTTCTGGCCCGCCGTGGAACTTTGGGGCTGCTCAGATCGGATATATTGGCGTCGGGCCATTTGTTGGAGGATTGATCGGGTCGCTTGTCTGTGGTTTCTTCGGGGACTATGTGATCAAGTACATGACTAAGAAAAACAAGGGAGTCTAGTAAGTGAGGGGAGAACACCCAGAGCATTCACACGCTAACCAGGTACCACTCTAGCGAGCCCGAGTTCCGGCTGGTTTTTATGTTCCCAGCGTGTATCTTCTGCGGCATCGGCATGTTTCTATTCGGGTACACGTTGGAAATCGGTGCGGCTGCAGAGCTGTGCTCATTCCTACAGGGCATGATGATGGTTGGGGTTCTTATTGGAATCTTCGCAACCCTTGCATATGGCCTTGATTCGTTCCGAAGCCAGAGCAACGAGATCTTTGTGATGAATATGTTATTCAAGGTAGGCCACTAACAGCACCTCATTGCTAGACTCGAATGTGGCTAACCGTGCCTAGAACTTCCTCTTCTACGGTTTAAGCAACTTTGCCAATCCATGGGTCGCAGCCAAAGGCCCGGAAGAGATCATGTATGTTTTTGGTGGCACTTCGATTTTCCTTTGTCTACTGGCTATTCCAGTCTATATTTATGGAAAACGGCTGAGAAGTTGGTGGGCCCGACATGATCTATTTGTCATCCTGAAGATGCAAACCTCTGGTCCAGAATCATTGGCTGGTTGAGTCTCTGTCCAATCAATCTAGATTCGAGGTCTGATGAGATAGAAGAAAGGGAGAAGGACGATGCTGTGGCAACTGAATATGACAGCCTCGCCTAACATTTTGGTAGATAATACTGGCCGGGAAATTGATACTCCGGGTTGTCTTGGCAATTTCTGTAGCCTCGTTCCCTCGAAAGTGAGAATCGAAAAAAATAATTGTCCAAGGATATAAAATTAATTGGATCGCAGCTACTAGCCGAGTCGTGTCTACACTTGATCAATTTTTCTTTTCGGGCCTTTAAATTCATCGCAGCATCCACGGGTGTGTGCATCGCTCAACTTTTCCTTTCCCCCGTATTGACAAACTTGGAAATTCAATCGCTGAAATCTTTCACACTTTTCAAGGATTTTGAAAATGTCTGATCCTATTGGACAGAGGGATGACTACAGTGATTCTTCCTCCATCACTGACCCTCTCGATACACGTGATGACGAGGGGTGGGAGGACGTCGAGCAGGACGAGGAGCAGTTAACGCTCATTTCCTTGTTTGACTCGGAAACTTTCTCCGACCCACGACGACTCTTGGAAAGCGCTCGTGAGAAACATGGCTTTGATATCTGGAGGTTACGGCAAGATCACGGTAAGACCTCTTGTGGCATTGAATCGGAAAACCTGCTGACTTATTCTGCCAAAGGCTTGGACTTTTTTGGATTGATCAAACTCATCAATTACGTCCGATCCGAAGTCAAGAATGGAAACACGAAACCCGACACTTCATCCAAATCTCTGTTCGATGACGACAAGTACTTGAAGCCGGTGTTGGAAGACGATGTATTGCTCTTCAGCCTGGATGACGTTTTCGACGATGAAGCGAGTAACTCAGGCCCGACCAATGAAGTCGAGCAATTGCGAGAACAACTTGCCGCCTTACAGTCTCAATTCACGGCGTATCGTGAGCAGGTGCAAAGTGCTTTACTAGACGGACTTGAAGGAAAACCTGATGTTGCTGGCCCGAGCAGTTCCAGCAGTGCGAAAGCGCAACAAGCTGGGTCCGAAAAGGACAAGACGGCCGAGGGCATCGAGAAGGGCTATTTTGAATCCTATGCCTACAACGCCATCCACGAGTCCATGATCAAGGATACTATCCGCACGGATGCCTATCGCGACTTTATGTATGACCACAAAGATCTCTTCAAAGGCAAGACCGTGCTAGACGTCGGATGTGGTACAGGCATTCTCAGCATGTTCTGTGCCAAAGCTGGTGCCAAGCTTGTGATTGCAGTCGACAACTCGGACATTATCGACAAGGCGAGGGAGAATATCTTCAAGAATGGGTTTCAGGACACAATCAAGTGCCTGAGGGGCAAGATCGAGGAGGTGACCCTGCCAGTCGAAAAGGTCGACATCATTGTCAGCGAGTGGATGGGTTATGTGCTGTTGTACGAGAGTATGCTCGACAGTGTCTTCTACGCACGAGACAAATATCTGGCTGAGGATGGATTGATGGTTCCCAGCCACGCAACTCTACGGATAGCACCGTTGGCTGATTCGGAACTCAAGGCCGACTACATCGACTTCTGGAGAAACGTATATGGGTTCGACATGACAGCCATGCTGGACAAGGCACACGATGAGGCCTTGGTGCGTGTGGTTGACGAGAAGGAACTTGGTGCAGAGAGTGTGGCATTCCTAAACCTCGATCTCCACCGTGCTTCACTCTCAGATTTGGTCTTCACCAAGCCATTCGCCGTGAAATGGCGTGACGGGTTCAAGAATCTGGAAGGGTTTATCGTGTGGTTCGACATCATCTTTGCAACCTCCAAGTCAGAAGACGTGCCGCCTGGGTTGACGGCCGCAAAGGCAACGGAAAGGGGATTGACTGCCTTTTCGACAGGATCCCACTCAAAAGCTACACACTGGATGCAGGGTGTGTTTTTGATCAAGGACCCCGTTGACCAACCGATCGCCGGGACCGATGTTACCGGCGAGGTGACTTATATCAAGAAGCAGGGCCAGGAGAGAAGTCTTGACATTGAGATTTCTTGGAAAACTAGTGAGGCTTCCTCACCAAAGCGCCAGATGTGGGTGGTAGACTGAGGACAGTTCCGGGGATCCGCGTTGGTATGTCGTGGTATTACTGGACTTGTGGTTGGAAGCAGGTCTGCAACGAGAGTCGCTCCATGTTGAGGCAGACAAAAC